TATATATAAAGATTATTATAACCTTTAATTATAAGAGAAGGCTTTATATAAAGCAGCCTAGTAATTAAAAATAGGTTTTTATTATTTAAGGTATATATATAAATAGCTAGGTAATACCTCTATATGTTATTATAAAAGGTAAATATTACCTTTTTTCTTAGTACTAAAATAGCTAATTTCTAGTTATATAGCGTATTTACCTAAGTAAAAATAAATAGACTATAAATAGAATTAGCCTAAATTAGCTAAAGCACTTTAATTAGTATATAAAGTCTTATATAAAAGGTACTTATTACCTTTTAATCCTAAATAGCTATAATAGCTATAAATTAACTAAATTTAATAACTACTATAAAAAAAAGGATTATTACTTTATATATACCTCCCTATTTATTATATAAGCTTTAGCCTCTTAATATAAGTTATTTTAGCCTATTAAAGCTTTTATATAGTAAGAAAATTAAAAAGATAATATTAATATAGATTTTATATATTATAAAAAATAACTTTTCTTTTACCTTTAAAGTAGTATTTTTTACTTTAATAAAAGAAAGAAACGTATAAGCTAGCTTTAGATAGGCTAGCCTTATATCTTTTACCTTAAAGTAGTTATTTCTTACCTAGATTTTAAGCTAAATATACTAACACCTCCTTACTTATATCTAACTAGCTTAGGCTTATAAGACATAAAGACACTAACTATAGCACTAGAGGGCGTATAAAGTGCTAGTTTACTTAAAAAAAAGATCTAAAGATATTAAAGAAGCTTACTAACACTAATATATAAGGTAATTAATCTTTAAGCTAAAACTATTAGTAAGTTAGTATATAGGCTTACTTTTATTAAGGCTAAAAACCTTAGACTTTATATAAGGATAGATATACTAAGTAAGTAGTAAAAGGCTAAAAAGACCTAACTACGTCTTAAAAGGTTACTTAATATAACTAAATTAGAGGTGCTATAAGGAGAGAAGGAGGGTGTTAAGGCTAGAGGTAAGAAAACGTCTTAAAAAGAGGCTTATATAAAGGGTAGTAAGCCACGCGTTTAATAATATAGTAATTATAAAAAGACTAAGTATAACATATAAACCTATAAGGTAGTTTAGAATAGTAATAAAAAATAAGGTAATATATATTTTTAATTAATTTTATATAATCTAGTTAAATTAACTTATAGAAATAATTAAAAGGTAAAAAAATATATATAGCTTACTATAATATATAGCTTATTATATATATACGTTAGCTATAGTTAACTATAGGCTTCTTTATTACCTTTACTATCTAAAGTTATTTTATAGCTAGGCTATACTTATTAGGTCTTAGTGTTTTTATAATTATCTTACTATTAACTTTAACTTTACTAATTAAGTAGCTATAGTTATAGTGCTAGCCTTTTTACTAAAGTACTAACTTAGGGGAATTATATCTTTTACCTAACCTTAGGCTAAAAGTAGTAAATATTATGTCTACCCTAAGGGTAAGTATATATCTTACTTTTATTAACCCTAGATATAATAGTCTATACTATTTAAGAATTAGCCTAGTATAGTAAAAAATTATAGTCTAAGTAGGCCTACTAGTAAGATAGTGTTATAGCCTAGTAGGCCTATAATTTCTTATTTCTTACCTTTTAACTTAGACTATATTATTATAGTAGCTTTTATTTACTCTAAAGATAATAAGTCTAAAAAGATATCTCCTTTTTATTTAAGTATATTACTTATTATAATATCTTTACTTAAAAGTAGTTACTAAGGAGGCTTTTTTTAAAAGGTAAAAAGTATCTACTTAGTTAGGTTGTTTTTAGTATAACTAGGTTTTTAAATAACTAAAAGCTTTATAAGTTATTATAAGATAGTTAGATATCTTTTACCTTACTATATAGTCTTAATAAAAGTAGCTAGTTAGTTTTTATATCTCTAATAATCTTTTTTATTATATAAAAAGTGTTTTTAACTTAATAAAAGTTATTAGCTTAGCTAGCGTCTAACTAAAAGCCTTATTACTAGTTATTACTAAAGTAGTATAATATATCCTTATTAAATTCTATAGTTATAAAGAATTATATATTATTATAAAGACTTTAGGGTAGCTACTAAGTAATCTTATAAAATAGATTTTACTTAAGCTATATATAAAGACGCCTAAGTTTAGAGATCTACTTAGGTTAAAGCGTTCTTAGTATGCTATATTTTTAAGCCTATTACTTTTATTAAGGTATATATATTTCTTTACTATATAGTAGTAGAAAAAAGGTCTAAATAAAAGTAATAAAAATAATAAAAGTAATAAAAATAATAAAATAGTGTAAATTAAAATAGTTATAATACTACTTAATATAGTCTTTTTAGTAGCTATTATAGATTTAATAAAATAAAGCTAGGCTATAGTAGTAAGGTAAAGTAATATAGTATAAAGGTAAAGCGTAATAGTAAAGTAGTAAAGTAAGATAAATAATAATAAGAAGCTAAATAAATAATATAAAATAAAATAAGTAATAGATAGGTAGTAATATTCTTAGTTACCTTCTTTCTTTATAAAGAGGCTTTAACTAAAGAGATATATACCTATAGTATATATACTATATTATATATACTATAGGTATATTCTTACTATCTACCTAACTTCTAGCTATAAGCACTTAACCTCTTGTTTTATAATAGCTACTTTATATAAGGCCTTCTTTTATAATTAGAGGTTATAATAACCTTTATATATAATAGTATTTCTATTAAGAAGCTAGTCTTATTAAAATTATAAATATTATAATCCTATATCTTATACTTTATAATTATATTTTATATAAGTATAAACTAGCCTTATATAATTATAAAATCCTTAGCTAAGGCTCTCTAATAGTTAATCTAATATTAAAATTATATTTTTAATTAAGGTTATTATTATATAAAGTTCTTTACCTATTAGGGTCTAATATATATTACGTTACGTTTAGAAAAAAGTTAGTTAGCTATATCTTATATATTATCTTATTATAAAGAAAACCCTTAATTAATTAGGTTAATAACCTATTTAAGAATTACCTTTTCTTCTAAAATAGTTATTTTTATTAATTTTAAACACGTCTTAGCTTATAGAAGTATACTAGTGCGTTATATATAAAGGGTTAATTTAGGGACCTTAAAGTTAGAGGCAGCACTTTATATAGACATTTTTAGGTTGTTTTTAAGAGCCTAGATAGTAAGGATAATACGACTTTCTTTAGAAGAAGAGGCTATGTTTATATGTAGAGAAAAGTTAGTATATTTAGTCTTAAAGTTAGTTAGTTAATATAACGCTATTTGTAAAGTTAACAGGTTGATTAATAAAGTTGGTTGATAGGGTTGCTTTGAGTGAAGCGCTGGTCTGTCAGGGAAAGCTGGCGCGGGCGATAGGACGTTGATATAGGCTGTGAAATTCGTACTTGACTTTGTGATCCGCCATGCCTGCCACAAGATACTCCCTAAGGCAATAGGGTGTTTTTTAATAATGACCCTCTGAGGCAACAAGAGCACCCAGCGTATCCGGGCTTGTTCCTTGATCTGCGCGAGGACATATTGGCTGGTGTCGTGGATATGGTTTTCGCCCCTTCCCTGCTGGCCACTGGAGACACGTCTTGCAGAAGAGAAAAAGGAGTCCGTAGCGTTCGCGGCTGCATAGGACCTAACATGACTGCTGCTACGATTTAGAAAGGACGAGGATGCAACGGCCGGTGTTCTTGGCGTGCTTGTAGACCCTTGGTGTGGTACGATCCGGCGGTTGTCATTTTGCCTAATCGAGCCCAGCAGAGATGGCAGTGGGGAGGCCTCTGTCACAGGTTTAGACCTAGTCCAAGGAAGTTGTTTACACTGACGACGATAAGAATGGAAGTGATCTGCTTCCAGAGCTTGAAATTGATATTGAAGCCTGCCACTTTCTCCAAAATTAACCAACTGCTGCTCTACAGCTAATTCAGGACGATGACCTTGATTCTAGAGATATTCTCAGGAGACCTTTTACGGCCAGGATAGTCATACAGCGAGAATCGGGGCATCGAATCAGGCCAGACCAGGACATCGACAGCCACGGTTCAGAAACGTTAAAAACTATGTCAATGCCGTGGCACAATCCCAGTCCGGGAACAGAAAGTGCGTCCAACCGGCTTCGATCCCGGCGCGGGCCGTCTACACTAAAATCTCAAGACAGATTAGGCATATCCCAGCATGATCGTCGAATGTGAGGTGATGCACGCCAGTTCTGTCAAACGGACTTGATCTCCCTGACTTCCACCAACCGTAGATCGACCCGTTCGGTATGCTCCCAACCACAGCCGCACCTGGCCGGCTTCGGGTAGATGCTCATAGCGAATTCTCGCAGCAGCAGCCATCGAACCGTTGATCCGCGTTACACTAGCCAAAAGTATGCCTTGGCTTCGCAGGTCTCGTCATGAAACATAAGCACTTAGCTAGGAACGACACGAGCTGAGTCCACGTCCCCGCAATGGGAAGCGATCTTCCCCGAAACGCCAGCCAGGCAGTTTTCCTAGGTTGGGAAAAGCCTCGTGCCCAGTCCTGTGAGCCTCGCTTGAATTACGAAGGGGGCCGCTTATAGGGTAAGTGGCGCTACCGAAAAAGGCGTTCATCGTTGTGTTGTTGCCAAACTCGGACGTGCTATGCCCTCCCTTCTTAGCAAACTGAGACAGGAGTCGAGAAACAACGACGGGCACTTTGAGGAAGAATGGGAGGGGAAGCTCACTCCCTGTTCCCCTAGAGATGCTGCAAGGTTACGCGGTCCTACTGTGGACTGGAATTCGGGTTATATAAGGCACCAAGACAAGCCCATTAACCAGCATTCCCGACGAAAGGGAGAGAGGCCCCTCCCATTTATCAACAGCTCAATGGTCGCTGACTTTTCTCCTCGACTGCTCGGTGCCCACTTCTCTACCTCTTGTTCAACGGGTAGGCCAAACGGAAAACAAGCCACCCAACATTTCAAGACCCAGCAGACGTTAATCAGTCACGATGCTCGTTCGCAGTATCCTCGCCGTCCTCGGCGCGACCGCCTTGGCCGCCGCCGCGAGCCCTAAGGCTCCGGCCGTCACACCCTTCCTCACCACCTCCGGCAGCGGCGTCCCGACGACCCTTGTCCCCGTCCCGCTACCAGCCACAATATCCTCAACGGCGGCGCTAGCACTATCCAAAAACTTGACGTACTCGACGGCGGCTCCAGCACTGCCCCAAAACTCGGCGTCCTCGGCACTTAACAAGACAGTCACCTCCACGATCGCCGCCACGAGGACCGTCACTCTGCGGCCGGTCAAGACCACGTCGTACCAGGCCTGCGGCGGCTTCCGCGCGACGCCGACGCCGTGCCCGGCCAGCTTCGAGTGCATCAAGAACCCGTTCGATGGCGGGTGCGGGCCGGCGTGCGACGGACCGGGCATCTGCGTGGTGCCGATCAAGTGCGGCGGGTTCCCGGGTACCAAGTGCCCGGATGGCAAGATTTGCGTGGACGACCCGAGAGACGATTGCATTCCGGGAAAGGGCGGCGCCGACTGCATTGGACTTTGTCTTTAGAAGAAGAGGAGGAGAAGAGTCGGATGTCGGGATATCAATATGGGACGGGCTGGCGTCGTCAACGAACATGTTTCTTTTGTGGTAAGGTTTTTCTTTGTACTTGTTTCCGGGGGACAGCTCTCTGGCGACATTCTCCGGGAGCAAAACAGATCATTAACAAGATTGAAATATCCTGATGTCTTGATGGATGGATGCTGCTTCGTCATTGCCGTGTCCTAACCTATGTCTTGACGTGAAGAAGAGGTAGGGTGGTGGTTCTCGGTCAGCGCCGGTGAAGCATCGGTGAATTGCCGGCTCGGCAGGTTGGGAGGGAAAGCAGGAGCTATGAACCACAGCAATGGTTCTTTCCCTTCCCTGGGCAGCTAGACGATTACTGCTCGTTTTCCTTCTTCTCTGTCGAAGATTCTTCCAATCTTCACATTGTTTGTTTACTAGAAGAATTATGAAGAAAACATCTCTCCAGGCTCTCCACAACCATCCGAGATTCACATTCATCAGCCTCACCTACTGGTCTCCTTCACATTTACAACCCTTTGACACATCCGTAACAGGTATCCATTCACTCTGGCCTACGCTCCCACTACAAAATCCGATTTCCACGTCAACTTCAACTTCGACTTCAAGTTCAACTTCTGGCGATCAGGGGGATAGCCAGTGGCAAGCCCTGTACCTCAACCAATAATGTGCCAACTTATAACAACACGATATATGTGCGACCACCACAGCACTTTTAAAGGCGCATGCCAAAAGGTCCGGTGCAACACCGACGCATTCGGGGACTGCGGAAAAGTGATCAAGGAAGAGTGCTTCGACCCGTATCACTGTAGGCCGCGATGCGTCTACAGAGTGTGGCGCAGGCGCTGGGTCTGCCACAAGTGCAACGGACCAAACCAGAAGGCCTCGCGGTGCGCCATCAAAAGGTGCGGACACATCATTTGTTCCGAGTGCAAACCCTGTGAGTTCCTTCGGGCAGGCTGCAAGCAAGAAAGCGGCACAGGGAGACTGACAGAGCCAAGTGGTTCGTCCCAGGAAAGGCGGTGCAAGGACGACCAAGTACAACGCACTAGAGCACATCAAATGGAGTGGAATAGCCAAGTCTGCTACGCGACTACCACCGGTACCATTATACAACCCTTCTGTTGGTGACTAGGTGTAATCAGAGGCGGAGGGATGCGGGTGGTTTACTCAATATAAGGAATACTCGCTTGGGTTGTGACGGACTTGGAACCAATGGGTGCCCAAAGAAAAGCGATGCCGGACTGGCCTCAGACGGTGAAGGCTTCTATTTGTATAAAGAGTCATTCTCTCTCTCCCTCTTTCAAAGTCTATTGACCAATGCTCTATAGAAAGGAATTCGCGCAGGTGGGTAAAGCAAGAGCTAGAAGAAAAACAACAGGTCATCGTCATCATCATCATTTGCCGCCCGAGAACGACACAACGGCCCACTTGCCGCTCCACGCCCACTTACGCGAGCCCGAGTCGCCGCCGCCACCCTCGGTCGCCAGCAGCTTCTCGTCGTCGCCGGGCTGGAGACCCACGACGACATCGGCCTTGCAGGTGCGGAGCGCCAGGATGTTAAGGCCAGACCCCGGACCGAGGTTCTTCAGAGCTTCGGTGAACGGCGTTGCGGCATCCCAGTCGGCCTGGAGTTATGCCAGTCAGTATGGTTTCGGCAGTGGTGGGGAAGAACGCCACAAGAAGAAAACTGAATTTGATAAAGAAGACCACTTACGTCACCAGTCAACTTGCGGTAGTTGAGGTCTCCCTTGAAGATGACCACCTCGCTTGCCTTGAGATCCTCGTAGAGGTCCTTGGCCTCTTCTGGCAATTGCCAGAAGGGGCCCGGATGCGTCCAGTATCGGTTGGGTCGGAGGATGAGCTGGCCCTCGGCGTGGAACTGGCTCCACTCCTGGAAAAGGAACGACAGGTTGCCCGCGTCCGCCTCCGAGAGCGGCTCGGGGGTCTTTTTCTGGAGCTCCTCCTCCTCCGAGGGGGTCTCGTAGAAGGGCTTGGGGTTGGCGATGGCGCCGAGCAGCTGGGCAAAGTCGCCCGGCAGCACGTCCGAGACGAACCACGGGATCGACTTGGGATGCAGGACGACGTGCGTCGCCAGGCCGGCCGAGAGCAGGTAGCCGGCGAGAATGAGGTCGACGTAGAGCTCGAAGCCGGCGTTGTCGAGGACGATGTCGATGCGGCGCTCTTTCTTGCCCTCGGCCTTGGCCTTCTTGAGCAGCTCGTAGACGGCGGGGAGGTCGTTGACGACGATGTTCTTCTCCGACGCCTTGCGGGCCTCGGAGCCCTGCAGCTTCTGGATGTCCTCGTACGTCAGGCTCGTCAGCAGAGACAGGTCCGTCGCGTTGCCCCACAAACAGATCTCGCACATCTCGGCGAAGAGGATCTTCTCGGCCTCGTCGTCCTGGGCGGTGCCCTTGTTCGCCCGCAGCTGCTCCACCAGCTCCTTGTACTTGGAGGCCAGCTCCAGCACGGCGGGGCGAGAGGATCGGAAGGTGCTGATCTTCTGGCGGGCGAAGACGTCGTAGTTCTTCCAGTGTGTGGATTGGGCAAAGTAAGTGGCGATGCGTCTATCAGTCACTCCATCAGCACCGCGTCTTTGCCGACGGGCATTCGGTTCGGCGCCCAGCTGTGAAACACTCACCTGAACAGGTAGCATTCGCAGTAGAGCCAGGGAATATTGAGCCATGAAGGTGAGCCGAGCTTCTTCAGCTCCTCGTTGTAGATGCTAACGTCGGGGTATCCATCGTCCTCGATCGGTCTGGTACGGTCGAGTTAACAAGGTCTGCTGCGAGTGAAAAGGGGGGATAGGCAGATCGGTCATACGTCAACGGTCGGTCGTGTTGGACCTCGTACTTGAGGCGGGCAATCTTCTCGATGATCTTCTTGCCATCGGCCTCCTTCTCGGCGTCCTTGGTCTGCGAGACGGACCGGTAAAGATCGTCGATGGCTTGGGTCTGTGACACGAGACGTCAGCTCGAACATGGCAGCATGGACACAAGGAAGCGAGGGATGGGGGTAGAGAACGAACGATGATGACAGGCCAGCGCTCGCGAGCGGTGACCCAGCCAAAGGACCGCTTGTCGCCGGTTGAGTAGGGAGCTGCCGTGACACGTTAGGTTTCCTTGTACAGCTGGGGAGTTGGCAAAGGGAGTGTATGGTACCAGGCATCTTGAACTGTGTATGGGTATGTGGAGATCAGGTCGAATACGGGATGTGTTGGGAGAGGGAAATGCAGAGATATTATAGCTGTAGAAAAGATTGTTACAAGCTGATGAGTCTCAGACGGCGTAGTATCGGCCAAACACGACCAAGGCTTCATGGAATGGACCACCTTCAGCGGATTTCTGCTACAAAAAAGCAGCTATACCCCCGCTCTCTCCCGCCCGCGGCTGGCTGGTGGGGCAGCACCGCGGGGCACATCCCCGGTAGCGGCATACTATACCCGAATTGGCGCAAGCTCCTCGTTTCGGATAGCTATATGCACTTAAAAGGGTGACTTTGTTAAGCGGACGGGAATACTGTTGCAATTGACCAATCACCGCCCAGTATGTCTCTTCACCTTCCTTCACCTTCCTCACAATTCATCTCCACCATCTCCTCTCTATCCTTGGGATATCGGCAGACCACGTAAAAAAGAAGAAGAAAAAAACCACCGCTACAGCACTGTCTCGGACGTCATATTCTCGAACTATCCCGCGTCTTCTCAAATTATTCCCTCATCCTCCATTTTTCTTGCAGGTCCCAAACACACACCACCCATAACCCGTACGGCAATACCGCCACACGTGCCATTGTTTGGCCTGTGCGCCTGATTGGAGACTGCCGCGACGGTTTCACGACGACATCCCATGCTATTGGGAAGGGGTTCTTTTCGCGGCTTGAAAGATAAGCGTGCCCGAGTTTGGAAAACTTTCCCGATCCTTCTCCCAGCCAGCCAGCCAGCTAGCTTGATTCACTTGTCGTTGCCATTCATCACCTCAGATCCGCCGAGTATTTGTCGACCCAAGAACGCGCGGCGTGGCACAGAACCGACCAGCAGCATCTCCTCCTCGGCTAAGATAGGAGCTTCAGCCACAACTTCGATTACCAGTATTACAATCCACAGTTCCCTCACCAATGTACACTAATGTAGGTTCGAGCCACTACGAACCAACGACTTGCGGGTCTCCATGATCTACATGGTTCATCATGAACATTCTGCAACCCGGGAGGCACTTTACGACGAGCCATGTCCTACATGAAGTTCTAGAGACTCTGAGCCACGACCCGGCATGTCATCAATAATCGACATTTGTCCAGGTCCTGACGGGAGAGCATCCGATAAGTGTGCTATTGACCTGCAGGTGAAACCTTTTGGGCCACAATGACATGTGCCAATTCGGCACGCTTGCCACCAGTATCCTTGACCATACTTTCGACAACCCAGGGCCACAGTTCACCACCTGCCAAGAGCATCACGCATGAAGTTGGATTGTTGTTATTGTTGTTGTTATATTTAACGCCTAGTACGTTCCTAAAAAGGACAAAGGGCGCCTAGGGTAACTATCTTAGGGTCTATAATACAGAGAATAATCTTAGCCTAACCTTCTATAGTCTAGCTAGTATATCTATCTTATAAATCCTTAATAACTATACCTAGGAGTTTTAAACTAAATACTATTATTACTATTAAGTGCCTAAGGGCTCTTTAGCTTCTAGGTGCTATGCAATATGCCTCTTTTTTCTTTACAGTCTAATAAAGGGATTCTATATACTTAGTTATATAGTGCTATTTACATATCCTTATCTATAGCAGTAGGCTAACCCTCTACACTTATGTTAAGTTCTTCCCTTATAGTAGGGAAAAAAGAAGAAGAAAAGGGGACAAAAGAGAGAGAAGAGAAAGTGTAGTAGGGGGGGAGAGTAATAAGGAGGGGCTAAGGCTTTATTATAGTGTAAAGTATTATAAGTATATAGACCTTATATATAAGACACTACTATCTAGACTATACTATAGTCTAGAGGGTATTTTTTTTTAAACGTACTAGAAGAAAGTTATCTTATAATAAAGCTATGTCTCCTTATTATAGTCTAGTGTGTTAGTATATAAGCCGCACTAGTGTTAGTATTACCTTTACTATACGTAGCGCTGTGTGCTAGAGGGCCTCTTTATTCTAGACTAACTAGTAAGTTATACTAGCGTAGGGTTTTCTTACGTTATACGCTTAAGACAGAGAGTACTAGGGGGCCTATTTACTATAGTAAGAGGTATAGTAATAAAGTAAGTATATATTTATTATTAGGGGCAGATCTAAGTAAAGAAGTATATCTTATAAATATTCTATATAAACCTCTTATACTTATAAGAGAAGGTGTTAATAATATAGCTAGATATATTAAACTAAGGAGTGTTAATTTTATACTATATTTTTTAGTAAAGCAGTAGGTATAATAGGGTTTTTAGTTAGCTATATAAGTATTCTAACCTAGCTTCTAGGTAGTTAAATCTCTAATAGTATTAGGTAAAGTCCTTATATCCTAACCTAGCTATAATAAGCTAGTAAAGTTTTATATATAATAGGTTAATAAGTTTATATATTAGCTTAAGCTTTATGTTAAGGTCTAGCTAGTAGTAACTTTTTAGTCTGTTTTCTTACTACTATTAGCTAAAATTAGCCCTAATATAGGCCTTAATCCTCCTTTTTACTACTAAGTATATAGGGGGCTAAGTATATAGGTCTACTAGGGATATCTTTACTTCCCTTTTTACTAGACTATCTATAACGTTATTCCCTTTTACTCCTAGATATTTAGGTACCTATTATACCCTAATATTCTTACTACTTATAGTAGCTATATTTATAAAGTCTAAGAACGCCTCCTATAAGGAGGTAGTAAGTAAGCTGTTAAGGCTATAGATAACTACTAAGTTATCTAGGCAGATAGTAATCCTATTAATATTAAGCTCCTTTATATACACTAGCGCTGCTTAGAGTCCTACCCTAGCTCCTTTAGCTTTTATATTATAGACCTTAGTATTTAGTAGCCTTCTTTATCCTGAGAGCTGTTTCCTAGTCCTATAGTAGACTGTATATCTATAGCCTATTTTATTAGGTTTAACCTATAAGCTATTAGTATATACTATAATATAGTTACTAGGCTAGCCTAGTATTTACGCCTTATAGTCCCTTACTACCTACTTCTTGTCTACTATATTTATTACTTAGTAGTTAGATATCTAGTTATAGGTCTAGAACTATAGTTTTAGTTAAGGGAAGTTTAAGGTAGCCTTTACTACCTTAATAAGTGTTATTAGCTATACTAGTATACCTTTTTAGTTATATTTCTTAGCCCCTTAGATTCTCTATACTAAGGGGTAGCTAGCGTCTAACTTACCTAGCCTTAGGCTATACTTAAGTTAAGACGCTTCTAGCAGCTAAGCTGCTAGGGGGGTGCTTAATTCCCTTAGCAGGACTAAGATAGGTATAGTCTGCTACACTAGGAGGTAGCCTTTAATTACCTTATTAATTACCTTTTATATCTTATTAATTTAATATAATAAGCTATAGTTAACCCTAAGGTGCTACCTATTCTTTATCTTAAGGCCTAGTCTGCTATCCCTTAGGTACTAAATCTTAGAGGTATATAGTGCCTTTAGGATAACTATTATATATATAGCCCTCTATATTAGCGCTAGGGGGGCCCCTTAGTAGACCTAGTTAAGCCTTAAGATATGTCTAGCTATTATATATACTATAGCTATATACTTCTTAATATATATCTTAAAGTTAAGTATATAGTCTAAGTAGACGCTAAGCTACTTTATTATTTTACTAAAGTGTATTACTATCTTATTATATATAACTAGAAGGCTAGTAGTATTATAGTGCCTTAAGAAATATATAAGCTTAGTTTTCTTTATATTAAATAAGATCTTATTCTATTTCCCTTACTTAGTAGTTTTATCTAAGATCTTTTATACCTAGTCCTTACTGTCTTCCTTAGTGTTACTAACGTATAGTATTATATAGTTATTTATATAGCTAAATTAGGTAGCTATTAGTCTAAAGTAGTATAGTAGTTTAATATAGTAGAAGTAAAGAATTAGTAATACTAAGGATCCTTATAAGAGGCTGTAGTATAGTAACAAGATTAGTGTTATATATCCTTTATATCTAATCCTTACTTACCTCTTATTAGTAAAAAAGTAGGTCTATTATATAAGGCTATATAGCTAGCCTTATTCCTATATTATCCTAACTAGGCGGCTATTATTAATAGTATTAAAGGCGCCCTTAATATCTATTATTACTAAGGTGTAGCACCTCTATTAGTCTAGCGCTATCTTAATATTATATACTAGGGCTACTATAATATCTATAGCTAATTATTTTAGGAGGGCCCTTACTACCTAGGGGTAGAGGATCCTTAATTCTATATATTTCTTAGCTATCCTTTAGGCTATTAGCTGCTTTAGGCCCTTACTTATTATTAAGAAGAGGGAGATTAGGCGCTACCCCCCTAAGGTGCTAATATCCTAATTTAGCTTAGGGATTATTACTATCTTTATATCTCTAAACACTAGGGGGTAGTGCCCTAGGTATAAGCAGGCCTTAAATAGCTGCCTAGTGTAGTTATAGATATATAGCTACGCTACACAGAGGAGTGTAATAGTGATCCTATTAACCCCTAGTGTTATATTACTAGCCCTAAGTAGGGCTAATTCTACCTCTACTAAGGGTATTACGTTATCTTAGTTAATAGTCCTCCTTAAGACTATTAGTATTAGGGGATTAATATTTATCTTTATGTTAAACCTTTTTAAGAGGTATTTTTATAAAGTGTTAGCTTTCTTAATAGGCGTAGTAATTACCTTATTACTATCCTATAGAGGGGGCGCCTAGAACTAACTACTAGGCTTATACTATCCTATAATATAGTATATCTCTCTATCTAACTGTATCTTATTAATCTAGTCTGTCTAGTATCTTGCCTTTACTCTCTAGACTATATCCTAGAGGGTTTTTATAGCAGCATCCTAATCTTTAGCCTCCCTACTCCTTTATGCCTGTCTGTATTATCTCCTAGCCTCTAAGCACTTTATAGTCTACTAGGCTGCTAAGTTAGCTTTAATCTATGTCCTGCTGGCTATTTAGGCAGCTCCCTGTAGTAGCTCTGTAAGCGCTAGGGCTACCTTGTCTAGGGTAAGTAGGTTATCCATTTCTTCTAGTAGTGTCCACGCTTACTCTATTACTTTAGTAGTAAAGAGCGTAATTAAGTCCAGTGTGTTAATAATAACCCTCTCTCTGTCCTTAGGCGGCGTACTGTTGCGCTAGGGAATAACTGTTACCAGTGTCGCATGAAGTTGGAGTGTCTATCAATCATCACGGTCCACTTGGCAATCACTGCGAGCCCTGACATCGCCAGAGCCCGGTGTTTTCAATTGTCAAGTAGAACACAGCTGAAAGATGAGGCGACACTCTTTGGCTGGGATGAAAAAGCTTGTGAAGCGGGCAGATGAGGCGGCCTTGCCGACTGGCTAATTCTCACCTGCCAAACTTTCTTCCGACGCCCTACGACGGACACTGAATCAGCACATTGCTGCTTGCTCGGCGATTAATGCTGGACTGGGTTTTTGACTCTGGCATCCAATTGATTCGTCTCAGAAAGAATCTATTTTCTCTTCGAGTGGAAGAGCCAACTGGTCGACGAACAAATACCGCCTCGTTCCGAAAAGAAAGCTTGAGCTACTTGGTTTACTCGGACTAAGTGAGTTTTATGCAGAAAATCTCAACAGCATCAACAATGCTGTCTCCAACAGTCAGTGACATAAAGCCGTTGATCTCTAGAACAATAGTCCAACCTTGCTGCCTGATAGCGAGGAGACGGATCGCAACACCCAAGCCTGTGCTGAGTCGAGCAAAAAAGAATGCACAGATAAACGACATGTTGCAAGACAAGGATCTCGTCACATGCTACATATATATACCAGCAATTTCAGCGCCGACTGATACAAGTTTTCTGATCATGATTAATATTTGCAGGGCAGCGGCCGAAAGCGGACATGCGACAGTCCATTGGTGTTGTGGTATTCGTCACCAGTGGTGACTCACCAAACACCGGCGGTAGGACCACTGCTGCAAACTTGGGACCGGGGCCTGAGTCGCGGAACTGCTTTTGCATTTCCGGTATTATCGGCGAGTGGGCGGTAAGTCTACAAGACCCCCCTGCAAAAGCCAAACGAGACCCATTTCCGATGGCACCAGGACAGGACATGACAAAATTCCTCAAGTAACGGGACCGTTGGACCACGGGAACAGACAAATCCTTCCGCAAAGAGCCATGTTGCTCGTTCCCCACGGCCGGCTAGACTGCTTGCGAAACCGACGGATTATGCATTGGTGTATCCGTACTGCGCCCAGCATAAACCTGTGGAGCAGGTGGCCCAAGTCACAACGTTTGACGTTTGACAGGTAATACTTCAGTATACGCCAGGCAGCTCTTGCCGGCAGCAGCTCGATGCCCGGCAACGGCCCGATAATGCGCAAACCTTTCCCGTGCTCCGGGAACCGGCGAAGAACTCCCCCGCAGGATGAGGACTGAGTACACGATGAGGGCGGTACTTCTGACTTCGGGTCAAGCATCAACCGAAATACCATGGCTTTTGGTTTCCCAATGTTTGAGCTCGATGCGCGCCCAAAAACGTCATTCTGGAACCATCAAACAATAGGCTCGGTTGGGTAATAGCGCAGTCGTCGTCTCGTTGCCAAGGTCGCAACTGATTTCGGCGTGCCATCAAAGCTTTTCGTCTTAATAAGAAATATCTTGGCTCCTCGAGAAGCTTTTTGTTCCGGAACATCAGAACAACGTGGCGACCAGGTTAAAGGGCCTCTAAGTTCAATGGCCGATCATCTGCGGGTAAGTTGACATTCGGCGGCCTCTCCTCGGTGCCATTGCCAAACGACGGAGGATTCCCCTCACAACTTTCTTTACCGAAGCCTGGCCCAGCGGGATCCCCAGAGAAGCCAAAATCCCCACGGTTCAAATCCCCATGGGCACACCAGCTGACTCCATTAGTCATGGACATGTTCGCGTACCGCTATTCGGTGGAGTGGTCACCACTCATACGGCGGTCCACCACTCGGCCAACTTCCGCTTCGAGCACTAGCTCCTTGCATCTTTCCCCACGTTGCACGACTTTACGACACTCATCATCAATAGCAGCAGGCAAAGGATCAAATGAAAATTTCACTGCAGCCCGCTGCGGGGGCGGACCAAAATCGGGTGATGTATCAAATTCTCACAGCCTGGAGAAATGGCGGGGTATGACCTCGCGTAGCCTATACATGGTACGAAGATGCGAGTTCCGGAGGACCATATTCTTGGCCAGTAAGCTAGGACGGACCATCCAACGCTTTCAACCGGTTCTGGCAAGGACAGCCGCCGTGAGAAATAGTCAGATGTGGTTTGGCGACATGAAAACAAAATGGCAAAGATACGTTACGGTCATGTGGTCGAACGAAAGAACGGAGGGTACACACGAGCCGTCCACGAAAACCCCCAGAGCTACCAGAAGTGCACGGCAAACGCCACGCGACCCAGGAACATGGATCCCATCTCACCCAGCCTCGCAGTTCTGTCAAAACAAAGTCTCATCAAAGCTTGACACGTGCCGTCCCAATCAGGCAAAAACCGCCCCCATCGTCGACGGACGCCTCCCCGGTCAACGTCCCGGGAAGGCAACCCTTAGCGTCGGTTCTGCAGCTTTAAGTACCGATGTCCCAGCCCACGGGGCGAGATGATCGTCTTGTACTCTCGGGTTTCATTCCGGCCGAGTATTTGTTTCGTCAAACAAGGACGAGGTCCTGCCTTCTGTTGTCTGATTAGTCGTTGTCCGAAAGCAAGCCGCCATTGTCATCACCATGGCCGTCGAAGCGGAAACCGCCGCCGAGGCGCGCACGAGACTTGCGTTCCAAAACCGATGGAAGACCCTGGCGAACAACCCAAAGATCCTCGTTATTGCTCTTTTTGCTTCGTAAGTTGGATGTTCGGAAAGTCATCATAGCGAGCACCTAGCTGACTGCTTTCAAACCAGGATCGGAGGCCTTGAATATGGTTTTCAACAAGGAGTCTTGGGCCAGTCCCTTGTCATGACACGCTTCACGGACAACTTCCCATCCGTCGTCAAGTCATCCAGCGCCACCGGTTGGTTGACTTCTGTCCTTCAGCTGGGAGGTATTCTTGGCTCTCTCACCGCCGGCGTCTTTGGCGAGGTCTTCTCCCGCAAGTACACCATGTTCTCAGCCTGCATCTGGGTCATCCTCGGAAGTTACCTGTACACTGGAGCGAGCTACCACAAGCCGGAGCTTCTCTATGCCGGTCGCTTCTTTACCGGCCTCGGTGTCGGCACTTTCAGTGGTGTTGCGTAAGTGTCTTGGCTTCGACGCATCGGTATACAGCACGGCCCCCAATGTACAGAATGTTGACTTACATATAGCCCCCTCTATAACGCGGAGCTCGCCGCCCCCGAGATGCGTGGCCTCATGGTTTCTTTCTACCAGTTCGCTACCATCCTAGGCATCATGTTGAGCTTCTGGGTCGGCTACGGCAGCAACTACATCGGCGGCATTGGCGAAGGCCAGTCGGACCTCGCCTGGAGACTCCCATCCTACATTCAGGGTATTCCCGCCATCTTGTTAGCCCTCGGAATCTGGTGGCTCCCCTTCTCGCCTCGCTGGCTAGTGAAGCAGGGCCGAGACGAGGAAGCCGTCAAGACCATTGCCTACCTCCGCAAGCTCCCTGAGGAAAACGACCTCGTCCAGGTGGAGTTCAAGGAGATCAAAGCCGAGGCTCTTTTTGAGCAGCGCGCTTTCCAAAAGGCTTTCCCTCAACTGGCCGAGAAGGAGGAAACCAGCGTGTGGATGCGCGAGGTTGCGCAGTACTGGCGTATTGTCCGCGAATGGTCCCATTTTAAGCGTGTTGCTACTGCGTGAGTTCTACATTACCTTTTACCAACCGTACTGCTGCAAACTCCCTTATTCCTTGTACCCTAGTAACCCTAAAGTTAGACCAGGCTATCATCACCAACCCTAACCCTATATAAGTATACTAACATCAAACTAGTTGGTTAATAATGTTCTTCCAACAGTGGAACTTGAACAGTATGTATATATGAACTGTGTATGGAAGAAGATCCATCCCCCAGGTGGATCTTCTTCACTGGCCTTAAGTAGGCCAGGTGTAGTGAGACATGCATATGCAGGTGCATATGGTGATGCATATGATGATGCATATGGTGATGCTTCTAGGTACAGGTGTATGGAGCCTCCATCTCCAACTCTCCCCCTGGCACCATACTCTTGTGCCTTATTCATCACCTCTGTTTCCAACGTCGCTATCTACCATCCCCATCAACGCGACAAGTTCCTCAAGTCTTTGAGACGCCAACGGCTTCGTCAGGATGTCAGCGATGTTGAACTTGGTATCAACCCGTTGTGTGTCAATATCCCTTGTTTCCATCACTCGTTCTCTTACAAAGTAATATCGGATGTCGATATACTTTGTCCGGTTGTGAAACTCTGGGTTTCTCGTCAGCTTTTTCGCCGCGTCGTTGTCCATGTACAGTAGGACAGTGTCGTATTAGAGTTCGGTCTTTAACGAGTTAATGAAGTTCCGGATCCATACGGCTTCCTTTGCTGCCTCTGCTGCAGCAATGTACTCGGCCTCCGTAGTTAAGATAGAGACAGTCTTCTGCCGTTGTGAAGACCATGAGATTGGTGCTCCCCCCAGCACAAAGATCCATCCCGTGGTTGACCTCGCAGTATCTTCGCATCCAGCGTGGTCACTGTCGGAGAAACCTGCCAGTTCTCGTGCACCCTTTCGGTAAAAGATCCCTCAATTCATGGTGTTCTTGATGTACGCGTAGACGTTGTTTATCGATCGGAGATGCTCAGCACCTGGGTTAGCGTTATACCTTGCGTTCAGGAACGTCGAGAAGGCTATATCTGGTCTTGTCTGTCCAGCCAGGTAGTTGAGAGATCCCGCCTTCCGCTGAAACTCCGTGCGACGAGCCTCGTCAGCCTCATCGTTGTTTTTGCTGAGCGTGATTCCTGGCTGCATAGGAACTTTCCTTCCGTGGCAGGACTCGAGGTTGAACCGGCGTAGTATGTGCTATGCGTAGTTCTTCTGGCTCACGAAGGTACCATCCGCTCGTTGGTCGATCTAAAGACCTAGGTAGTATTGCATAAGTCCCTCGTCTTTCATCTCAAAGGCAGAGCTCAGCATCGCCTTAACTGTGTTGATCCGTTCCCAGGTAGGGCCAATAATGATGCTGTCGTCAACCCATATACCGATAATGACTTGATGTTCCGGATGAGTGAAGACGCAGCTGTCATATGGGCAAACCTCAAAACCCCATTCCATGAGTGTTTCCAAGAACTTACTGTACCAGGCTCTTGGTGCTTGTTTAAGGCCATATAACGCCTTCACAAGCTTCCAAACCTTTCCCAGGGATAAGGTCCAACCCATAGGACTTCTCATATAGACAATCTCACTCAGAGTGCCGTTTAGGAAAGCCGTAACAACATCCATACAGTGAGCTTCCCAACCCAGGATAGCTGCGATTGCAATGAGAATACGGTATGTAGTCGACTTCATCACGGCTGCAAAGGTTTCTTCGTAATCAACTCCTTCTTTCTAAGAAAATCCTCTGGCCACCAGTCTTGCCTTGTGCTTAGCAACCTTGCCGTCCATCCCAATCTTGCGGTTAAAGACCCATCATGATGAAAGCGGTCTTTGCCCCTTAGGTATCTCGTTTTCGTCCACTTCAACGAATGTGCCGTTCTTAACGTGACTCGCCATTTCGCTAGTAATGGCTGCTCAAAACTCATCCGCATCTGGAGCTCGCATTGCCTCCTTATATGTCTCTGGATCTGGCATACAGGAGCCATCTTGGTGTGCCAGTGCAATGTAGTGACTTAGAGCAAACACATCGATATCCCTATCAATCTAGGGCTCGCTCTCATCAGACCAGTCTTCAGAGTCTGTAAGATCTTCTAACCCTCCGTCCATGGTGTCGCTAATAAGCCATTAGGTCAACATAACCTGCCCTTTTCCAAAGGCAGCAATGTCATCATCAACACTTGAATCTCCCAGTCCTCCCGTCGACGACTCTCCTGAGTCCTTGTCAGAGTCTGGCTGCACGTCTTTGTCGTGGCCTGTCTGTCCTTCTAGTCCCTCCGGGCGTCTAAGTCGTTCCCCATGTAGTCTGATCCCCAAGTAATAGGCACTTCTAAAGTCATCATCTTCGACGTTGTTGTTATGAATCCAAACCACATGCTAGAGTCCGTTTGCTAGCTCGTCATCGATAGGGTAGATCAGTATGCTCCCATTCGGTAGTATGTATCCTAGATAAAGCGTCACAGGTCTGCTGAGTTGTCGGCCATACCTCAGTATTATGGCTGCTAGTTGGTCGGCCCGAAACATCTCCCTGTTGCCCATGTCGAAATCTGGATTCTCCTCGGCGAGCTGGTTGTGAATTCTTTGGAGATCACCTAGCGATGGAGCTAGTACGTCAGGCCATTGGAGCAGGATACTGAACATGACGGCATAGAGGCCACAGAGGTCTCCATCTAAAGGAGTATGGACTATCTCCCATCCATTTAGAAGATCTGTGTTGCGTCGTTCGGCAGAGTGTTGTCTGTTAACTGGACCATTCAGGCGCATGTAAGTTGCTTTTGCCTCTTCCTTCTGTTTCGCCCTCTTAACGTGGCGTAATTCAACCAAAGGGTTCCTCTTAATAGTTCGTTTGAGTATGTTCGCCCTGTTGCCTAACTCTTCCCAGTTATCCTTAAGGACAGCCTTGTTACTATCATCAATGTCGTAAGCAGCAGTATTCCATTTCTCAAGGCATCCTAGCTCCAGATTCTTGTAGACGCAGAGAACCATTCTACCTTTCTTCCTCCTAGTAACACATTTTGTGCACGGCTGTCCTGCATCACAGGTTGCTCCTTCTTTGATGCATACAATGCACCTGTGTTCTTGGGCCTCGTCGTATCTCGTCTTCGTTGTTTTCTTGACCGGCCAGACTCTTGTAACTAGTCCATCCTGGTCATGGCAAGCGCAGTCCACGTTGTCCTTTAGACACCCATTGCATAGTGTCTGTTTGTTACACGTAAGCTTTCTCCCCTTACACCAGTTACATTTTGGAATATCTTTGGCTCCTTGTGGGAAGCAGGGGACATTCTTCGCTATACAGGTGTTACAGGGAATCTTGCCATCACAGGCCCATCGCCGGTCTGCACAGCGGTGACACTTCTCGTCCTTTAGTACTCCCTTCCTTAGGACTTTCCCCTGTCTTGCTCTGACCTTGTCCCACGACTCCTTTTGCTTGGCATGATACATCTCCAAGTCCTTTCGATCAGTAATCATAACACAGTCACCGACCCTTCCCTCCTGTGTACAGGGTTCGCATTTTTGTCAAATAGTCAGGTACTCTGGATCCATTCGCCATTCTGGGTCCCAGTAGCACTGTCTGCCTACGCGTGCACACTGACAACAGACTCGGTCGTTATCCTAGAGCCTAATCCTTTTCTTCTGTGGTAAAAGGCCCTTCCTCAGGGTTCCCACCTTGCGGCCTCTCTTCTTTAGAGGAGAAGTCTTCTTTCTTGTCCCCTTCAGCTATGTTAATAGTTAAGATAGCTTCTCCTTTAGTGACTGTGGGCTGAGTGGGTTCGAGTTCGACGAGTATGACTGGGATTGTGACTCGGATTGTGATAGTGAAAAATCATCGTCTGGCAAGCGTGAACGTTTTCCCGCAAACAAGATAGCTAACTAAGATAAAGGGCCACTGCCGCCATTGTCGTTTGCGCTTTCTTCGTGATCTTGTTGTTGACTCTCGTCGTCCTCGTCTACCCAAAACGAGGACCTAGCATTCCCTTCCGACTCCGTGCGCTCTTGTGGCTCCCCCTGTTGTCGTACATCCACTTGTTGTTCCTGTGTAGGGTGTTGCTCGTCTCCTTCTTAAGGATCGTCCAGACCGTGAGCGTGTTGGACTCTCGCCACCCCAACTCTAAAGACCTCATGTTTGTCCGGAGACCAGACCCGCATGACAGCTTCTGATTCCATGCCAACGAAATATCCCATCCATCCCCTCAGAGCATGAAGTTTGCCCCGGTCTCGGATCTCCGGTGGGATCACCACATAGACACGGCTTCCCCATACTGATTCTTTGTCAAATTTAGGCTGGTGATAATAAACTGCCTCCCACAGTGTGATTACTTAGCTTTTCTGTCGTGGGCCGTTTGGTTGCTCCTGTTCCTCAGCATGCTCCTCTGCTTGTGGCTAGACGTTAGGTACATCCGCCAGAGCCTCTTGAGTCCCATTCTGGTCGTCTCTTCCCTTACGCAGGGCTCTTGAGGGAGCTCGGTTTTTCTGATAGATAGAGTACCTGACTGCCTCCGGCCAGAGGTTTACAGGGAGTGTTGATTGCCGTATCGCTTCCAGGCTCTTTTCGGTGATAATTTTAGAGAGTTAGCCAGTCATCAAGTGTTCTTGAATCATTAGTGCCGCCTTGTCTCTCATCACCCTGTTTACTCTCTCATGGGTGCCTCCCATGTAGTGTTGCCATGCAACCGTTGGTTCAATCCTGCAGTTCTTCTTCTCCAACCATCTGCCAATTAGCCCTTTCCAGAACTCGTTGTCAAATCTGTACCCTCAAATCGTTGTATCAAAGGTCTTCTCAATTTGTCGATAAAGGTTCTTGAATGTGTCAGCAAGATTCCCCTTTGCTATTAGACTAGCTGCGAACGTAAAACGTTTGGCATCATCTGTAAAGAAGAGGAAGTACTTGGTGCCATCATAGCCCTCAACTAGGTAGGGTCCCCATGTATCAGCATAAATCAGTACTCCAAAAGTCTTTTCTCTCCTGGTTGCTAGGTCACAAGGTATCTTGTTAGTGACCTTCATGGTCCAACAAACCGGGCATATCTCGTCATTCTTGATCTTCTTCAGTATCGCCGCTTTTGTGACTGTAATACCCTTGCTAACATCAATCAATTTAATCATGTTGTGGAGGCTAAGGTGTCCCAGACGTCTGTGCCACATCCAGACTTCGTCATCAAACTCTATTAGACCAGCAAACAATTCTTCTTCTAGTCCAGTGAGATCATCGTTCTTGTAGAGCTAGAGGTAATACAGGCCATTGATGAGCTTAGCCTTTCCAACCTCGTCTTCGCCATTAAGAACAGTGATACTCTCATCATCCCATGTCCCGTAGAGTTTACCCTTAACAGCCAACTGAGACAGGGAAACGATGTTATGCCGAGCTCCCGGGGCATATGCCGATCTTATGAGGGTAATTAGAGTGGGTTTTCCCTCTAAGGTTTTCAGTGTCACAACTGCATTTCCACCTCCTTTGATCTTAAGGCCTGCAGCACTGTTAATAGAGCCAATAGTAACATCAAGGGGTCTCAAGTCAATAAAACGCTCTTTATCTTTAAAGAGGCAAGTATCTACACCTGAATCAAGTAGGATAACATCTGCCTCCTTGTGTTATTCATATGCCTGAAGCGTGTTGCATTCTAAAGATATCTTCTAGCTACTAACTGACTTGATCTGATCTCTATCCTCTTCACATACCCCCTAATCCTGGCACTCCTGTGACGTTATCCCTCCTTCAGAGATCTTCTGTTGGAGAGTATCAGCAGGGATGTCTTGACCAGGGAGGTTGAGGATGTTGATCTCACCATTGTCTTCTCCAGAGTTCTTGCGTTCAACAGTGTCCTTGTTGTCCTCCTTTTGGGTAGCTTGAAGCTCCTCCGCGCCATGTTCGGTCTCGGTGACCTCGGTCGTAGAGTTAGCTCAAGCAGGAGTGGATTAGTTGTCTTCCTTGTGCTTTTGTAGCACAATACGTCCAGTTTCCATGGCCTCACCCAGCATGGTTTGCGCAACTCGGACAGCGATGAGGTCAGATCTTCCCCATTCGGCGGGGGTTAGCTCGCTAGTAAAGATAAGCGTCGTCTTGACTTTGAACGGATCGTTGATGATGTGTTCGATTAGGCATCGGTATAGAGCCATCAGCTCACGTTCCTTGTCTGAGGCAAACGGAAACCATGGTCCAATGCTGACGTGACGGGTGTCATTGACACCGTCATATGAGTTCTCCATTACGAGATAGAAAGTAGAACCGTCGGTTACAGCAACAAGGCCTTTAGGCTTCAGTTTGTCGTTGTTATTGTCAGTAGCGTTGGTGTTCTTGCCGCTGTTAGTGCCGGTGGTATTGTTAGTGTTTTCCTAAGCCTTCTTAAGTTTTTCTCGAAGTGCCTTTAGGGCTTTCTCAGGATGCTCATGCCAGCAGTCACCCTTCTCGTGCCCTCGCTTGCCACAGCCGGCACACTGCAGGTCGGACTTAGCTCCCCCTTTTCCTCCGGATTCTTTCAAATTCGCTGCTCTGTTTGCAGTCGGCTGTCGTACACAGATGTTTTCCTCTTCAATGAACAAACGGTTGAAGAGGAATTCCACATCAGGTGGAGTGTCCATCTGTTGGGCGCGGATCCAGTCGTATTGGGAGCGAAGGTTGTCGTAGGCTTTAGGTAGGCCCATCAGGACGTTGGTGACAAACTGACTATCCGTGTATGGATAGTCTGCCACAGCAAGATCGGCTCGGTATTCGCGGTGTTTTCCAAGGTACTCAGTCATGTCTCCGTTAAGACGGAGCTTGCCGATTTTTTCAAGAACTTGCTAACAAGCTAGTTCGTTAGAGACCCCATAGCGCTTCTTGATCTGTTTAAAGGCCACGTAGACATCCTCCAGATCCTCGGTCTCAATTGCAATTCCAGGGCTGAGCCACTAAATAAGGAGGTGATAGGCGACCCGGGCTTTCTCCTAGTTCTTTTCCCACTTCCAGTAGAAGGTCTGCCACTTGAGGAAGGATCTGGCAGTGTCGATTTGTGCAGGTGTAGTATCCTCCTCCTTTGCCTTCTCTTTGCCTCTGGTTCCGGCCGAGGTATCCTCCTCCCTTGCCCTCTCTTTGCTTCTGGTTCCGGCCAAGGGGGGGGCGTCGTTGGTGGTTGATTCGGGTTCCTTGGGTAGCCCGATGTAGACCAAACAGTCCGTTTCTCTTGGCTCTCTCGTTATCCTCTCGGTGCCATCAAGGATTCGCCAGACATCTTTGGCCTTGGCCGCTCGACAGAAGAGACAAATCCATTCCACATAGTTCGATTTGCCTTGCAGCAGCTGTTTGGCTGTAGGGGCGGTGTCAATATTCAATGCCATTTCGGCGTTTGTCGTCCCACGTAGGTACGGTTAGGGTTTGGGGGGTTCAGGACTCTTCAATGTAGTAAGTCCGATTAAAGCAGACTCAATATAGAGTCTGGTCGTAGTACACCAGTGACACCAGATAGTAAAACACTGGGCTCATAACCACTTGAACAGTATGTATATATGAACTGTGTATGGAAGAAGATCCATCCCCCAGGTGGATCTTCTTCACTGGCCTTAAGTAGGCCAGGTGTAGTGAGACATGCATATGCAGGTGCATATGGTGATGCATATGATGATGCATATGGTGATGCTTCTAGGTACAGGTGTATGGAGCCTCCATCTCCAACTGTGGAGCGGCATCGATGCAATCATCTACTATGCGAGTAACGTGTTTCAGAGCCTAGGTCTTACTGGCGGTACTACTGCTCTCCTTGCTACAGGGGTTACTGGAGTGGTGTTTTTCATCAGTACTCTGCCTGCAATGGCCTTCATCGACAAGGTCGGCCGGAAGCCCATTCTCATCGGAGGCTCTATCGTTATGTTGATTTCCATGATCATTCCTGGAATCATCGTTGCCAAATTTAGTTATGACTGGCCGGGTCACCCTGCCGAGGGCTGGATTGCTGTTGCGTTTATCTGGATCTATATCGGAGCGTTTGGTGCTTGTACGTGTTTCTTTGTCTTCCCTACTGGTAATAGCTTACTGACAGACTTTCAGCGTGGGGCCCGGTTTCTTGGACGCTGATCTCCGAGATCTTTCCCCTTTCCATCCGTGCTAAGGGTGCTTCGATCGGCGCATCTAGCAACTGGGTACGTAATAGCATATCAACTGCCACCCCTTCCACCGCAGTATGCTAACATAGCCATCAGATCAATAACTTCGCCGTCGCCTTCTACGTCCCTTCTATGCTCAAGAATTGGCAATGGGGCACGTACATCTTCTTCGCCGTCTTTCTTGGCGGCAGCATCGTGTGGGTTTGGTTCTGCCTTCCGGAGACCAAGGGCGTTACCCTCGAGGAGATGGACCGTGTCTTTGGCAGTAACACAGCCGCCGAGGACACGATCTTACTTGAGCAGGCCAGAAGGGATGTCGGCTTGACCGAAGATCTGGAGGACAACGCCATCCAGTCCGAGAAGAAGAGTCTCGGCGAGAGTCAGCTTGAGTCTGCTTAAGCTTTTTCAGGGGATAAGGTATATCTAAGCAAAATCTAAAACAAAGACCCAATACCCCTGTCGATATAAAATGGACCTTAGTTTGCTAGCTTGCAATATTCACTACTGAGCTCGCAAAAAGAGTCAGAATCACAGGGATGCTTGGACCCGTTCAGCAGTGGTTGATACTTAATGCTAATACCGCGTTTTTCATACGCGGGGCTGTGGGATCTTAGCCTTCCTGCGGCCAATCTCCCACTGTCTGGCTTCATGGGCGAGAAAACACCATTATAGCCATGTTTCGAACTCCATTACAGATGGTAGGCGCCACGGGAGCTGAGCTTGGAAGCTCTAGGGGGAAATGATGGTTTCAGGTATACGAATACAAGGCTCGCAACCCATTGCAATACTTTGCAAGTCATTTCCATTTGCACCAGGGTATATGATTCAGAACGATGTATTTACGCGGAGATTGATAGCTCATGAATGATGAAGTAGACGAATACTTCACCGTCCTTGGCTCTGGCCAAACATTATATCTTTTCTTAGAGGAAAACCTACAATTTTGGCGGGACCGAGAGGCCCAGCTCGTTCGCAATGATATCCGCCGCCTTCTCGCCAACCACAAACGCTGTGTTGTTCGTGTTTGCGGCCACATTCTCCGGCACGATGCTCAGGTCCACAACCTTGAGCCCGTCGACGCCGTACACGCTGAGCGACGAGTCGACGACGCCCAGCTCCTCCCGGGGCGCCATCTTGGCCGTCCCGAGCGAGTGCCACGTTGTGTTCACGTTCTCCCGCAGAAACTGCTCGATCGCCTTGTTATCCGCCTCGGAGTACTCGAGCGGCGTCACGTTCTTGTGCGCGCCGGGCGAGACTGAGTCGACGAGCGCGGCCTTGGATCCTGCGGGGAAGGAGGGGTGGCCGCCGGCGACCTCGCCGCGGTAGAGGGCCGTCCGGCGGGTGACCTCTCGCGAGTGCTTGTAGGCCCATACCTGCTTCTTGAGGTCGAGGTCGTCCGGGTCGTTGAAAAAGCCAGTGTCGAAATCGACGGGGTCTTCGAGGGAGGGGCCAGTGATGTGGATACTGCCGCGGGAATAGGGGTACGCGGTGTAGTTTGCGGCGGTTGTGTATTGGCCTTGAGGGATGGCGGAGTGGTCTCCGAGATATCTGGGCCGGTGTTAGTCTTTTGATCTATCCATTTTGTTCCGCTGTCTTTTATGAGAAACGGAAGAGAACGGAGATGCTCACCCGTGCAAAAAGCCGCTGAGCATGAGCGGCCGGTTGGGGTCATTCTTGAAGTCCTTCTCCCAGGCCTTCTCGAACTCGGGACCAAGGGCCTTGACCTCCTCTTCCGAGGGTCGGATCTTGCTGACAATGTCGACGCCATTCCAACCGAGCATCTTGTGCTTCCTCTCGATCGCCTCCTCGTGGCTGATGCGCCTGCTCAAGATGTCATCCAACGTCTCTTCCGGCTTCAACGCAGTCTTGTACGGGTACAAGAGCAGGTGGTGGTCCTGGTAGTCGTGCCCCACGCCCGGTAGATCCGCGACGACGGGCACGCCCGCCTTGTCCAGGACCTTTTTGTCGCCCAGGCCGGACCGTTCCAGGACGCTAGGGGTCCCGCAGGCGCCGCACGAGAGGACGACCATCTTCCTCGCGCGCACGGTCTGGACGGGATGCTTCGTCGTGCTCAGGACAGCCTGGTACTGCGGGTTCGGCGTGTACTCCACGCCGATGGCGCGCTTGTTGTCGTCGAACAGGACGCGGATGACCTTGGACTCCACCACGACGTGCAGGTTGGGGTGCTTGCCGTCCTCCAGACGTGGGTGCAGGAACGTGTGCGCGGCGTCCTGCCGCCGGCCTTCCGGCGAGACGTACCTCATCCACCTCTCATACCCGTTGTTCGTGTCGAGGTTCTGCAGGTCCCGGATCTCGGGGTACCCGGTCTGCTTCGCCGCGGCGAGGATGTCGTCCTCGGCGTCTTTCACGCGGAACCCGCCGGACGAGATATGCACCGGGCCAGAGTCGCCGTGGTGCGAAGGGTCGCCGTTGCCGTGGTACGTCTCGAAGCGGTTGAGGTACGGGCGGAGGTCGTCGGCCGACCAGCCCGGGGTTCGCCATGAATCATAGTCTGATTTCTGAGCGCGCGCGTAACTGCATTGCGAGGCATAGCCCGTTAGCTTGGTGTTCGAGAAGAGGACGGGATGGGATGGGATGGTCGTAGGAGCCGTCAAATGATGAGTCTCAGAAGGGAGCTATCCCAATTATCTTCACCTCGCATGCTCAAGTCAGGGATGGGTGCAATAAAATTCGTTGTGCGGGCGCGCGCGAATGTGTGCGGAGAAGGAACCCGAGTGGTCATGGGTACCATCGTGAACCGGAGGAGACCAGAAGCTCGGGAGAGGGGAAACCCAGGCACTTACAGCATAAAGTTTATCGAGGAACCGCCGCCGAGGATCCCTCCTGCTGGGACGATGGGACTGCGCCCTGCCAGCTTGTCGGACTTTTTGCCCTGGTAGAAGATGGCGGTCTTGCTGTCCGGGGCGAGGTGGTCAAGGAAGAAGGCCGGGTGGACGACGCTGGGCACGTCCCGGTTATTCGTGCCACCCTCAATGACGAGGATCGAAAGACCCGGGTCCGAGTCTGCAAGACGTCCGGCGAGTGTGCATGCTGCTGTGCCGCCTGAGAACCGAGGGTCAGCATTGCCTGGAGAATATGGGTGCAGAAGCCATAGCTATGTACCTCCTGCGATGATCACATCCACCTCTTGGATGTCATCTGCCAACTTGCTGTAAATACCCATAGTTGCTATCTCATCTACACGTCACACTAGCATGGGTTGATCACACAGGTAACAGGCCAAGGATCTCGCGTGGCTGAAGAATGTAACGAGGGCAGGAACGAGGAAATAATGCACACTTCCATGTGCCGCGAGGGTTCATGCTTTATATTCCGTAGGTTACCAGCCACGCGGGCGAGAGGGAACAAACCTCACCCTCGATAGAATGGCGAGAATGACAGGTGCCGCGGAGTCGGTCTTTTTTCCACCAAACGCTACCAATCCACTCATGCTGTATCAAGGGTCAATACCCTGAGCCTACAGGGTATGTTCTACATAACTGCAAGTCTAGTGAGGGGCACGTCACAAGTACGGACGACCTCGTCGCGGCAAAATGGATACTATGGGGTCGGGTTGGTATTGGATATTACATTGGATATGGGGATGGTGGCGAAAGTTAAGATTTGGCCGACGGCTGCTTAGTCGGCATGGTGCATCGTCGTGACATGTGTACATTGTGTACAGAGTATCGCAAGACCGACAGCGTCGAGTACGGGCCAAAATTGACGCTTTATATATCATATATCACTTTTTGGGCGATGTGTCAATCTAGCTGCATGCAGCTTAAGTGTCCTGGCAATGTTTCAGGGACCAGGTGGGGTTCGGACTTGCTTCTCGACTGTTTGCTTCGTTCAAAAGCACGACAATCTGCCCTTTTTGTGGGCTCTATGTAGTCGAATGACTGAGAGCATGACCCCGGAGTTAGAGGTGTTGAAGAACATATTGGGGGGTCTGTCTCGATTTGGTTCGAGTTTTGGGCGAGGTGGACGTGCCAGAACGCGCACATTAGTGCCTTACAATGTAGATCTTGTGGGAAACAAGAAAGAAGATACAAACATGCAGGCAAAGAGGACTTTTGTTAAACGTTATGTAAGGGAGGACTGACAAACGTGCAGATAGGATCTTTCCCGAAGCCACAGCCAATGTTACGACAATTCTACAGCTGAAGAATGATTAAACGCCTTATCCCCCGCACTCCGTCGGGTAGAGGGGTTGTGAGGGATGAGGGACGAGTCCTAGGAAGAGAGGTATGTGCGTGTGTGCGGGGGTGACAGGGAGGTTGCTTACACACCAGGGGCTACGATCCAATATAATTAATGCATCTTGATGGGGAAGCTCTCGGTGATACATGGCTTTAAATAGGTCTTTTCATTACGTTACATGGTGCTCAAAAGTTCATTTTTAGCGAGGAGTCTGGGCCACCTCGTATTATAATGAGCATGGAGCATGATACTTGTACTACGTCTTTTCGATTGTCTTAAGAGTATCATTGCGTACCTATGGGGCCTCAAGAGGAACCGGCTTGTATATGTACATGGATTGGGGCTGCCTGGAGTGGGCAGTATCGCCATACAAGCTATTGTTGTTGCTGTTGTTGGTTGACTCACAAGGCTTGCGACAGCAGTGAATCAGGACTCACCGCTTGAAGGAAGATCTAGGGGTTGAAATTGAATATCTGGCAACTTTGACGCCACAGCTGATACTTGACGTGAGAGTCCCCATGATCGTAGAGCTATCAGCTACTTAAAGCCGCAGAAAATCATTCCAATATTCCCAGCCCAGGTCTCCGTTGTCCTTCAAACCAACCGCGTCAAGATTCTGCAACTCTGGGGCTGATAATAGTTGGGATACCTGCACAGCTTGGTTGCGCCTCTGGTCCCATATAGATTGGATAAACGCGGGCGAGGCACCAGCGGCGCGAGTTTCTTGAGAGTCGACCAGCTCCTTCCTACCAGCCTCCCAAGCCTCAAGGGTTAAATCGCCCAGGGCTGCAAAGAACGGGTTTTGACTAATATCCCGAATCATCTCAGGGTGCTCTCCGTACAGCTTTTCGACTAGCCTCCAGGCCAAAGCCACACGCGCCCCCGAACACCGCCGTCGAAGGTCGCTGATCGATATAGGCGTCCAAGGTGTACCTAGTTGTCATGTGGGTGATGAGGTGCGACGAAAACTTGGTACGCAAGGCCAGGCCCAGCATCTCCAACCATGTTAGGATCGATTCGAAAAGCACGTCGCCTTTTTCTCGTGACATGAGAGCCTCTCCGACGCCCCAAGCTTGCCCCCGCGGGTTGTGAACCTTGCATCGCATGCGAGCGATTGCAATCTAGGCCATTGCGTACATTAAGGCGTGGAGAGGGACATTGTGGTCGAGATAGCGAAGGAACTTGTCGTGGTACCTGGCCTCCAGCTCGTCGATGGCTTTCTCTTCCAGCCCCGTCTGCTTCGTCCCCCTCGCTGTCCCTTGAGAACATAAGTCGAGGATTACGAATGCCCTGGCGGATGAGCGAACCCAATTGGTCACCTCAAACTTGACCAGGACGCAAGTCATTTCGGTCGGCCCTGTGTGCTCGGTGGGCAGCTCGGTCATTTCGGGGTGCAGGTCGGCATCGTTGACGTTGAGCGGGAGGCAGACGTTGCCGAACTCGCCTGCGGACGGCTGGGAGCTTCGACCAGCGGCACGGGTTCGGGCGTCTATACCGTATAACTGCCACCAAAGGCGGACGCGCATTTCTCCGTCAAATGCCGAGATCTTGGGGGCTGCTTTATGTAGATGTAGGCCAATCTTCTGACCGATCCGGATGGCGGCCCCGGTCGGTGTGGACGTCAGCTCCGAGTCTGGGTTCCAGCTGGCGTCCAGGACTCGTTGTTGTAACGTTGGCACGTGAATTATCTTCAAGAGGGGGTTGACCGACTCGACAAATACCTGCCAGGAGCGATAGATCTGCCTTGGTTCCGGGTGCACTTGTGATATCCCGGGTTGATTGCTTGATAGTAAGTCACTCATTGACAGGCCAGGATGTTTGATTCCGTCATCGTTGCGAGGCAAACTTTGGTAAGGGGGGTATTTGAGCTTTCCTCCGCAAGATTGTCAGATCAGAAGAGCAAACATGGGAGGTCGAGCACAAACAGACCTCTGGTGGGAGACTTGCCCACAAGCATCTTTATTGCCAAGTTAGTCGTCGAAAATGGAGACCTCAGCCCATCAAGCATGTATGGACTGACCGTTCCATCTCCGTAGGTATCTCTTCTTGAGCCTGGGTCCATGGTCTATCATGGCTGATCGTAGGCAGCGTCCAGACTGGACTTGCAGATTCATGCTCCTTTACTTGACCGTTTGGTCCCGTAGTAACCCAAGTGCGGGCATACCGACTGTAGTCAATGTTGTGTTTCCGCATCAGCTCCTCGTATGCAGCCAATCGGTTCAGCAGGTCTTCATCGGCAGCTCTCTTACGAGGCCGAGGCTGTATAGGAAATTCGTAGAGACAACGAGCCTTCGCCTTGTCGCAATTTGAATAGGGGTCGGCTTTGTTGCATTTTACCTTCCGCCGTGCGCAAAGGGAGCAGGCATGTTTGTGCTGACCCTGAGGACTTGATGACTGTGGGGTAGTCATAGAAAGACTGAGTTGGCTAAGTTGAGATATTATCAACTTGGCATAGTTGAATGGCCTTTGGGGGCGTACTGATGGTTTTGAAAATTGTGAGCTCAACGTCGGAATTTCATTTTCTGAGACAACAACAAAGGGTGACTGATGTCAGGATTGCCTGGACGAGACTATGCTCGGAAACGTCGGGCATTAAAGAGGACTAGCATGATCCTTCTCGGCTCGACTCGCCGGCCTCACATTGGTTGGTTGGAGGCATAAACCGCGCTGTCTTGCAGGGGGCGAGGATTGTCTAGCCTCATTGGAAGTGTTCGGGCCCGAGATAAGTCGAAGGACGCTCAGTCGAGACGACTAAATGCTTGCTTCAGCATTCAGTCAGCACAATTCAATACTTGGCCTCCTTTTCGGCGTTAAGAGAGGCAATGGTTTTTTCTCTTGAGATCTTGTAAGATTGTGTGTTCTTCCTCATTTCTGTCGTTACAGCCTTTACCTGACCCTACCAACTCCGTACCCAATTCTGTCGGACCATTATAATCATGCTGCACATCCAATGAATGCTTTGAAAACAGCACCCAAGGAGCTGGGACCCAGTATGACTGAGTCCTTGGAGTTCGCAACGAATCCCTTAACGTCGCGTCCGACCGGAAACAGTTCCAACGAACCATTGTCGCAACCTGACTTATCATCAGGATCACCCGCCACAGGTCCTTCGTTGTTCTTCCTGAAAGATTCGCACTACACAAATATTTAGTTTTCTGTCTCCCCTCTGTCGTTTCAAATGAGAACGCGAGAACTTACAGCATAGGAGTTCAATCCCATGGCCTTGCATGTTCCACTGGGGTCTGCAACACCCCTATTGCAGCACAGAGGACCGGTCGCCGGATCGCCAGCAGTAATGCGTCCCTGGTCATCAAAAACGTCGTCATCATCGCCAAGAACGGCAAGTGGGGCCAAGAAGAAGAGGAGAGTAGAGAAACGCATTTTTTCCAGCTGACCGGCAGAGAGTTAGAAAAAAGCAGAGGATATCGGAAGGTATAATGGTTATTTGTTTCGACGGTTGTTCGTCAAGAACTAATGAGTGTTGGTGTGAATACAGGACCGATGATACGTGAAGAGGGGACATTTATATAGTTCGGAAGTATTAAAAAGACTCTAGAGAGAAGTTTGCATTGGATCTCATTAAATCTATTCAAGGGGCAGGGGGCCGGTGTCGTAGTATCACGTTTATGAGCAGTTCCGACATGCACCTCCTGACATACTACCCAAATGCACTTTTGGTATTATGCGGGTGTCTAAGCCTATTTCGGCTCGTCTGTGCAGAAATCTCATATTCCATCACTTACACCTAACATAACCAAACCCAAACCCTAACCCAGACCCTAACCATCCTAACCACTAACCCTGCGCATCTTTTCAAGTTACTATTTGGTTATGTTAGGTGTAATGGATTATGTTGTGTTGTGGTGGTGGTGGCTGTAATTACCGGATACAGTTAGACACCCACATAATACCAGAAGTGCACCCGTAGATTACCCGCAACCAGCGCAAATAGCCAGAAATCTCAATATGGTTGTCGATCAAGTCCTATCTGAAACCGTACATTTTTTTGAGCAGGCTTGGCGGGTGCGATATGTGGTGACGTGTGGGGTATACATCGGACAAACCGATGAGATGGAAGGGTTGGGCTTCTATACTTTGCAGGCCTTGATACATGTCGTTCCCTCTCAGCTCCCTAAGTAGTGGGGACCTGAACGTATCAGGCCAGATGTGTTAACCCAACGAGTCAGCTATGCATCCAGGCCTTCGCCGTTGGCTTCACAACACTCTAACCTCTCATACGCGATATAGTGCAGTTCTCCAGGTACACATGTAATATTGCGATACGTAAAACCTGATACGCGGCACCTCTGACCTACACCTCATCTCAATCTATTCATGCTACATAAATACCCGATAACGCAGAGCCCGCTAGGCAGTACATACTATCGGATGATGGTGACATTGAACATTCAAGCAGCTGTAACTGGTTCGTGATGACAGTGAAAGTACAAGGTAGCTAACTCTTGCTGCGGTTACTGTCAGACCTGTGGCGTTGGAAACCTAAAAAGGGATTCTTAGCGTTCTATAACTCTCATTGGTGCTCAAAGCCGGATGTCCATGGTGGGAGTCTGGGGAATGCCATTCGAGAGACTAGATGTGTTATTGCTCCGCATAGTCTCACTACATAGCTCCAAATGGCGAGCAGGGGCCCTGGCATCTGAGACGAGAACATCAATAACGGGCGCTACAATCTTGGCATACTACATTTCATTATGCTGGATTAGGACAGGGTTTCTTGGTTGATTGAATCAAAGAATTCGCCTCCTACAAAGCAATCACGTTGTATTTATTGGTTCGTATTGATGACTTATGCTTATTCCGAGCACAGCAACCCGGGAGTCGGACGAAACGTGTTCCAAGCCTTGCCGGCACAAGCCCGATGCCCCATCGTTTTAGGTTTTTATCTCAGCAGCGCTGTACTACCAACGCTAACCTCAGCAGAGACTAACCAGTACAGGTAGGCGCCTTGTGTGTGTGTGTGTGTGTGTGTGTGATAAGCAAGTATCATGGCTCCAAGACTACTTTAATCGGATAACTACCGCAGTTGAGCAGGAGAGCAACACGAAAAGATAATGTTCTCTTGAGTCCGACAATATACTTTATACTCAGCATTCCCATTGTGCCCACTGAATAAGTGAGACCCCACTCCAGCAAGACATGCCCCAGCATCTGTGCTAAACGACGCACAACTCTCCACTCATGCGCCATTTCCATTAGATTTTGTGATTGCTGTTGGATGATGACATCCTTCGCGTGCAGAGAAGCAGCTTCTGGCTGGCTGGCCAAATGGTAAGGCGTCGGACTCCTATCAAGAGCGTAATCCGAAGATTCTGGGTTCGAGTCCCAGGTTGGTCGACTTTTTGATGTAAGTCTCTACATATTTTGGCTAAATATGTCACCGACACAGATTTGACTCTGATCGGTCACAGGAAGTGAGTGACCCATGTATTGGAAGTCTTCGTTTCTAGGTCCTTATACTCTGAGCGTCAGAACCACCCTTAATCTTTGAGTGGCCTGGACAGAAGAAGAGGTCTGTTCACTAAGCCTCTCACAACCCATTTATGGAACGAATCATATATCGACTACACGTTGCGGGGACGCTGAGTTTATAAGGCATGGTTCTATTCTAAATAGAGAGTCGTCAAAAGTTCGACTCTTCCCATTTTACACCTAGTTTAGTGGTTCAAAAAGCTGCCAAGGTAGTCTGCCTTGCCAACAGGCACACCTTTTGACCTCAAGATAGCATATCCCGCGTTCAAATGGAAAAAGAAGTTTGGAACACCGTGGCTCAACGCCGCTTCTTTTGCCGAAACCTTCAGTGTCTTTCCACCAAAAATCGGTCTACTCAACTTCGTTAGATGCCGCTGTTAGCCCACAAATTGGAATAACACTTACAGGTCAACTTGGTCGTCGGCTTTGGCGTTTACAGTAGCAGCATCAACCTTGCTAAGCAAATCCAGCGCCTCTTCAATGCGCTTGTGCAGGTCTTCGATCGTCTTCTCCTTGTTCTCAAAAGGCTCCAACTCAACGCCTGTCAGGCGGCCTACGTTCGTCTTGACAGTCTTCGTAGCGTTTTGCACCTGGAAGGTGAGTGGTAATTGATCCTCGACGAGACGGGCCTCGGGGTACGTATTGGCATCGATATTGTTGGCTTTCGCGTATTCCTCAGCCTTGCTCAGGATGTGGTCAAAGGTCTTGAGCCCATTAATGAATAAGGGGATGACAGCGTCGTAAACAGTGATAGAAGACATATTTGCTTAATGAGCAGGATCCGTCAAGACAATGATTAATGGACAGTGGTAAGAAGGCAATAAAGTCTGAGGGTTGTGTGCTGAATTGGAGCAGCATGCCCAATGCGACAGCTTCCTTTATAGCTGAGTTCCAGAGTCGTCTGAAGCGATAACATTTCGTGGATTTGTCAGAATTCCCAACGATTGCGTGCTTGGTAAGCTTCAAGTTATTACTAATTACAGGAGTCAGCTTGATAGCAAGCGGTGACCGTAGATAAAGCCCCAAGTCTCAATCGCAAAATTACGCATCTTCGAGTGGTCTCTGTGTTATGAAAATCGGGGGTTCAGGGGCTTCTTCGTAGAAGTTACTAGGGTGAGTTTGGCTTCAGGTTCGCACCATCTTGGTGGAACGTCACGTTATCGATGGGGAGATGGCGTCATCAATATGAACCACGAACCCCGCGACATCGCCCTAGTCCCAGCTAATCACAATGCCGCCGAGTTGATTGATATGGCCATTGATAATCTGACGTACTCATCTTGACAGCATGAAATAGAAGCATTGAGGAGTTGACGGGTTCACTTACAAGTCGACTATGGAAAGAATTGCCAAACAATGCTAAGAGCTAATGTTAGTGGTTGGCTAAGACCTTTGCGGCGGTGCCAATAGAGCCGTCAAATCCTCTTCCCAAGGACTTGTCATTTTCCCCAATTGGTTCGATAAGTATGCAAGGAGTTCAAATGACGAACCAGGTCTGACGTAGTTAACTTCACGTCTTTACCAGCACAGCACGCAGCACTGAGCTGCCAAGCAACGAATTCCTCTCAATCGAAAATAAATCGCTTTCTGATATTGATGATACTTTCCTTCTTTTGTTTTCTTTACGATCTTCGACATACGCGCAAATACTGCACCCACTGCTGATCATCTTCCAATGTTTACTACAGAGTTCTATCCAAGGCTGCTGGGCCACCATTGTGGTCACCAAGGCTCGTGTTAGGACAGCACAAAAATACCAAATGCTGTATATCTTTCCTGAAAGCTAATCGATGAAGCAGCCCTGACTAAGCTGCAATATCGTGCGCCGGCTCTTAGTAAGGTAGCATCGTCTTCGTGTTTCCATCCTCGCTAAGCTCATGCTGAGGTACTTATCCAAGGCGGTCCCTCGTAAGGTCGCACGAGTACGCAAATATACTCTTACACAGTTGAACAAACACCGTACATGTATTATGTCCAATAATTACCCAACACGATGTCATCGATCGGCCCATACAGTGGGAGGCGGGGGGTGTCTGTGCCACATTACCCCTCACTTGAAACCACCAGAGTCAGCAAACAACCGGTCAATCCAACAGAATCACTGATCGCCGGCTCATATTCGGCAAGTGATCGGTAAACCAAGAGGGGTCCCTATCTAAATGACAGTTATTGGTATCATATATCCAGAATGGGATTCACTGTTCCAGTTACCTTCTGGTTCTTCTCCAGTAACGAAGCCATTGAGAGCCAACTTGGACATTGAAACACCCAAGTTCGGACCAAATCCCCCCTTGCCGGTTTCCAAAACATTAAAGACCTGAGGTTAATTGGTTCAAGACTTATTTCTGTTCCTCTCTGTTGGATTCCCTTCGCTTTTCCCGAATTTGTCTTAAGAAGGGTTCAAAGTTTGCTCGTTCATCTCACCTTCATCAAGCACAGTCTGACTCGAAACGTTCCAATGGGGTTTGTAAACGGTGAATCTCTCAATTCTGTTAACGAAAATAGAGAACAAACTCTGCAGTAGGTCGAATTCTGAAAGAACTCCACTTTTCCCCGAAAGTTTGCTTAGACTGCTTGTGAATGTAGGGCTCAGGTTGACTGCTCATGGGCAGCACCACTCCTTGAACGGCCAATCGATGCAGATCGCAAGGTAAGAGTCATCTGTGTTGGCGCCGGTTTCAGCGGAATCGGTTCTGCTATCCATATAAGAGAACATATTCGCGATGTCGAGTTCCAAGTCTACGAGGCTGCCGACGATATCGGCGGAGTATGGCACCATAACCGGTACGCCGGAGTCGCCTGTGATATTCCATCACACAGTTATCAGTTTTCCTTCTGCCAAAATACGCAGTGGTCAAAGTTCTACGCCCCTGGTGAGGAGATCCATAACTATCTAAAAAGGGTAGTTGGCCACTATAACCTGCAAAGATTCATCAAGCTCAGGCACCGAGTTATCGGAGCAACTTGGTCTCAAGAAAAGGGAAAATGGGCCGTCGCTGTACAAAACCTTGAAACGGGAAAAGAGACAGTTGACGAGGCTGACTTTATTCTGTACGCCACTGGATTGTTATCCAAGCCTAAGTGGCCTTCCATTACGGGTATGTTGCCTATCTACGCTAAAGTGTAGAGAAAGTGGGGTGGCACATTCGGTACTGACACCATCTGCAGGGCGAGAAACTTATCAAGGCCTTCTTCATCACTCCGCAAATTGGGATGCTGCGAAAGAAGAGAAGCAAGACGGCTTTTCGTGGAAAGACAAGAGAGTTGCTGTTATCGGGGCAGTAAGTATAACACTGTGGTTTTGATATGGCATGCACTCACATTGGCACCTGTAGGGGTCCAGCGGTATTCAGATCATGCCAGAAATGCAGAGGAAAGCCAAACATGTCACCAACTTTGTGAGGAGCAGAAGTACGTAATTTTCTAGTATAATTTTTACCGCATGCTGTCCGGGCTAACCAAATGGTCTTTCCAGCATGGGTATCTTCGACGTTTGCAGCTGATTTCATGGAAAAGTTTGATTGTCCCAAAGGTTCCAGCAACCGTAAGCGTTCCTATTCGATTTAAGTTTGAAGCTTGTTAATAATGCGTCCAGATACCTTTACGGCTGAAGAAAAGAAGCGCTTCATGGATGAAAGCTACTACCAGCAGGTTCGCCGCGAACTCGAACGGGGGCTTAACTCCGTCCACAAGCTCACCGAGCAGGACCATCCGACACAGCTTGAGGCTAGAAAGGTTGTGGAGCAAGCAATGAAAGAGAAGCTGGAAGCAAAACCCGAGATTGCCGAGAAGCTGATACCAGATTTCCCGGTGGCTTGCAAGCGTCTCACGCCGGGGCCAGGTGAGAATGACTGCTGGAGTTACTACGACATTTCCTTGCTGTGCCTCTCTCAAAAGAATAGCCTCATAGAGACTGACATGAATTTTAGGCTATCTGGAATGCCTTTTGGCGGACAATGTTGATTTCTGTTCCCAGGAATTGGCATGTTTCACCGAGAAAGGGCTGATGACCGCTGATGGCTGCGAACGCGAGTTCGACGCCATTATCTGTGCAACCGGTTTTGTAGGTTTTGCGAAAGAATCCTGGGACAGAATCGTTGCTTATACGTATAGGACGTATCCGCCGTACCCGCTTTCCCCATTCATGGCTTGGACAGGGTGAACCTTCAGGATCTCTGGGCCAAGGAACCAAAGCAATACTTGGGCGTCTGCATTCCCCAAATGCCCAACCTGTAAGATGCCAACCACTCATAGGTCCCGTATGTGAGTCTTGCGTCCTGACTTTTATGACAGCTTCATGGTTTTGGGCGCCCAGTCGGGCGTCGGTACAGGCTCGCTTCTTCTCTTGATGGAGCAGCAAATCGCCTACGCAACCAAATGCATTCAAAAGTGCGCCCGAGAGGGCTACAAAAGCATCGTCGTCAAAGGGAGTGCAGTGGATTCGTTTCTCAAATACACAGATAACTACTTTGATAGGACAGTGTTCAACGGTGAGCAACCTACGTTCTATGCGAAATACGCTCCATGACTGGTGCCCGCTGGCCCATTCGGATCCCCCAGAATCTCTTTGATCTAATATGACACTGTGATAGGGAACTGTAGGTCCTGGTACAAGAACGGAGCCACGGGTAAAGCGAAAATTAGGACCTTGTGGCCTGGATCCTGCCTGCACGCCTACACTGCTTTGCGCCATCCTCGTTGGGAAGACTTTGACTACGAGAGACTGGATGAATATGACCATCCAATGGCCTGGCTAGGAAACGGAGACGTGCAACCTGACCTCGATCGTACGTTCTATTTCGAAGAACTCTGGGGCATGCATAAAGTTAGTTCGTCACCAGCCTACGAATTACACATAGATTGCGTTGACCTTTAAAGGACTATAGCCAGTATCTTGCTGACCATACCTCTGATAGGACCATCCTATGTTTCATTAATGGCAATTCCGCCGCTAATCCAGCTTTTACAATCATCCCTTCTGTGGGTATCAATCTAGACATGTGTCAATACGAAGAGCCTTTGTCAAATCTTTGGCGTTGTTTCATAGCGAGTTCCTGGGTAACATGGAGATGAGCAAACTTTCAACAAGTATGAGAATTTTTATGCATTTAGCAAAGCTCCATGGGCAGTTCGGCGCAGGCTGAGGGTCTTGAGCCCTAAAAGAAAGGACGCGGCTTCCTAGGATATAATTAAAGGGTAATGAAAATCGCTTACGGAAATCTATCTCTGCCCATTTTGCATCAAATGACATCGTTTTCATTATCGTATATTAGTCAATTAAGTTTGATAGGTGGTTCTCAGTATCATAAGGATCTGTAACCGTACCCACGACCGAGAAAATCTCCCGTAAAACGCGCTACTGCCAGATGCTCTACTGTTATCCAGGGATATCTTCAAATTCGGACTTTGACACATTCGATTACCTGCATCTTCATATCCATGCCATGGAACTTCTCGATCTTCAAGCCCGCATGAGCCACCAACGTCTCCCAGTTCTCGGCCGTTCGCTCCTTTCCGCCGATGTTCATCATTCCGAAGTCCGCCAGAGCGCCCATTAGCGACGGAGGGCTCTGGAGGACGTATTCAACAATCAATACCTTGCTATCCAAGCCCATGGCATCTGAGAGTTGGGAAAGAATCTTGACACTGTCGTCGTCTCCGAAGTCGTGCAGGCATCGGCGGATCCAGTAGATCAATGCGTCTTGATGTGTCAGCTCGCTTCCGGAAAGGAAAATGTGATGATGTCATGAACTTACTCTTCGCAGGCTGCTCAGTGTGAAAATCATGCACCTGAAACTTGACCCTTTCAAGCTCAGGGTGCTTTAGCGCAATTACTTGCTCGATGACCTCGTCTCTGTCTTGTAGAATCACACGGTCTGCAGGGAGAAAAGGGTTCTCTTTCAAGATTGCTCTGATGGCATGTCCCTTGCTGCCACCCACGTCGACGAAAATTGGTCGGTCGTGGTCTTCTGGGACCTTTTCTCGCACCCAACTAAAGTCGTAGATTCCCTCTAGCGGAATAAATTGCTGCAGCATCTCCATTCGCTTCATGGTTCCCTTGACCTGTTCTGGGTTCTCTCGCTGGATCTCCCATACCTCACTCTCCGGCTTTCCACGGGCGAAAGCGTAGGGAGTATGGATACGAGTTGCAGGTTCGCGGCGACCATACAGCGCGAAATACTCAGGGAGTTTCAGGGCAGTCAAGATGTGCTCTTCGTACCTTCATAATTTTTAGCAGGTAGAGGCTATAAGCGGCGAAGCAGTTACACAAGACTTGCATCATACGGAGGAATAGCTCATTAGGTGTGCCAGAAAGATACGATTTGGACTTCTCGTTATGCGCAACCCTATCTTCGCCAACCTGGGTCAAGATCCCGCCGGATATTAGAACCCAAGAAAGACGTTCTTTAGGATCGTTAGCATAAGAAATGGGCCGAGACTGTGGGTAGTAATCTTTCAATATGACTCACTAATAAGAGAAACGTCTGCTACTAAATGACCCGCTAGGTGGTCATACGACACCGAGTCATCCATGGGAATAATATCGAAGACTTCCCAGTCTAAGAAAAGCTTCAGAGCGATCAACTGCATGGCGTTGGCCATTCTATCCATCCATTCCGGCATCGATCCTCCGGCTGCTTTGAGGATATTCTGCGCAATGGCAACAGCGTCTTTGTTCTTCTCATCATCGCTACAAGACGAATCGGCCAACTTAGAAAGCTGTGATGCGAAACTACAAAGTGAATCCGAGTGATTGCTCATCTTTGCTGTTGCGTTGACAGATAATATGATAAGGTTGTTCTCAATTCAGGATGTAGTATGATGAGACGATTCAGACTGGATAGTGTACATATTGGCAAAGTTTAAATGAAGGCTCAAATATCCTTACCATATATATAAGTGTTTTGGTGTCTTATTATCGTTAAATCCAATCCGATGACTGAGTTGACTCCGAGGCTTACGCCCGACTCTGAATCACCGAGCAAATTCACCGAGCAAATTTGCCGGAGCCATGTGGGGCGCGGATGCCCGATTCGGAGGCCCTCTAGCGACTATCTCCGCGCCGGCAGTGGGGCCGAATCCTTCGGTCTTTCGACATGGGACTCGCTGCATCTGTTATCGTGGCACCGTGGGAACCCCCTCCCCCCTCCTGTCAAGGATTCTCAGAGCAGAAAGGAACGATCCGGATGAATCCGCCTATGCTCTGTCAAACAAGTGGCCGGATCTTGCAGGACCCAGTCACTTGGCGGGCGAATCGCATTCCGCCGACAGCCACCAGGCTCTATGCTCCCTCCCTCGAACCTTCGTCCAATCTCCCGTTTGATCCACATGGGAATATATCGGGTCATCGCGCTCGCATCAATTACTGTGCAGTGCTGTATGTAAACTCTTGGCCTCAGTCGCCCAGTGACTTGGTCTCGAGATGGACCTGACGCGATACTGTCTGATATATTCCTCAAGTGATCCCATGTTTATATGCCGAGACCCTTCGAAACCATGAAACAAACAAGTCTCGACCCGATTCTGCAACTCAACACTAAACAAAAAGCCACGTTCTCCCAGCTACAAACCCTCGCATCGCAGGGCCTGGATATCTGGCGGTAGGCGACAAAGACTTGTAGAATCAACTGTTTCCTTGGTTTGACCGTCTCTACTTTGAACTCTTGGCCATGTCTTCGTGTTCCAGTTCCATCTTCCTTTTTTTAAACGAATAAAAAGACCATGCGGTGCCAAATGTGAACGGCGGCCCATCAGGGGCTGTGCCTTTCATTCGTTTGGGCCCAGTGTAGCTGCGACACGATGCGAGAGGATACAACATCAGCGGCATTTCGCCTGTAATCGGTTGAGACACACCGCGCAGCTATTGTCTACCCTTTCAGACCAGGCCAGAGGGCCTGAAGCTGATGTACAAGAAAATTCCGGGAGCATCATGTGGAAATGTCGCCCCGCACCCTAATGCTGAGTTTAAACCCAGTACAGTGATGGATCGTAGCCGTGAGCCGTGAGCCGGGAGCCGATGTTATGCCACTATGCAAGCCATGCGGCGATCTAGAGGCACAATCGGTTTGAACATGTTTGGGGGCTACCTCCATCCGAGGAAAAGGTCAGTTTCCTCAAAGAAGGTTCTCTCTGCTAGATACCTCTTTCGGCCAGGTCTGAGGATTCGAGTTCTGACCCCTTGGTGCCCATCTTTGGTAGGCGAGTCCTTGGAAGCCATTGGCGAATGGCATGTGTCTTCTCTCCTGGAGAACTTTGACTGACTCCGGGCGGGGTAGAAGGGGCGCCAGCCGCGGAAACCAACTTAAACGGGTAATTTCGTGAGAATTCGAATGAGCCTCAACTCTGCGGCCCTCTCCTTACTATTAATCACACCCATGTCCGCAAGGAAGTCCCGGCCAGTCGGGCCTGTTTGTATTTCCGCCAAACACACGTCCAATCACTGCATAGGTGGAAAACGTTCTCGCTCGGACATGGGAGACCCTTGGTGCATATCACAGCTGGTAGCTGCACCCAGCCCATCTGAGACGGCTTACACCGGGTTTTGTTTCATCCGAAGTTGGCAATGCTCGAAGTGTGCATACAATACAATCAAACCGCACTGGCGGGCCACGCCATCAACCGGAGCCACACCCGCTATAGGCTTGGCAAACCACTCAAGTCACCGATCCGGATTGCAGGGTGTGCTATGGAAACCACGATCGCTCCCTGCAACTCCATGGCTTAGGCGGGGGGAAGAACGTGATGACTCCTTGAGACACATCTACCTATCAGGCCCGGCTTGACACACACTCCTCCCCTTCGTCGCGAGGACAAGGGCGGATTGACGAATCACTTGAGACGTCAGATTGGGATTCTCGCAAGACACCGTGAGGTAACCTTACAGGGTCCAGCATCTCACGCCCCAGGGCTATGCGCCGTCACTGGAACCCTTCCTCAGATCCCAAGAAGATTTTGCTTCCGAGGTAAACTCTCTGTATGCGTCCGCGATTGCTCTACATGTGTTCGCCAAGCGGCTATCGATGTCAGCATACTGCCATCTCGCCAAAACTTATATCAAGCTTAGAGTTCCCAGCTCTGCATCGGGAGTGAGAAAGCATTATCATTGTCGAACAAAAACTCAACTCGGCACAGACGCTCTCAACGCTCACACATATATACTCCCTGGTTTTGGAGTCTCATACTTGTTCTCTTGCCGTCCCTAATACTCATTCTTTTCTACGATACCAACCAAGAACCACTCTGGCCAGTGAACCATCGACACAATGCAGCTCACCAAGACTCTCCTCTTCGCTCTCATCGGCACGGCCTTCGCGGCTCCCACTGAGAAGCGACAAGCGTCCGTCATCCAGTCTGCCGTCACCTCAGTCCAGGACGCCATCACCAAGCTCGACACCGCCGTCAAGGTACGTTTGGTCAGAACATCAGTCAAAACAGCGACCCGCCGCAGCCATTGTTCCTGAAGCCTCCCTTAACTCATCGTGGCTGCTGCAAGTCGCATGCGTAGTTCAGGTATCAGCCTCAAAACTAACACGCGTTACTGCAGGGCGTCGGCGACGACATCTCTACCGCGCAACCTGTCCTGGCCGCCGCCACCGACCTCCAGAATGTCATCACCAAGGCCGGGTCAGATATCGGGGCCTCCCAGCCCTTGCAGCTCCAGGAGGCTCTTGGCCTCCAGAACCTCGCCAGCCAGCTCCAGACCACGACCGGCACCCTGATCGACGATCTCATCTCCAAGAAGGCCAACTTTGACAAGCTCGGCGTCTCCAAGGTCGTCCTCCAGAACCTCCAGCAACAGAAGTCCACCGTTCAGTCCCTCGGCACCTCTCTCATCTCCAAGGTTCCCGCCATCGGCCAGGGCATCGCTCAGCAGGCCATTGATGGCGTCGGCGCCACCATCGATAAGGGAATTCAAGCCTACTCGGGTTCCGCCGCTGCCGCCGCCGTCGACAGTGCTCCAGTAGCGGGTGCGTAGAGCGGCCCCCCTTTCGCCGTCCGCCATCCCCTCGCTCAACCCCTCCTTTTTCGTATTGGCGCGCTTCCGTTCGAGATATATACTGGCCATAAAAGTCGTACTAACCATTGCGCCACTCTTTTTCAGCTGAACCCGGCGATAGTACCGCCGCTTCTCCAGCTGCTGCTCCCGCTACGCCCGAGTCGCCGGCCTCTGCCCCCAAGACCCCCGTCACTGCTCAGGAGGCTACCGATGCTACCCCAGCCGGGGGCATCGGGAGTTTGCTAGGGGGTCTTGGCGGCGCAGGCGGCGCAGGTGGACTTAGTCTTCTCGGAGGTCTCACGGGAGGTGCAGCTGGTGGTGCTGGCGGCACTGGCGGCGCTGGCGGCGCCGGAGGGCTCGGTGCTCTTCTCGGCCTTCTCGGCGGCGCTGGCGCTGGCGGCGGTGCGAAGGGTGGCGGTGCGGGTGGCGCTGGAGGGCTCGGCGCTCTTCTTGGTCTTCTCGGCGGTGGTGCGCCGAAGGGGAAGGTGGCGGATGTGGCAGAGGCTGGGAAATAAGTTTCTGAACATGATATTCTTTGCAGCTTCTTAGTTTTTAGCAAATCATCATTGCGGCTTTCGTTCGATTTGGATGCGGTTGTCTCCGCGCTCTGTCTACCTGTGACACCTAGCGTGAATCTTAGTCCGACTTTAATGGCCTTGAATGATTAGATTCAGTTCTCCAAGTTGGCAATGACGTTGAGCAGTTATCAAACAAGAAGTAGTTAGCTTCACGAGGTGGTCTGCAAGCTGGGCCTTCTAGATCGGTGCTGGACCACTTGCTTTGGAGTATTGTTGGTAGTGAGAACTGGATATTGTTCCTATGAAGATTATCAGATCTATCCGCCTCGGTGTCTCTTCCGGCTGTTTGCCGCCCCTTCATGGCCGATCACAAGAGCACAGGTGCAAACCCCCATCACGCAGAGGTGGGTTGCAGATGCCGTGTCTCTAACTCCTATCCCGTGATGCCGCGGCTTCGATAGATTCCCTTACCCATCCCATGACATTGAGTTCGGGATGACGCCCCTCAACACAAGACCTTTTACCTACTTGTCTTACTTATAATAATAGAGCACATATACCGTCTCCTTTGTTCCCGCTTCTTTCTCCCCGTGCCCTTTATCCCCGCAAAACCTTATCCTGACAGAACTTACCCCGCATGGAAGCAAACTCTCCTCCGAAAGGATGTAGGAAAACCCAGTATACCCTCTCACCATGCTCACCAACGCCACCTCCGCCTCCATGCTCAGGCTCAGAATGCCGTCCCCGAGCAGCCTGATCATGTGCCACTGCCGACACTCAAGCGCCCCTGTTGAGCATTGGCTGACGTATCGTCCACGTCTGATCCTGCCCCCCCCTAACAATGAGCGACCCTGGCGCGATCAACGCGGGCCACCAATCCGAGGAGGACATTCCATTCGGAGCAGATACTGACAGTGCGGGGGAAAGCCGGGGATCTCCCGGGCCGTGCGGATGCGCTGCGCTTGTCAGCCGATCCGGAGGGGGGGAAGCCGGGGATATTTACCCAACGCTTTAGGATCGTCGATCCGCCAGCCATGGCATCCTTGTTGAAAGAAGCTCAACGATGCCCCCGTTTTGCCCTCATAATCAAGCATGGTATGAAACACTAACGCACTTATCCAAGACGGTTCCCCACTGGGTCACACAGGCGCACGATATCAAACTAAACAAAGACTTAGAAACACAGTAAAAGTAACACGGTGTGAGAGTATCACGCATGATACTCGACATATAAAGAACATGGGAAAAGGTGGTATCCAAAGCGCTTGGCCATCTCGTAAGTCTGGCGATGATGAATCATCCAAAGCTAGGTGAGCATGTGAATCCCGTATAATGTTGGCCGTTGATCCAGGAGATAGTTGCCTTTGAAATAATTCACATCAAGGGAAAGGAGACAACGAGTCTCTGACTGAAGTCGATGGTTACCACGCGAGTGCCTGACATAGACCGGGATCATGAGAATTGAGCTAGCTAGGTATTCGAGGCGGTCCGTCCCTCTTAAAGTCGCACAAGTACGCAATATTAATACTCCAACAAAGTCAAGTAAACACCGACCCGTTTCATAGGTTAAACATCAGTCTCTATCCAGGATGTCCCTCAGAATCTCTCCAGCTGCTCGTCAGAGATGAAGTGTGACCCGCCCGCACACCTGAACCCCTGAGCTTGTTTTATCCAATGGTACCCTACAGGGCATCGCCCCATCATCGCGGCCTTCTTGCGCTGCTCCTCTTCCTGCCTGCGCCGCTCCTCCTCCTCGATCAACTGCCGAAGGATGGCTTCCCGCGCAGCGCCGACCGCTCTGCGCTTGGCCTCCGTCATGGCCTGGTACTTGGCCTCTCTCTCCTCCTCGGCCTTCTTGTCCTTCTCCAACTGCTCCCAGACCTCGTCGCTGACGCCAACGTCACGGATGGCCTTGTGCTTCCCCCTCCCCCCCTCCTCCTCCTCCTCGACCTCTTCGACCTCTTCGACCGGGCTTTCAGGGGGTGTGTAGGTCACCTCCTCTTCCTGGACGGCCGTCTGATGCTGTGTCGTGATGTTGTGCGGGGTCTGAGGGGGTGGGGTCGCCATCGGCATATCCTGCGGCCCAGGCATGCCGCGCATCGTGCCCGCTTGTTTGCCACGGGCATCGCGCTCGTCAAGCATCTTGTCGAGCTCCGTCTCGACCACGGCCTCCGTGACCGTGATGTACTGCCCCTCGCGGGACTCGAGGGCTTTGAGGAAGATTGACTTGGCCAGTGTCTCCACATCGCGGGCGCTGGCCCAGCTGGGTTGCTTGGAGAGCGCACGGAATGTGCACACTACGTCGTCCTTGAAGTTTGCGTTGGGGTGCTGAAGGCAGTCCAGCACGAGGCGGGCGGATGCCTTTTTGATCTCAAGATCGCGGTTCTGTTTCCGAAGGACCTGGTATAAGAGGTCGAAGCAGTGCTCCGGACTGAGGCTGTGGAAGTCGACGACCTCGGGGAAGCGGCTAGACATACCGGGGTTGACGGAAAGCAGCCGGTTGATGTCGTCGTCGTACCCCGCCAGGATGATGACAAGACGGCCCTTGTACTTGTCTTTGGTCACGGCATCAACGAGCTCGTCAACGGCTTCCTTGGCGTAACCGCCTTCAGCCAGCCGGTACGCCTCGTCGATGAACAGCACTCGACCGAGAGCCTTGTCGAGAGCCTCCAGGACCTTGTGGCTCGTCTGTCCAACATACTGTGCGATGAGGTCAGAGGCTGAGCATTCCATAACCTTGTCGTTCGCCAAGAACCCCATATCGTAAAAGACCTTGCCCATTTTCTTCGCAGTCGACGTCTTGCCCGTTCCAGGGGGCCCGCGGAAGAGGAAGTTGAATGGGATATTCTGTTTGAGATCAATACCAAGGGCTTTCATGGATCGGGCGCTCTCCTGAAATCCTTCTAACGTGGCAACGATCTTCTCGCAGCCGACCGTGCCCTCGAACAGCTTGGCCACGTTGGTGTCGGCGCGTTCCGCCCGATCAAAGTCCAGGTCAAAGTCCAGGGCCTCGAGGGTAGAAACATGTTTGGCCTGCTTAGACGAGACGCGTTTTTGGTGGCGACTCTTGGCTTCGTTCAGGAGAATGTCCACCTCGCCGGCGTTGCCAAAGTTCGGGCGGTTGCGCGCGCGCTCCAGCATGTCATTGGCGACATTTTTGGCTTGATTGGTCGCCGAGAACCCCTGTTGCTTGAGCTTCAGATCGAGGATCGTCATCAACTCGGATCTGCCAAAGTCTTCGAACACGAATGCAGAAGATATAGGGAACCGCCGGCTGAGGCCCGGATTCACGTTCTGGAACATTTCCTCCATCTGGTCTGTGTATCCGAGGAGCAACACACAGCGGTCCTCTCCTGGGACACTTTGGACCTCGGCAACAATCGTGTCGACGACCGCGGTCTTGTAAGGGTCGGAGATATCCCCGCTTGAGCCGCCACCGCCATACAAGCCGTATGCTTCGTCAATGACGAGGACCTTGCCTACAGTCGATGCGAGAATGCCCTTTGTCTTCTCTTCGGAACCGCCCAAAACGGCACCCACAAAGTCGGACGGGTTCTTGACGACCACTACTCATAGTTAGCTCTGTAAGCGGGGATAGTCATGGCTACAGCACTCACCTTCTCCATTTGAAAGCAATCCAATATCGACCAGGATCTGGCCATAGAGCTTTGCGACTGTTGTCTTCCCTGTTCCGGGCGACCCGAGAAAGACCTTGTTCAGAGAATACTCTATGACGGGTTCCTCCGCAAGTTCTCGAACATAGTTCATCTGGATGCTGTCGACCAAGGCTCGAACCGACTCCTTGACCGACGAGAGACCGATGAGGCTTTGTAGCTCGGCCCAGGCTTGACAATTGCCGAGAGCGCTGGAGGGTTCCGGGCCTATCAGGTCCTCCTTGGTGAACATGAGGTCATCAGGGGTTCCCTTGGCGAGTCGTTCTTTGCGGATTCTGTTGGCCTGCCGGCTGGAAATCTTGGCGAGAAGATTCTCTACCGCTCTCGCATTGCCGAATCCTTCTTTACCACGTCCCCGACCGAGTCTCCGGCAGACGACCCGGACGTAAAGAGGATCGTCCCACTTCATGCGGCCCCCGTACTTCTTGTGAATCTGCGCCTCGAGGATACGCCGAAGCTCGTCGTCGTTGTAGTCGTCAAACTTCATCTCTCTCGGGAACCGGCTGGGGAAGCCTGGGTTATGGGTGAAGAAAGACTCCATCTGCTTGTTGTAGCCGGCCAGGATGAAGACAATTTTTCCCGTCAGGTTCTCAACCTCGGCAAGCAGGAAATCCAGCACCGCTTTGCCGCCGGGGCTGTTTCCGGATGATAGCTGGTAGGCCTCGTCGATGAAGACGACCCCGCCGCCATCGTTAAGCATGTCTTCCAGCATCTTCTGGCAGGCCGCAACTCCCATCGACGCAAGCTTCGATCCGGAGGTTTCCTTGAAGCCGCTGCCAGCTATGACACCAACTGAGGTGAGAAATTTGCTGTAGATTCGCGCTACAGTTGTTTTGCCTGTTTCCGTGTTAGTTTCCTGCATAAACAGTTGGCAAAGGTCTTCTCACCAGTGCCAGGGTTTCCCAAGAGTGTGCAGCCAAACCTCTCGGTTGATAGCGAGATGTTTTGTCGCACCGCAGTATCGACCATGGACTTTATTGATAGGAACTCCTCCTTGACACTCTCCAAGCCAATCATGCCCATCAGCGTATCCAAAGCACTGCTGCTCGCCCCGTCCCGCTTCATGCTGGCCCATTCTGACTCGGCACTATCGGGGGCAGGAGGTCCATGCAGCTTAGGTTCGTCACCCTGTACGTGATTTGCCTGCATATTTGACTGGGCTTTGGCCGCCGCCTTCATCGCCTCTGCTCGAGATCTTGTCTGTCGGAGAGCCTCGAGCTCTTCGCGCGTCTTCTCAAGTGTCTTTTCGTGATCTTCTTGCTCTTGAGCGTGTTTCAGTAGACGTCGTTCATGATCAAGCTCGTCCTGTATCTGCTGAATATCCTGCGCGTACCGCTTCTGTGCCAAGTGGCGTTCAGTTTCCATCTTGAGGTCTCGCTGAATCCTCCTTCTGGTATCCTCGTCTTCCTTGAGACAAGCGTGACACGCGACGTCTTGCTTGCTGCAAGGGACGCGGAACTTGTGGTTACGGTCGCATGTCTTCTCGATGCGTAGTTCGCACGGTGACTTGCTGTGGTCCACAATCCGATGGCACCGCATCTGGCATGCGTGTTTTCCACATGATAAAATGGCATTGCTGCGTCCACGTCGTTAGCATCATAGAACCCGCGCGCAGTTGGGTACGCGGCCATCGGTGGGTGTCTTCGCAACTCACCAGACTTGGTCGCAGCCTCCATCGGGGCACTTGAGATCAAAGTCCTCGGGTTCCTTTAGCAATGCCGTCTTTTCGGGATGCTGTTCGCACCGGATGGACACGCCATCATGAAGATACCCCTTCTCCTTGAGCAATTTGAAGAATGAATTCCAGACCGCCTTGCCCTGCGAAGATGCCATGAACGTTTCCATGTTCCCTATCAAGACTAGGCATTCCCTAGCTCGAGAGCACAGCACATTCAGGCGTTCGGGCGCCTTCATGAATCCAATGTCACCATTGTTGTTGCTTCTTGTCAGAGAAGCAATGACAATGTCGCTTTCCTCTCCCTGATAGTTATCTAGAAAAGATAAGCCCGAGAGAATTCAAGTGAAGGATCACACCGAACTTACCTATAGTAGACAGCCTGATTCTCCCTGATCCAGATTTTACTTTGGCCGCCGCCGCGGTCATCAGTCCCGCGCGGGTGAGCTCGAACGTGTCGAGGTCGTTGAGCCACGGGTCGTTATCTTTGCTCAGCATGTCCCTGAGCAAACGAAGCTGCCCGAGGTAGGGCGTGAGAACGACCAGGTTCTCAGTTCCGTATCCTTGCTGGCCCAGATACTTGACAAGCTTCAGGACCATCTGCGCCTCGAAACTGTTTTGTTTGCTAGAGGGGGCGCCGTCGTCGCGGCGATCGGCGATGTCACCGGCCAGGTCCTCGGGGTGGCCGTGGTTGACGAAGCTCACTCTGCCTTGCAGTCCCTTGGGAGGTTTTCGTGCTTCAGTCTTGGGGTCGTCCAACAAAGCAGGGTACGTCATCTGCCGCACAATGTCCGAGATGTTGGGATGCATGCGGTGCTGCTTCTGTAGCGTGATGTGTTCGTGCCCGTGGACAATCAACCGTTCAAAGAGCGAGCGGTTGAGGTCGAACCCTTCCCCCTTCTCGACGCTCAACTTGTAGTTGTTGATCTTAGGTCGGAGTTGCTTGTGGTCTCCGATCAAGATCAGCTGGCTCGTTTCGCTATGCAGGGCCGTCAGCACGTGGGCCTCGAGAATTTCTCCAGCCTCTTCTACGAGAACGACGTCCGGCTTTGCAGCCTTGATCAGCGACTTGTATTTTGCGGCTGCGGTGGTCGTGCACCCAATGAGCCTCTTCGTCTGCATGAAGGAGCACTTGTTCTCGTTGAAGAGAATAGCCAGCTTCTCGTCAGCCTCGTCGAAGCGTCTGACCAGACCCTGGACCGCCTCGATCTGCTCCTTCTGCACACACTCTGTCCAGCTCTGGAAGTGCCGGGACCTCTCGTCTTTGGGCAAGCTCCAGATACGCTTGCTTGCAGGCGACATGAGGTTGCGTAGTTGGCCAGCGCCTTGTCCCTGCCTCCATCGTTCGAGCAAGTGGGCAGACGTCATCTCTTGGTTTTTGCTACCCGCAATCCGGAAGCCTTGCTCCTGTTCGGGTAAAAGAAAGGCCTCATAGAAATTCTGGTCATTTTCGGAAAACTCAAGGAAACTCAAAATCTCCGTTGAGCTGACTCTGCCTCGGACCAGGCCGCTGCATGCATGATTGATTTCGTCTCTGACTGTACTGAGCTCTCCCTTCACTCCGTCAATGAGTTGCCATGCCCGATGACTTAGGCGGGAAGTCGTCGCTTCGCGAAGCTTTCTGTCCAGAGATAGCGACGCGGTTGCCTCTGTAGACTTGGATCCCAGTCGCACCATGTCGCTTGCCGGGATGCCGATGTTCATGAGATCCTCGAGAAACTGGTCGAGCGCATGGTTTGTGTAGCTGAGCACTAGAATACGTTTTGACGGATCCGTCAGTAGGATCTTGGCTGCCAGCGCGCCCACGAAGGATTTGCCGGTTCCTAGAATGAGGCAAATCAGTCTCCAGTTCCGCTTCCAGGTTCAGACGAGCCAAGTAGACAAGACTTACCAGGAGGTCCTTGAATGAGGGCCACCGAATTCTCCAGCGCGTGCAGCAGAGACAGAATCTGAGACCCGTCAAGGTCGAAGCGCTGTTCACGGAGGCCCCGTTGACCGAGTACGAGCCTGTGCGATTTGGACTCGACGAGCTGTTGTAGCTTCTCAAGATAGATCTGAATGTGGGAGGACTGCTGCAAGGGAGTGGGCGAGTGGTCGCCCTCGTCATCGGTTCCAAGGCGAAGCAGCTCCGCTCCCAGAGGCATCTCCACTATGTCTCGCAGACATTCCAGAACAGGTTGGTAGGCAAAGACAGGAGTATCGACCAGGATGAATTTTAGGCTTGCGGGCGCTTGAAGGGCCAGCAGAGCTCTGGCAGTCGCATCGCTGCTGGTGAACTGCAGGGTAACGACCGGCGGGCTCTTGACAAGCTCGTCCATGTCACGAAGTAGGAAGGCAAAGGCGATGATGTGCTTGTCCCCGCATAAAACACCAAAAGACTGATGGCGGAGGACGTTCTTGTGGTCGTCCAGAAAGGTCTTGCGCCTCGCTGGCGTCAGATTCCTCAGGAACTGGAGCCCCTCGTAGCAAGCAACATGCACGGCACAGGAGTGGCTTCGTTTGTCGTCGCCAGTATCTATGCCGATGAGTCTCAGCCCGGCGAGGATCTGGGCTTTCTTGTTGCTTTTCTTCCTGCCCGTGGCTACCTTCAGGTCGTCTCGGAGCTCTGCGAGCATATCCTCGCGGAGAAGGCGGAATTGGTTATCGAGATGCACACGCGGTCGCTGGGCGTAGTCGACGCTGGCGACTTCAGCCGCTCGACGGTAGAAGGGCAAGGCACTGGAGTAAAACTCGTCGCTGGTGGGGAAGATGGAAATGTCCCGAAAATTGGCAAAGTCGTTGTCATGGCGGCCGCCAGCCGCCTCGAGGCCCTGATCGGGGGAGGCGGACGATCTGAGGTCCAGCACCTTCTTGATTCTGTAAGTGAGGTCACGGGTTCTGTGGTCCTGGGCCCCTTTCAGCGGTGCTTGTTCCAAGGCGGCAGATATATCGTCGACGATGTTGTCGAGCGCGTTGTCAGCAAGACTTGCCAGCTCGAAGCAGAGCCAGGCAAACACGTAGAGCTCGCCCTCTGTCAACTCAGATGCCCGATAGGTGCGCAAGAGGTTGCCCCAGAGTACGGGGGGCTGAGCGATGATAAGCAGGAGCTGACGAAGGAGGTCGCCATTGTACATCATCTTCACTCCGGGATCGGTCAGGTACGCAACGAAGGGAATGACGTGCTTTTGGACGAAGGAGGTCGATGAGTCGATCCGGATGCTGTGTCGAACGGCATCCTTGGCAACATCGCTAGCCGTTATGATCTCCAAACAAGCAGCCGGAGAAGGGTTCGTCCGGATCGCCTCAAGGAACAGGCGAGCATCGGCAGGTGTGGTGATTGCCCTCCCGCCTTTGGTGACGTCCCGAAAAACCTTGGACAGGCGAGAAGCACGCTGGGAGTCGGTAACGGTAGAGACCATGATGCTTTCTGATTTGGTGTGCAAGAAATGGAGATGGGACCAAGTCGGAGGAACTCTGGGGTTGTAGTACAGTAAATGAAGAGCTGGATACGAGCGCCGGTCGGCAACTGGGATTGCATTGGTAATTATTCGACTGCGGTCCTCTTGTCTCTGATCTGCCTGGCGTGGTTGAGGAGGACAAACCAATGGGCGAAAAAGCCAGATAAGAGACCAACAACATGTCTTGCAGGGACGGCGGGTATTCATCCCATGCAGAGCTGCGCCTCGTAGGCAGACAAGGTTAGGCTTTGACTGCCAAAGGCTCTGTAGGTCTGTTGGGGACAAAGAAGAACGTCAAAGTAGAAGTCAAAGTGGAAGAACGGCAACCAACCGAAGGCCTCAAAATCGGTCGCCGTCGCCGTTTGCTGCGGGCGGGGTGGAGGGGGGGTGGTCGGCCTCCGGCATGACGGCCGCATGGAAGCGGTACGTACTAGGCACCCTACGTGGCGCCTACAAGGCAGACAGACAAACAAATAACCGATGGACGAAGGTGATAAAACACCTGAATGTGCAGTCTGGATGTTAGTATTCCAGTTCACTTTACTCACCTGCATGACACCCATCTCTCTGGACCATAATGTATCGACAGAACAAGTACAACCAATTCCAAAGCAAGCCTCGGTGGCGGCAGCCGGAGCCCGAAACGCCATCACCAGCGCCGCCGTTCGGGTCGCTGGTAGAGACAGTCGACATGGCGGAGCTTTCGGTGACAGCCGCAAAGTTCGAAGCCTCTGCTCAGGTGACCAGCTGCGAGGTGGTGGCGTCATACAACTGGCTCGACAAGACGGCACCGTCGGTCTTGATCCCGGGTACATGCAATTCAACAACTCGGAGGTTTCTCTGTAATTCTGCTAACTCGGTTCAGGTGCGCCGCCAAGATGGACGCCCGTTGCAAAGCCTCGACCTCTGGCAGAAGACAGCGGTGTCTACTACCGCGACAAGAACGCCGCCAGGTACCCAGCTCATCCGATGGAGCCTACCGCCCTGGCCGTTCTGACGATGCATCCGGAGCCATTCAAGAAGCCGGTGGACATTGTCGGTTGCGGAAGCACCATCGGAAACCTCTTGCGCTTCGTTCGGGGTGAAGAGCGGCCTTTCCGAATGCTTGTCGAGGTGGTTGGGGGCGTCGTGCACTTGATCCGGAGGGAGAACTCGCCCACTGAGACCATTCCCAGTGTCAGAGGATACGGACACACATTCCCGGAAGCCTACACCACTTGGGATGCCGGCGTGCGCGGGTCCGCATCCCACCAGCGCGTGCTCCGGTACAACTTTGGCGGACTCAGCTGTGTCGTCCGGCACGAGGGTGACGGCTATCTCGCAGACAAGCTTGGGTCGTTGTCAGATGGAGGCGGTGCGGTCGCTAACGAAAAGTGGTCCGTCGACTCGCTGATTCAAGGCTTGGGCGCCAGTGAAATGGAGTCCAAGAGTCCCAGCCACTCGTCTCCGCTGAGTTCGCACCCGGGAGGTTTTCAAGTACCCCAGGCAGCGGTTTTCGACCTCAAGACACGGTCCATATTCCGGAAAGGCAAAGACTTCCTTGCAGAGGAGCTTCCTCGGTTGTGGGTGGCACAGATCCCCAACTTCATCCTGGCCTACCACCAGCGGGGCACCTTCACCGAGATCGAGGTCATGGATGTGTCGGAAAAGGTCAAGGTGTGGGAGAAGTCGATGCAACGGGAGCTCTCTCAGCTGGCAGCACTCTTGCATCGCATCGTTAGTCTTGCACATGCGAGTCGAGATGGACGGCTTGAGGTCATCCGGCAGGAGGCTTCGACGCTCCAAGTTCGAGAGCAATGCCCCGAACTGCCTCTCGCATTCTCGGATGACATGATGATCAAGTGGGAGGATTGGCTGGCCTTGGACGCCAAGAGCAAGGTAAGCGGAGCTGAGAGGCGGGCTGATGACTTGGAAAAAGAGGCGGAAGACGATTTTGCATGGACCGTCGGAGACGATGATTACACTGCGTGCTCGGAGAATTGTTCCTACTGCGGAAAGTGCACGTACTGAGGCGTCGAGGAGTTTGCTGGTGGACGACAGGAGAGAAAGGCGGACTAGGATAGATGACGATAGCTTCAATGTTGTTTGTGGACAGGTGGAAATGCTGCCCACCGAGACGCGTCAGGGCAAAGCCGGTGGAGCCCTGCTCTGTTGAAGGACACGTGATTGGTCGAAGGGGTTGTCCAGGTGGGTCTTTCTCGGTGAGGCGGCCTCTCACCGATGTCATCGTCCCCGCAACTGAATGAATGAATGAATGCCTTACTCACTCATCGAACTTCATATAAAGCCGTACTTATGAGGGAATAACATGTAAACTATATATATATGGCTGAATTTCTTATATTGATCATCCTACGCATATGTCTGCCTGTCCCCCGGCCGATGCGCTGCTCACTAGTGCTCCCTCCGTTCACTCGGAATGGCTGAGCAGTCCACACAACCCCGCAAAGCCGAGTTTTGAATGCGTGATAAAACCCTCTATTTTCTCATCATGACGCTACTATGTTCCATTGAAAAAATCTTACTGCTTAGACGCGCGGTTCCAAGTTAAGTTTGGTGGGAGCGACTGTGCCCTGGCCCTGGGTCGTTGTGGACGTTTCCGAGCCTTGAGCGTAACTCTATCATGTCCCGCCATGCCGGTTCTGGATGACAGGAAACGTTCTCTTTCGCTGGTTCTTACTGGAGGTAGACTGAGTAGGTTCTTCTGATACGATTAACGTTCAATGAAGGAATTTTCGGGTTCCGAAGAGAGGAACGAACTTTTCTTGCATGTTTTTCTTTCGCGTCGTATTTCCGAGAAGAAAACAGCCTCATTGGCGTAGATGAACATCGATAATTATTGGAAACCCACAAACGAAACAATGACTGACATATTGAACCGGCAGCTTTCAGCCTCCGAGCAATAACCATCCAATTCATTCGAGTAATTCCAGCCTGGCTGAGGCTGTTATCACCGTGACACCAGTAACATACACACACACACACACACTCAAAAGGCTAGTCATGACCGCGCTTTTGACCGAGATGGACCGAGTCTAAAAAGCCGCTTCAAGGAGGGCCTCATAAACGGCCGGCGGCCTGCGAGGCTGAGCAGTTCTCCTAGTGTTATCCCTTGCAGTCAAAAAAGGGTCGAAGCCGTGGGATTGGGTCGTTTCCCCCTTGCATCGCCCGCCAACAGTCAAGGGTGACGTTTTTCAGCTCAATCCTCCTTCCAACATCGTCTAGAAGTGGAAATACCCTCTAGTGTTGGACGGTGAAAGCAGACGAGCATCAATGAGCCATCTTGTCTGCCCCCAGAAAGACACGCTTTACTTCTCTCTCTTTCTCTCTCTCTTTTCCTCTAGCCAACGGGAAAGGGCAAACGTGGGGCCAAACGCGACTGCAGGAACCCTCCGGCCTCGTGTGGTCCGCACCTTCATCATCTCGCGACTTGAAAGAACATAAAAGCCATCCATCGTCTGCCACCATTATTCTTCCCTTTTTCCATTCTCCTTTTTTATGTCCGATAGCGGAAGAAAAAAGAAAACGAAAACAATCCATTCATTGACCACTTTCTCAAACACAAGTCTTTGCCGCCAGAGAGACAAGGACACACACACACACACACTCTCTCTCTCTCTATTCCCACCATCCCATTCCATCACGCATTAGCTTCGCCTTTTGAGCGCGCGACGATGGCCTCAGACCTACGACTTGCGAAGGCCCAGCGGCCCCCCAACCCCTACGGAGTCCCCTCGATAACCATCGAGCCGACCCAGCTCTACTTGCGCCAGCTGCACTCCATGGCCCACCGCAGAGACGTCCTCGTTAGGAACGGCTTCGTCGTCCACCCGCTCTCCGAAGCCGACATGGACGATAAGAAACGCTGCCGCAAGTGCAACCTCCGCTGTCAGTCTTTCCTCCCTCGCCCCGGGGTTGGTCCGCGTCTGCTAAAGCATTTCCCTGCAGGCTCCAACAACAAGAACAAATATAAGCCGAATGACAAAGACGGAAAGATAGGGCCCAAGAAGGATACCTTGAACCCCGACCCCTCGTCCAACGAGAAGCTCTCCAAACCGGTTCTCAAGTGCCGGTACCACACCGGCCGCGTTGACCGCATGGTACGTCCCCCCCATCCCTTCCCTCCTCATCTTGACCGAACCCTTTCCTCACTTACACGACCATCAGTACTGGACCTGCTGCCGCGCTCACGCCTCCACCCCAGGCTGCACTTGGGCCCCGGAGCACCTCACCTGGACCTATGCCCGGGCCGACTTCAAGACCCGGCACCAATACCACCACACCCCTGCCTTCTCCCCAGCCGCCACTACTACTGCTACCACTACCACCGTCTCCTCCCGCGCCGCACCACCTCATCGCAGACCCCACTTCGCCGTCGCCATCGACTGCGAGATGGGCACCGCCTACGACGGCGAGTCCGAGCTTATCCGCGTCACCCTGGTCGATTACTTCACCTCGGAGATCCTCCTCGACAGCCTCGTCTACCCCCAGGTCCCCATGCAGCACTACAACACAAAGTGGTCCGGCGTATCGCGCCAGCAGATGAAGGACGCCCGCGACAAGGGCAAGTGCATCGCCGGAGGCCCTGCCGCCGTCCGCGAAGCAGTCTGGCGCTGGGTCGGCCCCAGCACCGTCGTCGTCGGCCACGCCGTCCATAACGACCTCGCCGCCCTGCGCTGGATCCACCCGCTCGTCGTCGACTCGCTCGTTCTCGCCACCACCACACGTGCTGAGCAGGAGAAACGCGAGCAAGAGGAGAAGGAAAAGAAGAAGCGAGAGGAGGATGACAAGTACGAGGAGAAGCGTGGCGAGCAAGGAAACGAGAAAGAGAAGGCTGCTGCCACCGTCGCCACTTTAGAGGAGGGGGAGGATGAGGAGGACGGCGGCGGCGACCTCATTTCCTTTGAAGAGCTTGCCCTCGGGCCCCGGGATAGCAAGGAGAACCCAAAGAAGCCCTCGGTCGCCAAGACCAGGGTTAGGCGCAAACCTGGCGGCCTCTCACTCAAGGCACTCACGGCCGAAATGTTCGACCGCCAGATCCAAAAGGCGAAGCAGGGCCACGACAGCCTGGAAGACGCGCTGGCCGCCAGGGACATTGTACACTGGTTCGTCATGGAAAAGATGGCGGGGGCGCAAGCACAAGGCGGGGGGTCCGTCACATCAGATGTCTGGTGATGTGGGAAACGGAGGGTTTGTACTTCTAGACGTTCTGAGGTGTGGAGAGAGAGAGAGAGCGAGCGATAGCATGATCAACTTGAGCGAGCGGGTGTGACGGCACCCTGCGCTTTGCGCAAAGGCGTTTGAGTTCGGAGTCGAGGATTTTTGACGTCTCGACGGATCACGGCACATCGAGGGACGACAGCGACTGATCATTAGGTAAAAGAAAAGAAAGAACCAAAGACATTACACGTCTCATGATGGCCTCCTCTTCGCATTCCGTGGCTGCATAATGTTTTGTGTTTCCTCGTCGATGCCTGTGTATATTTGATACTGTAGTCTTTCTGAGGCCGATACCTCAATCTCAAAACTTCGCACCTCCTGCTTCCTAGCTACCAAAAAAGTCAAGGTCAACTAACGAGTTGAGTTGGAATAAGTAAAGAGAAGAGAAGAAAAAAAAAAGAGAGAGAGACAGAAGGAAAAGGGAGCCAATGTTCTACCGCCGCATGATAACAAAATGAACGAAGCCAAGTGACCCATGCTGTGCGCAAAGAATCAGACCCAGGAGCCAAAGCAAACCCCGTCGGGCGGCCAAAACAAGGCAGAGCCGTCAACGCCTCCCAAGATACTTGTATGCTTTGCTGCACTCATCTACCCCATTCCAATGGCAATATCGATGCCAAAAAGGTTACGTTGGACATAAAAAAAAGAGAAAAAGAAAAAAGGCCCAACCAAGGTTTTAAAAGTGGTAAACAACACCCTCCCCCTGCCTGTGCCAGTCAATCCTTTTCGTCCCGGTGTTTCCCTCGCGCGCTCCTGGGTATATTGTATTTGCGTATCTCATGCCAGCATTTCATAATCTCCAACAACGCTCTGAATCGGGATTGAGAGCCCCGCCGAAACTCCGTTCCTCCAGGTTACGAATGCTGTTGCTGCCCGTTGGGCGTGGACGGCTCCGCCATCTCCGGATCGGCGGGCCCCAGCATCGACGCCTCCATGGAGATGACACTCGCTGGGCGACTCTGGTGGTTAGCCGGGCTGAGCATGGAAGCTTCCATCGACGCAGTGCTGGCACCCAGAGGTGCGGGCCTCCTGCTTGTGTATGCGGGGAACCCAAGGTTTGTTCCCTGGGGCGAGAGAGTGTTTGCCGTCGATGTGCTGGGTCCTGGACTCGTCGGGGAATAGTGACTAGACACAACCAGGGGCGGTGCGTGGTTGGACGGGCTGCCGGTCGTTGGCGAGCGAGCCGACTGAGGAAACGCTGGGCTGACGGGGCTGAACAGCAGAGGAGCCTGGCCCAGGGGCTGAGCGAACATGGGCACGGCGCTGGCCGAAGGCACGTGGTTCGGCGGAGGCGGAGGAACGCCGTTCTGAGCATTTCCGTTTACCAGGTTCTGTGCCAACAGGGGTTGGCCATCTACCGCCATTTCGCTGCCGTCCAGGCCCTCAAAGTCGTCGTCCTCCGGCACCTCGGCGTCATCAACCTCGCCATCTCCGTTGACCTGTTCAGTATTGCCGGCGGTTGCATTACGGGGGTCCGCCGGGCGACGGGCGCCGAATCCCGGAATGCCAGGGAATCGGGCGGGCGAATCGCGCAAGCTCTCGTATTCGGCAGAGGAGTTGAGGTAATCGCGAAGTCTCGAAACGCCGGTACCGGAAAAGACGCAAAACACACCACGTTGGTGATCGGTGAATTCTGAGCCTTGGTTAGTATTTACTGCTGCCGCCACGACAACGGTTACAAGGAACGTACCAGGCGGGGGAGGACGGCAGAACTCGCCAAACTCTTCCCTGAGGAAAGCAGTAACTCCCGTCAAACTGAGATGGGTGAGACGCGGGCAGTAGTTCAGTAGTTTGATGATGCTCTGCGAGCTGTCAGCATGGGGTGCGGATATCGACTGTGTCAACAGGTGACAAACATACCTTGAGGGTCAAGTTTGTGCAGTAACTGAGATGGACTCTCTCGAGACTGGACGAATAGTACTCGTCAATGTTGCCGTTTGCGTCTCGGCGTGCGCGAGGGCGGTGGTTGGCACGGGCGAGAGCAAACACGGACTCGTCGGTGATGCTGCTGCACTTGACAAGGCCGATTCTCTTGAGTTTGGGAAGCTGAGCCAGTTTCGTGACTGAATCATCAGTGAGGTTGGTGCAGCATCCCAGGTCGATGTAACGTATACGGTTGCATGCCTGAACAAGCCGCTTCACGGCCTCGTCGGTGATGTGGCCGCAGTGGCCGAGATGCAGGTAATGCAGGTTCTTACCAAGCTTCGCAATGGCATTGACGGCGACGTCGGTGATGTTGCGACACTTGGCCAGAACGAGGTTGCGGAGACGGGGAGCGGCGTCAATGATCTTCTGCACGGACTGATCGGTGAGCCTGGCGCACGACGTCAGGTCGAGGATGCGGAGGTGATCGTATGTCTTGCCGAGCGGCAGTGACATGAAAGCCGTATCGTCGATGAGTTCGCAACCTGCCAGCCTGAGCTCGCGCAAAGACTGGCCTTTGGCGATGAGTGCGGTAATGGGCTCGTTTCCAATCTGAGCACACTGATGCAGGTCGATTTCGAGGATGTTCGGGCAGTTGTCGGCAAAGGCAAGGATGGCATTATCTCGCAGTTGATGACAATCGTTGAGTTTGAGCTGGAGTGGGAATTGTATCAGCCAAAAATGCAAACGGCAGGAGCCGGGGACGAGGCGTCACCATCGAGACCACAGCATAGACGTCGCGGTGCGAAGGCACGCAGGCAGCAGAGATGACGTCGAGGAAAGAATGGAAAGAGGAAGAAAAAGGAAGAAAAGGTACATACCCTCTTGATGTAGCGACAGTTCTCGGCAAGCTTGATCATACTCTCGTTGTTGATCAGGCGGCAGCCCGAGATGTTCAAGCCCTGCAGTCTCTTGCAGTGGTCGGCAATGGTAAGGATGGAGACGTCAGTGATGTTCTCGTCGCCCGAAATATCGAGTGCCAGAAGAGAGGAGCTGTTTTCGACTAGCTTCGTCAAGCCCTGGTCAGTGAGGTTCCGGCAGTGCGTCAGGGTGAGTCGCTCGACGCGGGTGCAGACGGCGAGAGGCATGACGCTGCCATCGCTGATCTTATCAGCGAGAGGGGCGGCGGCCAAGTTGAGGCGCTTGATGAAGTCGCGGTAGGCGAAGAAGGGAGTGGGAAGCTGGAGCGTCTGGCATATGGACGAGTGATTCCTCCAGTTGGTGCAGGCGGGACGGTGCCATAGGAGGTCGACCGAGTTCTTGGCCCAGCGCTTGCAGGTGAGCATGCAGTGGAAGAGGTCAGATGTGTTGTTGAGCTTGGCGAAGATGGAGATGAGGATCTCGCTCGGCAAGCGGTTTACGGCGGGTTGGCACGGGTCGTCGTTGACCTGCATGTCCTCAATGTTGGGCACGCCGAGGGACGACTGCGAGTCGTTGCCGGCGATGAAGAAGTCCGACTCCTCGTTGTCGGCGGGGAGAGGCGAGTTGGTGGAGGACGAGGAGCGCGAGTCGGGGGTGACTGACTGTACCGCCATGATCTCGATCGAGGGGGCGGCGGGCCTCATGATGGGCGGCGACGTGCGAGAGAAAAAGAGAGAGCGCGCGTGCGAGCAGACGGCTGGCAAGTGGAAGGATTCGAGGCTATTCGGTCAAGGGAGACGGGGAAGGGGAAAGGGGAGTCGAGTCCCCGTTCGGAGATTGAAGACTCGGGCAGCAAGCGACGTCGAGGGTAGGAGGTGTTCTCGTCGTCGCGGTTGTGTTGATGTTTGTGCAAAGGTCGGTCGGGTTGTGGTTGGGTCGACGAGGTGAATGGCGGGGATTTGTCACCAGATCGGAGGGTTATGAAAAGGCGAACGAACCAGTGCCACGACGCTGAATAGTGTGACAGTGACGGCTGACCCACAGAGTATGGAAATGGAGAGGCTCCGGCAGTGGAGGAGGGGGAGGAACAGGAACAAGGAAGACGGCGGCGTTGGTGGTAGTGTAGTGGTGCAGATGCTGACACTGGGCAGGTGGTTGGTAGAACAGGTAGGTGTAGGTAGGTACCTCGAGGTCGACTGACTGACTGGCTAGGTTAGCACACAGGGCGGCCGGGGGTGGCGGGGGGGGTCGAAGTACTGTGTACAGTTTGCGTGTAAGTACCCGTGCTGTGGCTTTGGTGGTGCAGGGCAGGGTGTGGGAGGGTTTTGTGCGACGAACGGCGTGCCAAGTTGAGGGAAGGACGAGGCGAAGCGAGGCGAGGCGGGATGCAGAAGAAACAAAGACGTCAGGGAGAGACACACACTGTTTATTATCGGTCGGGCGGAAGAGAGAAGGGTCGTCAGACGGACGTTTTGGGGGGGGGGCGAACGGTGGGCGAGGTATGTATTTTAGTGACGGGTGATTCTTGGTCTGAAGTTCCCGTGGTGAGGAGGAAAATGAGGTCAGGAAGAGAGAGGACGGGACGAGAAGTCGAGAGACGGTTGGTTCGCGTCGCAAGGCCCAGCACGGGTTGTTGGGCGGCTTCGTATGTGATGGATGGAAGGGGGCGTGGGTTGCGGTTGCGGACGAAAAGATGCAATGCGACGCGACGCGATGCGATGCGATGGGGCGGTTATGCGGTGATGCAAGTCTTTGCGGTGGCACTGTCCGTCTCTTTCTATCTAAATGTCTTTCGTTCCGTCGTTCTCTCAGTCCGCCGTTGTCTGTTCATGCGTGTGGTGTCGTAATAGCAAGAGGAAGTCTGAACAGAAGGCGAGTAAGTAAGCAAAGGGCGCCAGGAGGATGGAGCAACAGCAGTGACCAACACGATCAAACAGCGAATGACGAACGACGGGAGAGGGGTGGTTTTCCTCGTCTTCCTTTCTTCTTTTTTTTTTTTTTTTTTTTTTGCTGTTGGCGGTGGCAGCCCGTATTTGGTTTGTGGGCTCTGGACCTCGAGGGCAGAGGGATTGGGGACGAAGAGGTGACACCTGTTGAAGCTAAACCGGGCTGAAAGTGGAAACAAGGAGACACTGAAGGATGGAAGGATGGACTGTACTGCGGTAACTGACTGACCTGAAAGAAACGCCAAGGCTTCACTTCACCCCAAGGCTTAGGCAGGTGCAGGTGCAAGTGCAAGGCAAGAGACGTTGTTACACAGTACATACCTATCTATTTAATTAATGTTTTGAGTCACGGTCGGAGGCCAAAGGGGAAGGGGAAGGGGAGATCTGCAATGCTCTGCAATGTCCTGCCATGCGGCTGGGTTGCAGTGCTACAGCGGGCAGGAGGCCTGGAGGTGAGGAGGAAGGAGAGGCGAGGCAGCACAAGGCAAGACACTGCGGAGTCGTCATGAGGAAGGTACAATGTAGAATGTACAATGTAGGATGTACAGTGTACAATGAACAATGCTAAACCACTGCTCGACATTGCTAGTGTAGATACACTACCAAGTTAGTCACTTGGTAAGGCTGCGGTGAAATAAGAACAAAGTGGACGCCTGACCCCCTTCTTTTCCTTTGTTTTCTTTTTGCATGTCCGTAACCCCCTCCCGTTTCCCCTCTGTAGCCGTCCCTTCTGCTGTTGTCTGATTTGATCGCAGAGTCCAAGGGATGGATATCGGCCGGAGGAGAAAAAGAAAAAGACGATACTGAGAGCGTCGAGGTCAACGTTGAGCGCCCGACGGGGGTACAAGATGGGAGGTACGGGTACAGCACATATCACATACGTACCTAAGCCAATCACTCCGTAGGTAGGTACCTATCTTGGGTCTTGACTAATCGCCAATTACAAACAACCCATGTCAACGAGGAAAGGAAAAGGGAAGGGGTAGGTAGGTAGGAGGAGCACGGAAGGGACGGGAGGGAGGGACATGGAAGCAGGGGGGGGCGGAGCAGCGGCTAGCTGGATGTATTGTATCTTACAGCGTTGGCGATGCAAGGCAATACTTCGTGACCGTCTCTCTCCCTCAGGTACCGGTAGGGTAGGTGTATATACAGAGTATCCGTACCTTGGTATGGGACAGGTTTCCTGATACCAGATACGTACCTTGTCCGTCTGTGCCTACCTATCTACTATGTAGATACTCTTCCATCACCCCACACTCGTTATGTGGTGTTTAGGTAGGTACGGAGTACAATGTACATAGCTTCTCTATATGTGAGCTTGTATACATAGCTACTTCTAGGTACCGGAGGCTTGCTCATCTACTTCGGTACGTACTGCATATAGATGGCTGAGACCGGAACGAGCTCTTTCGCTTTTTACCTTTAAAGCTCGAGGGAAGGAGACGACTCCCTTTTCCATTCGTCGCTACCGCGGTAGGTGCCTGCGGGGAATCTGAATGATGACCTCAACGGCCACCTGTTGTACATGTTGATTTGAAACCAACATTCCTCTCTGCTTCTCCTTTCACTCGCCTGCAATAAAAGACTGGACCTGGACCTGGACCGGTCGCAGCAACGGGCTCGAAACCGACAGACGAGACGGTTTCCCCGACGCGGAATGTGGGGCCATGTTTCTCTGTCTCGTAGGAGATGTCGTGCGCGTTAATGCGCCAGTCGCTTTTCTGTGAAGCAGCATGTCAATGTAAGTAATGTCGACGCAGCGTACCCCTTTCGACGGCGCCATGCGCCCCTTCTGAAGAAACGTCGCGTAGCGCTCCCGGGTATCTTTGGCCGCTGTGGCGCGCGAAACAGTACCTCTCCACTTACACACGGGAAAGGGAGACTACGTGGGTACCTACGCCCCTAGGGCACAGCATCTCTACCAATAGATGCATCCACGAATACCAGCATCTACACCTCGAATCGCCATCGCTCGCCTCGCCGGGAATCAATAAGTCGCCGTGCTGGGTCCAATTCCACTGCCAAAACGCCCAGCACAAGTCTTGGCAATAAGAAAGGAAATAAATAGACAGCGCGCTTGTACCTGGCGCTATCCGCAAACGACATAACTCCGTCGCCTTGTGGAATGTCTCCCGCCGGTCCCATTCATCATACCTAACAAACAGTCCCGGCCGTTGCGAAAAGATTGGAAACGCCACCATCTCAGATTTCTGCATTCCTCCCCCCTCTTCTTTGTTTGTTTCCCCGACATGCCTTTTGTTATTGGCTCCCGGCCCACAAATGCCATTGAAGATGGATTGCATACAGACTCCCAACATGGACCACAGGGGAAAGGGACCGTCTAATCATGAACGACGAGTCAGTGCGTCATGCATCGCTCGCTGCCTTCGCCTCTTCGCTACTCGGGGACCACGGCAGCGCTTGATACCCGTCTGTCTGTCTGTCTGACTTCACGCGCTTGGGCATCGCCGTCTCTCCCTTTAACTGCTTCAGGACGCTGCTGCCTCTTGGGCACAGACACCCCTTCTCGTCTCTATTTCCCCATTTCCATTCATTAGTCGAGTCAAGCCGAGGCCCAGAACACTGGGAAGAGAGAATGGTGACGACGGTCTCATGAATTGCTTCTGCCTTGCCTTACTAGACGGGATGTCAGGGCCTCGGATGCTTTACCATCATGCCATCCGCATCCAACGAGGTTAGACGTCCTTTCAACCTTGTTGTCTATTTTGATCCGGTAACACCCCCCACCTTGTCCGGCTTGCATTCCCGTCTTGCTGAGCGTCTGCTGGGAATGCTAGACCCGTAATAATGGCTCACCCCCTTTGTCCTTTTTTATTATCATTTCCAATTCATTCGATGCCGTTTCATTTCCGCCATCCCGACTCAGTCTTGGCCGACCCTAATCTGTACCATTCATGTCTCACATCTGAGAGTGCCTTCAATGGCATGACGACGCAGGGCTATTGGTAGTCTAGGTACACGTTCGTTCGCAGTCGAACCAACGACATGTTCTGCAGACCATGTCGGACGTCAGACGTCGGTGGTCGGCGGTTACGAGAGCCGGTTCGCGTCTCCGGTGCGTTGTTCAAGTGGGCATGTATTTGCTAGCCCCATCAACACACGGACAGGATGCCAGGACCGCTTCGAGGGACACCCATTCTTATTATTATTTTTTTTTGTTGTTTGTTTTTTGTTTTCTTTCCTTTTTAGCTTTTGGGTTTTTTCAGGCCTCTGGTCTTTGGCCTCCCGCCCCCTTTTTAGCTCCATGACACGCAGATGAAGGGAGGGCGAGAGACACGTCAAGACACAGCTGCAGCCACAATCGCCTTGACAGGCACCCTACCTACCTACGTAGGTAGGTGGAATTCTGTTTTGCTTTTCTTTGGTTTTGTTTTGTTCGTATACTCATGGGCTTTCGGGCCCCACCATTAGGGTCATATCCACGGTGGCAGCGACCGACTGAGCTGAGGGGTAGAAAGCTTCAGTGATGTCAGCAACGACATCCTTGCTACCAACGTGGGTAGGGTCTGCGGGGAGGGGAGGGGGTTCAAGCGTCGGAGACCGATCATCTAGCCAGGGTCTCATCTCATTCGTCGTTGGGACGGGCGTGGGCGACAGCGTTGGATGTAGTACCTACGCAAGCCATCATTCACTCCCGGTTGTAGGAAACCGGGGGGAGCCACCTCCAAACATACATATGCGCGAGTCCTTGGGAGCAGTGCACAGCCGTCCTGTGTTGCGATACCGCCATATGCAAGGTGATCCGGGATAGCGGTCGACGTCTGCATAGGTACGAGGAGGCTCACGGCACCCGTCGAGGCGACCAAGGGCGAATGCGTGTGAGCGGTGGCTTTGGGGGGGGGGGACTCAGTGTGATACCATCACGATCCTAGGACGCCTAAACGCCATCACGCGTGGGCGCTTAGACGGCCACGGATGGCTGACCACTCAGCTTCGCCCATCGCTCCTGGCATCACAGACACGCCGCCCCTCCCTGTCAACATTCTCTGACGGAGGGGCAGACGTGACCTTTAGTTGCTGCTGCTACTGCTACGCTGCGAATCACGGGCTAATGGTCGCCCTCGCCGAGTCTGACAGATGGTTAGTCGCAGAGGCAGTAAGTATCTACATAGTACCCCTGCAGAAGATGAGTATTGCCTTCAATAGGCCTCGCAGCGGCTGGTCGGCTGCACTATGTGAACTTTATGAGCCTACACAGTATTGCGTAGTAGACTAGGTAATAAGGCGGTTTGCGCCGGCCTTGCTTCGCTCATCACTGGAGAGATGTTCAGGGATCTTTCAGGTTGGAATCCGAGGAGAGAATAGAATGTCATGTGCGCGAGCTATGCCATGTGATACGTACGGTACGTACTGAGTGTCCCAGCGAGGTGAGCGAGGGATGCCAGCACGTGATGACTAATACGCTACGTCATTCTGGAGGACCCGGCACATGCCGCTCCACAACCATTGGTCTCCTACTACGCCGTACGGTTACTCAGTACTCCGTATAGGGATACCGATTTGTATTTTTTTTTAAATTTGTCTTTTTCCTTTTCTTCGTGTCCCATTTGAGGGTGGAGAAGATCCGTATGCATTGAGACGACGAAGCTCCAATTGCAGCTTTCCCAGCGTACACTACCTACCCAAGGTTAAGCTACTCTGTATCCGTAATGTACGTGTACCTGATTATGCAATGCTGCATTGCCCCCCCAATCTGCATCACTGACACCTCTCAGCCTCAACCAAGTGGTCCGCACTCTGCATACTGAGTACGGACTCTTCGCGAGGATCAGACTTTCCTTGCAGCTCACCAGTCTGTGCCAGCAAAGCCTCAAAGACCCTGCCACATGACCAGGTAATGCTTCGTCGTACCCGTCCGGCCCCGAACTTGGAATAGCTGGGCCCGTCGCTGCCACGATTCCGACGGCTGTCCCCGCCCGAACATCCCGCTCGCCGTCTGAAGGAACTCCGAGCCCATCATCAGCCCACCACACACGGCTCATCCCCCCTCCTCCTTGCATCATCCCCCACGATCACCGCCACGATTCGCGAGAAGAAACAAAAACAACCCTCGAACGCCGTGCACCAAGGTACCCCTCTCCTCCAATGCTTCGCCCACGCACTCTCCGGGCTCTGCCCAGGGGTCTGCAGCAGCCCGCCGTCCGAACCGTCTCGCGGCGCACCTTCTCCTCTCGCCGGCGCAACTCGTCGTCCCGCCCCGACGAAAAGTACCGCCTCGAACGCCCCGACGAGGCACGCTCCAACTACGACCGCGACCGCGCCTACTGCCTCGGCTGGAGCGCTCTTTTTGGCCTCATATCCTTGATCTACACGTGCAACATAATCCGCAAGGACCTCGCCGTCCACTACAAGCGCAAGGCCGCCCTCGACAAGGCCACTCTCGAAAGGGCCGCCTTCATAAAGGCCGCCGCTGAAAAGAATCGCAACAGCTACCAGGACGGCGACGGACATCACAACAGTGACGGCTACGACGACATTTACAGCAACAATGACGACATTGACAACAACAACAACGGATCCGGCTTCCAGCTCGACTCGTCGGTGCCGACCGAGACCTTCAAGACCGAGGCCGGCAGCAAGCGCAAGGTCGTCATCCATGATGACGAGGGCAGGGAGCTCGTGCCCACGGGGAACAAGACGGTGCCCACCTTCCCCCGGACCATCGACCTCTCCCTCAGCCAGCCGCACCGCGACGACCCAGCCGCCGCGCCCATCGCCGCCTCCGTGGCCGACTCGGACGGCGTCGAGTACACGCTCGTCGGTCTCGGCATCCGCACCGTCACCTTCCTGGGCATCCAGGTCTACATGGTGGGCTACTACGTCGCCACCGCCGACGTCGCCCGGCTGCAGCGCCACCTCACCCGGAAGATCGACCCCATCGCCACGACGCTCGTGCCCTCGGAACGCGACAGCCTCAAGGCCAAGCTGCTGGACCCCCGGGAGGGCGAGGCGACGTGGTCGGAGCTCCTGCAGGAGGTCGGCTGCCGCACCGCCTTCCGCATCGTGCCCGTCCGCGACACCGACTTCCCCCACCTGCGCGACGGCTTCGTGCGGGCCATCACGGCGCGGTCCGCCGCCGACAAGACGGCCTACGGCGACGAAGCCTTTGGCGAGGCCATGCGCGAATTCAAGAGGCTGTTCAACCGGGGCAAGCTGCAGAAGGAGCGGGAGCTGCTGCTCTGCCGCGACGGCAGCGGCGCGCTCGATGTCGTCCTCGACGACGGCACGAGCTCCGGCAGGCAGACGATCGGCAGGGTGGAGGACGAGCGCGTCTCGAGGCTGCTGTGGCTCAATTGGCTGGCCGGCAAGAGCGTCGCCTCGGAGCCGGCGCGGCACAGCATCGTCGACGGCGTCATGGAGTTTGTCGAGAGGCCCGTCGGCACCGTCGCGACGCAGGTCGTGTGAGGGAGGGGTTTGCACGCCTCGTCCGTGTAAAAGGATTTGTAAAATCAAAAACAAAACACAAGCCATAGCCCATACATGTACAATCAAGAGCAAGATGCCTACCCTGTGATCAAGGGGCCTCGACTTGAACGAAACGGTTTTCTTTTAGTTTTGCTTCTGGTGTTGAAGAATGTATTCTCGTCAAAAGACGTAGTTCTACACGCTATAGTCCTCTATCCCATGACGACCCTTCCCAGTGGTATATATCTCGCGACATCGTCACCTCCGATCTTGCTTTCTAACAAGAAAACACGTGGGGCTACAGCTTGTCGAGCTAGAGCTTGGACGGCCTTTTGCGTCGGATCCAAGTCGCGGCCCCGGTCAGCCTTCTCTATCTTGCTGGGCGCGAAGCCTCCCCGCCATCACCACCGCCGTCTCACACCATACAACAACAAGGACGTAGAGGGGTTTGCCTTACGCCTTGAGGGCGCCGGCCTCCTTGAGGAGGTTCTCGAGCTTGCCGCCCTTGAGCAGGCCCTGCAGGTCCGAGTTGCCGCCAATGTGCTTCTTGGCGATCCAGGAGTTGGGGACGGTGCGCTGGCCCGAGATCTCCTGGAGGGCGTCCTGGATGGCGCTGCCGTCTTCTGCGGGTGAGGGGGGGACAAGGTTAGCATGAGGTCTCTTGTTAGAGGCGGGAAGCGACGTGATGCAGTGCGAAAGGGGGGGGAGGAGGAGGGAGGGGGGGGGGCAGGCCGTGCGGCGCAACAAAGGCGGCAAAGAAAGGCAGCAAGACTCACCCATCTGGTCGAGCTCGAGGACGGTGTAGTCGGTGTTGAGCTCGTCGAGGGTCGACTTCGTTTGGCGGCAGTAGGGGCAGTAGCTCTTGGAGAAGACGACGACGTTGTTCTCGTCGATGAGCTGTTGGACTTTCTGCTTAGCGGCGGCCATGTTTTCTGGTGATTTGTTGACTGATAAGGAGAATAGACGTCGGAATAGGAATGCCATTACGGAGAGAAACAGAGAGGGGGAGGGGGGGATGAGGGGCGCGCGATGATGATATAAGTAGGTATGGCAACGCGGCCAATGTACTTGGGTACTTGACAAGTGGGGGAGAGGAGCGGGGGGGGGGGGGGGGGGCTTTTGTATTTGTCAGGTATCGCGCAACCACTGCTGCGGGAGATTGATTCCAGTTGCGTGTGCACTTTGGAAGGACGAATTCGGGCGAATGGTGCGAAATGGATGATGATGCAATCGGGGATTCCAAATCGATGGTTTTTCCCCCCTTTCTCCCTAGAAGGTGGAGGGCGGAGGAGGGTCCTTGCCGCGGCGGATATGGGCTTGTGATAGCGGCTGGCTGGGGGAGCCGATCTACAAGATGGGCAGGCGGTGGCTGCCCGAGCGTTACTTTGAGTATATCGAGGTTAGTTAGGTAAGCTGAGGTAATAGGCTTGTGGCACTCTGTACTTCCAGAAATACGCCGTTTGTCTCGCCGGCCCTCGAGGAACGCAGTGGCAATGCATTCCAACGCTTCACCACATGTGTTGGCGCTTTTATCCCTGCTTGACGAGTGCAAGAGGCATAGGAGGTGTATCCTTGATATGCTTACCTACTTGTAATGTGTGAACTGCAGACACCACACCACTGCGGGATCACGTTTGCAATGTTTGTGCAGCGGCTTGTGCTTCAAGTACCTACCTACCTATAGCCTCTAGGTCGGAGGCACTTAGGTTTGCTGGTATGAGATGAGATAAGCATCAGGAATGCCGATAAGATAAGAGGACCCTGACGAAGGAGCGCACCTCACACTCGTCATCTCATCTGTCAATTTGCCTTCTCACCTTGGGAACGGTAGTGTACATGACCCTGAGGACTCGGTGATGGGCAAAGGGTGCCCGATCTGTTCGAGTCGCATCACTTACAGATACCCGCGCTTAGCGCATGGCCGGGGGTCCTCGGGCACCCATACAGCACAGCGCACGTCGCGAGGTTCGTGATGCGCCCCGCTGCTGGGTTGGGTTTGAACCAGCGACAGATCCCTGCGCCTCAGTTGCTCGCCTAGTCATGGATCGTACGGGAAACGACTCGCAGTCGCCAGTGGCGCGTCAAGCGGAGGAGACACGGTTGCTGTTGCTGTGTTTGCCACGCCGTCAGGTCTACCATTGGAAAAATGTGCTGGGAATTACCTAAGAGCAGGTAGGTAGGTACGGGACATATGTACGCTAAAAAAACAGATCATCCATCCCGCTGTCAAAGAACAAAAACTTGTTGGACTTGGGACTCGGGACACATTATCTGTATCCTCCCTGAGGCACCCCGTAAATTAAAGCAGACGGACTGAATTGCATCAAGGCCTTGTCGACACTGATTTTTATTCTTTTTGTTCTTTTCTAAAAAAGGTAAAAGGCGCCGTCCATCGGCCCGGCCAATGACCACGGCCACCCCCGGTCATTCGCTGACTACAGGGTATCCGTACCTTTCCCGGTTTTCTAGAACCTCCCCTCCACATCCCACATCCACATCCACATCCACATCCACTCGTTTTCTCTGCTCACCACCACATCACTGCCACTGTCAGTGACCACTCACAACACGCCCTCGTCCCCGACCTTCTGCCGTCATACTCCCGATCCCGAGCCAAAGGGGGCCACCTCTCGTTTTGCCGCAGCTCCTGCTCTGACCGCATCCCTGTCCTGCTTGCCTGCCAGCCGCCTGCCCGCCGCCTGCTCACGCCCTTCACCACCCCCTCCATCGCGCCCCGAAAGCTGACAGCGTCTTGCTTCGAAAGCCTCACCCGAACCACCACCTGGATCCCTGACCCAGGCCGGTGATCGTCGAGGCTTGTCCTGTCCGACGCCAGACCCAAAAACCCGCTTTCCTGCTTCAATCAACTCGAGAGCCCTGCCTTCAAGGACCTACAGCAGAGAGCCTGCCCTGTGCCTCCTTGCGTTACTGCGGAACGGCCTGATCTTCGAACCCCTAGCTTGAGTCGGCAAGCGGAAGAAAGCCCCTCCAGACGAGGGCATCCCCACGATCATTCCCTATCCCGCCAGACTACCGCCTCCCCGTGACACACAATCCGAGCATCGTCGTCGACCTTTGCCTCACTTCTCCCTCCTTCCCCTCCACCACCCTTTCCTTTCCCATTCCACTTTTTTTTTCCCTTTCCCCGGTGCAGCGTCCTTAGCTTTAAGGACCGCCTACTTCCGCCAAGGTGGCTTCCAGTCAGCAGCCGCTTCTGGCATCTTCCGGTGCTGCCCTTTCCAACATCACCGCCCTGTTGCCCACCACCCTTCAGCTCTATATCGAAAAGTCCATTGCTAGCCTGACCAAGGTCATCGTCGACTCCTCCCGATACGTCTCCGATACTACCGGCATCGATCCGAACCTCATCCTCTACACCACCATCGCCTGTATCTTCCTCGCCGTTCCTCTAACCATGTCGTCTCGGTACGGCTGGTCCACGAATCGGGACCAGATATCCCCCTATTCATCCACTCTGAGCGGCGTACCCCACGTCACGGACGAAGACTTTAGCTACATCACCACCGAAGACCTCCAATCCACCTCGCTAGGATCCTCCGTCCCCACGAGAACCTACGCTCACTCACCCCGACCCCGCGGCAGCGCCGTCCCCGAAGACGACGTGCTCCTCATTAAGAACAAGGGCGTCACCTATCCCGCCCACTTCCCTGCCTATGCCATTGGCGATGGCAAGCTGCGCGTTCGCGACGTCCGGGACCGTGTCGGCGTCATGCTGGAGCTGTCAGACCGCCGCGTACGCCGCACCAAGCTCCTCTACAAGGGCCGCCAGCTGAAGGAGCCGGCCGCGCCCGTCCGGGACTACGGGGTCAAGAACAACAGCGAGGTCCTGGTGGTACTGCCGGACGGCGACGTCGATGCCGAGAGCAGCGACGCCTCGAACGAGGAGATGGTCGTCGTGGCCAGCGACGGCGCCAGTGCCGTCGGCAGCACCGGCGGCACCGACGACGGAAAGAAGCGCCGCGGCAAGAAGAAGGGTCGCAAGTCTAAGAAGCGCAGCAGTAACACGAGCCCGCGGGACAGCGCCTCAAATCTCGGCGTGCCGACCGGCCAGGAGAGCCACCGACCGTCGTCCCCCAACAGCCAGGCCGCCGCTGGCCCTCACGCTAAGCTCGAGGCCATTGCTGCCAAGTTCAACGCGGACCTTCGCCAGCCCTGCGAGGACTTCATTGCCGCGCCTCCGACGGACGCCAAGAAGAGGGTCGAAGAGCACCGCAAGCTGTCCGAGACGACGATGCAGCACGTTCTCCTGAAGCTCGACGAGGTCGAGACGGCAGGCGATCCGGATGCTAGAGCCACGAGGAAGGCTCTCGTCCAGGACGTGCAGGACGTGCTGAGGCGTCTTGATGCACGTGCCGAGGCGTCGTGATGCACAAGTTCACGACCAAGTTTTAAAGGAAAACCGCCCGGCACCCAGAGTGCCCAAGGTTCCTGCGATACGTTTGTTTACTAGGAAACGGCCGACTTGTTCTTTTCTAGATGAGCATGTGTGCGGTTCTCTTTCTTTTTTTCTACTTGTAAGCCGGAATGCATTTTAATCAAAGCGAGATTCGCATCTAGAGGCGTGCCCGCAGAGAGCGGATGCGTTGAGTATGGAGTACAGGGTGGGATACTGTGCTTTTGCTACGATAGGACAGGGAGGGTCATGGGCAGCACTGTAAAGAGCCGCCGAGCAGAGGGGGGGAGAGGGGAGAGGGTCTGTGGCGATGATGAGATGTCGTAGACAGAAATGGCCAACAACAACCCAAGTTTCTGGGATCTTCGCTCTAGGCATGTTCACATGATGTATCCATGGTGTCTTGGAATCGCCTCGTCGACCGTCGACATTGGAAGCAGGGCTACAAGGTGACGTTAGTCGACAATTGCCCGGGTCGTTTGTTCGCTGGGGATAATCCCGGTTTGGTATGAGCGAAGTTGACGTCGTCTGCTTAGTCATTAAAGTCCATATTCCTGTGGCGGTTCACACACCTTTTTTGTGGTCACTCGGGTGGAAACGCTCGGTGAATAATGGACGGTGAGGACCCGTTGATCGGAAGGAGGGTCTGGCCGGCCACCACACCGACGCCACGGAGCCCCGCCGGCCAGCTGCCAGCACAGACCGAAAGACAAACACGGATGAGTCAGCAAGGTGAGCTCTGTCTTCTGGTAGGTCTTTCCAGCCCTAAGCTGCCTGAGGCCCCACATGGAACCCTCGCTTGCGGTGCAGGACGTCTTACCAGAAACGGCTAGCGCACCCATCGTTCCTGCCGTGCCATTGGGGGGTTTTGTGTGTGCGCAGTGTAAATTTCTCTCCCACCCCGGAAACTCAGCCCAGTGTGCCTCCCCCGAATTTGAAGATTGTCGCGACGGCCTCTTTGCAAAACTCACCCTCCGACAATACTAACCCCAACGGCAGCACAACAGATCTCTACAGAGGCACCCGACCTTCGCCCAGAGATTTGAATCCTCCTCACCCTTTTCCTTCTTTTCAGATATCCCCCCAAGGAACAGGAACGATGTCGTCTTTCGAGCCGGTGGTGAGTTTTGCACTCATATTCAATCCGAGGGGTCGCAGGACGTTGTTCCGACCATGAATGGATTTCGATATCGATGTTTGTGGGCGGACGGCCGGACACGGCGGCGAGCGACAGACATGCGACTCGCGCGATGGACCACGGCAACTCGACCACGGCAGTTCTTCGTGCCTCGTCTTCGCTGGTCGTCTTCGACCGTCCTGCCGCAACATTCGAATCAGATCCTCATCGCCGACTGCGGAAACTGCAAAAGAAGTTGCAGATGGCTGACTCCAACTCTTTTCACAGGTCGTCATCGACGGCAAGGGCCATCTCCTTGGTCGTCTCGCCTCCATCGTGGCCAAGCAGCTTCTCAACGGCCAGAAGATCGTCGTTGTCCGCACTGAGGCCCTCAACATCTCTGGCGAGTTCTTCCGTGCCAAGCGTATGTCGAAAACCCCCCCAGCCCAACCGCCACCGTCACTCCCAGTCTGTCAAGAGGAGGAATACGCTCCGTCAACGCATCATATGGAGACAGACTGGGAAATGATGAACGTGCACCGGACGAACCAATACTGATCAATGGCTATAGTCAAGTACCACGCCTACCTGCGCAAGATGACCCGTTACAACCCGACTCGCGGTGGTAAGCCAACACATACACATATATATCCGGGCTCTGCTCTGTCTCCTAGATGAGATATCAACTCGAGGACATTCAAATGTCTGACCTGACGAAATAGGTCCCTTCCACTTCCGCGCCCCTTCGAGAATCTTCTACAAGACCGTCCGTGGCATGATCCCCCACAAGACTGCTCGCGGTGCCGCCGCCCTTGAGCGCCTCAAGGTCTTCGAGGGTGTCCCCCCTCCCTACGACACTCAGAAGAAGATGGTCGTTCCCCAGGCCCTCCGTGTCCTCAGATTGCAGCCCGGCCGCAAGTACTGCACCGTCGGCCGTCTGTCTCACGAGGTCGGCTGGAAGTACCAGGATGTCGTTGCTAGGTTGGTGTTCTCCCGGTGGACCTACTTCACGGTCCCTCTTTCCTCCCTGCTATAGATGTACTGACATGCACACAGACTCGAGGAGCGCCGCAAGGCGAAGGGTGCCGCCTACTACGAGCGCAAGAAGGTCGCTCAGCGCCAGCTCTCTGACGCGAAGAAGAACGCCAAGGTCGACGAGAAGACGGCGCAGGCCCTCGAGGCCTTCGGCTACTAAATGTAGCCGACAAGTCCCCTTCGATTTGTTGCTTTGGTTGCCGCAGGGGCATGGCGGAGGAGGAGGAGGAGGAGGGGCAAGCGAGGAGGGCTTGATTCCCCGATGGCCGCCACGCCGCCGCCACCACCACCACCACCACCATCATCCCCCGTGGTAGTCTGACGTTTACAAAAAACCCGGAGGGTGATTTCTTGCGCATTTCTGTCCTCATCCTCGCGTTTCCTCATTAGATTGGCGTGGGCGGTTCATAAGGGAAATTCTTCATTTGCTGATGGCACACAATGGGCTGGTCATTGGAAGGGGGGGAAAAAGATGATATTTTTGGGAGGGTGGTGTTCCCGGAGCGGAGAGATTCATGTTGGCTTTTTTTTTTTTTTACACTGGAGTGAGTCGAGAGACCTATTCTACAACAAAAGCCTTCATCCTGTTCACTACCCACATTACCCCCCCACGCCGCCGTTCACGGTGTTTCGGTCCGGTTCAGCCACTTTCCCCCCTTCCCACTCGCAATAAGTCACCAACAAACAACACACAATCCAAGATGATTCATGTCCAACGGGCTTGCCTGTGTAATGACGGTGGTTTATATTGCAAAACAAAACAAAACGGGGGTTTTCTGGCTTCTGATTATTATGGGAATTGATATCACTTACACGACACAAACCGGTCCACCGTTCCCTCGCAAAAAGTCTCGTCTGGTTTTTTATTCTTTTCTTTTCCCTATCCAAAAGGTCTTCCCTCGACGAACCAACCATTCTCGCCAGATGAGGCGATTTTCGAAGTAGAAACGGTGCATGCGAGACAAGAAAAGAGTGTGTGTACCGCGGCATTCTAGGAGGGAACCTTGGCGAGGCGGTTTGTGCTTAGAAGAAGTAATTGCATCGCATTGCATTCAGACATTGTGCGTGTGAGTGAGTGTGAGGATATGAGGTGCATCAGGTGTGAGATGAGCCTGTGATCAGCCATCCCTTCCCTCACTCTACAGACGTGACGAGTTCGCGGTCCAACGCGCTTGGCGTGTGCCCTATCCCGGGTGACCCGCCCACCCGCCTGCCCTGCTCTACCATGCTGTTCGGCACGAGCATGTCACCGTCCGACTCGTAGCGCAGAGAGAGGCATTACTTGGAGACAGCCCCGCTGGGTCCTAGTCGTCGCCGCTTGCGTGCTATCTCACTGCGGTATATGTTAGAGGCTCCATCCCCTCTTACTAACTTGAAATGGGCGATTGGTTTAGTGGTATAATGACCGCTTAGCATGCGGTAGGTCCAGGGTTCGATTCCCTGATCGTCCAACTTTTGCATTTCTGCCTACGTCATCCTTTCCTTTTGTTGATATCGATGACAGGGTATGAAATTGTTGGTAGTATCATGACATCGTGTGAGTTCCTCATCTGAAAACAAAGTCTCCTTTTGCTTCTCATATGGGTTCCACTCTTACTGCACGTAGGTAGCATGGCATAATACCTTGTTTGCCTGATTTCCTCCATGTTGCTCGCTGCCTGGACGTGGTCTGTGCTTTGACCTCACATCGCCATCACGACACCGAGTTCCGAAAAAACGACGACGTATCTTCACTAACAACAAGGCTAACGATACAAAATCTTCATAGAGACAGGGGTATGGGGTCATCAAAGCCTGAAGGGAGTCTCTCTGAGACTACTGGCGACACGCGCAATGAATCTGCTCATGACGTCGCCCAAAATCAATATCAATTTGAAAACAATACAACATTGACTGAGAAAAATGACAAGTGAGTCAACAACATCATCTCCACATCTCATTTACATGAAATCGATACCTTGGATGCATATCTTACTTACCCATGGACTTTTATTGACCTTCACCCGCTCACAGAGAGTTCGAGGAAGCCTCGGCGGTGGTGGCGCGGCACGTCAAGCTGCTGCGGGAGTACAACGAGATCAAGGACGTCGGACAGCAGCTGATGGGCATGGTCGCCGAGCTCCGGGGCGTCACAGTTGGGAGCCTGTACCGGACGGGGGAATTTGGTGTCGGGCCCAAAGACTGAGCTGGGGGTGTAGGGAACCAGACTGAAGTACATGTCCAAGTGGCCCTCTCGAGGTCGTACAGGTACACAATCATACTACAACACGATCGGATAGATACAGTGGCGAACCGGATATACATTTCAGAGGAGCCTACGGAAGAAATAGAGAAAATCATTCCAGCATCAATACACCACCTTCATTCCAACAGCCCGGGGTACTCCGAGGAAAAGTTCTCATAAAACTCTGCCCAAATGGCGTCGCCGGGTAGGCCGGGTGCCTCGCAGTTGTCTCTTAGAGTCTCCCTGATTTCTTCGAGGGTCGAAGAAGGAAGGGAGAGGATGTGTGTATCTTCCGGATCATCCTTGTGGATCCCTAGTTTCTGATGCTTCCAACGCTTCGTCCCCATCTTGGTAATCTTCGTTTTCGTCCTCCAAAGATCTTCTATCGAGTTCTTCAAGGTATCTTTATGATGCCTTCAGGGGTCTGTTTGTGGCAAAAGAGGGTCTTGTCCTCAAGGACCTCTTGGTCAGCTTCGGTCCAAGGCCGATGGGATTTGAGAAGCGTCACAACAGCGTGGTGACCCTCCTGGAAAGCAAACTCAATGGCGCGGATATACTGATGTCGACCGTTGCCGCACGTTTGGGCCCCCGAGTTGAGTGGTAGTTGCACGACGTCCAATCTACCGTGCTCGGCCGCTCCTTCCAATGCCGTTCGTCCAAAAATATCAGCTCCGGGTGCGTTTGGATCCGCATGCAAATCTAGCATCTTGCTAACGAGACCAAAGTACCCCTTGATAGAAGCAGCCTGAAGTGCCGTAACTACTGCCTGATTAGAGATTGGTGACTCGTTGATGTCGGCTCCAAGTCCTAGAAGCATCTCAAACAAGGCGATATCTCCCTGCTCGGCAGCGGCTTGTATGGGTGACCTATCCCCTTGTACAGCGTTCAATTGTTCGTCGTATGACACAGTTTCGTGGAAATCCATGTTCAAAGACAAAAGCCACCGGGTAATCGGTTGCAGACCTAATTTTATCGATCTCCCGAGAATCCGCGGCGTCATGATTGTTCCGTGAATGTGTAGTATCTGGAGAATCTCAAGGCCTGTATACCTCATGTCAAAACATTGGCAATAAGGGGGCGGCTGATACCCAAACCGCAGCAATAATCTGAGATATCCCGGTTGTCTGAGGTGTATGGCCCCACGTACCAGAGGCCCCTGAAATAGTGATGGGCTGTCCAAAATCGACCAACGCCATTGAAGGTACCACTCAAGGATCGTTGTTTGAGCATCATCTTCATCCATGTGATTGGCAAACGCACTATGCCTATAAATTGTTGGATGCATGCCCGTAGCTAATAACGCCTCCGATATCTTGTGGAGGCCTAGCTGTGCTGCCAGGGTTACGGCTGTTCCTAGCCAAAGGTCGTTTGTCACTCCCAGTCTCGCATATTGTGCGATAATAATGTCGATGATGGCTAGATCCGATGAATGCTTTGCGACGAAAATGGCAGCCCACAAAGCACGTTCGTCGACAGCTTTTGCATCGGTTTGGATGATCAGCAAAATCAAGCCCACGTCTTGCGCCATCACGGCTGCCTCAAGGACTGATCCGCACTCGAAGGCAGCTGAATTGTCCCCAAGCGAAGCTCCTTCCGCCAATAGCGCTTCAGTGATGATCTGCTGACGAGACCGGATAGCGAGAGCCAACTCACCGCCCACCCGTCTTGCGCCTGCGGCCAGCAGGAAAAGCGCCACTTTGGTGTTGGTCCCAAGTATGGCCGCTTGCAATGCAGTTCTCCCCAAGTTCTTGCGGCGTTCCATTACGGACACGTCCATCTCGAATGCATTGAAAGAGTGACAAAAGTCGATATCAGCACCTACATGTAATAGGCGACGAACCATGTTGACGTCGGCATAGAAAGCAGCATATTGAAGGGGGGAGGGGAGGAGCAGGGATCCACGAGGTTGTGCAGGCTGAGAGTGGTCGGCCCCCAACTGTAACAAATACTCGACGTAGTGACTGGATCCAATGCTTATAGCCGCAGCCAACGGAGTTTCTCCATGACGGTTCGAGACATTGATGGATTGCCGCTTTTCTGATAGCAAGTCAAAAGTGAACCGGCTCTGTGACCTAATCGCTGCAACGAGTAACGCTGATATTGATTTTGGACGACGAATCTTGGCTCGGAAAAATCCAATGATCTGTTCGGAAATAGGGCAAGCCAGGTCACGTCCAATATCACCAAACAGCCACTGTGCATCGCCCTCATCATGCGGGTCGAAGTGGTAGTTCGAGAGTAGAAGTGAGACGGAACTTTTCCATGTGGATGTGCGAGTTCTTTTGCCTAGCGTACATTAGGTCAATCAACGATAAATCCTCAGTACGCTTATCGGCTCCGAAATCGATAAGAATTCGTATGAGATCCTGATCGTATACCACAGCCGCGTACTGGAATGCCGTACATAGTTCCCAGTATTGAAACTCAAAAAACAAGCCAGACAAGCGTTGATTCACATCGACGCCTATCTGGAGCAACGATCGTATAAGGTCAATATCTGATCTCTGAACAGCTTCCTTGAAAAGACAGCTCGAAGCTGATTGCAAGCTCAATGGAAGTTCTGCAAGCTGTTGACTCGCTAGAGAATCCAATACTCGAGATGTTTTGACCATGTTCAGCAAGTGTCCAATGACTGCATCGTTATCTTTTCTGTCTTCAGGACTGATTTCGTCCATAAAGAGATTGTTGGAAAGAAGAAACAGGAGCAGTTCGAACGACTGTAAACTGTTGGAGCCAAATGACGACAGAAGGTGGCTTTCGGCGAGGAAGACATGGTTTTCCAGGGCCATTTCAGGCATGATTAACGTAAGTGCTTGAACTGTGTATTGAAGTTTGCTTGTGTGATTGAAAAGCTCAGAACGGTTGTGGAGAGTGAGGGAAAGCAGCTCGTTCACGGGGAGCGGCTGTGAACCACTGCTGCGCTGGGACCGAAAGATCGCTCCCAAGTTGACTCCTGCGTGGAATCGGGGTCAGCAACAGACACTTTAAACATTCCGGAACGAAAAACCGCGACTGCAATCCATACCTCCAAGGAAGTCTTTCGCAAGTATCCATGGGATGTTACGCGCATTACACACTCGTACCTCAGCTGGTGGCGACGGCGTGCGAATGATCAAGGGAAGGTCTTTTGGAGACGGGGGTGTTTCTTGCAAGTGGTATGGTCAGTATCTTGTTTGTTATTAAGGAAACCCTCACAGGTGACTTACTTCCAGCAAGTTTGTCCAAGGTAGACTCAAAGGAATGGCGGCTTCTCGCCTTCTCGACAGTCGCGGGACGGAGTGGGATACCCGACAGATAGACCTTGCTTTCTTTGCCCTGGATTCGGCGCCGGCGTATTCTTGCGTCGACATGCTTCCACTCCAGGCTCGTCATATTTTTCGTCATGTGCCATTGCTTAAGCTTCGACCCCAGCTGGCCCCGCCCTGTCAGACTGGCTATTGTATTGTACAGCACGGAGAGGGTCGAGGATATCCGAATGAAAAATGACACAGCGCAAGCAAATGAACTAACCTTGGACGGAAATCATGAAATGTGCAGAGTTTTGAAATGACATCCTTCAAACTCTTGTCCTCCAGGGGGTAAAGTCTGCGGATGATCGGTTGGACCCTCATCCACTCCTCATCCTTGATGATGGCGTTTTTAGTCCGAAGAGGCATGCTGATAAGCGCTGGTGCGAGTGCCTTTCGAGGGCGACTTGGAAAGTATGGTTCAGGGACTTTAGGCAAGTCTTAAAGATACTTCTGGAACTATGTCCTTATGAGATCACACGAAAGCTGGTGTGGATGATGAGATGTTTGCGTAAGGCTGTGCTGGCGAGCGAAAGACGGTATTTGTAGCTTGTCCAAAGAGGCTCTGGTTACTAATTTTGATTGGCTGATGCCAAAATCTTATGGTGTCTGTTGTTAGTAGACCTGGGTGACTAGGCCATTCAAGGAGAGTAATGGTTGAAAGTCTTGCCATTGGTTATTGCCATAATCTGGAGAGCCTCTGCAGCATTCACAACGAGGTGTGTGGGCGAATTGCACAGCCGAGCTGCAGGTTGATGCTTACTTACTGACGCCTATCATGCAGGCTGAGCGGTCAGGATGTGCTCCAGCTAGTTGACTGGTTCGCCTTGGTGGCTGTACTCTTGGAGCCTAACCATGCACATATTTCGTTTGGTCGGGCTTCATTAAGTTCTCCATCACCTGTCGGAAATATGCATCAGCACACGGGAGTTCAGAAGGCATGGCCAATCGATAACCGTATCACTAAGCCCATGCTGGGCGAGTCTCCGAATAACAAATATGTACTTGATTCTAGTGTCTAAGATCTGGAAGAAGTCATTGGCTATGTACAGCCATTACAAGGTCATATCATGTGCCCGAACAGTACCCTTCATTGCAGAGCACCATAACACTGCCTCTCTGGGCCCTTATTTGGACAACCAAGCGACGAGAGCCTCGTGGAACTCCTCCGGGTGAGAGATCTGGGGCGCGTGACCAAGCGTGGGGAAAGTGTGCAGCGTCGCGTTTGGGATCTGAGCAGCAACAGCCGGGCCGAGAGCGGTAAAGTTGCCCAGCTTGGCGGCGACGTCGGGGGGCGACCACTGCTTGCCGATGGCGGTGTTGTCTTTCTCACCGATCATGAGCAGGGTGCGCGGCTTGACCAAGGGGAACTCCCAGCTGACAGGCTGAGTGAGGACGAGGTCGACGATCTGGGCCTGGTTGAGCGCATACGTCTCGGCCTTGGAGCCCTTGTAGATGTTGACGAGCATGTTGACCCAGGTGTCGTACTCGGTCTTCCACTCGCCGACGTAGTAGGTGGCCTGCTCGTAGCCCTTGATGGAGGCGTAGGAGCTGGCCCGTTCCGTCTTGTAGTTGTCGTCGATGGAGAGGTACGGGACGCCGAGCGCCTTGTAGTCCTCCAGGCCGACGGGGTTGACGAGGACCATCTCGTCGACCTCATCGGGGAACATGAGGCCGTAGCGGGTGGTGAGCATGCCGCCGAGCGAGTGGCCCATGACGGTGACGCGCTCGATGCCCAGTGTCTTGAGCAGGCCGTTGGTGTTGGTGGCGAACTGCTGCAGAGAGAACTGGTATCGCTCGGGCTTGGAGGACTTGCAGAAGCCGACTTGGTCCGGCGCGATGACGCGGTAGCCGGACTGGGCGAGAACGCGGATGGTGGCCTCCCAGGTCGGGCCGCAGAAGTTCTTGCCGTGGAAGAGGACAGCTGTCTTGCCGTTGGGATCGCACTTGGGCTCAACATCCATGAAGGCCATCTCGAGCTCCTGTAGCTGGGAGGTGAACTTGTACAGCTTTACGGGCCAGGGGTAGGTGAAGTTGGAGCCATTGAGGTCTTCGGGGAAAGATTCGGAGTTGTCATCGATGATGCCCTGGGCGGACACGAGCGCGATGCCCGCTGTAGCGAGGGTGGCAAGGAGTGAGAAGACCTTCATTGTGGTGGTTCCTGGCAATGGAGCGTTAGTTATGTGTGCGAGACATGAAACGAGGCATGGAGAAGTGTGCAATTCATGGAATAAGGTGTGTTGAGTTCGAGATCAATTGCAAAATGCTGGGCAAAATGAGATACAAGCCCCTTGTGCCGATGCAGTGCTCTCCAATAGCCACAGAAGAAGGAGAGTTGAGATGTCCGAAAGCTTGCTTGCTTACTTGGTTGACAACACGACCGAGATTAGACCTGGGAAATAACCCCGTTGACTTGAGCAAAGAGACGGCTAGATGTGCGTGCGAGAGAAGATCATCTACCAGACTTGGATCTAGGATGGGCGCCTCTTGTTTATGTTACAGCACTAAAATCATATGCTGCTGATTCCAACAAGTGCGTATTTCGTAACACGCGTGGGGTATGCATGGCAAAGCTGCACGAGAAACGGAGGAGGGGAAATGTCCCTTGGAGGGAGACAAGGGAGTAAGGCGGAAGCAGATCATGACGCCGTGCCTGGTTGTGGCCGCTGCAAGGCGAAAGATCCATACTCAATAGCTTCGCCGGAGCATCGACCTCATTTCCGCTCCAGTGGGCCTGCAAGGTCTTCGGTTGCGCTGGCGAAGGTGCCCCGAATAGTTGGCTGGCGCTGTTCCTCATGCATGCTCACATTCACTTGAATGCTGCGCCGTCGAAGTCGAGATGCTGAGCATACGCTCGCGTGTTCGCGAGGGTTTCTTGTGAGCGCTGTCTTCATGTGAAAAGGACTCGAGAGGGTTTCGCTGCCTCTATTGTTCTATCTTCCTGTACTCCGTACCTACATCGCAATACCGGTCACAGCAGAGCTGGCGACTTGGCTGTCCACGACCAAGGGTGAAAGATGGAACGAGGTAGCATCGCTTAGTGCTCTGTTGGTTCAAGGCGGAGCAGATGTTCGAAAAAACCCTGGTGAAGCCTTGGTCCATATGGGGACACACACTGGGATCATTGACTGGGGAGCACCGACAGAGTGCTGCAGCCGGGAATAACGAGAACGGAGAGCATATCCCAGCGAGCACCTTGCAGAAAGGCAGGTTCTTTCTGGTTCATATCCTTGGCAAGAACCTGTTAGATAATTCTGAGGAGAGGGAGAATTTACATGTACCCTCTTGTCGACGTGCGTTGACAGTTGAGACAGCGGAATGCCCGAGATGATGTTGCACAATGTCTCAAATCTCTATCATCCACGGCGCTCTTCGTGGTCCTACGGCGAACTAGAGAAGTGCCATGCACCCAGTCCTCCATCCCAGCTATCACACAAAACAATACACCCAATATCTGAGTAACCTTGATCCATCGGTTGACTGTCAATTATATGGAGGGCTTTTTCAATACTCGCCGGAACCATTGCTTGTTTAATTTGGCGATAGTCAATAGCTCCGTAGCATATCATTCCACAGTCTCCTTGATCATGTTGCCCCCCTTGTGAGCCCATTTATAGCCGTAGTCGACGGCAAGGACCCGGGCAGCTTTGGGGCATCGTCCCGAGCACCCGCGGCTAGGCTATTGTTCCCCAACACAAGATGGCGGGGGAAAATACCTCAGAAGGTTGTGTGTCCGGCCGATAGCGCGCTCTCTGGGGCATATCAGGGTTCGTGACCAGGGCGGCCACCCATCCCCGGCAATATGTTGGAGAACGAAAATGTGAGAACATACATGCCCGTAGAAGACATAGCCACATTAGGAAGGCCATATACAGGGCCCTGGGAGCTCCATCGAAAAAGTGACTGGATTACTTGGATAATGCCAAGTTCCACCCATGCCCGGAGTAGCCCGCACACATCACTCCACTAAGACGAGTTGGCCGGGAGCAGCAACCAGAATGGGACGTTCCATATCCCCTTCATAAAGGGATCATCACGCCACGGGCCGCAGGGCAGAATGACCCTAATGTGCTATTGCGCACAGACGACAGACGGGCCTCAAGAGGCGACGGATACGGCGGGGACTCTAAATAAACCTAGCGGATAGAATGCAACCCCAGTTTACCCAAGATGAACTGCATGTCTTTATCGAACAGCCGAGGACGAGTAGCATGCAGATGCCTCGATAGAAGGCTGCAGAAATCCCTTGCCAGGTAAGACCGACTGTTCAATAGTGGCGTAATACGGAGGCGGCCAGGGTACCTTTGGCAGAGATCAACTGTAAAAGTCTGTGACGCAAACGCGATGATAGTGATTACGGCCACGGACTAGAACTCTTCTCCTTGGCTTTCACAAACGCTTTGCAGATGAATTCGAGCTCTTGCAGAATGTATAATCTGTAGAACACTGGCAATTGCCTATCTATCTGACGAAGCCTATGATCACCGGAATCATCAGCCGCTGGGAGAGAAGACGATGCAAAGCTAAAATCACGGATACGTATTAATGGGCCAGGGTGCTCTGCGCCTCATTTCACTTGTCACATCGACACACCTCGGGGAAACAGGAGCTAACCTGTCTGGTACTACAGCCCGATGCCTAGACATTCTTCGGCATGTTGGGTACACGGAATATGTGCCTGACACGAGTAGGTAGTGTGCCTGGATCATCCCGTCCAGGCACGGGCTCGTCGCACATATTGTTTTTATGTCACCCCCCTTTGTGACTCTCATATGCTTCCAGACACAGGCTTCCTTCCAATGGACGTCCTTATTGGTAGACCTCGCGAAACTTCCGCCTCAACAGCTTTGCGTACGTAAGTTCTGGGTGAACTCCTAGGAAAGTGTAGACTTAACCTCTGTTGTGCATTTTGCTACCCGCTCCCGACATAATATCAAAACCTCTTATGCCCCAAAGTCGAACGCTGTACGGATATTGTGGAGGATATCGCAGCCACATCACAATTTCTTTTACTGTCAGTTATCCACTCTCTGTAGCCCTAAGTCTTATTTGACTTCCTTACATGTCAGCCCGTCCGCTTACGTTACATCCCTCCCGTCTGCTCTCGGGGTGAATGCAAGCCCTCCTTTCCATCACAGTACCTCTCAGCATCATCCTGCAGACTGTCACACCTCCTCCACGCCGCTAGCACACATGGTATTCGCTACCATAGTGACAAGATGGAGCTTAAGAAGAGGGATGGCCAGTCTTCTTTCGAAGCACCATCTTATGCTGTCCAATGAAAATCGCGCCTTTCATAAAACTGTGGAGGATATTGAACGAGTCTAACCGGACCTCCCTGGCTGAAAGTTTCCGCCGGTAGATATGATTGCAGGAGAAAGACTTGGGTATGAACATATAACTCCTTCGGAGACCCATTCTTCCCGTTATAGTATCTGATTCTCTCCTGATCAGCTTCTGCTTCCGTTGAGCTCTCCGATTGACTCGTTTACATCTTTGGCCATGGTGGGCCATCAACCTCATCAGATCCACCAGCCGCTTCTCTGAGCGTGTTTGATCATGCCATTCAGTATGGTCGAGGGGAATCTCCCCGGGGAGAGCAATGCGCACATGGTTCAAGTGCCGGCCATCGTCTTCTTTGTTCTGACACCCATATTCGTGGGCATACGCTTTTGGTCACGGATCAAGACAAGGTCTGGTATAGGTTGGGATGACTGGACAATCTTATTCTCATTCGTGAGGCTAATCTGGTATTAGAACGTAGAAGCACCGGCTGACAGTCTCACAGTTTTGCTGCCTGATCGTATCAGTCCTGATGATCATCTCTTGCGAGTATGGATTCGGCCAGCATATCAAGAACCTATCAAGGCCAAACAAGTTAATGTCACTCAAAGTAAGCTGAACCTAGTTATCCTGTGCATTTTGATGCAATACCCCTAACCACTAATAGACGTTTTATGTAGCGCAAATCTTCTACAAGGTCACCATCAACCTTACAAAAGCCTCGATCCTGCTCCTTTACCTACGTATCTTTGTACAACGGTACTTTAGGATTCTATGCCACGTACTACTCAGCATAATTCTGACATATATGGTGACCACATCGGCTTCGTCCATCTGGCAATGCACTCCCATCCCCCGCGCATGGGATAAGTCTATCCCCGGCACCTGCATCAGCTTGACGATGAACTGGTACGCCAATGCCGGATTTTCTATCGCAACTGATATTCTTATTATGGCGTTGCCACAGCATGTGATTTGGCGGTCAAAACTTCCGACCAAGCAGAAAATGGCGATCATGATTATCTTCGCCCTGGGGTTGTTTGTCACCATCACGAGCATTCTACGCATGACGACGCTGAATCTCTCTACAACTAGTCCAGACACAACATGTTAGTCGGCTTTCTGCTCACCATTTACTTGAGGTGCTAACCAACTGCCATAGTTGACATTGCATCTACTCTTTGGACACTCGTCGAGGAGAACCTCGCCATCATCTGCGCCTGTCTACCCATGTGCCGTATCCCTCTGAAACACATCTTCCCGTTATACTTCGCTTCAAAGAAGGACTCGAGTGTTGGGTGCTACGAAATCGGCTCCGCACCGCATACGAATGACAGCACCCTCATCCGAACCAGTACGAACCGTAACGACTGGCACCCATACCCGGGTAGCGAAGGGAGGAATGGTACCCATATGATGGAACTAGAGGCAAAAGGTGCTGAAGTCAGGAACGATACGAGTAAGGAGTACATATTGCCCGTCAATATAGAAGATGGGCACGTAAGGAGCACATCGCGAGAATGATGTGGACTGTAAGGCTATTGGGAAGACATCCGCTTCCTACGGCCCTTGAAAAAGAAAGGGCCGAACGTTAGGTGAAGAGTGCCGAAAAGAAACGGCATCAAGGTGTTAGATAATACCGCCCGTCAGGGTACATTAACTCCACTCAGATAGGCAAAACCTATGGGAGGAGTTTCTTCACACCAACAGCAAAATTGATGCTACCTGTATGCAAGCAAATAAAAGCTATCAAGGAGAAAGAGACCTCGTAAGACACACGCGGTCTTTTGTAGCTAACGGCATCTCAGTCAAGAGAAAGCTGACATCTGGCGGCGGCACAAAGTCTGGAACGAGGGCATGTATAAAGAGCCCAACTACTCATGAAGGCTTTGGACTTACGAATGAGGTTTCTTGTCTGTAAAACTAATATATTGTGCGAAGGTTATGTTCACAATGTCTGGAACCCCTTTCGAGACCTAAAAACGAGCTGAGATGAGGATTTTATACATATTTGCATGGGTGCATCAGGGTACATCAGAAGATACCAATGGGGATTCTTCCAGATAAGGCGGCATTGCTGAATCTCATAGTTTCTTGATGGAGTTCATCGTAGGCTCCTTGGAAACGCTCTTGATGGCTGCGTCGTGCTCGTACATCTCGGGCTTAGAATCCAGCGGACGGTCAAGTCCAAGCCGGTTGTAGGTGCTGTAACGGGCAATGCTGCTATGGGGATCGGCTTCTGTTACGAGCTCTTTGCGGCGTGTATCAACTAGGAGGCGGATGAGGTCGGGTCGCATGTAGTGGCCGGCAAAGTCGGCAAGGGCTTTGGTAAGGTGGATCTCGTCGAGGTCAATGTCGACGAATAGCAGACCATCAAAGTCCTTGTCGGGCTTCGCTACCAAGCTGCCGTCAGGCTTGTAAATGCGAGCATGGCCGTTGTAGACGGAGGGGTCTGTCTCGGGTTCAACGCCCTCGGGGGTGTTCTTCTTGAGGCCCTCAATCGACAGACGCTGGAAGGGAGCGAGAACCCAGGTGCCAGTCTCGATGGCATAGGCGGGGGTGACGAGGTCGGAGGCAGGGTCAGCGTAGTTGGTGGCTGGATCGGGAGCGACCTGGCACTCCTTGCCTGGGTAGACGGGCCAGCCGGCGATGTGAACCTGCTCACCCTGGGAGACGTTGAGGGCCTTCAGGAAGGGGTTCATGTTCTCCCAGCAGTTGAGTTGGCCGACGCGGCCAATGCCAGTTTCGGTGACCGACATGAAGGTGTCGCCGGATCCATCGCCGTAGACGAGCTTCTCGACATGGGTAGGCTTGATCTTGCGGCGGTGGTTGATGACGTTGCCACTCGGATCGATGAGGACCTGGGAGAGGTAGAGGGTGGCTTGGTCGAGCTCGGCAAAGCCCATAGAGACGAAAATCTGGTTGTCGCGGGCGGCGCGGCGGATACGGCGCATCTCTTCCGAGTCTACGCGGAGGGCGTTCTGGCGGTACTTCTTGAGCATGGGGAGAGATTGCAGGTAGGTGACCTTCCACATCCAGTAGGGGTAGCCAGGAACCCCTGAGAATGTTCAGCAGGTTCATCGTTGTTTTTGGGGCCAGTGACAAACAACTTACAGACTTCCGGGAAAGCCACCAGCTTGCAGCCGGCCTGGCCAGCCTCGTCGATGAAGTTGACAGTCTTCTGAACACTACCCTCAAGGTCGAACCACTGTGGGAATTAGCAAAACGAGTTGATGCTCCGTAGGAGAGAAACCTTACACCGGGCTCGGAAGTGACAGCAGCGGCCTTGTATTTGGTGTTAGGCATGTTGACGGTGTTATGGTTTCGAACGAAGTTGGGATGGGCGTGATAGACACTTGGCCGAGATTCTGTATCCAATTGGTAAAGCTTGTATGAGCCTGGTAACGTGAAGGAGAGTCATTAAATTGAAATGCCTGTTTGATGGTTTTATATGCATTCTTCGTCCTCAACTACATGAGGTTTCTATCAACATGTCAGTAGGCGTGATCGGGCTTTGAAACCCGATTCTTACATGTGCCCCTGATCTATTGACATGCAAAAAAGAAAAAAGAAAAAAGAAAAGCAAAAGCCGTGAAGTTGACGAAAGTCACAAAGCAAAGCTCCTAACGTCGTCTGTGTAGTACCCGATATTGCAGATGGATCAGTCTATCCCGGGCTGGTTAGGTTTTGATTCGGTAATTGTTTCATGCCCCTCGCCTCTATTTTTGTGGCGAGACTACGTATCAAGGACGGATGATTGGGTGCAGAGGCCATACTACGCTGAATGAACTAAATATGTGTCATTGTAGAAAAACTTATTCAGCACTGCATGGCAGGCCTCGGATAACCATGATGGCAGCTCCCTTGAAGTACACAATCCCGAGCCCGGCGAGGTTCATCCGAAGTCATGGGAACACAACACCAAAAGCCGCTGCCCGGAAGTGGCGTGTTGTGTGCGTGACACCAACATCTATCTACTGCCGCGAGACGCCGGGCAGGGCCGATGGGTGAGGTTTGGCGGCCAACCTGTTCTGACTTCTGCCCTCTCGATAAAAGAGACACGGCATGTAGTCAGCCTCCGTGCCATGGCCGGAGGTGGACAACGGGGTCTGGAGCTTATGTGTACTCAAACCCCGGCGGAGCAAACGCCTAATTCATCGCCTGATATTCGGGTACAGTCGGCATCGGTGTTCGCGCGGATGACATTGGATGCCATGCAAGAAGGGAGTTACCAGCGCGTACTGATTGCATCACTCCTCTTTTATTACCGAGTTGATCATGCCATAGCTGCAGGTTGCGTTTGCAACCTCGCCGTCACATCAACTGCCTATAAATCCTCGAGTCGAGACCCTTGGATTGGCATGCGTAGCCCCTATGCATTTGTATGTCCCGAAGCCCCGACCGGTAATACACACATCATAATCTCGATTGATTACCTTCCATGCCAAGTATGGAAAACCTTGCATCTGTCTGATCAATATGGTGGTCTTGCTCCAGGAGAGGAATGACAGTGGTCGCTTGCGGAGGATGCTTGACTTGATATCAAGGTTTAGCATCGAGTCACGTCTTTGCAGCTCACTCGGAGAAAGGCTAGGCGTAGTGAACATTGCTGCAGATGAGCCTGACCTCCGTGTACCTAGTAGAAGCATTGCCCATTCAAAGTCCCTAAGCCACGAAGCTTGCAAGTTCATCTTGCTCATGATTACTGATCAGGCCTCGGTGCAAATGATATCTAGCAAGGATTGCGTAAAGCGTATAGATAGGGAACAAAGGCTTTGTCATTTATTCCATTACACAGACTTGGGACTTGGTGTATATACAAATTATGCCTGCTTTGGACCTTTATTCATGGTTTGATTCACAGCGAACTAGTCCGGTGTGAATCGTGATCGATGTAGCACACAATTCCTTGCAGGTTTCACTGAGATTCTGCTTGTAATTGCATAAAGGTGAATGCAACAAAATCTAAAGGTATAAACAAGACCTCTCCTGCCTCCTTGAAGAGGTTTGAATTCAAAGGAAGGTGATTGTCTCCCATCTACTATCAGGCAAGAAGATGTTATTCCCATGACGACAACCGGGGTGGAGGGAAGGCGTCTCTGAACAGTTGGCTTTCCCCTGCCATTATTCTACAAGCGGGAAACAGCAATATCAAGGTTTCACCTTCTTCTACATAGTTATCATTATCCCCCCTCCCCCGCCAGGCTGAGTCGTCTGACATCACTGATGGGCCACGGCGGACGGCCCCCCAACTATCATGATTCATACCCCATGCATCATTCCGTTTCCCCTTAAATGATCCTTATAGAAGTATTCTCCCCTCTAATACCGGAAATCAGCACCCAACTGACTTCCATTCAAATACAATGCTTACCGAAACTGCACGGGATATGTATCTCAAGGCCACGGCGAATAGAGCCCGGACAATTAAAAGAGAGATTGATCGCATCATCAATCTTGCATCTCTTGAAGAGTTTGCCACTATTGCCGCTCAGGTACCGATACCCGATGATCCCGATTGGGATCTTTTTGAACCCCCCCAGGAAAGCTCCGATATTGGGCTGTCGACATGGAGCGACTCCGAAGATGTGACCACCAACCTGAACGCCACTGGATCAAGAGTTGTAAATCCGTTTTCTACGAGCAACGGCATACTCGACGAAAAGAACCTGCAAGACTCGCGATCGGACAACAGCAGTCTCGCGAGGCTTGTTGACGCGTTCAGAATCCGCGTGAAACGCGGCAGCAATGACAGCACAGCCAGGAAAGCTGGTGACATACAGATAACTGCCAGAGATGCCATAAATAATAAGAAACAGTCGATAAACGGCCTAATTCAAGCTATAAATCCATCTGAAAGCCTGACGGAGATGGTCATGCAGACTATTTCCCTCACACCTCGATCACACGATCGTTCGGTTTATCGGCGAAAGCCACATCTCATAGTAGAGAATGTCAACAAGTTTTCCTCCAATATCCCGCCCAAAGATCAAACCCACAAAATCGTCGTCTACGATCAGTTTTCAGCCAAACACCCTTCAGACTTACTCAAGACCAACCTCAAGGAATATTTTATTCAGCTGAGTAACGAAGCCGTTCGCGTGCAGTCCTTGTCCAGGTTCCTGAAGTCCCAGGAGAGCGCTTCTATGCAGACCAGAAGAGGACGCCGTCAAAGGATTCAGAATAATATCGCTCATCCCTTGAGACAGAGTGACACAATGGAGGAGTACAAAGCAAAGCAAGAGGCAATATTGGATAAGACAAGTTATATGAGAATGGTCAGGTGGTAATGGAGATGGTGATGGTGGATCAAAGATGCACTGTTGGTACTACGACGTGCGACTGGAGAAGAAAAAGGGGCAATTAATGACGGCGTCCAGGAACTAAAGGAGTGGTTCGGCGAATCCTATGGTGTTTTCACCTGGCAATGAAATAAAATAGTATCATTTGGATTCAGGCAAAAAGAAAAAGCAACAAGCAGCAAAGCGCTTGTAATTGAGCTTGGTAAGCATCATTCTTTAAGCGGATCGAGGGCAGCATGTAGGCCACGCGGCCTTACTGAATATTTGTAATACAAGGTGAGATTGTCACATATTTTCTGACAAACACTGGAAATTCTTACAGTCACTGATTGAAGTTTGACAAAGTCGATTTGCAAGATTATTAATGTGCGTCCATTTACTTGAGGAACTTGTCCTTTGCCTCCTGGATGAAGAATAGAACTGATAAGAACAGCTCAAAGTGCCGTGTTTCCCACTCATCATATTGGATGCTCCTTCTGACATCTCCGGGGTGCGGTGGAAAATATCTCTTTCAACTGGTTGTCCAACCACTTGACGTCGTCAAAGTTACCTGGAGGGCCGCCGGCCCAATGTCCCCAGATGGATGGAAAGATGGCCAGCTTCCCAACACCCTTGGTCATGTACTCTACCTCAATCTCGGAATCCTCAGGTCTGTACCTGTCAGTAACAATAGGAATGGTAGAGTCTACGAGAAAGTCTTACGGGAAGTAGAGATCAGTCTTCGAAGGTAGTACCAATGTTGTGGCTTTGATGCCCGCCATGGCCTTCTTGAAGTCGCCGTTGTATGGCTCCTGGTCGCTCACATCGGCGCTCTGCCAGCTATGGATCATGGTCAGAAGGTTCTCGGGGTCCTTGCTCAGAGCCCACTTCTCCCAAAAGGTCTGAAGAAAGTCTTCGAGGTCTTTAGATTTGTAGTGTTCCTTGTAGAGTTCTTGTCGGTAGAAGGACTGGGAGAAGCCCCATCCAGCATACACACGGCCAAATGCCTTCAAGCCCGCTTGTTTCTCTTCGTCGGACCAGATTCGGACAGACTTGTCGTTGGCCGCCGCCTCGCGCCCGTTGCCACTCCCGGCCGAGCTGATCTTCTTCGCAGCGAGGAGCGCTGACTTGACTCCTTCTAGGAACACCTTGTTATGTAGAGCACACTTGGCCGCGCCGCAGAAAGGAACGCAAATGTCCACCATGTCAGGGTATTGTGTCGCCCATTGGAATGATTGAGCAGCACCCATAGACCAGCCTAGAACTGCCCTCAGGTGCTTGACCTTGAGTTCTTCGGTAACGAGCTGGTGTTGTGCACGCACATTGTCATATAGAGAAACGTCGGGGAATGGGCTGATGTCAGAGTTGGACGGGCTGATGGACTGCCCGTTGCCAAAGAGGGCAGGAATTATGATGAAGTACTTTGACGGGTCGAGAGTCTTGTCATCTCCGACCAACCATTCGTTGTCTGCAATGGCACCGGAGAACCAAGTGGGATAGACAACGGCTGGCAAGGAAGCATCGCCGAATGTTCTGTAGGCAATCCAAGCACCAGGCAACGTTTTGCCGCTCTGGAGCTTGAAGTCACCAAGCACGAACTTCTTGATATCGGCCATGGCGTGCGACAACGTTTGAACGGTCTGCTGCGTGTCAATGATGTGTAGTAACGCAAGATCAGGAGTCTTCGGTATAGTTGTTTGATTCCCGTAGTTGATCCCGAAAGAGGGGAACTTCACGAATGTTGAGATAACAGCAGCTTATCTAACATTGTATCGCCGTCAACGCCATGACTTTAACCACAGCTAGGCAAGGTTCAGCCGGTGTAAGCCGCGAAACCCCGCATCTTGGTTTAACATGCATGCAGCGTGTTTGATACCCTAGAATCCCACAAGGTAAATTAGTTACGTATCAACGACTGGCTTTCTTGTCTTTTGCTTTGGGGCCATTGCATTAGTGGACCCTAGACTCGCGATGCAGCCAACAAATTTATAGGACGCACAACAGGGGTGAATCCCCTCCCTTCATGGATGAAGTTGACCTTTCCTAACCAAAGACATTATAATGTCTTTTTATTGGAAGCTATTAACTTACAACTAAACACCCACCGAAGACGTCCATCTAAAAACAACCATCGTGTTTCCAAATCACGATACATCATGAATAATAACCAACACCAGCTGGAACTAGATAATGTCGAAAAACACATTCCGGCGGAAATACAAGAGATGACTGACGAGGAAATCAAAGTCGAATTCCGGCCCAGCCAGGCATGCCAAAGATGCCTGCAATACTTTCACCCGGAGCTAACGAGTCCCTCACCCGATCGCCATCACCTGGTAGTTAATATCGCAGATATACCACATAAGATACTCCATCAAAACCCAGACAACCTTGCAGACGGCATCGAGCAAGGCTGCTGCTGGTGCAACCGGGTCTTCTTGGCGATCCAGAAAGCGCACGGTCCGATGACTATCGAGCACTTGCTCAGGACCTATCCGGGCTTCCATTCCTTCTCCCGCGGCCTGGAAGACTGGAACGAGGGCAGCGCAACTTGTTTCCTCACGTGGAGAATGACTGAGGGGTCGTTGCGTGACGCGGTGTGGTTTGGGCGTAAAGATTGGGCGCGGTCCCCACGAGGCATTTGTTTCAAGCCAGATTCCACCCGCAGCGGGGATCCATTCGAGTATCTTCCGCGTTGGATGTACCACCTCGGCGAACTGGAAGATAACACGGGCTCGCAGCGTACGATGGAATATATCGGAGCTCAAATTCGCAAATGCATGGAGACTCATGATAATTGTCGTGTGCCCTCCAGGTCTACTTGGTATCCCCGGCGGCTATTGCAGATTGTGTCGCCCGGCGACCGGACTACTGTTACAGGGCTACGCCTAGTGGAAACGGAAGAGACCCCAGTTCACGGCCCGTATGCTACACTAAGTTATTGTTGGGGGACTAAACCCAATTTGACTCTAAAGTTGGATAACTATAAGGAATACTGCATCACGGGGATGCCGGCCTTCGTAATACCGCAGCTGTTCCTGGATGCGGCGTTTGTTGCGATGAAGATCGGGGCTGGATATATATGGATTGACTCATTGGTAAGTACACAATATCATTTACTTCTTATACATATTATCTCCTTAGACTTGTAACGTGTTCTACTTTTTCAGTTGAGTCAATTCTGCCAGTAAGTACATCTACAACAAAGCGCAAGCAGTGCTCATGCCTACTATTGTGCAAAGCTAGGCTATGGCTCTTGAATACTATCACTATGCGTGTTGCTTTGTTTAGTCTGAAGAGACATAAGTTGAAATAACCAACAAAAATCGTTCTTGAAGCTTGATACTAATTGCGAGACAGTGCATTATCCAAGATTCAAAGGATGACTGGATCCGGGAAAGCGCCACTATGCATAATGTGTATCAACACGGTCTCTGCAATATCATGGCGGCTTCGGCTGGGAACAGCAGCGAGCCTCTCTTCAACAAGCGGGACGTGCGACTCATTACTCCTTGCATTATCCCTGGCACAGACTCTGACAACATGTCAACATATGTCCAAGGCCTAGAGGACATCAACGAAGAAGGTAAATGGTTCGAACAGCTCAGCGCTGAACCCTTATACAGACGTGGATGGGTGCTGCAGGAACGACTCCTGTCAACGCGCAGCGCCATCTTCACGCGGCAAAACGTTTATTTCCAGTGTCCCCACGACATCACCCGGCAAGTACACCCCGACAACAATAGTGCGGATCTGTACTTCGAGTTCTCCGACCCACGCATGATCCCGAGCAAGTTCACTCCGGAGACATGTTTCGAGACATGGCGGTTAATCATCAACGCATACGCTAAGACCAACCTCTCATTCGCGACCGATACCTTCTACGCGCTCGGTGGTCTTGCCGAGAGGGTAAGGCAGCTGTCTGGATCCAAGTACCTGCATGGACTCTGGGAGGCCGATCTGGCCAAGTGTCTCGCCTGGTGGGACGAGACGCATGAGCGAAGACCTGGGATCGAGGCACCCAGTTGGTCGTGGGCGTGTGTGCGAAAACCGCAGTACTTTGACTTTACTCAAACTGAGGCGATCCCGCGAACGTGGGGTACGATGACAGACGGCATTTTGGGACTGCAGGGCCCCATGTTTTCCATCAGTACCGAGTCCCCTGCCTCCAACTTCGACCCTGATATGGTCCAAAAGGAGATCATGCGAAGGGTGGAGGGTGTGGCGGACCGATGCGATTCCGTAGCGCAGTTCGATGGGCCGGAGACCGAAAGAGAAGACAAGCCAGTGCCAGGAGACTTGCTATGCGTCCTTCTGACGAGGTCACACTGCCGGCCTGAATACATGGGTATTCTTCTTGCGCCAGTTTCCGTATCCGACACCACGGCACCATATCGGCGGGTGGGCTTCTTCCGACTTGATTTATCATACAACGGAACGCCGAGCCACGTGGACACGAATGTTGGCTGGGCGCCTGAAATAAAGAAACGAGGGCGTGAGTTTTTGGACGAGTGTTACGAGCGCTTGTTGGAGACCTTAAAGACTCAACCGAAGGATGCTCACGGCCTTCCGTGTGATGGGGCGACTGACGAACAAACAATATTTCTTGTGTAAGGAGTCGAAAGAGCGATACAGGACTCGTAGGGACAGTGGAACACGTAAAGATTTGTGCAACTTCATTAGAGACGACTTTAAGCTATTCAATCAGGCTCCTAACTATCTCTCCTCTATACTATGATACAAAGCACTGAGGTAGTGAGCAGATCAACCTTTCATGCGAATGAAAATATATAAGATGTGCTGTGAGAAATCACGAAGTTGCAAGATCTTCAATTAGTCTCGAAGGAGAAAGATAACAGCGCTTTCCTTCTCCAGCGGTCTGGAAACTTACTCTTCTTATGCGCCATGTAATTTGATCGCGTGGAGAAGAGCTGCAGAATTGCAACTCTCAGGATGTCGCTATTAGAATAGATGAAGCGAAGAGGTTCATAACTTCCATGTCTCTGAGGAAGAATACATTGCTGCTGATGCCTATACACGTCTATGTCTTGAAATCCGATCGAAATTGAAAATACACAAAGCAGCTGGGCTCTGTAAGCGAATCAATGTCTGCCAGCAAAGCAAATCATACCGAGAATGCGGGGACAGGCGGCTGTTTACCCTCCTTGCCTGTTGAAGACGTCTCTTGGTGGTGTTAATGTATCCCTTTGAATGCCACTGGACCTCACATAACCTCAGACCAAGAAGACTACAGCAATCCAGGCTAAGTATCCAATAGCTGTTAGTAATTACTCGCAGAGACCCACTTTTGGGTTATGCGAGGTTCGGTAGCACTCAAAGGGATAGTTATTGGCGAAGCTAGAGAATTTCTCATTCGTGCAAGAATTAGCCATGCCGAATGCCGCTAGCCCGAGCGATGTCAGACGCGAATCATGATTTTGAAAACAGCCGGAAGATTGCAAAAAGCTGCGAGCTGCAGCATGTTCCGAGTTCTTAACGTTTCACTGATATAAAAGAACTGCACGGCAATGCTACCTTTGAGGATGATTCGGCGCTCAAAAGATGTGATATATTGTTTGCTATTAGCTGTAGCAACGAAATGCTGCATCAAGAGGCTCTCTACGCACGTTATCGAACTTTGTGACTGGACCTCATGTTCTGCCGTTGTATGGTGCTGGGCGAAATTACGCTTACTGTCCCTTCCCCCCCTCCAACCCTATCTTTTCGAAATTTCTTTCTTGACTGTGGGATTGTATTCCACTGTTGGATACGAGCCCTGCGATGTCCAGGCATCACTCTTATTAACCCTAGCGCGCCAAGATCAAACGAGGACAAACATCTCGGCGCTTAAATCCGGGTTGGACTGATGAAGGCAAGCATGCCGGAAAACAAAGGTCAGATGGGCGAGGCACTCATGCCGGCGACTGGACGGAGTACCGAGTGTTCTTTGCTGTACGGACTATAGGGTCAGAAGAAGAAAAGGGTTGGAGTGGATAGTACATGTAAGACCGCACGGTGATTGGAGGGGAAAGGATTGACAGTGCAAGATGCCAACACTCAGAAAGGGCTTGGCAATTAATCCTTTTCAACAGCACAAACATTCCAAGGGTGTGTAGTGGTGCACAGGTAGATCACTACCCTCTGAGGTCGTTTCAATAATCGAGGGTGTCCTGCAAAGAGGTGACAACTGTATCCTTCTCATAGTCATCCAAAGTCAGGGATCGTTGCCACATGTTTGCTAGCTGCCTTTCCACTAGTCAATAACTCATCTGCTCAAAGAGCCGTCAACTCTTGTTGTATCTAGACGGCAGCCCCCCATCCCACCCATGTAAGTTATTCCTCCAACGGTTGCTCCTCGTTCAGTCACCTCAGCTCTCGGCGCTGCTCTACCTCTGGGGTAACACGCGAAAGGTGAGCCGAATGCCACTGGATTTCAGTGTTCAAGCATGTCTTGAGCAATCAATATTTGCTCCGCATAACACACCTGCTATGAAGAAGCGTGTTCTTTTATTTCGCAACTTCTTGGTAAGTGGAATTGTGCCCTATCTCTTGGTTTGGATAACCTCACCAGGCCGAGAAAGATCGAAAAAAGATGGTACTTCCACAACTTGTGCTGTCTATCTCGATGCGAAGGACTTTTGAGACCAATCAAATTTCATCACATTCTACTAGGGCAAGGGCACCCTCCGCGGAGACTTCCTCCCCTGAGCTTTCGACACCCTGGAATGAATTTGAGGGCACCCCAGTTGCATATGCCGGGGTGGTCGAGATCTTGGTCCAGGACAAGGGCCATGTGTGGTTTAAAGTGCCTGGCAGTATACACTAGTCTTCAACATGGGGTAACCTGTCTCGTAATTTCCAGCATCAGAAAGAACGACATTTTCTCCGACAAGGATGCTAAGGATTGAGAACGGTCCGTATATTTAAGTCAGCACCATCAGCACACTGGACGAACACTTATTCTTATGCCCCATCGCGCCTAGTCTCTGTCTTTCGTTCAAGCTTATATTCATATTGTTACTACAAGCCTTTGTGGTGCCAGTCGCCCGCTTGTCACACTTATACTTGCTCTCTTCTGACTGTGCGTTCAACAAACAATCCATTACAAACATCAAGATGAAGTTCTCCGCCGTCACATTCGTGGCCGCTCTGGCCACGGCTTCGCCAGCCAACACTATCAATGCACGCAACGAGCTTGCTTTAAGACAGGCCGCTGCGGCTTGTAACATCGGTTACTGCACTCAGAATGGCGGCACCACCGGTGGTGCCGGCGGCTCTAGCGTGACTGTCAAGACCGTTGACGAACTCGTTGCAGCCGCCAAGCGAACAGGTCCTCTTACAATTGTTGTCTCCGGCGCCATTTCGGGCAGCGCCAAAGTTCGCGTCTCTTCGGACAAGACCATTGTTGGAGAGAAGGGAAGCTGTAAGTAGACCCGAGCCAACAACATACTGTGTACCTGGGAAATCATTTTCATCACTACTTATTGCCATACTGACTGCATCGCTAGCCCTGAACAACGTTGGCTTATACATTCGTCAGGCCAAGAACGTTATCGTTCGCAACTTGAAGATAGGCGGTGTGAAAGCATCCAACGGTGATGCCATTGGCATTGATGAGTCAACCAATATCTGGGTTGACCATTGCGACCTTTCTGGCGACCTGAGTGGCGGCAAGGATGACCTCGATGGTCTTCTTGATGTCTCTCACGGCGCCGACTGGATCACTATCTCCAACGTTTACTTTCACGACCACGTAAGTTTCGTCTTTTCCGTATCATCAGCTACTCGGACCTTCGGAAAGTAACATCGCACACTCAGTGGAAGGGATCCCTGGTTGGGCACTCCGACAACAATGCCGGCGAGGATACGGGCAAGCTCCATGTCACCTACGCCAACAACCACTGGTTCAACATCAACTCCCGTACCCCCCTAGTTCGCTTCGGCACCGTCCACGTCGTCAACAACTACTACAACAAGCTCCTTGCGTCGGGCATAAACTCGCGCATGGGCGCTCAGGTCCTTGTCCAGAGCACCGCGTTCACCAACAGCCATGCCAAGGCTATCTTCTTTGCCGATTCTAAGCAGACCGGCTACGCCGTTGCTGAGGACGTCAGCCTAGGCGGCTCTCAGAACACTGCCCCCAAGGGAACCCTCACCTCTGCCTTGCTTCCATACAAGCTCACCGCTATTGGTTCCAGCAAGGTCGCCAGCACCATCCCCGGCACTGCTGGCCAGAAGTTGTGAGCAGCATATTCGGCCTCGGCGAGGTGAAGGTGGAAGACTAAACTCGAGGTATTGTTGTACATACTTGACTGAGTATATAAGTGCGGTGGCGATGGATCCTTGATATGTGCCCCTACATTGTACATACTTTGGGGTCAACACTGCGCTTTTGCCAGTGTTGGAACCTGAAAGAAACCATATATAAATTTGTCTATTGTATGGCCTTAATCGGATTCTTTCCATCTCTCACTGTTATCACCTTCTCTCAGCGGGGCAAAATCTAAATAGTGATCTTCAGATTGCAGCGTTGATCCGATTGCAAACGGCTTCTGATTTTTCGAGGAACAGGAAAGCAAAATTCCTTGCAACCTGAAAAGTCTAGTTGTGTATTAGTTGCCAGACAGAGAAGAGAAGGCTGTTTCAAAGTACCACGGAGTACCCTAGTCTCTCTTTTGAATACGTGGGAAGCAAAGCCACACGATAGCCACCACCGCAATCAATGATAGAACGATGGGTTGGAGCACCGTAACACCCTTGCTTGTCGCAATGGCACCAATGATGAATGGGAACACTGTCCCCCCTGTGCCACCAATAGCCATAGCGAAGCCAATAGCACTGACATGAATGTGTTTCGGAAGAAGCTTGGCTGTCATTGTAACAGCACCAGGGAACATCGGACCCAGGAAGAAACCAAGGAAGGCCACAGCAATAGCCGAGACGATGAACTGGGGTACAAGCCAGAAGAGAAGTTGAAGAGCAATGCAGATAACGAGATAGATACTGATACAGAGCCTCTCCCCGTATCTCTCGGTTACGAAACCTAGGCATGCGCGGCCCAGGGCCTGTCCTGCCCAAAAGCCCGTGGCAGAGATACCAGATGCATAGGCGGACGCCTTGCGGACGCGAAGCATGAAAGTGACAATCCAACCACCTAGGCCAACTATCAAATAATGTTAGATGTGCGTCGATACGGATGAATTTACCCACTCGGTATCAAAACATACCTTCGACGCCCATGTATGAGAAGAAGAACACGGAGCAAAGCCAGGTGACCTTGGACTTGAGTGCGATTCGGGTGCCAGCACCCCCTTGACCCTCGTTCTCATGAGCGTGTTCGGCGCGGTACATAGCACCTGTCTTTGGCCAGAAAGTGATGGTAAGACCGACGAGTTCGAGAACAGACGCACCAACCTGTAGATTCGTCAGGGTTTCCGTAGACTTCATGCGCTTGTGCATCGTTGACTCACCATGAAATAGTAATAGTTGTACCATGGAAGTTTAGCAGTAACCACCATCGACGTAGCAATCAGCGGGGCAATGAGGGCACCCACGGAGTAGGAGGCGTGGAGGAAGCCCTGGATCGTGTTGGTCTTGTCCATGGCGCCAATCCAAGCACAGAAGCAAGCGTCGGTCAGTCCATTGCCAAAGCCGCTGATCATATTGGCAACCACTAGGACTGGATAGGGAGGATGCAGGGAGAGAACAACATAGGTGACGATATGACACAGGGGAGCCATGATCGCAACCCCTCGCTGTCCGAATTTCTGGTGGATTCTGGCATTTGTGAACGCCGCAACTGAGTAGCCGGCGAAGGGCGTTAGGAAGATGAGTGAGACGATGGTGTAGCTCAAGTCATAGTATGTTTCGAGCTATTCACGAATGAGAATGGCTGACAAGCTTCAAGAGACACATCAGCTGGGCTTACATATGGAATCAGGGCCTATATAAGTGGTGAGTAAGTGATATTTCTCATGCACGGTCCAGACAACCTACACCAACTGCCGCATCATTCATGCCAGAAATAATAAACGAGAAGAAAGCGAACACAATCCTGCCAACGTTGCCCTTGGGTGAGTTCCACCGCTCGATGGTTCCATGAGCGTACGGCGGTGGGGCACTGTCCAGGTCGTCTGTTCTTGACTGATGGGCCTCAGAACCGTCCAGCTTCAGCGAAATATCTTCGAGCGATCGGCCATGACTGGAAGTCAAGTGGCCGAGCTCGAAGACATCTGGCCCGAAAGGTTTGTGTTGCTGCGTATCGGAACGCGTCTCGGTGGCGGTCTGCGACATGCTGGCTGTAATGACCGGTTCACGGGTAGCTTTTTGCGATGCAACTCAGACAGCTTAGCTGTGGCCGTTGCGGTGACAAGGTGCTCCAACTGAATAAAGACTGCAGAAAGACTCCGGGTGAAGAAGAAGCACCAGCGGAAGATTCGAACATATAGGACCGACGAGCCCGACCGGCGAGATGAGCGGGGCGGGGAGGTTTCGACCCCGATAATTACCCGGCTGAACTAGGCCCCCTTTCGGTATCGGGCGCGGGGGAAGTGGAATACTGGCGGAGAACTCCGCATCGGTCGGGGCAGCAGTCCATTACTGGCAATAATCAACACGTTTTAAGGCTTAGGAGGGTTAGCGCCTTTGATGGGCTCTGGTTTTTGCTTCGCCACACGAGTCGAGCCATCGGGCCTACTAGAAGGTGGAGGGAAGGATGTCTGCGAAGAGATAGCCGCTAAAGGAGGCGATAGTAACAGTCTGTGCAATATGGCAGCGATATATTTTGGGTACGCTCTTGGTGTCGTGGTCTTTCAAATGAGGACATCGAACCGTACATAAGTTTGGTGTTTGTCGGGGTAGAGTCGTGATTGACCATCCTGATATGACGGGTGCTTGACAATGTAATATGGGAGCATAATTATGTATAACGCCCTCGACTTTCTCTTTGGAGCCAGTAGAAGATCGAATCATCTACTACTTGGCTGGCAGTAACGACCATAACCCATAGAGACTTCTACGGCCAGACATTTCTCTGATAAAGAACTGGAATTCTGCTTTTGGTAACGCAGGTAACCAATTTGCAAGTTTTCTCGGTTGGAAGCGCAGACTAACCCATAACCCAATATTGTTGAATGTACTCTGTTCTCTGTGTTTATCCAGCACCTCGAGGCATCATCGACATTATTTATTGGCAACAACAGACTTGGCATAAATGGCCCACTCGGTGTTTCAAACGCGGTGATTAGGCATTACACCCGGGCTACCAGTGATCAATATAATCAGTAGTGCGTAACGAACTTGGCAGTCGTAGCGAGAATTGTCTCGGGTTTTGGAAGTTGAAAGAAGCGCATGCAAAGGATAGACGTTATCAGTGATGTCTTCCATGCATTGGAAGGAGTGCCGTAGATCCGGAATAGTGAGTCAACCGAGTGCTGCGTCACGTTCGAGACTTCACTTCAAGGTATTGGCTGGAGGATTACGCGAATATTTCGAAGCCACCATGGCTACCTGAACCACTGGATGAATATGGTAGGCTTCGGTCAGCATACGAGTAATATCCCGCATATTCTTACTTCAGCTTTATTAAGCATGGAAACCGAAGCCAACAAACTCGAGTTTAGTACTGAATGTTGACTTCCCATGCTGTGCCAAGATTCTTGAAGAAAGCCAAGATTAGTCATGACTATGGGCAGACGAATGAACTGGACCTTCAAATCTTGGTATCGACAGGCGAGTCACACAAGCTGAGGCAGTGTAATGTTTGTGTTTCCCACCACGTTTTACAAGTCGGGTTCACATTCAATGACACGCTGCGACCCTTTCGGGCCTGTATGCACTCGTATTTCAATTGGCCAAAGAATACAGTGTGGAAAAGGGATCAAATACGAGAAACACTCAGGAAGCATATCTAAAAGGCTGTGGCGCTTTCTAACAGACAGGGGCATTTCTTGTCCTTCAAGGTGGTCTCGTTCATATGACCTCCATGATTGTGGTTGCAACGGTTGATTGGCGTCTGGACATTTTCTTCCGAAATGCCAAGTGAGCCATTTAATTTTCGATACTAGTACCAATAATGCGGTGTAACGGCTGATGGAATGAATGTATTTAGAGACAATGGAAGATCACCGACATTTTGTCATGTTCTACCGCCGAATCCCGCAGGACTGGATGTCTCTGCTTCAAAACTCCACATGCAGTTAACCGTCATCTTCCGATCCAGAAAGATAACAACGTCGGTGCCAACCTCCAACTGTTTGGCTTGGAGATTAGTTGCGTCACTTGGCCTAAGACCGTCTTCTTCATCTGTTGTCAAGCTCTTGGTTATCAATCGCTCTAACCCCCTTCACAGTTTTGTCTACATATTTCTCCTCGCGCAGACTCACTTTTGATCTCCCAATGAACTGGATCAACTTACGTTTCTTAAGATTATCCGACGTCCACCCCAAGATAAGATCAGTGATATGCCAAACTCCATCGATGGCAGCGGTGGGGAAGACGGCAAGCTGAGCGAGCAAAAGTCGTTCGCAGACGAAGCCAAGAATGGAGATACTACGACGAACGAGTCTCTGGTCCATAGACACAGTAATGTGCCAGAAAACGCAACCGACAAAGTTAGCACCGGGTCCACTGATGCCAGGGGTTTCGAAAGCACCGAAAATCTCCGGGCATCCCTTGTCCGCAAATTCGACCGCAGGCTGGTCCCGGCAATATTCCTTGCCCATCTTCTCTTCTTTCTCGACAAGAGCAATATTGCCCTTGCCCGCATCAACGGACTCGAACAGGATCTGCAGCTAACTGGGACCCAGTTCAACACGGCCATGGCGATGTTCTTCATTCTAAATATCCTGTTCAACATCCCAGGCAACCTAGCTGTTCGTCGTGTCGGAGGAGCGATATGGCTTCCGGCGTTGATCACAGCGTGGGGTCTTGTCACAACTTTCAGCGGATTTATCACGAACTTCGCAGGCCTTTGTGCCACGCGTGTATTTTTGGGCTTGACAGAGAGCTCTTTCCTGGGGGCAGTCTTGATTTATCTTGGCTTCTTCTATACCGCCGATGAGCTCATCCTGCGTGTTGGTCTATTTTACTCGAGCACCGCTCTCGCTGGATTCCTGGGCGGCCTGTTGGCTGCCGGGCTGGGCCAGGTCAGGGTCGCTGGTCATAACGGCTGGCCTTGGATATTTTTCATCGAGGGGTCCTTGACGGTTATCCTGGGAATCAGCCTTTTGTTTGTTTTGCCACATACACCTTCTGACGCGAAATTCCTGTCTTCGGCCGAGAGGTCTCTTGCTATTCAGCGCATGCGGTTACAAGATCGGTGGCACCATCTGGGCACACCCCAGCCCATGGATCATGATACAGAAGGGCGAGTACAGCGACACGGAGAAACCCCGACGAACAACGACCCTCTCACATGGGCAACAGTGGCAAGCGCAATATTCAACGTCATCACAATGACCGTGGCTGTTGCCTCGTTCTTTTCTATACAGGCTATCTACAGCTTTTCCATATTCCTACCAACGATTATATCTGCGATGGGTTACGAGAGGCTTCAAGCTTCATTAATGACGGCACCACCTAATCTTGCGGCCCTGGTTTTCACCATTGCTATTTGTGTCTGGAGTCGAAGATCGGGAAAGACTGCGCTGCCGCTGAACGTTTGCAGTATCACCGGAATCCTGGGGTACACTCTGCTTATTGTTGGTGCGAAGATTGGGGTAGCCCCCCTATTCATGGACGTTGACATCCAATATGCTGGGACGTTCCTAGTCGCCATGGCGGTTAACGCAATCCCCCCCTTGGCGTTGACCTGGATGAGTATCAACGCTTCGCCGCATTATGTCAGAGCAATTGCCTTGGGATTTGTCCTGTCTATCGGTAATTCAGCTACATTCCTAGCATCCTTTACTTACATCAAGACCGAGGCACCAAGGCAAGTTATTTCAACTTCCATTCACTTTGCAGTCACTGACGGGCACAACATCGTAGGTATCTGAAGGGTCACTTTATCAATTTTGGATGTTTGATGGGGGTTTTGCTTGTCGGCATCTGCTTACCCGCATACATGAAATGGGAAAACCGAAAACGGGCCCGAGGCGAACGAGACTGGAGGCTGGAAGAGAGTCAAAGGAATGGCCTTTCGGCAGAGGAACATGAATTCAGACTTGGGTGGATGCATCCCCACTTCCGGTTCAAGGTCTGAGTTGGTGTAGCTTTGAGACTTTGTTAAACACCTGTCCTGTCGTTCAGTGGCTAGGAGGTCTTCCAATACAGTATAATAGCAGGCTTTATCTCATTGCTTGGATTTTTGACATTTCGCTACGAAATTCATCACATATAAGCTGCATGCTGCTCATATCGTCCTTTCCCTGCAAAAAAGTTATTTGTTCGATGGCATCAGGCGTCGAGTTTCCGGGTGCAGGGGCCGGAACCAAATGGAATAACACGCAGGCCAGACAAGTTTCAAGACTTGGTAAGCGTGAACTCAACTCTAAATGCCCCGACAGATAGACAACAAAGGCTTCGGGGAGGGTTGCCGAGGCTTTGATCAAGTCGATAGACACTATTACTACGTAGTAGTGTTCATTTGCTGCATTGGCATTTGTCAAGCAGTATTAGCAGAATGATAAGTGATGAATGAGAGTACGTACCTAGTGTCTAAACGCCGAAGATGCGAGACTATCTCCGGGCGTCCAGACAAGGCTAAAAGTAATGGATGAAAGGATGTCGATTTGCTAGGTGGGTATCCGTAATACTCCGTCACTCAAACATCTCCTGTCCGCCTCCCGTTGTCTTCCACGCCCCCTCGACTTCAGACGACGTCGGGTACCTGTCACATAGCCGATACAATCCGTGCAGGCCGTGCAGTGTCGCAAGAAGGCCTTGCCAAAGCGTGCAACCCCCGCAGATATGCCCGGACACGGCCTCCTGTTCTTCATTCCCGGCAACCCAGGGCTCGTGGATTACTACACCGACTTCTTCGAAGCGCTCAAGGCCCGCATAGATTGGGCTGATGGCCACGTCCACGTCCACGGGCGCGACCTCTTTGGCTTTCGCGATGATAGTCACGAGCCCTTCAGCAGTGACAACCCGCCATATGACGTTGAACGCCAGATTGAGCTTGTCTATGGTCATTTGGCATCGCTGAGACGGACAGACTCGTCGCGCAATGCACCTGGCAAGAAGGGCGAGCCGTATGACTTTGTCATTCTGGCGGGTCACTCGGTGGGTAGCTATATCGCTCTTGAGATATTCCACCGCCATATGAGGGACCCCTCGCGTGCGCCTCATCTCAAGCTGCAAGCCGGCATGCTCCTCTTCCCCACTGTGACGCACATAGCCCAGTCGCCGAGTGGAAAGCAGCTCGAGGTCCTCCGCACGACACCCTTCCTCAACAAGACGGCGCATGTTGTAGCTCAAAGGTTTCTTGACCTGTGGCCGGCAGTGGCGCTCCGGTGGTTCGTTGGCACCGTGCTCGGCTTTGGGCCCAAGGCAGCCGATGTCACAACCAAGTTCTTGAAAAGCCGGGACGGTGTGTGGCAGGCGATCCACATGGGCAAAGATGAGATGAAGGTTATAACCGAAGAGAAGTGGGATAAGGAACTGTGGGAGGTTAAGGAGCAAGACAATAGCGCTGGGGGGAGGGCTGCGCCAAGATTCTTCTTCTTCTTCGGGAAGAAGGACCATTGGGTGGGCGATCACTTCAGGGATCATTTCATCAGAGCTCGAGAGAAGCACATCGAGAACGGATGGGCACGAGTGGAGATCGACGACACCGGGCTCCCTCACGCCTTCTGCACAACGGAGAAGAACAGTGAGGTCGTCGCTGGCAAGGTAGCAGATTGGCTGAAGGAGGTTTGGGATGGTTTGGCACAGCCGGCAACATGAAAAACTCGGGTCATTGAGCCAGATATATTAGCAAGTCGTATAATTATTAGACAATAGACAGTAATGTATTTCTGTAGCAAAATATTGGACGCTTGTCGTCTGACACGTCGATGAAATGGAGGGGTGTCGCGTCCACTCTCCCTCCATTCCATATGTCTTCCCCTGCAAATATTTTATACACAAGTGTGTCAGTTGCTGTTACCCTCAACACACTAATACTACGCCATCTCAAAGAAGACTTTTTAGTATTCTGATTAGCAATCTGGCATTCGAAGTTCTCTAACCGATCCTGTTAAAGAATCTAGGTCGGCATGGGCCGTCCAATCTGCATGCTCTCGACACTACCAGACTGTGTCACGGTAAGCGGCGATCATCCCGATAGCTTTCTCGTCAGGATCTTACTTCAGTCTCGCCCTTGACTTTCCTCTTTCTCATGAGGCCGTAGATAAATGCCCCCATTGCCAACAGTGAAACACCAGCTGTATCGCGTGAGTAATTGTCTGAATGACCAAGTTTTTGAATGCAAGGGTTGGCTTACCAACACCACCGAAAACACCGAGTAATACGACCGCAGTAGGGGTGCCAGCGGCGCCGCCTTTAGGACTGCTTGTTGCCGATGCTGATATCGAGGACGTGTGAGAGGTAGCTGAGATCAAGGGTGGAATTGTCAACGGGCCGGATCCCATCAGGGGAGTCGTAATCCCGGTCACAGGAGATTGGGGAGGTGGAGGAGGAGGCGGTAGCACTACCGGCGGCGGCGGCGGAGCCGTACTCATCGGTGGAGGTGGTGGAGGTGGTGGTGGTGATGATGTTGTCACTGGAGGAGGAGGGGGCGGCGGCGGAACAGGAATGGTAGACGGTACTGGGGGTGTCCCAGTCACTGTAATTGTTGTTGACAACGTGACCATGATTGTCTGAGCCGGCAGAGTTACCGTCACGAAGGAGGTGACTGTCGGCACGTTTGCGTTGTTATTCAAGCTTGTGCCTGACGCAGCTGGTGCTGCCACTACCACCGGTGTTCCTAACGGTTGGTCGTCGAGAAGGCCCAAAACCGATAGAAGTTGATTCGTGTCCAGAGGCAATGCATTGGGACCAGAACCGGCAGCTAGCCTGGCTCCAGCGGCAACGGCTTCAGCATTGGCAGTTTCGGCATCCTTCATTTGTCGACGCTCCTCCTGATGCCTCTCCTCGCCGTCGAAGGCGTTGTCTTCCCCCATGTTCATTGTGCTGAAAACCTCTCGCGCTATTGCGACTTGGGATGGCGCTGTGATCTATCCCCCTTTCTCTCGAGAGTGATGCTGTTCAAGACTTCAAGATGTAGTCTGAGGGTCCTCCAGTCGGTGGGCGAGCCGAAATCTCGTAGCTCAGTTGCAAACGTCTCACAGATGACCTTGCCGTACTAGTCCGAGTATGGTCAACTGATAAAATATCCTTGGGTTTCTCGAGGGGAAATCCGGGAATGCGATTGATGCGGAACCCATGCACTCTTTATTCAGCATTCGCTCGTCCTTCCTCTTGTGATTTGTTGAACTGGCTTTCATTTGACTTCAGGCTCGCGTCAAACTCACAGGGCCGGGATGCCGCCACTCGGACCCTTTCAACCTGGTTTACGAGTGTGTTTCCTAGTAAGGAAAAAGGCGTCGAGTTTCTGAATGGGGGAGCAACATGTCAATGGGTAAATCAAATAGGTGCCACGGCATGGCGACCGAAGAAGGGAGGAAAAGAGAATGCGGCGCAGGATGGGCTTTGAAAGAACGTGCGCTCCTCAAATGCCTCTTGTTGCTCTCTTCCCCGGTTTCTTTTTGTTTCTTCTGTTCTCAAAGCTTACCCCCTCCCTCCCCCGGTTTGCGGTAAAGGGGAGTATGCCGTGCTCTGGAGGGGTCGGAGAGCCACACAGTCGACGCGTTGCAGGAAGAAGTCCCGCCGCGGCAACGAATCTGTCTCGTTGTTTCATCCGGGAGGCAAAATGTCCGAAGAGATGGGATGCCCAATGGATTTTGTGTTTTGCGAAACAGTTTTCTGTAACTCTGTTGAGCCTCTTTGAGATTGCCCGTGCATTCGAGAGGGGATTTACGCCCGTGCGTGGTATAGCAGGCAATTCCGGGCCTACGGGCCAATTCCTACCAGGATTGGCTTGTTTCCATCACCATCAACTCGGCGATGGCCAATCGAGATGATGACCCTGCTCTGATCCGGCTCTTCCTAGCCATGTTCGCAGTCTATTAGCTGACGTCAGGTACGTTGATGGCAACTGGACGACTGCGCCACGTCATAACAGTAAAAGACATAGTTGGGCTCCCATACTTGCTGGTGGCAATCACCGAGACAAGCTTATATGCATCTGAAAGCATATAGTAATGAGAACGATATAACGTATGTTCTTGAGTTGTATGTCCGTTATGTCTACTCTCTTTCGCCGACAACAGAGGGAAGAGAAGAAAGCGTCAAAGAGCTATGAATACCGACCGGCTGCAATCGCAGAGGCCGCCTAGACCTGCTTTGCAAAGAGGAATTTGGGGAAGTCTGACTACTGCCTCGGTTGCCGCCTATAATTTCCTCGCACACGACTTTGAAGATGTACCAGACCGCTATCGAGACGAAACGGCTTACCCAACTCGTTTATCTCGGGCCGGCTCGAGCATCCGACTCGGACAAGCGCATGGCCGCAACAACTATCCACTGAAGCCACCGGCTATTCGCAAGCGCACATGGCAAAAGGATGAGAATGGGGAGCTGCACAACAAGTCTTACGAGGATGCGCAGTTCAGTCAGTATGACGAGGCTCGCGGAGGACAGGATCGAAACCCTTTCGACAACTTGACCGAAGTTGAGAATCAGTACCACCAACACAGCGAGACCGAGGAGCCGTTTTCAATTTACTCGAAGAAGCAGAAATGGACCATTATTGTTATTATCGGATTGGCAGGGCTTTTTTCAGGTTTATCCTCTAACATTTACAATCCCTCCTTGGATGTTATCTCAAGGGTATGTCGATATTACCCCAAGTTACGCCACAAAAGCCAACTAACCCCCCAAGGAACTGAAAGCATCCGCATCTCAAGTCTCCCTCACGATAACATCTTACTTGGTTATGCAAGCTATAACGCCGTTATTATGGGGTCCGCTGTCAGACTTACTCGGCAGACGGCCGACATATATCGCCTCTTTTGCAGTCTACATTGTTGGGAATGTCGCGCTAAGCTTTTCTCCCAACCTCGCGGTCTTACTCATTTTTAGGGGTGTTCAGGCTTCTGGAAGCTCGTCAACCGTCAGTATTGGTATGTCCCCATCCCACCTGTTTCTTCGCCTTTTTGATTGGGCAACTGAACGATGACCGCAGGTAACGGCGTTATGCAAGATATAGCCCCACACTCCGAGAGAGGTGCCTTCATCTCCTTCTATCAAGCTAGTAAGCTGTGACGCTGGTTATGTATCAGTATAAACGAATGACTGACCTTGCGCAGTTCGGAATTTTAGCACAGCATTCGGCCCAGTCATGGGCGGCGCGTTGGCCAATTCTTTTGGCTTCCGATCAGTCTTCATATTCCTGCTGATCGTGTCGTCGCTCATACTCACCACCATTGTGTTGTTTCTGCCAGAGACGTTGCGATCGATTGCCGGTAACGGGTCGCTGCGTTTGACTGGCGTTCACAAACCCCTTTACTATTACATAAAGGAACCGAAGTACATTCAAGATCCAGACGGTCCGCTGGTTCTTCAAAAGATCACCGTCTACACCTTTTTGAGACCATTCAGACTCTTCAAAGAAAAAGATTTAGTCATCAACCTCGTGTGGGGTGGAGTCATCTACGCCATATGGAACATGGTGACGACAAGCACGACACCATTATTCAAAGCAAACTTCGGCTTGAACGAACTTTTGCTGGGAGTAGCGTTTATTCCGAATGGTAGGAGATGAGTCCCTATTCCAAGGCTCTGGGGACAAGCGTCTATCATTCACCGAGGGTTTGGGTTTGCTTGATGGTGGCTAACGTAATGTGGTCAGGATTCGGAACCATTGCCGGCTCAGTTGTTGCCGCGAAAACCTTGACTAGAGACTATAAGTCCGTAGAGACCAGGTATAAGGAAACGCACAACATTCCTTACGACGAGGAACTCTCACCAATGGACATCCCGCCGGACTTCCCCTTGGAGCAAGCGCGCTTGCAGCGTCTACCGTGGATGGTGTTTCTGTTTGTCGCTTCCCTCGCCGGGTATGGGTACTCGTTGTCATATCCCAGAATGACTGCTCTACCCGGTTGGATTGCACTGCCACTCACGATGCAGTTTCTCATTGCAGCTTCGGCAAATGCCATGTTTGCTCTTAACCAGACCATCATATCAGATCTCTGCCCCGGACAAGGAGCGAGCGCGACAGCGGTCAACAATTTGGTCCGCTGTGGTCTCGCCGCCCTCGGCGTGGCCTTCACGGAGCAAATGCTTAACGCTGTTGGTCCTGGAACAGCCTTTCTGTCCCTGGGAATGGCTGTTATTGCTGTCTCCCCAATCCAGGTGGTCAACCAATTCTGGGGGCCCTTGTGGCGAGCACAGAGGGAAATGAGGAGACCCAAGATGAATGCGATTGGCCAAGATCGGCAGAAAGCTTAAACATTCAATCAGCTACCCAAGAAATGACTGGCGATTGGGTTAGAATTCTCGAGCAAGGCGTCAATGGTCGCGCGCAAAGCGTATTTGCTTAACGTAATTACAAGGTTGCACTAGCATAAAAGTGGGAGTTTCGCCTCAGTAAATCAATGCCTACTGATACAAGACCATTTGACGGTTCCCCGAATCAGTTTGCATGGGGTGCTCCTTCATCTTTCGTTCTTGTTATCAAATTTGTAGATGAGTAGGATTGACGTAGTAGATCTTTGACCTGCAGTAGGTCCTTCGATCAAGACCTATGAAATTCACGAGAAACCCCCCAACTTGTGTCTGCCTCACACTTCTGGCTTCTGGGGGTAGGCAGGAATATTAGAGTTCTCCCAAAGCGATCTTTCATGTTACAAGTCGTCTAGTCTTTGAGCTGAGACCCCTTATCTAAGCAGCGGCATCCTGGTTAGAACTTCCCAAGGCATGGATACACGAGTCACGATGGGTAGTCTGGATGGTTGCCATACTTTGCTGTCCGACATGTCACAAATCACCCGGTAATCATATCGGCTGACTGCTAAGTCATTAGCCCATTAGCAAAAAGTAAAGATGCCAACAATGACTACATCCGTAGACCGCTGCTGAGCTACTGTGGCCGATTATAGGCTAATTCACTATATGGGTCTTTATCACAGTTGCAGAATTAAGACTTGGCATGGCGTCTTCATGTTAGCCCGCGATGTATTTATAAGCATACTCTCTAATGTACATATATCATGGACTTAACTTGCATCTGAATTTTATGCCTTCTCCTTTCTAGCCGCCTATTGTCTGTCAATAAGGGGAAACTCACATTCCTTATCCTACCAGGTTATCTACATACCTAGAGTGACATTGCATGCCGAGGGTTCTGCTATTAATGGTCGAAGGAGTCTTTTCTCTTTGATCAACACACAATCAGCTAATGTTTAAGAACTATTACGTAGGTAATCAATGAGTTTTCATGTTCAAGCTGTCATAAAGCCACACAGGACAAGCAGATTCATTAGTTGATGGGCTGAACCTCAGTCATTGATCTCTAAGCCCGGTTTGGCAAGCCGTTAGAGTAGAATTTGACCTTGAAATAGGCTTAGTCTGGCTTCAGAGTTATGCATCGAGCCATTAGGATATTGATCATCATCAAAGACCTTAGAAGATAACCCCCTTCCCAAATTCATCACTGTAGATCAAATATATGGGCGGTAAATATATACAAGAGACATTGTAGATCTATGAATAACATATCTCTATTTGCTTTGATTACTTTGAGGAACTCATCAAGCTTTGTAAATAATTCAACCCTTCTGTACCCTGTAATTGAACATAATTCTATGATGTTTCTCTGTGATTCATGACAAGCATCCACATCAATGGAATACCGGTGTGTTTGGTCTTTGATTCACTTCACCTATCTCAATAGATATACAAGCCACTACAATTTCACATTGAAGGCACTTCTATTTCTCAAAATCAAAGCATCAACAGTAGCGTCTCCCATACTTATCAACATCAGCACTGAAGTCAGAATCCAACACCCTACTTGCTTGACATAGAGTCTCAACATACTAAACACGCAGAATCATCATGACACAAGACATGAACCTTCGAGGACTTCGTGTTCACATTCGCTTTTCGCTACCTGAAGAGGCTCCTGGTACCCAGTGGGTGGTTAAGTGCGATAATGCGGCTGATCTGGCATGCTCTTGCCCAGGACGCTTCCGTATTTCTCCAAACCCTGGAAATTCTTCCATGGAAGCCATCAATCGATCTATTGCCCGACTAGGAATTCAGAGAGTTGGTATATACTTGAGGCAATGCTCAGAGGACAAGATTATCCTGACGGGCTTTGGCAAGTGCTACAAAAAGTATAAGCAAAGAGGCTGGTCTGTCCCCGACCTTGACAATGACATGGCAGAGTTTCTCAGCCGGTTCCCTTTTGTGGTTTTCTTGATCACAAGAACCGTACTGCTTAGCACAGTTTTGCTCTACAGTCCTGACACTCCTGAGTATCCAGGACTCAACTTCGCGAAAGTGGTGAAGACTTGCCCATCACAAGCCGTCGGCATGGCAAACAGAAAGTGCATTGTTATCTACACAAGTGAGGACAGCTTGGGGTACCCGCAGAAACCCATTAGTCTTTACGACTTGGACATCCTTGATGATGATTCTGACTTCGATTTCTCGAGAAGCTTTACCAGGACCTATGACTTCTGCGTTGCTGCAAGTCGAAACCGAGGCGAGGACCTGCCGCAATTGATTTTCGGCCATGATGATGGGTCAGAGAGTGAATGTCACTCGAGCGGACAAGACAACTCTGACGATGAATCCATTGACAACTTCATGGTTTAAGAGAAACAGATAGGGAGTTGCGGTCTACGTGCAACCTTAATACTAGCTTGGCATAAAGTCAGAAGCAAGCAAAGTCTTAACACAGAACTACCAGCATTGGTTTTTGAAATAAAAAGTAGCGCTTACAAAGAACGTCTTAAACATAGATCCTTAGACAACAATTAGGAAAGAAGTCCTCAATTGCTTTGCACAAAGCTCTTTACTTTCTTTCGTAAGTACAGTATTTACTTAGTCTCAGCATGATGCTTCACATAATGACATATTGATAGTGCAGCAGCTAGTTTGATCTCTGCCTTTTCAAGTTTTCTTTTTGATAACAGAAGACCAGATAGAGCTACCAGACCGGCTTCTTTTCAACAGCACGGATACATAAAAACTGAGATACAAAATGGCAGTAAGCGTACATTGATAAGGTTAGAAGCCATTGTAACTAGTAGATCCACTGTCAAATGTCTGTATTCAGATTGACAATGCCTTCAATAGTTATCTTTGAGATTACTATACATAAAGCAGAATCCAGAGTTACTTTCCAGTAGAAATCACAACCAAACTGCTAGTCCTTGGAGAGGTACAGGTCTGTAGTAGAAACATCTGTGGAGCCCCTGGCCTGCTCCAGCGAAGGGCATTGACTATCTTTTGAATCTAGCTCTAAGAGACCACTTGAAGGACACTTCTATAACTAAATTACTCACTCTTCCCAATGGTCTGCTGACTCGTAGCGCTTGATTGGGACGCCGATGGTAGAGACCTGTCCCCGAGCATTGATCCCGCCGTGGCCAACAATAACCTTCCTCTCCACATCAAAACAATTGGTTTTGTAGATGCTGTCGCAAAGGTTGTATAGTCGCTTGACAGTCATATCGCAGTAGGCTTTCTCTCGCAGTGAGACGACATCGTAACCATACGATGAAGTACTGTTGCAGACCAGTGAAGCCTCATGTCCCTCTGCTCTGGTAATGATGAGGTGCCCAGTATCCACATTTGTGCCTGACCTATTTGCAAGCTTCTTTCTCTTACCTTCCAGTTGGGTGGCCGTTGATGATCGTCTCATAATGGGATCGGGATCAAAATCGGCATCCATGTCCCACTTGACCTTGTCGGTGGCTTGTTTTGGATCCTTGTCTCTGCCTTCCAAACCAGTGATTTTGTCGGGGATGTATTGCAAAGGAGGCTTAAAAATGGGTATCTCGCTGCCTTCCCATAGGTATTTCCAGAACGCCAGACGTGGTGTGCTTTTGCACATGTAATCTTTGTCCTCTCTGTACATCTCCACCTTGTCGGGAGTTCCAATGAAGTCGGGGAGATGAAAGCTCATAGACCGCGCGTTGAAATTGTCTGTGTGGTCTGCATCAATCCAGACGCACTTCGGATGTGGTAGTTTGGTATCCAGTCGTCGCCGACTCAAGAACCAACTCTGGCCGCATCGAGCAGCTACGTCGCCAAAGAGGACAGCGGACATCTTTCCGTTTGAAACCTGTATAGCTGAGATACATATAGCGTCCTGGCTCCATTGGTACAAGGTCACATATTTTGGCGATTCCATTGGGTCGTCGTGTATGTCGTGCTGGATCTTGATTATATGATCGTCGAGGTTGTTGATCTTCGAAATTGTGTTGTGATCTCCTGAAGTTCGAGTTCCCAACCTAAATCCGCGGTCGTCCAAAAGCTCAATTATTGGCTCATGGCCGCCTGCACCTCTTTCGTCTCCAAGCATCAGAGTGACGAGGGTGTAGTCCACGTGCTGTGAGGGAATGCCTCGGTCATGTGACCACTGGACGTTGAAGATATAGTCGTTGACACCAACGAGAATGCCTAGGAGCAAGCGTCCTGCAACCATTGTGATGGCCTCTTTTTCGGAAACAAAACAATATTGATGTCAAATATCGCCCCTATTGTTCTCAATCCAGGACAAGGACTTGTAGTCCGAAATGCCCCAAGGGAGTAGAAATGAAGTGAGACTTATCTACCGAACAACTGAACAATTTGATGTAAGTCCAGACAGCTGTCCAGTGAAAAGCGACTTTTATAGATTCATCATGCGGTCCTAGAAGAAGCCTTCTCGGAGTGCTTGAGCGTCTTGGACAAAGGAGCTTACTGCCAGCAGACTTCATTTAGCAAGTAAGGGACTAGGAAAGGGATAGGTTTCTTTCGAAGGCATCAAAAATAAGAATATCACCAAAGAAGTAAGGGAATAGTCCATGGATACTCCCTCAAGGAGCTTGGCAGCTTTGAAGGGAAGCAAATATCTCCCAGGATATAGACTGATAACAATTGCCTCGGACTTTACTTCTGACTCCAGTGAAGTTATCTCAGAAGAACCAGCGCAAAAGTCCAAGTCTAATCCGATTCTTGAGCAGAAGTCAGTTTAAGCAAAATATGTACATACAGATCCAGTTAGGGGGTGTCTCCTAACACACCATCAGTCCCAAGGATTGCTAACCTGACCTCTTCTGTGAAATGATTGGGATTTGGGTCAAAGAATTGCACGTTCCAGACTCTGGTGTATGACGGGTTCCACAACTCATAATGGTTTCACAAGAGACGCTGGTAAACCCCAATCTGTGCTCCCAGGCAATGGACTTTTTGTTGCCTTGTCAGTGCACTGTTGTTGTGGATTCTTCTTCCCTTCTCTTTGCATCTTTTTGGTTTTCTTCTGCTTTTTTTGTCCGGTATTCAAAGGATGAAAAAGACCTCAAATAACCGATAACTGCCAGTAAAACCAATCAAGGGCTGGATACCAAACTCGCCAGGCACAAATCTCTATCACAACCAAAGCCGGGTGAGGATTGCCTTGTTTATTCAGTCCCAAAATCATAGAAAGGGACCTTACTAACAGCATAATTTCCATTAGGTCATTTTGGGTCGCATGTTCCAAGGATGCAAGTACAAGGGACATTGATTGTAAAGCATTCACACGCCAATTTGCATCCCCCTTGTGAGAAAGACTCAGCTTTTGAGCAAGCTTGATCATAAACTAGACTTTGCCAAGCCTGAAACCCTAAAGTCCATGTCCATTCAATAGGCAATCCGCCTTATATGGCTTGAAATCCTGGGCCATCTGACTTTCTCTTTGCGACCACTTTACCGAGACTATCTAGCCTTTCAAGAAACAAGTCTTGTAGTTTCAACAAAGAATATGAACCAGATACATTTCAATCTTCCAGTTGCGTGTGTAATCTAGTATTCTTGCTATTGAAGATGAACAAAGATCATGGATGGGTATGGAACGCATCTCGAGTCTGACGCGTTAAGGGTCAGCAATAGTAACCATTCCACAAGCTGCTGGGCCATTCTTTTCACTCCCACGTCAACAAAGTGTAATTAAATATGGATTAATGTATTGCATATGATATTTGGATGCAATCCAGCTATCCAACCCAATTATCTACCTGTCGCTTGTGAAGTTTTCAGCTAATTGCTGGCATTGTGGCATCTCCATTACACCTTGCTATTGTTGACCTGATATATCTAGAACTCTATTTATGTCATATCAATAAGTTTACAAAATGATATGCTTCATGATCTGCAAATGTTCCTTCACTGGGAGGCTGACTAGTTTTTGCTGCTTTCATCCAAGAGATACGTAGGAGGCACCAAGTGTAATACTACTCGAGACCGATTAGGTTTAACCAGGCTTAGGTCAACTTCAGCATAAAAGAACTGAATAGATAGAAGAGCATCGAATACACAGCCCTGCTATGTACATTATCTTTGGCGAGGAATGCCCATCCAATCACCAATCATGGCTCCATCAACGAACTGTAACAGTGGCTAGTACTGCGAGGCTACCATTGCTAAACACTCCCAAAGACTAACCCACTGACTATCTCCGGCTTCAATATGTATCCCTAATATCCGTAGACATCTCTTCACGCAACTTTTACTGATTCTAGAAATCTGCCTGCGTCAAATTCGAACTCTATACCCCTGGAGGCAAGCTCCAGGAGTTGAAATTACCCAATCACATGGCGACATTTGTTAGTCATTTAGACTTTGTGCAGAAATGAGGCTCGTCGGAGAACGGATGTGCTCTGACGGGGGTCATCCTGCTACCATGAAGCATAGGCGGTATGGAATCCGACTTGTGAACCTTCAATCATTTACAGCCGTGATTCATAGTTACATGTCAACCTGTCGGCCCTGGGCCAAAGCCATTGATATGCATCCCATTCCATGGCTGGTTCTTCGCGTCGCAGACGTCACCCAACCTCCGAAATAAAGTTTGGAATTATGGACTTCAGGCTGACCCAAAACGCGCCCGTTAGAAATAATGTGTCGATCCCAGCTTTCGTATACAGTCCGCTGTCTCTTGGTGGATGGCTGGCTTAGTTCCCTGCTGAAAAAGCAATTGTCAACACAAAAGCTCAACTAACGATCTTCGCGGGAACAGCAAGGGGCAAGGCACCACCGGCTCCAGCGGGATTCGGTGCTTGCGGCTCCGTAGCGGGACCTTGGGGTGCCGCGGCCGGCTTGCCGCCTTGGACTCCCACAGCAGCACCAGCCACGAGAGCTCCTGCTGGTGCAGGAGCTGGGGTATTAGGGTCTTTGGCCTTGGGCGGGTCGATTCTGGCTGGGACGAGGGCGGGCTTTGCAGGGTCAAGGTTACCTTTGGCGGCATCACCGGCAGCATCACCGGCAGCCGCAGCAGCGGCTCCGGCAGCAGAGTTGCCCTTCTTCGGTTGCTGTTGCGAATTGGGAGCGCCAGCATTGCGGGCGGCGACGTTGGGGGCAGCGGCGGGCGTCTTCGGAGTAGTAGCACCAGCACCGCCGGCAGCGTTGGCCGCGTTGGCCGGGCGGTTGGCGGGGTTGGCGGCCTTTGCCTGATTGTTGGCGGGATTGGCCGCCTTTGCCGGACGGTTAGCCGCGTTGGCCGCGTTGGCTTTCGCCTTATTTTTCTTGCCACCGGCGGCACCCCCTAGAAGCTTGCCAACAAGCTTGGCGAGCTGTCTGGGCTTAACCTCTGGGGCGACTAGTGCGGCGTCTGGCTGTTCAACAGCGGCTACAGCTACTGGAGGATCAATGCTTGGTGTGTCTGCCCTTGGATCAAGTCCACTGTTACCTGTCAATCGTTTGTCACCACGACTATCTCTAGGGCGGAGAGAACCTACCTGGGTTCTCTAGGCGACACGTCGGACCCTGCCGGAGCACCATTGATGCCGACTAGGAGGGCCGAGGCAAGGACGAGAACTGACGTTGAGAACCTCATCGTAGCAAGTGGTGAAGTCGTTTCAATAACAGAAAGTGAATAGAACGTGGAAAGAGAGGAAGAAAATACAACCAAGTTTCGATTGGTGCGTGGTAGAAGAGAAATGCTAATCGATGTTTATATGTCGTAAGGATCAGTGTGGAAACTGAGGGGCCAGCCTGGTCTTCCATTTTTCAAGTTGGCGACGGATCTTCCTTTAATACTTCTTCTGAACGACCTCAGCTTATTGTCCCAGCCAGGGATGTCATATCCTCACTCAAACCTTGAGGGCTTCGTCCACGGCACCAATTGACGAGTGCTTGTTGGTCCCTTGGTGACGAGCTACGGTTAACATTCGTGAAAAGACCGACTCGCGAGAGGCTGAAACCAGCATCCATAGTTGTTCGACGATAGATGCTAGACTTCGCGTCTAGGAGTGGTCATACTTGGACGGGCCATCCACGAAAAGGGTGGATCCACATGGTTTGGGACACCACCTTGCAACGGGATTGCCTAAGTTTCCTGAGGAATGGAGGCGATCCCTTGTAAAGTCATCTACCCAAGGTTACCTGTGGGGATAAAGGCAGGTTCCGACTAGAAAGCTCCCTTCCCATGGTGTGAGGATCAAGAAACTTCCGCAGAATAAGGCAAGAAACCGAATTCGTCCGGTCTGGCAATGTTTCAGCGCCCCACGATAATGTATATCGAGGCAATTTCATCGCTCACTCGGCAAGCGGTATACATATCATAAGCTTACCTTACGGGATCCCGACTCCAATGTTGCCAAGCAAGGGGATGGTTGCCACGGTCTGTGTAGCCGAACCCACGAATTCGACCCCGCCCCGGAGGTTTCGTAAACTCTGCCCTTCTCTCGTGATGCTCAAATGCTGAGGGCAGTCTGCAAAGTTTTCGTTAGGCCCATTTCGAATGTGTTTTATTACGTAGAGTCATGTCGGAGCATTACATGGTCCATGGTTGGTTGTGTGCGGCCAGAGAAGAAGAACAAAAACTTAACCTCTCGGTGTAGCTGACAAGTCTTGGGTGTATACGCCATCGGATCCCGAGGAACTAGTTCTACCCTGTACCCATGAGACGCAATAGAAGCAAGCAAATCGTGTTATGGTAGGTGGGCTTGCCCGGGGCTCGACTTTGCACGAGCAATCAATTTCAACGCCGGACAGAGCCAGCGTCCACGTTCAGTCCTGATATATTCCTGCCAAGGCCGAAGTTCTTTATGCCGCACGACCCCGATTCCGGTGACAGCTATGGAATGGACGACCAAGGCCGCTTCAGATGGCATTGCTTGTGATGATCTCGTAGCGAACTGTGGTGGTTCAGCAACACTGTCAGATGAGAATACTGGGCGCTTTTGGTGATTTTAAGCAAGAGAACGATGTCAGATTGAATGGCTAGAACGGTAGCAGCTACTGACGCGCGCTGGGATCAACGAAGATATGTACGGAAGTGGCCAATGCATAAAGTCGCGGATCAGGTTTGCCGTTCGGTTGTTCGGCGAGGAGCTACCAAGCAGCTGGACTCCGGGAACCGCATACCTGGTAATTATAGCGACGATCACGTTTCGTGCGCCTCCCATCGGTATGGATGTGCCGAAATACAAGGTTGAGGAAGACCTGCCGAGATGCCTGACTGTGCGACTGGTGGCTGCATCTGATAGTAAGAACAGACTGAATCGGCGGGCACCGTATCAAAAGACGGGATGGTCCAGTGGCAAATATGCAGGTACAACAATGCAACCTATGGCGTCTCCGGAAACCGTCCACTGCTGGACACTCTGCCGCTGCTTGCGTAGGCGAGGACAAGTGAGGGGCTGGGCTTGCTATTGTTTAGTGACAAAGTTCAAGGGCTAGTCACAGGGGCCATGCAGTTGTGTTTGAACAGAGGCTAAACATTTGTTGCTAACAAGGTCTTATTGGGGTACCTTGCAATTTCTATCGAGGTCGCAGGTGTCCGCTGAAACGTGGGTAGATGGGTTTGAACGACTGATGCCGCCAGAACACCGCCGGGGTCTCGTGGGCCGATGAGCAAACGTGAAGCAAGGACAATAGCTACATGGGATTTCACGATGCAGGATGTTAAGTATGCTGCAGTGATTATTTTGGATACTTGGGAACTGGATTGGGCTGGAAGCTTCGGTACTACAGCTCTCCAGCCTTGAATCAACCCAGGCCCTGGCCGAGATAAGGTCACAAACAACTTCATCAAGGGCAACTGCCTGACCAAGAACCAGATAAAGTCTATGTATGAGAACAGTGTATCAGCCCGAGTATATGGATAGAGGGCAGCGACTGGCCTACGTATAGTATAGTATATATAGCCTTAGTGATGATGCCGGTGCAAAAGGATCAAAACCTCCTTATATAATCATCGGGATTTCTCCGGGTTTCTCTCCCTACAAAAGATGATACGCCGGATATCAGCCGGCCTCGGATGCTGAGGTAAGCCGGAGGCTTGTCCGGCCGTGCAGGTACGTACCGGTCTCCACCCGCCGGGTTTCTCCCGCGGCCCCCGGCGCCTTCGGCATTTGTTCCCCGCACTTTGTTTCTCTTGATGCTTTCAAGCCCCTCCCCTTTTCCTTCAATCTGTCGGCTTCTGATGCGGGAGTACCTACCGGTAAACGTTCTTGTCAACGGTCTTGGAAAGCCATCGAAGGATTCCTGTGATCTCATCATCCACCGGTAAGCGATTGGGTTCCAGAAGATTGAGACCCGCATGCTGTGCGTGTTTGCCTGTACTGTCTTGCATTATCAAGAGAAGCAGGCAAGAAACCTTGTACGTCATGACTTTTTTCCTTTTGCTGGGTTGATCGCACCGAGCTGCCCTTTTGGGGTGCATCCGCCAGAATACTAGCGCGCCCTAGAGGCTCATGATCCCGGACGTCTCTTATCAGCGTTGCCGTTGGTCGGGGCCGTGGCGGCGAAATCCTCCAAGCGACGCAGCGTTGCATCAATCTGGGCATGCAGACGGAGGAGGAGAGGGACTCGCTTGGAACTCGATATCTATATTAGATCAGAGCCCATTTGGATGCATCTTCCGGGTGCCTGGATGTGCCCCAGTCGATTGAGCTCTTGACGATTTCCACCTTTTGCACTCGATTGCACCATGACAATGCAGCGTTCGCTTCTCGCTGCGGCCCTCGTCTGGCTAGCAGTCGCCAACATAGCGACCTGCTTAAGCGGTACGTTTAAATCGTATTGAGTTCGTCATATGTGCATCGGCTAACTTTGTTTCCAGTCAAGGGTGTTCAATTTCCCAGCCTATTGGACGTGACAATCGATGACCTGGCCAACGGCCTGGAGAAGGGTCTCTTCACCAGCGTCGATTTGGTCAACACCTATCTAGGCCGCATCAACCAGGTAAACGGCACCTTGAATGTCGTGACAGAGGTGAACCCCGATGCGCTCTCCATCGCTGCGGATTTGGACGCTTCGCGGGCCAAGGGGTCCATCAAAGGTCCGCTTCATGGAATCCCAATCCTCATCAAGAACAACATCGCGACCGCCGACAGGATGAACAACACCGCAGGGTCCTGGGCGCTCGTTGGTGCCAAAGTTTCACAGGACAGCTTCATGGCGAAGAAGCTGCGCGAGGCTGGTGCCATCATCCTTGGCAAGACAAATCTCAGCCAGTGGGCCAATTACAGGAGCAACAACACCAGCAACGGCTGGTCTGCCTATGGCGGCCAGGTATACGCCGCTTACTATCCCCAACAGGATCCGAGTGGAAGTTCTAGCGGCAGTGGCGTGGCCTCTGATCTGGGCCTTGCTCTTGCGACGTTGGGCACCGAGGTTTGTGCCGAAGCTTGCAGTACTGCTGATTGTTTCGTGCTGACACTCGTCAGACTGACGGCTCAATCGTCTCTCCTGCTCAGCGTAACAACCTAGTCGGCATCAAACCGACCGTGGGCCTCACCTCGAGGCACCTCGTCATCCCCATTAGCGAGCACCAAGATACGATCGGGCCAATGGCCCGGACCGTCAAGGACGCTGCTTACATCCTACACGCAATCGCCGGAGCGGACTCCAAGGATAACTACACCTCGGCAATTCCGAACAATGGGGAGATCCCCAACTACCCGGCGGCTTGCGACACCTACGCCCTCTGCGGAGCACGCATCGGCATCCCGCGCAACGCAATTGAGCTCTTCTCCGACAACACCACCGGCATCGAGACGCGCGCTTTCGAAGAGGCCCTCGACGTCTTCAGGTCAGCCGGCGCCATCATCGTCGATAACGCAAACTTTACCGCCGCTGACAAACTCGTGACCTCCAACTCGGAGACCATCGTCCTCAACGCCGACTTCATATCGAACCTGGCATCTTATCTCGCCGAGTTGAGCGTCAACCCAAACAACCTGTCATCTCTGGCCGACATCCGTGAGTTCACCCAGTCCTTTGGACTCGAGGCTTTTCCGGATCGCAACACGGCCGTGTGGGACCAGGCTCTGGACGAGCAGGGTTTCAACAACACCGACCCCCGTTTCTGGGCCGCGTGGCAAGAGAGCCAGTTCCTTGGCGGTGAAGGCGGACTGTTTGGAACGCTGGAGAGGCACGACCTCGACGCCGTCATCTTGCCGACCAGCTTCTCGAGCACGTGGGCCGCCATCGTTGGGGCGCCTGTTGTGACGGTCCCGTTAGGGTTCTACCCCGCGAATGCGACTGTGATCAAGAACGGCAGGGGGAACTTGGTAAACACCGGTCCCCATGTGCCGTAAGTGATTCGTCAATGCTGGTCATCATGACATAGATCTCAGATGACACTCTTACAAGACTTTGACTGACAACCTGCAGATTCGGCATCAGCTTTCTTGGTGCAAGGTTCCAGGAGGCTAAACTTATCGGGTTGGCATACGCGTATGAGCAGAGGACCCTTACTAGGTCAAGGGTTCGTCCATACATCACGCCCAACTTTGAGATTGGGGACGTGGCTGGGCGTTGAAATGATATTGAGGTTTTTGGGTTTCTGATATGACAAGACGGCCTTGGGTGTTGCCATGACAATATATTTGCATGTTCTTCGAGTTCGACAGACTTTCAAACTCCATACTTCAAATTCCTCCTAGTTTTGAACAGGGTTCAGTAACCTTTATTGAAGGGACCACAATTGTCAGAAAATGAAGCGGGATTTTTCACATACTCCAGCCAAGTTCAGATACCTGGACTAACGCTGATAAGTCTATGTGATCAAGGAATCGGAGCAGCAACCCCAGTGCCGAGATCTAAGCCCAATCCAAAAAGTTTATGGCAGAGCGGAAATGCAAAAAGGAAAAGTATATCTAGCACAACCTGGCTTCGATCCAGGGACCTCTGGGTTATGAGCCCAGCGCTCTACCCCTGAGCTATTGTGCTTGAGATGGCTTGGTGAGATATACTATTCTTCTGTTCATTTGGACCCATACAGTCTGTGTGTGAGTCATCTCGTGTAACTCGTTAATAACCCCCACCCACCCCCGGCCAAGTTCCGAGTCGCCTTGACAAAGCCGTGGTTTTCCGAAGCCCACCCTAGCCCACCACACACACCTAAGGAACTGCTGGCTTGAAAAACATCAACTTATTCGAATGGGTGACGACGTGTGCATAATAGACAATATCTTTGGTTTAGATTGGGATATCTAACGACTAGGCGGACCCAACACGCCGTGGTATATTCGCAGGACATGATACTCATGAAACGACAACAGTTCCCCTCCCCCCTTCTAGCATTACACATTCTTGTTTCCGCTCAGAACAGCCAGGACAGGAAGGTGTTGTAGAACCATCCGAACTTGCCGTCCTTGCCACCTCTAGCCTCCTTCTCGGCAGCCGTGCGAGCCAGGAATTCCTCCTCCTCGCGGTCGATGATGTCCTTGCCGGTGTAGAAGTCGGCCTCGTGGGACTTGACGCCACGAGTCTTGTAGTAGAGCTTGTGGCCGAAGATGAGGATGAGGTAGAGAGGAATACCGAGGTAACCAGTGATGAAGGTCTTGTACTTCTCCTTGCCGAAGTCGCCGCCGGTGAAGACGTCAAAGTTCTTGGTGAGCGCGACGATGATGCAGAGGGCCAGGGCGCCGTAGGATCCCCAGATGCCGAGGGGAGCGACGTAGGGGAGGATCTCGTTGGGGATGTTCTGGGCCTTGCGGGCCTTGCACCACCAGATGTGGGTGACGAGGATCGAGATCCAGGTCAGCAGACCGAAAATGGTGGTGAGGTTGACGAAGTAGCCGAAAACGGTCTTGGAGTCGTTGGAAACGTTCATGAAGGCCAGCAGGCAGAAGAGGGAGGAGAAGCCGAGGGCGTAGATGGGAACACCACGCTTGTCGGTGCGCTTGAAGATGGCGGGGGCAGAGCCGTCAGAGGCCAGACCGTAGAGGGTACGACTAGCGATGTACAAGTCCGAGTTGGATGCGGAGAAGACGAAGACGCAGATGCAGGCGTTGATGATGTGGGGGATGACCTTGACACCAGCGAGCGTGGCAGCGACGACGAAAGGTGAAGCGGAGGCGCCGGCCTGGGCCTTGTTGGCGAAGACGAGATCCGGGGAGTTGTAAGGGACGAGCATGCCGACGAGGAGGACACTCAAGCAGTAGAAGAACAAGATGCGGTAGAAGGTCAGCTTGATGGCACGGGGGACGGTCTTGCGGGGGTTCTGGGCCTCGGCAACGGTTACACCGACGAGCTCAGTTCCCAGGTAGGCGAAAGTGGCGTTGATCATGCAAGACCAGAAACCAAGGAAGCGACCGCTTGCGCCGGTGTCGATGTACTCCTTGAAGGCACTGAGACAATGTTAGTGGGCTGGCACAACCATCTGGTGATGCGGGTGCAGTTGGAAGACATACCCAGGGTTCTGCCAGTAGCGGAAGCCTTTGCGGTCGTGGTCGGGGCCACCGCCCAGGGCCAGAATGAGGGCGAAGAGGATGATTCCGACAATGGTGACGACCTTGAAGCTGGAAAGCCAGAACTCGAATTCGCCAAAGAACTTGATACCGAAGTAGTTGATGGCGATGATGACGACCAGGAAGATGGCGATGAAGACACCCGGGTTCACGGTCTCGCGCGGCACCCAGAACTGGATGACGAGGGCGGCGGCTGTAAGCTGGTTGGGCGTGACGATGATGTACTTGAACCAATAACTGTGAGGCAGACGGTCGGGTCAGCGCATGTGCGGAGGAAAGGCAGGCAAGCAGGCAGTGTTTCCGAAGGGGAGGATTATTGGGAGTACTTACGTCCAGCCGAGGGCAAAGCCGAGCGAGGGATCGCAGAATCTCGAGGCGTAGCCGGTGAATCCAGAGGAGATGGGAAGCCAGGCAGCCATCTCACCGAGACCAGCCATGACGAGGAAGACGATGAAACCGATGAGAGTGTATGAGATGAAGACGGAGCCGGGGCCGGCCTGGGCGAGGGCCTTGCCGGTTCCGATGATGAGACCGGTACCGATGGCGCCGCCAATGGCAATCATGGTGATGTGGCGAGCCTTAAGACCGCGATGCAGCGAGGTCTCCCCGCTGGTCTCCATACCGCGGATGTGGACATTGTCGGCATCGTAGGTCTGGGTCTGGTAGCCCGTCTTCTCGACATCGTGGGCGCCCTCCGAGGAGGACGTCCTCTTGACGAGGCCTTCGCTCATGGCTACTTGCGCGTGACGAGGAGGGGGGTTGTCGTACACTGTATGCAAGAGATCTGGGTTGGGAAGCAGTAGAGGAGTCGCGTGCTTCGCAGGAGAGATGGCTCTAGGAGCGAGAGGGATGAGAGGGAAGAAGAGGAATCCACGTCTAGGGAGAGGAGGGGGGCAAGACGTTCTTAATCAAGAAATTTCGGCGCCGCATGTGAGACCGGAGCAGCGACGGGCTATCATACGTGATTACGGCTTGCATGCCCGTTAGATCAACTGTCAGCCCAAGCTGTCTGCTCTCTGTCGCTCACACATCCCACCCCCATGTCTCTCTCTCTCTCTCTCTCTCTCTCTTACAGGTTCGTGGACTGGACCTGGCCTAGCTTGTAGCTTGCATGAGGCACTAGGTGGAGCCCTGCAGGCAGACTGGGGACCTCAGAGAGGTGGCATACGCCAAGACACTTATACTAGGCCGGGCGAGGGTGATCCCTGTGGTTTGCCTGGAAAGCGACGGACGAAGACAGCGACGTGTGTTGGCTGTAGAAATTACACGCGTAATCTCTTGGTATCTTGTGTCGGCGACTCAGCACCCAGGCATGCGAGTCCATAACGGGCCAATCTATGGAGGCTGCGGAGACCAATGCGTACCGCGTCAAACATTTCTGCGCCGCCAACGTGCAATATTGCGGAGAGTGAGAGGAGTACATAGAGAAAGGGCACCGGGCGTGGACTTTAGCGCCAGTTGACAGGGTTAGCACTGACCGAAGGAGGAGACCTCATACTGCTTAAGGTTGAGTGAGGGGATTGGGGTGACCTATCGGAGGGGGGGAGGGATGGAATGGCGTGTCTGCCGGGGTTGAAAGGCAGAGAGACCAGTATGGGACGAATGGGGGAGAATGTGGCAAGGGTTCGCCCGCGGCGGGACCGTATCTCAAGAAGAGGAAAAGCAACAAAGTGGTGTACCGGTAGTTTGTCCGTTTGTGATGCCTCGCGGTGTTTGTTATTGGACACTGCGACGAGAGGAGGCTGTGCATCCAGCAGCGCTGGTTCAGCCTTGGCGGATATCATCATGAGACGCTAGAGTTCTTACTTGCAGAGGGGGGGAACGCGCTGGGATCAGATCAAGGCAACGAGGGGAGAGGGCAAAAGAAGATACTTAGCGACCAAAGTCACTCATTAACGCCAAGCATCGTCGACTCGTGCCCGCGAGTCGTGGACTTGGGGTTATCCCCCATACGGAAAGTTGGAACAATGTGCCTAGACACGCCCAGCGGCCAAGTCTCTCCAAGGCCCTCATCTGCGCGCTGTTGTGGACAGTTGGGAAAAGCTTAGATGTGACAAGCAAAAGAGTCAAGCACCGAGGAACCTGACAAGACGAGACGGCCCTTGCTCAAGGCGGACATGATGGGTGGTACCAAGAAAACACCAAGACAATGGCTGGCTGCGCGGGATTCCAGAGCCTGCCCAGACACGCTTCTACTGGCTCGGAAACAAGGTGGCACCCTCCAGCGTAGCAGGCGAAGAGAGATTCGAGGATCAAAATTTTTTCATAGTAGCACACGGGAATATTGCATGTTGCGTGACAGGGCTCACCGGGACCATGCGATGCTTATCTCGGGGGCGAATAGGTAGCCAAGGTTGACTGACCTTTTCCCTCCTTTTCATACTGGGGGGGAGATGAGCCAACCAACAGCTAAATGCCAGCCTACTAGCATCATCTTGTGCTGGTAAGACACGGGAACATTCGGTCAGCCTGGCGGCGTAACGTGAGAAGAGTGACAGAAACGGGACGTTTTCAGGACGTCGGCCTCCTCGTGGGTTTTGTCCCCAACGGATAAGGCCCACCCTCCATCTCTCCAATCTCTCTCCCTTGGAGCCAACTCGGAGAAGCCTGCGGTACGAGTACGTAGTAATAGAGACAGACCTATCCTCTCTCGCCAATCACTGCGCGAGGGCTCGTGCACAGATAGGCTGTTCACTCGCCGAATTAACCCTTTGGCTGGATGCTGGGAGAGCCTGTTGGCGAGGTTGGCCACGGAGGATCGAGCCAAGAACACCGTCCTCGAGACAACCCGGCACCTGATTGACTAGACACGGGGATGTCCGTGTCTGCCAGTGAAACAATCGGCTTCCAGATTGAGGGAATTGGACACTGGCACCAGGCCAGATCAGACTAGACCAGAATAGACCAGATCAGACAAGGCCACACGCACTCGATGATCAAGCCAAGGCTTCCCGACGGGTGATGGCTGCATCTAACATACATACCGGTAGGTAGTAAGCTTGGAGGACGCCACCTCCATTGACAAGACTAGCAAAGGTCCCAGACTTGACAGCCGACTAAAGCCGCGGGCAGAACGCTTCGTACTGGCAGGGCTTCCCAGCATCCATCTCCCTCCCTCCCTCCTGAGGGTCTGTCTCACCGAAAGAATGCCCTGGACGCATCTGCTCGGCTCTCTCTGCCTTGCGTCTTCCACAAAGAAGTCGGCATTGTACGTATTGGTTATGTGATTCTGTTAGGTGTCCGGGGCCGAAAAAAAGTCTAATCACGAAGCTGACACTAACGCTTATTGATAATATGCTCCCAAGGCCAGTGTGCTTTCTCCATCACACGTTCTAGAAACATGTTGCGTCTTCGCCTCTCTCCCGCCACCACCATCATCCCTGCTGCTGCACTCTCTTCCACCCCCTCCCTCATCACCCCCTGGCCGCTTTCTCCATCTGATGCTTCGTTCCGGCCATACAGCCCATCCAGAGCCGGGTATCTCTCTCCCCGCCAAGACGTTTATCTCTGACCTAAATAAGCAGGTCCTTATCTCCCCCACAATGCCCCCATTCCCTGTGCTCGTTCCCATAGAGAACGACATGGATTTGGTCGAGCTTATCCTCGCCCTTGACCGCCCCTGGCCTAGTCCACCGATGGAGGGGGCCACTTCAGATGGCTTGGGACGGTTCGAGTACCTCGTACGGAGTACTCCGTCTCTTCTCGCCCAACGCCTGATGCCTTGGAATGTCGAGAGGCTGGCTGCCGTTGCGCCGCCCCGTCCCCGCGCCCGCCCGCCAGTGAAAACAATCCGGCAGCCTGTGAAGTGAGTAAGGATACCTGGCGGCGCGAAAACACGGCCCTGGCGCACGGGAGCCATGCCCGAATGGTCGGAAGCCCTTCTCCCACATAAGTCATAACAACACCGTCTCCAGACCTGGTGCAACTCTAGGGACTCGGGCCAGGCGTTACCCCCCTAGGCAGAGCTGATGGAAGCAGAGTAAATTGGGTAGCTGAAAGACTGTCAGCCCTTCCCTTGGTGTAAAGTTGGTGATGCGCTGCGGCAGCGGACCCGAGGCGGATTCGACCCGGAATTTTGGCCACGAGTCACGATAGAGCGCCGGAACCAGTACCGAGGGAGGGATCATCCAGCTGCGAGCAAGCTTAACAGGCCACCTGTGCGCATATCGCGCGAATGGCCTCTTTGCAGCCTATGATTCTGGCTACCAGTTCGCCTTGACCTCACTCTCCCTTCTCTGTACCTTTCGTTCTATTCCTTCACGCTGACCACCTTGAACGGATAAGCCGAGTGCGTCCTTGTATCTTCTATGTCCTATATCTTCCTTCGTATTTACTCTGAGCACCGTTTCCAAGTTCCGATACCTGTCCCTGTCCGGTGCCCGCAACTCTAACTTGAGAGAGTGACGGCCGAGTCGAGACTTGTTCATCTTTGCTTCAAGGGACCCAGCTTTAATTGCCGAAGCGTGTTTTGTAAAGCCGCAAGTTGTGGGATCTTGGGTGGGTTCGACACAAGCATGACACCTGGATCGCACTGGTGAGCGGTCAACGCCCGTGACGAATTGCCTTCCGTCACGATACCGCCTGGCCGGTCCAACCCGACATGCCTTTGGATGCGGTATGGTGGCCCTGGGATGATGGTGTTGCGGGCGTCCAATATTGACTGCTCTTGACTTTTCCCCATTAACCTGTGCCATTCTCAACGCGCCCCTGGCCCGAATATCTTGCCGAGTCACGTTCGCCAAGAGTCCCTAGATGCGGTATTTTACCTATCAACCAGTAACAGCTGTCGTCGCATTGGAATCGACCTTCACTGCAGGTCTGAAGCAACCCGCGAACATTGGGGCCCGTCCTGTCCACGGTGTCCCCTGTCACCACATTCCCAGCTAGCCACGGCGGCGGCATCTTCGTGCATTTCCCGCGGTTCTCGATGCACCTCGTCCAGCTCCCGGCCTGCCGCTGGTTTTATGCCCTTCCATGCGTTTTCTAGCGTTTCCATCGCCGCTTTCGCCTCATGCCATGTAGTCTACTGATAACCCCTCCATCACTCTCATGATTGGGCTCTCTCCTAGGTAGTTTTACAAACAGGGACCGGTAGTCAGGTGTGTTCGTTCAAACAGGTTGATGGGTGGTGGACCTCTTCCCCGGCCTCGCCCCCCCAGATTCCCCTCTCTCTTGAAGAAAAAGAATGACACCCCAATATGACCGCGGGGAAAGCTTATCCATGGCAGTGCAAATGTACGATGATATTAGCACGTGCATGCCCAGCCGTTTTCTCCAGATATTTGGTGGCTCTTTCGAGGCTCGTTGGCGAGCGCACAGTTGGGGAAAGGGAAGCGATGTGGTAAATATCTCGTAAGAGGTTCACATTCCTGACGGGACCATGCTGGCCCGGTTATCTACCGTAGGAATCCAACAATCTGACAGAACGCCGACAGTTTGATTGGCCAAACTGGCTATTGCGCCATTTATCCTCTCGTGGGTTTATTGCATGAAAAGACAAGCCCAAAATTGGGCAAAAATACAACCAGGGAAAAAGTATGGCCCGTATGGGGGGGGTATGTATGGATTGCGGGATGGTCTCTTTTTCAAAGACAAAACGATAGCGGCATAAGTCAAGTAGACCTTGAGATGTCTCTGGGCCATAAGACTGACTCCCTTTTCGCTTACCGCCGGATGACTTGTAGTTCATACTACAATGGACTGTTTTAACCGTAACACTCGTTGCTGGACGGAATCAACCTCGGCAGCCGTTGCGTTGCCGCGCAAAGGAGGCTAGAAATCTTAAGATGAGCCTGGTCTCGGATGCCGGACATCGGCTAGAAGATCAAGTGTCCCGCCATCCATGTAAGGCAAATAGGGCTCTACCATCGCTGTCATAATCGACGCGTGAGGAATCCTTACCGTTAGTCACTCATTTAGAGCCAAAAAGATTACCGTGCTGCAAGACACCGGCCGGGCTGTGTGCATAGCCAAGACACATACATCAGCAGCTTCTGTGCTTTCCGTGCTTACCCGCCCCGCCTTGGTCTCGAAGGAAAGACATTGTGCAAGGCCGAACAGAGTTGGCCAATCTCATAGGCGACGCACTTGCGTCTTAATGAAAGCGAATAAATGATGAGTTTTGAAGAGTTGCGCCCCTTTAGGACAGGCGTGGTCCGTTGAGATCTTGTCTTCAGCGGTGCGTATCACGTCAAAATGGGTCTACGCTAGTGTCCTAGGGACTTTTTTCACGTGTATCTGTCTATTGATAGTTGGTTGCTGTCTTCACTCCGGAGCTAGCCAGTGTACAGCATACCGGCCACGCTAGCAGACGTCAAGGTCGATAGAACGCCGGCAAACAGGGCCGACAGGGCAACGCGGGAGACATCGCCGGCGCGGCCCGGGGCGATCTGTGAGAGAACGCCGATCTGCGTGCCGAGAGATCCGATATTGCCGAAGCCCTACGTACACACAGTTAGCAATGCTCCGAGAGTGGGTCCCAGATCGACTACCTACACAGCAAGCGTACGTGGCAATGAGCTTGGACCGAGGAGACATGGAAATATAGGGCTCGACGTTGCTCGAAAGCGAGCTGAAGGCGACGAACTCGTTCGTGATGATCTTGATACCAATGAGCTCTCCCACGACGAGCAAGTCCTGCTTCGGGACCCCAAGACACCATGCAACCGGGTAGAAGACGTAGCCCAAGATGAGCTGCAGTGTCAACGGCGGATTGTCGATGCCCAAAAACTTGCCGAACCATCCCAGAATGCCGTTGATGAGGGCGACAAACGAGATGATGCAAAGGAGAGTGGCCACAATCATGCCGGCCACCTTGAGACCGAACCAGGCTCCGTTGGCAAAGGCATGGATGGCGTTTGCCGCCTTCTCCTCGTCATCGGGGACCGTGATGCTGCCTTTTGTGAGACTCTCCTCGGTTTCGGGGTAACGAAGCTTCGAGACCGCGATACTGGCCGGGATCGACATGACGCACGACGAGACGAGAACTTGGGCGTCGAGGCCGAGGCCGATATATCCCACCAGTACCGACCCCGCAATGGTGGCAAAACCGCAGGTCATGACCTGGTGAATCTCGGAGAGGGTGAGATACGGCACGTAGGGTTTGATCAGCATTGCCGACTCGCCCTGTCCGATGAACGGGGTCGCCGTGGCCACCACTGCTTCGGCGCCCGAGACGCGCAGGGACCAGAAGAAGAAGACGGCGAACTTCTTGATGAACCACTGCAGCAGCCCGCAGTGGTACAGCAGCTGGACCAGCGAGATGAAGAAGATGATGGCCGGGATGACGGAGATGATGAACCACGTTCGGGTGGTGACTTGCGTGTCGGTCAAGAACTCGAGGCCGTCCTTGGCGAATCCCAGGAGCGTACGGGCCATCTCGGAGATGAAGGCAAAGATGTCGTAGCCGACGCTCGTCTTGAGGACGAACACAGCAATGATGAACTGGGTCAACATGCCTCCAATGACGGTGTGCCAAGGGATCTTTCTCCAGTCGCGGGACGTGAGAGTGAGGAGGCCGATCATAAGTAGCAGGCCGAAGAGGGAGATGGCCCGGCTGGCGCGTGTGTTCTCTCCTACCTCTTCGGGGATCATGGATCCAACCAAGAAGACGCCGATGGTTAGAAGCGCAGCGAGAGGCTGGTGCAGCTTCTCGGGCGTCAGGTCATAGACCCTGGAGACGGTGTGCATCCAGACGAAGCGCAAGGGCACCATGACGGCGGAGGCGGGGAGCCAGAGGGTGACGATCCGGATGGTGATGGCGAGGTAGACCAGGAATGGCTTCAGCCAGCCGAGCCTGTCGCGTTGGAAGACGAGGCCGACAACCCACCATCTGTTCGCATTGGTCAACCGATGCCTGTCCCAAGGCATCTGAGCATGCACATCTCAACAGAACTTACGCCGTGAACAGCATCCACACGAACATGTGGACTGGAAGCTTGAACTTCCGGTAGAACCTCAACCACTTGGCCCGCTTGCCCTTCGAGTCTCGCATCGAGTCCGTCTGGTTGGTGCCGACCTCGACGTCGCTGGTGTCGGCCTCAGCGGCCGCGGCGGTGGCAGCGGCTTCGCTGTCCTTGGCCGACGGCTTTTCCATCTCGACGCTCTTCGGGAGAGGCGCACGACCCACTTCAAACTCGCCGGCCCCGACGTCGTTCTCGGGCCTGCCGTGCTTCTCGGAGCTGACCTCGGTGGCAGACCGGTCACCACCCGGCGACGCTGTAGGGGCGGAATGCATGATTGCCTGTGCCGTAACCCTTCACAAGATGTCGATGAGAAGGTGGTGAGCAAGCCGAGGTTTCGGTGAGCGAGTCCCCCCTTTTAGAAAAAAAATTTGGTAGTTGTGGAGAGGAATAGCGGGCCACCGAGACCTTAACCGCGGGTGGCGATCCAAGCACGATGAGGCCATGATGCAAGGAGGGGGAAAGGCCAGTGCGAGCAATGTACGGATACCCACCGAATGATAAGCCAAGCCACTGTAGTTGAACGATCAACCGAGTGCTAGTTCATAGCGGCCCGTCGATGGCTGAAGTTGGCCGAGTACCTAGCAAGAAAATGGTGTGAGACACAGGCTAAAATCCGGTCATACGATCACCTTGGCGTGTAGGTACAGGTATATCCATCCTTCCATCCATCCACCTGTCAACCTGTTCAGCTGTCCGGTTCTGTGGAGAATCGACATCGATTCACGCACGTCGGCAGTTTTCTCATTGCACTGAACCGGCTTGGCCCGAGTCGGTCCGTTTCTCCATTCAGGGTTATAGGGGCGCGGCGCTACACAACCAGGACTCGGTTACGAATACAATGCGGTCTACACAACTAGGACCAAGATACGGATAGAGTACCGCGAAAAGCTCCGCAGGGGTCGCTGCGACGGCGTGTTGTACCTCGGCTTCCTATCAAGGGGCCGGCCCCTAGAGCAATGTGCTGTTCGTCCACCAAAGCCCGTAATATTCAAGCTAGCCAAGAAGACGCTTCATGGGACAGATTGCCCACATCAACACAATGCAATTGCTGGAATGGTGCATAAAGTGTGAATGGGAGAGAACCAAGGTGACGTCGCTGGCGGAAATATTCCAAGTTGAGGCTTGCGCCGAGCTGCGGCTTAAACCTTGACTTCGCCACGCGTCCAGTCATATAGATTATGTAACTTCATCACCATACATGTGGCAAGGTTCTTAGTAAGCGTGTGATGAAGATGTTCTCAGCCTACGATTTCTTCATGAAAGCGTCGGGCTAGGCGTTGAAAGGGCTCTTCATTGCATGTTTTGTAATGAAATTGGCTAAAGCTTGGTCTACCTGGATGTTGTAGGATGGAATCGCAGCCGAGAACACGGTCAAGCCTAATCCTGATGCCCAGCTCCAGCACTCCTATTCTGCCTGTATCTCCATACAAATGTGGATTAGGTAACAGAGACAAAGTCAGTTGACAATTGAGGTCTCCGAGTATCAGTAACACACTGCAGACAATGGTTATGGTTGACCTAGAGATGGTGATCCGAAACTTGAATAAAATTTGGGATAATACCGCCTCCGCTTACACATCCGGCCACAATATCAACAGGAGTTGAAGTCCCAAGAGGCCACACCGTTTCCCTACACCAGATGTTGAATTTTCCTGCCGGCGCATTAACATCTGGCACCTCCCCTGGAAATGCCACGCACCCTCTCTAGAGTGCGCCGTCCTACACCATCCGATACGTCCGGTTTTCCATTGGGCTAAACCTTGCTCCAGCGTAGGAGAACGGCTGCCGCAATTACGGGCAGCACACTCGCCAGTTCACCCAGGCCAGCAAACTCGGGCGGGATTCTTGCGTTGACGAACGCCCCGGCCCCAAGGAGGATAGCAGACAGGTTGTAGACGAAGCTCCAGCCAAAGTTGAAGGCGATCCTGTGAATGGCCCTCTTGCTGATGTTGATGATGGTGAGGATGCCGGCCAGGTTGGGCCTCATGAGAACCACATCTGCGGCGGACTTTGCAACGTCGGTGCCCTCGTTCATGTGCACGCCAATCGTAGCCTGAGCCAGTGCAACTGCATCGTTGCTACCATCACCACAGAAGATGACGACTGGTTCTCTCAAATTTCTCTTCGGAAACCTGTGGGGGTTGGTTTCAACGGAAGGACACAGCAGCGTCCGGATGTAGGCTTGTTTGTCCCCCGGGGTGCAACGAGAGCGGACGTTGGTGTCAGGAATGCCCAGTTGAGTAGCAGCTGCCCGAACGGCGCCATCGTCGTCCCCAGAGAGCACATGGACCGCAATCCCCGAGTTCTGCAGCACTGTGATGGTTTCCAAGGCATCAGGTCGAATGGAATCCTCAAGGCCAAACACCGCCGCTAAGAAGCCGTCGATGGCGAAACAGAATGCTGTGCAGCCCCTGGAGAGAATGGGCTCTACTTTCGGATCTGTGGAGAACCCGAGCCATCGCGAATTACCTGCCTGAATTCGACGTCCAGAAGCAATAGCCTCAACGCCTTTCCCAGTCATGGTCTTGGGGTCCGGTACCGCGGAGGCCAATACACCGCTGGCTCTGAGATGCGCCGCGACAGCGGCAGACACGGGGTGCTTGATGCTACCAACAAGGCCGAGAATCAAGGACTTGGTTGACTCTGCATCATCAGTGATGTAGTGCTCTTCCGCAATGGTCAATTTGCCGTTGGTGATGGTTCCAGTCTTGTCAAAGACGACATGTGAGGTCTTATAAGCGATCTCGATGCTGTCAGCAGACTTGAAAATCACACCTCTCTCCGCGGCAACACCACTCGCAATTACAATAACCATTGGAACAGCCAGTCCGATAGCACATGGACAGGATACGATTAGAACGGTGATGGCGTAAGTAACGGCCTGGATTGTCGCCTCGGAGCTGGACTGTTTGCGGACAGCAATGCCAACGGCGATCCAGGTTGAAAAGGTTATGGCCGTTATGGCCACAACCACTGGTACGAAGTATGACGCTACTCGATCGGCGATGTCTTGAATCTTGGGCTTGGAGAGCTTGGCCTCGTCGACCATACAGGCGATATTGCTGATGGTATTTTCGCCCGGGAGGCGGGTAAGACGAACAGTGAGAGTGCCGAAGCCGTTAACCGACCCGGCGATCAGCGAAGAACCAACATGTTTCTCGACTGTCTTCGACTCTCCGGTCATCATGGACTCGTCAAGCTCTGAGGAGCCAGAGATCACCGTCCCGTCAGTCGGAACTCTACAGTCTGGCAAAACCTTGAAAATGTCTCCGTATTGGAGGAGGCGTGCGTCGATTTCTTCCTCGTTGCCAGACTGGTCAATAAGCAACGCCGTAGAGGCTTGCAGCGACCGAATCGAGATGGATTCCACGGCCTTTTGGCGTGCCAGGGCGCTGACGTATCGACCAACCATGATGAGCGTGACAAGCAGTGTGCTTGTCTCGAAAAACTCTCCAGTCGAGAGAGGGCTGTGAGAGACGAGGAAGCCGAAGGATACGACAGAAAATACGTACGCAGCGCTTGTGCTCAAAACAATCAGCAGGTCCATCTCGATGACCTTCGAGAAGACCAAACTCTTCAGGGCCGTCGGGTAGAATGGACCGGCCACGACCACCTGTACGATAGTCGCCAGTGCCAGAGACGCGGAGCCGTAGGCAATATCCCTCTCAGGAAGAGAGGCCCAAGCCATGACGAGGACAGGGATGGTCAGAGCAGTCGAAAGCAAGGTAGTGAGTCCCATGTTGCGGACATGATTACTCCCGGCTTCCAACGTGGGGTCGGCGCGGAGCGGCGCCAGCCTGACGGGCGTGTCCCATCCCTTGTCAAGTAGGTCGCGGGCCCCGATGATCTCAGCGTCAAATTCGACATGGACACTTGTCTTGTCTACTACGCGGATGTCTTTGACACCCTCCGGCCACGGCTGGTTGATAAAATCCTGAGGATTGCCGGGTGTGAGAATATCGATGTTGGCACCTTGGCTGCTTACTTTTTCGCACCTGAACTCGGTTGTCCGCTCAAGGTGTTTGATGATCTCGGCCACCGAACCAGTTCGCATGTCCAAGTCAAATTCGGCGCGGGCCAGTACCAAGCTAGTCTTGAGGTTTTTGACGGCGTTGACAGTGGCGAGCGTTCGTCTCAGTTTGGTTTCACAGCCAGTGCAAGTCATGCCGGAAACGCTGAGAATGACATGCTCAGCTCCAGATAGTCCATATTCAACGTCAACAATCGCATCGTTGGCTACATACTCAAAGGTCTTCGTTACAGCGTCTTCCGAATTATTGGCCTCACAACAAGAATCAGCGCAGGGTGCCGCGATGCTTGAAACTTTCGGTTGGGCGCAGCATCCATCGATGCAACCATCGCCCGTGGCTGTATTGCTTACGGAACGGGAACCTTTCTTAGCTCCGGTACGTGCATTAGAACCGCAGGCAGTAGTCGCCGCTGTCCCGGCGCAGCGTGAGCTGGCAGAGGTACGAGAAGCAGTCCGTTTGATCGAAGGGCCTAGGTGCTTCTGGGCGGGTCGTTCGCGAGGAGCACAGCATGTTTCTTGCCCAAGGGCAAGCAGAGCCCGGCAGATGCAACCCAATGCCTCGAGCTTAGCCTGATATGTTTGACGGACTGTGCGTGCGTGGCTACGACACGGAATTCCGCCTTCGCCGCCCGTGCAAGAACCATCGTCGCCAGCAGATGCTACAAGGTTCATCAGATGCGCGACCGATGTGCTTTCGGGAAGAAGGGCTTACCTGTGGGCGAGCGTCGGGGAGTTGACGAGGCCATCTTGCTGGCGCATTCGCGAAGAGCGAGGCGGTCAATGCAGGTTGAGTCGCAGCACGGGAACGTCTTGCCCTCGCAACAGCTTGGGGGTTTTGCCTCCTCCGCCTCGATGCAAGGGGAGAAAGACGAGCGGCAGCCCTTCTTGCAATCTTCCCGAACATCTTCTTTCGGAGTAGCTTGGCAGTCTTTAACAGCTGACTGGGTAGATGCATGTCGTATGGTGTCAGAAGCGGATGGCGATGAGCAGCAGCCTTTCTGGCAATCGTCTCGTTTGTCGCGACCATCGCTAGGAACGTCCTCAACAGCACAGCATTCATCCAGGGCTTCGGTCAATCCAGCGCAAGGAACCGAATCGTTGCAGGCATCCTCGACCTCATGGTTAGATCCAGTAGGGGTCGGTGAGGGCTTGGACTCTGAAGAGTCGGGTTGGTCGTTTTGGGGGCTGCAGCACCCCGATCCGCAAGCCATTTTGGTGAGCCTTCTTGCCTTGTAATCTTTTTGTCTTGAGTAAACTCTGTTGTGTGTTGTAGTCCTCGTACGCGAAAGATAGATAAGATGGATGGCACCTCAGTGAAGGACGGACATCTTCTGGAGGCCGGCTTCGGAAGCACGTGCCGGCTTGACACACGTGACCGGTGTGGGTCGGACGTGATTGGCCTTGAGCCTCAGCCACACTTTATAGGCCCCACTTCTGCACCACTCGAGAACAAGCCACACTGTGGCTGCGCTTAAGAATATCTCTTGTTTACAGCTTCCCAATTGCATCTATGCTATGTATCTATTATTGAGAGGAAACAAATTAGTATAACTACCTTACATAAGTTATATCCTTACTAAAATTTATGGGTAGTTGAATATTTAGAACTGGTAGCGGTTGTATTGTTGTTTCTATCACGCTATTACTAGCTGAAAGTGTTCCTCACTGTGGCTGAGGGAGCAGTTCCACCGCCGTCACTTCGTAGCTGGGGCAGCGGTACGCCTCCCAATTTATCTCATATCGAGTTTCCTCTTACATTGACTCTACGCTGCGGTAAACTCACTGAAGTGTGGTTTTATTTCAGCGTAAAACCATGCTGCTATTACGACTATTGGAACAATGTCAGTTGGCTTGTTACGACTGAATCACTCTGTTATTCGGTATGTGTTTCTGTGCACCCTCATACTGCCTCTACTTTGATTGCCTCAGTGTTGCACTGGGAAAAGCCGGTCTGGAGCGATGTACTGGCAGTCTACTGATACACACCCTCAAGACTCAAATGAATTGGATAAAAAAAACAAAGCTTGATATAGCATCGGAGAAAATGCATTTCTGCCGGCGAGGGGCTTCCTGAAATTACACAAACCAGCTGGCAAGCTATTCATCAATCCCTATTGTAGTACAAAATCGTGTCTAGAGAAATCAGGGATGCCGCTTTTAGCGTACTCTAAGTGACTTGTGACCCTTCTTGCTTGTTTTTCCAGAGGGCGTTCGAAGTCTCTTCATGTTGTGCTCCAAGTCGGCTTTGTATGTAGGCCCGCGACTAGTAGATGTTGGTGATCCACAGGACGTGCTGCTCAAAATAGATGTTTTGTGAGAAACACTGCTCCTTGAGGGCGACACAGATCTTGAAAGTGCCGTGGTCTCAACTTTCTCGTCAGAATGAAGAAACCCGTTGATCTTGGACAAAGCCGAGCCTCGGCGGTGCGAGCGCGCCGCGGAGCTGTATCCAAACTTGCGGCTAGCCGTTCCCTTGCAAAGTTCGCCGAATTTCATTTCCGGGTTTGTTTCTTGCGTCGGAACTAGGGAGTCTTCGTAAGCTGCACTGCAGAGTGACAAATAACGGACGCTGATATACTTACAGTAACGGGCGCACTCCGCGCAGCAGCCGTGGTCACATGTTTCGGTCGCACCAGTGGCCATTCCGTCAGTGTCCTGGTCTGGCAACAACCTTGTACACCAACCCTGATCGTTGGGCCCCTGACCACATTGGCAACATGTCCAGATCCCACCCAAAGCCTTGAACTGGCAGTTGAGAAGGGGGCAGTCAGCATTGCTGGGCTGACCTATAGCGTAGCTGAGATGCGTGCATGGAGTCTCGACTCCAGTTTCGAGATCGATTAGAGCCGAGGGACAATAGTGCCAGTTGATTGAAGTGTGTGAGCAAGGATGCCATCGAGGGTGGCCATGACACATCGTGAACGTTGTGGTATGGATTTATGCGCCTAATATTGCGGGTTATAAGATAATAAGAATGATCTTCGCAATGTTGTTCGTTGCAACCAGTGCTAGTCCGACCACGAAGATGAGAAAGGCTTGCAACATTCCGAGCAGCGCGTTCCATCTTATATACCGCTGTCTTGTGACTTGTTTTATCAGGATTATCTCCACATGTGACGTTCCCAATCCATACTTGCGGTATCGCAATGATCGCTATTCTGCTTAGCCTATTCACCGACTCCTCACTTGGTTTCTTTTTTCTACATCACTGACACACCTTCACTTCTCGCCAACCATCTCGAACATCATCACATCGTCTCATTCCCCTGTTCTCATCACCACCCCACAGGTGGTGAGGCTGTGCAACACGATCTCACAATTGGTCCCAATTGATTGCTTTTGGAGCACCTGATGTCTCGGAACCGCATGCTGGCTTAGTGGAACTGTGTAAGCACCTTGGGTTGCACCCATACTCAGGAGCGGGAAAACGCCAACCAAGAAGCCATTCAGGCCGCTTCACAGGATAGCCAATGGTACCTGATGACACCAATGGCGAGGTTAGAGGGGGGTCCCATACGGGTAGCCGCAGCCTGTGTCACACCGATCCATCCAGTATTGGATCTTGGCGATCACCACCTCACCTTTGGTGTAACCCGCCTTCGCTGGGGCCATGGGAGAACTTATTCCACGAGTAGACAAGTACGTAGAGCTCGATCGGCAGTCCCAGAGCCCTGGATATTGAGATCTCGCTTGCATTGTGGCAACAATCACCCTCTTGTATTGGCTGGGCCATCGGTGCCGCGATAACTCATGAGAATACCGAAGGTAAGAATGACATCGATTCTTGCCATAGCCAATCGATTTCTCGCCAGATGCAATGACGTGAGGGATAGTGGTGTGGGTGACAAAATGTCTTTAGGGCTGGATCGAAATGGGAGGGTGCAGAATCTGGGGCTGGGGATGGACATTTTCTCTAGCGTTGATTACTTGACCCTATCAAAAGCATCCTATGTCGATCTATAGATCTTGACGGTGGCCTGTCTTTAAGCTTTCGTCAATTCCATTGCCTTGATACCCTATATGATTGTGACTACTATTCAAGAAGTTTTAATGACAAGCAGATACAATCAAAGGGTAAAAGGTGACCAAAGGTCGACGGTAATTCTCAGCCTTTGAAACTGTTCCATTTGTTATCATCGGTGCTATTGGATAGAATTGATAAAGTGATTCTTCCATCAGCTATCCATGAGGCATAAAATGCTAATTTCGATATTGGTCTGCATGGTTTTCTACCCGATGGATTAAGCGTCAAACAGTGAACCTAAGATAAGCCTACGCCCCGTAATAGCTATCATCCATAGCTCTTAAACCATATGGCCCCCATCATACAACTCCTCATCTCTGATTCAGACTTTGAGTAATCAGCCGTCGATAGCGGCAGTACAAGCGTTGCAGCAGATATGCTCGCAGCGATACTCTGCCCCATCAATTATCATGACGCAGCTGCATCTGCCGCCATTGTTCCAACCCTTTCCACACCAACAGCAGTTCCAACACCGGTTTCGTTTTTCGTAAGGACAGTTTTCCAAAGGGCATTCAGGCATTGTGTAGCCCTGGGGAGGCGGAAAGGTTATGTTCCGCTGACTAACTTCTCTGCATGTCTTTCGGTTGAAGGGATCTTTCCTTGAAGGTGAAGGTGCCCTTGGACAGTGGTTGACCTGGGTCTGGATGTGCTCACACGGCAACTTGTAAGAGATGATGTTGCACATTGCCGCTGATTCTGTGTTTCGAAACTTGGGTGAGGGTGCGAATCGAGTGATGTATGACTTGAAGATTTGATAATACGTGCTAATTTGAGCTGTGCCCTGATGGTCGCAACCAAGCAAACTTGAGGAAACGCGTCTGTGATATTGTTAAGAAGCTCCGATCAGTTCAGAATGTCAGGAATCTGTTTCCGTCTTTATAGTTGAAAAGCATTTGCATGAAGATGGGCAAGATCCAAGGGGAAGCTCGGCGGACCGTCCCGGATTCCCCTGTGTCGAACCATGATCCTCGACCATATGACGAAGTGGCCGTACTGAAACCCCTGCCTGATCGCCAGGAACCAGCAATACTACCGGTACTAAGAATGAGGCTGAACGAGTCGATAAACAAAGGTGCAAATGGCTGACTCGTAAATTGTATGATGTGTTCAAGGAATCAAATAGTCTCAAGGTCTATCGACAAGAAAACGTGGCAGCCAGGTTGGTGATATGTATTGGGGACCGATTTCGGCAGTCCAGGTCTTGTGGCTAGGTACGGTCGAAGTGTCACTGGCAGCGCCATGGCGGCAAGTCTACAGCAAGGCAGTCACTCATGTCAATGGCATGAAACATGCATTTGGAACAGGAATAGGTCGATTGGTCTCTGGTGTTTGGTCGCAAGGCTCACAAGCCTCTTCGCTTCTATCTTCCAGCCTTTCCCGATCATCGGCCAGCCTGAAAGCTGGTAACGAATGTCTAGGTCCCATCTACCTGTCGACCATAAGCTGGCAAGGTGAATCTTTCGTTCCTGACTAGGCTCCTCTTAGTCTCCTGTACTACTTTAGCCCCGGTTTTGGACGGCTAGCTTCAAGGGGAGATTAAAGTACCGTGGATGCGGAAGCCAAGAGGTGCCGAGAACGCGAAGTTGCCAGTCAACAGGGTGAATATCAGACACCCGCACAATAGATATCCGTATCATGTGCCGTTCTTTCCAAAGATGCTGAGGCACTTATTGGATAGCCCTCATCATTCTCTTTTGGGTCATAGGCTGTGGCCATGTATCATCCAGGCCGGCTCAATTGTCCTTCTGTTGCGAGGTCGGTCAAGTTTCGGTGTCGGATGTACAGTTTTGGCAAACACGGTGGTAACAGAAAGTATCCGGACTTTTCTTCATCTTGTGTCGACACCACCGGAGTGAATTGCTTCCTCGGCTGCATTGACAACATATCCACTGTCCTTTGAGCTCCTTGAGACGACAGTTTCCGGAGCTGCAGTCGGGCGACATAAGACAGCCTCCAGTCGCACAGGGGTTATCGAAATCAATCGACTGGACCGGATCATAAGAGACGCGCTCGCAGGGAGTCTGGGCCTTGCCGTCGGAATCCTTCTCAGCATCCAAACAAAACTCGTAATGAACCACATAATCGATAGGGCGGGCGCATGGCTGAACGTGGTGGTGATGTAAATAGGAATAAGTACACATTGTTTATGTTTGTGGGGGAAAGAGGTTTTGAGCTAGTCTTGCGAAGGCTGACGAATTGCAATACGGGGTATTTCTTCCCTCTTTGCTTCCACCCTACCAGAGAATATATGAAACGATAATTAGAATCGGCATAAGAAAGCCGATGAAACCGATCTCGATGGGCGCAAATTCCGTGGCTGATCGAGTGCTGCGGTGACACAGGGATATCGATTCCGGAAGGATGCTGCAAGTGACTGCAGGAGAAATGAGTCCTCTCGGAATTCGGGCTGCTGTCGAACTACGGTAACCGAGTTAGAGGAGACAGGAGCTGGCTTGTGGCAATGTAAAAAAGATATGAGTGAGGACAAAAGGCTAGAAGCCGACTGCATGAGCAAGACAATAGATATCGAGAGTTAGGCGAACGTGCTTCAATATTTCTTTGCTGTAGCCTGTTTCTCGTTAGCATATTGTGGTAAGAATTCGTGACATGCAGGAGTGCAGCATTGTTGGTCTTATACGAAGCTCTGCAGCATATTACCCACCCTCTTGCTAGCTCACCAACGGACAGCAGCCATCCTCCTTGCTATGAAGGAAGACACATGTGAACCTCAATATCCAAGCTGTCCAATACCGAAAGTTCAGGATCCAGTCACCGCATACCGTTTTTGCTACTCCTGTGGACTCCGGAGGATGACACGACTTTCCTGCCACACTTCAATACTTTGCCGCCACTGTCAAACCCATGGTCCTCATTCACCATCCTTCCGGAGAATGACAAGCACGTGGCGTATCCAAGCTTGTTGGCTTTGTACAGGAGACCTTTGGCTTGAACAGCCAATGATACTCGGTAATTCGAGACAGAGATACACAGTTGTAACGGCAGGTGGTTCCGAGAGGATTCACTTCTGGCTGTCCATATGGAAGCTACCTGACAAAAGCGCGGTAAAAGACCACAAGCAGTAGTTTAATCCGAGATTCCACGAGGGTCTTCTTCATTTATGAAGCTGATCTCATGGCTAGTGAGTCAAGTTGTCTTGCAAGTGGCTCTATTATTGCTTAGAACTATTCCATGCGCATTCTAGAAGGTCACTGACACCGTTGCATTGCCCGTTTTCAAAGCTAAGCAAGCGCAATACATAACAGTGTCGAGTACGCTAGTGTAGTTTTATTACAGAACTGGCTTCGCAGTAGGACATAGTACTCTCATCTGCCCTCACACTCGTCTTCTAGTTTACGGAAGTGACTCTTGATACAATATGACTCTGATAGAATGTGAAGTAGGAGATTGATGGTTTTCGGTATGATTGCGCCGACAGCCACCACTCAAGTCAGCAGTGTTAATAACGAATTAGGTGTCCCGAATAGAGCCCCACAGACACTAAAAGGCGACATGAACTGTGAGTATGAGCTCCTATTTGCTTGAACCTTACCGAACGAAACATTCTCCGTTTGAGAGAGAAGAGTTTCCGGTCCTAGGATTATCAGCGTCGCTTGCCACGGCATGGATGCCTTCATCCGGTGTCTCGGATATTGCATCAAAGACATTGTGCTTCTAATGGGAAGTTCTCACAAAGCTTCTGCTACTAACATCGAGGCATAGCTTATTTTCTAGGCTAAGTTGACATTCAGAGAACAGTCCCAAAGATGATTTACAGTGACCATCCAAAATGTTGAAAGTCAGCGTTCATCATGCCATGACATCTGTGTAAGCGGATGATCTGGATAAGAGCTTTTGTGGACATACTTCAAGCATGCCGTCCTTGAACAGCATAAGGGTCGGTTATCCGACCAGGTGTCTTCTAGCAGAACAGGCATGAAGCCTACTGATTGACACAGCTGGATAATTCTTCATCGATTAGGTAACACAGATGATGCACATTCTTCTATCGAGTAGTTTGTGCAGTCGCTAGACAATCAATGAACCAGAGCAACATACGAATTGTTAACTCGCACTATGAGAGAAGAGGACCGATGTTTGGGTGAACATTCATGCAAATAAAAACTAGCTCGTTTCCTTCATTGGTCTGTTCTTAATCGATGTGCAAGCCACCTCGGTCGAGGCTGTCGGAAACTCCTCAGGGAGCATCACTTTCTTAGACATCGGGCCCGAACGAACCATCAAAACAGGAACATATGCCGAAGAGATGTTACGCAATAATGCATGAGCTTATACAAACATCAGTAAGGCTGTGGCTTTCCGTGGGTTACACATAGCCAAGCCCGAGCTCGAGCTTCGGCTGTAAGCTCAGCTGCAAGGGTAATAAGACCCAATTCGACACGTATAAGCGACTCGATCTGCTGATGGACACCAATGACCCACCCACTTCAATGTATCAGTCCAATAGCCCGATATCGATTGAAGGATCACGGCCAAAGGGCCTGCAGATGCTGCACGATCAGGTAGGCAAATGCAGCTAGGGGCTATGAGAGAGAGGCGCTTGCATGTATCGTACCACGAGGGCGTTTGAACCATATTGCAGCGTACTTCAAAGGGTTCCACAATAGCTATAGGCTTGAGACGCATAGTAGTACAAAGCCAAGGAGTCTCATTATCAGATAAAGCTCATACTACGTATATTGGAAAACCCAAGAGGTTTGGCGTTGTTCATATTGCTGATTACCTATCCCGGCTTTATGTGATAGGTTTATGGTTTTTTTATCATCTTGCATACAACTTACTCATTCCTACTGAAACATTGTGTGTTTGCGGTGCTACTCGTACAAACAATGGGTCTAGACCAGCCTCACTGATGAAGCTGACTTTCACATCTATTATCTCTTGCACAAGACGCGAAGTAAGGCTGACTAATACCGCCATGGACTACCAAATCAAGACATAAAGGGCTTTTATTACTAGTCACATTTGAAAAGAAAACTGTATGTAGAGGTAAAAGTATAAAATTGTGGACAATATAGCCATTCAACATCGATATGCCCCCCGACGGACTTCCTATCCGCAAAACACGAAATCGCTTTAACAGAGTTGACCATGATTTGTAGTAAACACCCACACATTGGCGCATGCCGCGAGAGCATACCTTCTCCGTCCAAAGCATCATGCGGGAGCTCAAAAGCAGCCATCTACCTGAAGCAAAATGGTTGGGGATTGAATGAAAACAATGTAAAACGCGATCAATCCATAATAAATCAACGTTGTTTCGCCTTCAGGTGTTAGAGGGTTTTCTATGATAAAACTCAAATATTGATTAAAAGATATGATCTTTATTATGCCGGCACAAAAACAGTTCTAGAAGCAGATGCAGACTTTTGCCACAAGATTCTTCTCGCTTGTAGCGTAAAGGTAAGAAAAGGATATTCATCATTCCAGTCTTGATTCTTCCCGCTCGGCTGGCTGAAATATCATTCCGTTAGTATGAGTTGAGAGCTTGAGATACTGAACAACCTCAAATCAAAGACACAGCTGTCTCAGCCGCAATATTGCCCCCAATAAAACAGGGAAACGGAACCGGTAGGGATGTAAAATGGCTTGACTGTCTACCCGGGAAGCTTCATAACAAAATACTTAATTACGTTACTGCACATTTCATCTGCACTTGGGACAACAGTTACTGCGTGTTTTCGCCTGAGAGTAGCAAGAATCAACGCATGACTACTGTGAACAGGCGCAAGGGGCTGAATACTTTAAGCCTATCGAATCACGAAATCAGGTAATCCCAGAGGCTGGTTGACTGTTTAACCCCTGTGCAGCCGCACTTGCCGACCGTTGGCTTGCCACAACTGGCTGAATGACCCCGGATGGTTCAAGCCTCGTCCTACTGCCTTAGACTAAGACAGCCTGTAAGTGACCAATGGACTAGTCCTGTGCGGCCAAGTTGTCCCTCACCCCGGAGTTACGCATTTGAGGGTCTTATAGAGCCTGCTTTAACCATCTATCGCATTAACATTGCCAAATGTGAGAAACTTCCAATTTTGCTGCTTCTATTTAACAGCGTCCTCGACTTAAGCCTACAAGGTTTTGTTACAACTGATAGCTCGGTTTAGTATATTCCACTTCAAATTTATCGTATATTTCTGTGACATTGATTAGTTGTTTGCAAGAATATGAACTCGTTTGAGCTGCTCTATCTCCTTCTTGAGCGCCGCGACCTCGCTGGTAGCGTTCTTCTGTGACAAATTGTCCGAGGCTATTGCGTGAGGCAGACGTTTCGTCGATGAGGGGAGCCGATTCGCTGGCAATTGAGCCGGTGTCTTCGTCTTCGCTGTCTTCGTTCTTGATTTCCTCGGTGAGTTGGCGAGGAGTCCACTCGTTTGGGCAGGCGGGTACATACACCACGAGGAGAATTATATGAAAACGGGCATCCTGCGATATGACAATACCAGCACCGCCAAGCCCAGCACCACGGCGTGGGCGGTAAGCCTAGATTGTTCTGACACAGCCATCAATGATCAGATCGAGCCCGTCGTGCCTTGGACAGTTGGAGATCCGTCCAACGGCCAGATAGGAGAGCAGTTCAACATCGACATTCTCGAGCACATGCACTGGCCCTTACGCGACGTCGATCTTCTCGTTTGAGCGCCCAGACAGTAAAGAAGTGCGACCGTCCCAAACCTCGTACGGAAACCCGACTTTTCTGAACCTGGTTAACGTCGGCGACGGGTGGCCGGAAGGGTGGGTTGCCGTTCCGGAAAACTACACTGCTACGGACTGGGTAGGTGCCTCTACCAGAAGACAGATCGCCTTGATATGTTTGTTGACTGCGTGGACTGGTGCGTAGGTCTATTTGGTCCTCAACTCCAACAAAAAGGGGACTCATACGGTAAGCGATATACCAGTATGCTTCCAGGTCAAGCATCCTGGTACCTGACTCCGTCCAGATCCATCTCCACGGTCACGATTTCGCCATTGTTCACCAGGAGGACAACAAGGCATGGGTCCCCAACGATCCGAACATCTTTCGACCCAACAAAAAGAACCCGCCGCGCCGCGACGCTGTGCTCCTCCCAAGTAACGGCTTCGCTGCCATCGCCTTCAAAACTGACAATCCTGGCGTGTGGCTGATGCACTGCCACATCGCCAACCACGCGTCCGCGGGACTGTCGCTGCAGATTATGGAGCGACAAGCCGCAGCGAACGTCATCTGGCCGCCCGGGGACTCGTCAGCGTTGGACGCGGCGCACTCCCTCTGCGCCAGCTGAAACAGCTGGGCTTATGACTGCAAGAACTACTGGCCCGGCAACGTAGGCAACGAGAGCACTCCTAATTACCCGTCTTGTGTGGACGCGTTTAACCTTCAGAGCGATTCTGGTGTGTGGTTACCATGACAAAGCCACGATTCGTGGGTCTTGAGACCTACAATTGGGTATCCCAGGGTGGCACGTTTGGAGGAGACGTCGTAAGCGAAGGAAAGGCGTGCAGCTGCGGTCCACAGGCAAACAGCTTGAATTTGGCGATACTTTAGGACTTCAAGACTTGACGCTCACCATTCGCAATGTAGAAAACAGGATGCCGTCGGTGTCTAGTAAGGTGTTCTAAGAGACAGTACCCACGGCTAAGTAGCCGTACTCCTAGCCGACGGTTTGAACACGGCTCCGTACCAAGGCCGGGGCGGAGGAACGAATACAGCTAGCCGTTACGGAGTATAAATGCCGGTATAGAAACCGCTCCCTTCATAGGTGCCGTCAGCTTTCCCAAAACACTTGACTATGTAAGCCTGCATGGATTCCAACAGCACTTACCCCGTGACAGGCGTTTGCACTGTTGAGGGGATGGTTTAGCTCCGTCGACATCCTAGCTCGAGTCCTGATTCGCCAAGACCGCTGTTTGCTATTAGTTGTTTGTCGAAATCAGATTACATGGTAAACAACTGCCGTATCACAACCCAGTCCCCCCCTCCCAGACCAGCCCCCACGCAAAGGCTCTTTCAGCTGGTGTTCGCTAGATCTGCACGCACATCCATCACCTATTTTTTGGATTGCTGGCTTGCACCCTGACCAATCAGCGCTGGGGCTTCGGTTGGTGGGTGTGGTGACCGCAGACTAGGCCGTATGATGCTTATCCACGAGTACGGCTTATCCTGCGGGATGGTGGCGGCGCTGATTGCCATTCCTTCCATCCGTGGAGGCACAAACGGCGCGTAAATATCTCTTAGCTTGGACAAGTGCTGAGAATAGATTGACGGGCGGGTGAGCATACAATTATCCCAGAAGACAACGATTCGCGGCCCTAGATTCCTCACCAAGACACCATGAAACTGACTGCGACCGAGAGTCACGAGCAAGAATAAGCATGGATGAGATGTGTGAGCTGGCCGCGGATTCCCTCGAATGGGTCTCTGGCTGGTGGGATACGTTGCGAACCAAGCACCTGACGGGGTGTATATCAGAGGCGGTCCTGCAAAAGTGCCTCCATCAACTCCCACGAAACCTGCAATCGTACATCGAGAATCTCTCCCAGTCCGCCTTGGCCTGTCCGCAGCCGCCCACGATGCCGTCCAGCTCCTTCACCAGGTTCCCCGACCTCCCAGCCGAGATCCGTCTCAAGATCTGGAACGAGGCGGCGGCCGGAACGTCGATGCACATCTTTGACGTCTGCTTCCCGTCATGGCGTGACAGCGGCCGCAGCAAGCGCGCCTTCCCTGGCGCCGACAGAGCCATGACGAAGAGTAACCACGACAGATGGACCAAGTACAGCGAATGCGTGTTCCTCGACACCATGGAAGTCGGACCGGCGGAGCTGGCACGGCAGACGCGCGTTGCGCGACACGCATACGATCCATCCGTGTACAGACTCCGTTCAACGATGCGAATGACGTGCTCCGAAGCGTCGGCGGCAGTGCGGAGGAGGATGAGCGGCAAAAGTGTCAACACGGTGTACCTCCCGGGCCGAGATAGAAGGATCGAATACGACAACGACAATGATGTGCTGTTCTTACGATTCAGAGACGGCGGAGCAATCATGAACCTGACCGACGGGGTGCTCCTGGGCGAGTTCGAGGCGTCAAGAACAAACGATCTCACCGAGTTGCTAGAGGGCCCTTGGAGTGTCGAGATGGCTGAGACGCTGCGCGGTGCGGGGCGTGTCGCCCTCGACGTCGCTGAGGCGTGGGCCCCGCCGGCGATCGGAGCGGTGGTCTACGAGGAGGCGGCGTACTTGGCTTGTTGTCTGCAGCAAGGTCTCCAGGTGCTGTACCTGGTCGACCACTGCCACGGGCGTTGCACGCAATGCAAGCAGCACAACATCAGGGCCGACCAGCTTCAGACACGCGGGCCTCTGTACCGACAGCTGCAGAGTCGGGATACGGACGGCGCCGTGGCCCGGGCGCCGGAGGTCATACACGGCGTCGGCAAGGCGTATCGCGAGGTGTTCGACTTTGAAGGGCTCGGCTGGTCGTATGAGCACCCGAACTATGTGTTTGCGGCGGCAATGGACGAGATGATACGGAGCCAGCAGGCGGAGGCGGATAAGCAGGCTTTCGAGGGGGTAAAAGTGCTACTGGTCGAGGATGACGAGGTGGAAGGGGTAGACACAACCATGCTGATGGACTGCAGGTTGGATAGCGCCTCGAAAAGGTTCGCCGGGGAAGCCCCGAGCATGTGTCTGCGATGGTCATCCTGACGCGAGAGTAAGCAGAGCCACAAAGACAGGCACTCGGATGAGGAATAAGCCGAGGGACAGGCGGATGCTGCAGCAAATGCCGAGGGAAGATGGAGCTGACGTGTGACGACGAACCGCACCTCACGGCGAGCCAATGAGGCGATCTGGAGTGGTTGGAACACCTTGTATTACTATCGTCTCCGGCAAAGAGACTGGACAACAAGCGTGGCCGCCGTCAAATGTTGGCAAAACGTGCTGGAGCCCACCGGCTTTTTTGTAACTGGGAATACCTTTTGACGCCATACTATGCATATATACCACACACAAAGCTCGAAAACCCCACATGATGACCCCGCTAGAAACTGTGCAGAAGTTAGCAGATGCTCGTGAACGGACGCCAATGTCGGCCCTCCTTGCCGGTGAAGGATCGAAAGCTTACCGTATCTCATAGGAACCCGCCCTCGTCATGTACCGCACCCACTTGACGCTTGAGTAGTTGCTCTTCTCAAACACCTTGAGATACCTGACCAACAGGCCCGAACTCGTAAACATCAACAGACTGAAGTTGAGGCTCAGCGGCGGGCGCGACCAGGCACGCTGGTTCGTCATGCTCGTCAGGATGGCCTCTGCGCTCAGGACGAACTCGCTCTGGCCGGTGAAGCGGCCAATCTTCCAGACAATGTTGTTCTCGCTTGGCTCGTACTTGGCCTTGCCCTGGGTGCAGCGCTCGGTGATCTTGGCCGTGTTGAGCGGGGTGGGGATGCGGACGACGACGTTTGTGGCAAACAGCTTGGAGCCGAAGTTGGCCTTGATGCCGATGCTGTACTCGACCTTTGTGCGACCGACCTCGTTAACGATGGCGTGGACCTTGAAGGGCAGGTTGACGTTCTCGGTGGCGCGGTAGCGCATGAGCTCGAACTCGCCGTCGGGAGGGACGAAGGAGATGATGCGGTCGCTGTCGAACTTGCCGAGCTTGACGCACTGGTGGAACTGGCAGTCCTCGAGGCTGACACTGCCGGCGGCGGCCTTGGTCGCCTTGGTGCCCATCCTGTTCCCGCTCGGCAGGCTCAGGAGACCGTCATTGTCGAGGAGCAGGCGGTCGTTGAGGCCAAACTTGCACTCGGGGGTGCCGGATAGGTAGGCGCGCATAACGATCTGGCCGGTGACGTCGGCGCGCAGGACGGCGCCAGTCGCCGACATGAGGAGGTTGACGTCTTCGATCACGTCGACAAAGGCCTCATTCTTTCTGTACTTAACATCGGCCTTGCGCCACGAGAGCGCGCCCGTCGCCTGCATTGTGATCTTGGCCGAGTCCTCGGCGGCGCGTTCTGACTTGACGCCTTCGGTGGTGATGTACATCTTGAGGGTGTCGGTTTCGGTGTTTTGAGGGTAGCCAAAGTCAATGATCTCTGCGACGGAAGTGTCAGTGGGGATGAAGGGGCCGAGTTCCATATGGAGGAATTTTGGACGCACCATCGAGCAGCTCATAGACAAGCACGAAGTTGTTCTTGACAGCCTCCTCGTCGAACTTGCCAAAGTAGCCCCTGCCCAGAGCGATCAGGCGATAGAGGAACTCGAAGACCAGAGCGGCATTGGCATTGCTCTTTGTGATGGCCACCAGGTAGATGTTTTCATGCTTGACATGGCTAAAGGTGGTGCTGCCGAGGGTGAGGATGGGAGACCGGACCTGAGCGTTCGAGATCACTTGAATCCGGAAGACGTCGGCAAGCCTGGGTCTGCAGTCGTTGCGAAAGGCGCGGAAGATGAGGTTCTCGCCCTTTTGGTTGAAGATGAGGATTCCGGACAGCATATTGGCAACGACCGGGGGGGCGGCGAGTGCGCGATGGGAGCGACCACGGGGGATTGAAGGGTTGGTCGGCGACACGGAGAGGCGAGGTGGAGGTCGAGGGCGAGGTGGTGGTGGTGGTGGTGCTGCTGCTGCTGCTGCTGCTGCGGCTGCTGGTGTTTCGTGGATGATCGCGGGGCGGAACAGGCAGACGGACGGGCGGACGGACGGAGGGACAGACAGCGGGGACTGCGACGGAGTCTCGGTTAGCCGTCAGGGGGAGCTTTCGACTGATCGAGGTGACGGTTTCGGGCACCGTGGGAAATTCTGCCGTGCGAGAGGGTCCAGGCGGTGAGGTCCGACTCGCCTCGGTACGTACTGCAGCTTCAAGATTACGTGATCCGCCTGACCCTCACGTGACTCCAAGGTCATTCGGCGGACTGTTTTTTTTTTAGCGGGCTCCGGGGTGGGTAAGGTCCCTGCGGCGTGCTGGGTTACGTCATCACAGTTCAACGAGACTGTGCGAATAGATATTGGTACTTCCGCCTTTTATTTCTCATTCCACCTCCCTCTCTCTGATTGTCTTCTTGTCATTGTCAATATTGAGGTTGTCTATTCTTTCTCTCCTCTATTTCAAGTTGTGACCAACTCCGATGGGAACATACCTAGTCTACCGCATTGATACCTGTGTTCCCTTGCTTCTCCATCATCACCTATTAACATGTGTCACTACAGACCAAGCTGAACCGTTTTGCTTCATTTATTCCTTAACTAATGCCATGACGTCTGAAACATAAAGTCGTTGATTCCCAGCGGCAGAGAAACATGCCGGAAACTTCAAAGAAACTTCAACATGGATCGTTCCTATAACCCTGCAAACGCAATATGTTAGTTAGCCAATGCTTGATAGACCGGTAATCGAGCTCAATTGCATCCCGCTTACAACTCTCATGAGCCTTATTGACGCTCGTTGACGTCCAACAGGTCCGAATAACTCGGCATCACTCCCTCAGGCTGTTGTTCTGTTGTCAGCCTGTCACCACCCATCGGGAATCAGCCACGATATGTCAATTCTCTGGTTACCCCAAATCAAGTTCCCCAAATCGTCTGCCGCCAGTTCCTGACGTGCGGCTCCTACACCAACTTGCCGTCTCCGTCATCCCCCTCTCTTTTCTCCCCGCTGGGTGGTACCTGAAGCCATGCCACTTTCGCTCCGTCATTCGATCCCTTCGGCAGGCCATCCCATACGTCAGCTTTCACCATCCTCCGTAGACCGATTCGCGACGCCCTCTCCCATCGAGGAAGCTTCCGTCTCTAGATTGAGTGTGCTCAAGGACAATTGCCCTCAAGCTTCCACGTCCCGGGTGGCGAAGCCGCTCTTCCATCTCACTTTGCGCAGGTATAGTTTGTTCGGAACGATCCAGAGTCCTTTCCGACGCCTCGTCCCACCCTCCCCAACCGTCCCCACATCCACCGCGCCCCCATGACCAACGCGCTCTTCCGTTCATGGCCAATATGGAGCGTCACCTCCGAGATGACTTAGACTCCGTTGCATCCAACTCGTCTTCCCGTCGCACATTGGTTGGCAAATCTTCCCTTCTCATACCTTCAACTGTACCCAAAGCCGGCCGTTCCTGGTCGCCGACATTTGCCATCCATGTCCAGCCTTCGTTCCTGGCTAAACATGCCATCCCCCAACTCGGTTGTTCCCACGATGTCCCTCCTGCACCCGTTGGAGCTTCGGATGTCTATCCCATAGCCCAAATTCGCCCCTCATGGCTTGCAGCAACTTGCTCGCCTTCGCCCGATTTCTCTACGCTTGTCTCGAAGTGGTAATCAAGGGCTCAGGATGCCGAAGCTATGCTCCAAGGATGATGGGGCAAACTCCCTCACCCGCCATAAGCCATGAACCCGACCATCCCGCCGATCCGAAAGGATCAGTTTATGAACTAGACGGATAGAATGTCTGTTACCGAGACACGACGATGATAAAAGGGCCAGGTCCCAGGCCGGAATACAGCCATCTAGTCCATACCTGCAACCTACAGACCTCATCTCCCCCTTAGTCTCAACTCATCGCCGAGAGGTTCAGAATCGAAGCAATAATGGCTGCACGCACGCTTCTTGCCGCTGCCCTTCTGGGTACTGCCGTCTTCGCCGTCCCCATCGAGGAGAGACAAGCTTGCGCGTCTCAATGGTAAGTCAACCCAACCATGGTGTTCGCCTCCAAGAGTACCACCGTCTTACAAGACACAGGGGCCAGTGTGGTGGTCAAGGCTGGACCGGCCCTTCCTGCTGCGCCGCCGGCAGCGTCTGCACCGTCAGCAACCCGTTCTACAGCCAGTGCCTCCCCGGTAGCGCCGCCCCTTCATCCAGCTCGACAGTCGCCTCTTCGACTTCGACCGTCCGCACGAGCTCTACCCCGGTCGTCAGCCCCTCTCGCACCTCGACCGTCACCGGTTCCGTCTCCACCACCAGCGCCGGCACCGGCACCACTCCTCCTCCTACCGGCGGTGCTACCTACACCGGCAACCCGTTCGTAGGCGTTAACCTCTGGGCCAACTCATACTACGCCTCCGAGATATCGACTCTGGCCATTCCGTCCTTGAGTCCGGCTCTGGCCACCGCAGCCGCCAAGGTCGCCAAGGTCCCTACCTTCATGTGGATGTAAGTCGACCAACTCGCGGGGGCAGGGGGAAACCTCTTTTTTTTCTGACACTCTGTTACTCCTCAGGGATACCCGCTCCAAGATTCCCCTAGTGGACGCCACTCTGGCCGACATCCGGAAGGCTAACCAGGCCGGTGCCAACTACGCCGGTGAATTCGTCGTCTACAACCTTCCCGACCGTGACTGTGCTGCCGCCGCCTCCAACGGTGAGCTGTCCATTGCCGATGGTGGTGTTGCCAAGTACAAGCAGTACATCGACGACATCCGCGCCATGGTCGTCAAGTACTCTGACATCCGCATCATCCTCACCATTGGTAAGTCTTCATACAACCCACCAGACAGGATGAGACAGCTTCTAACTCCCATCAGAGCCCGACTCTCTCGCCAACCTCGTTACCAAGTAAATGAAATTCCGACTTGTAGTGCCTCGGCCAGATATGCTGACAAGCCCATAGCTTGAACGTGCCCAAATGCGCCGGTGCCCAGGCTGCCTATCTCGAGGGCACCAACTACGCCGTCACCCAGCTCAACCTTCCCAACGTGGCCATGTACCTCGACGGAGGCCATGCAGGTTGGCTCGGCTGGCCTGCTAACCTGCCCCCTGCTGCTGCGATGTACGCCAAGGTCTACAAGGATGCCGGCAAGCCCAAGGCTCTGCGTGGTCTCGTCACCAACGTGTCCAACGTGAGTCGTTTCCGCCCACCGCAAGGCTCGCTCTAGCATACTGACAACGGACAGTACAATGGCTACAGCATCAGCACTGCACCTTCTTACACTCAAGGTAATGATTCTCTCTTGCATTGCTTTCCGGTTCGATGTAGACTATGGTATCTGTGGCCGGGGCAGCTCATCCATGTTGCCCATCTATGCGGTCCACTTGCCAGGATGTTCGATATCCCTTCCTTGACCTACATAGACACAGAGATACCGTGCATAATATCTGACTACTCACAGGCAACGCCAACTACGACGAGAAGCACTACATCGAGGCCCTCGCCCCCCTTCTTTCAGCCGAGGGCTGGGACGCCAAGTTCATCGTCGACCAGGGCCGCTCCGGCAAGCAGCCCACCGGCCAGCTGGCGTGGGGTGACTGGTGCAACGCCATCGGCACCGGCTTCGGCGTCCGCCCGACCGCCAACACTGGCTCGACCCTCGTCGATGCCTTCGTCTGGGTCAAGCCTGGCGGTGAGAGTGACGGCACCTCGGACACCACCGCCGCGCGCTACGACCTCAACTGCGGCAAGGCCGACGCCCTCAAGCCCGCCCCCGAGGCCGGCACGTGGTTCCAGGCCTACTTTGAGCAGCTGCTCATCAACGCCAACCCGGCTTTCTAAGCGCGTCCCGAAGCGGCTGCATGAGATCTCTCTGCAGATATAGATAGCCCAACGCCTAGACTGGATATCTCAGTTTACTTTCTTGTACATAGCTTACGTAAATATCAGAGACGAACGTGTATATATAGCGTGGGATGATACATCAAATTCCCCCCCAAATGTGATTGTATGACTCTGTATGGCCCCGGCGTATAAGCTGTCTTGTATCCTTGGCTTCGTCTGTTCATATCATCACGTCGTCCATAAGCCTCGGCTCCGCAATTAAGATACCATGAAAACGACAAACTCAAAGTGCCAGCGTCAGACCTGGCTGGTCAGACACCTTCTTGGCTGAAAATGCAACGTAAATTTCGTCATTTAGAAAATTCCCTCTGTTTCTTCTGCCTGCCGCCCTCCTATCCATTCTACCCTCCATTCCAATGCGGCCTCCAAACCTCACTCTTTCCCGACCACATCCTTGATAGTTCTCGGAGCTGTGGACAGGCTCGGCATGCATATGATCTATCGCATCTTGAGCTCTTTCTTGACTTGCGTATTTTGGCTCCTCAGAGCGCTCTGGAAAGCCCGAGTCATTCTTGCTTCCGAATCGTATGTGGTCGAGGACTTGGGTCTTGGACACGAAATAAAGGTAAGCAACAGCATCCATCGTAGGGCTTTGGGTGTCCGGCTGGTTTCCATACACACTAGTCTGGCATCTCTTTCACGATAGCTCACTGACGTTTCGAGCTATCTAAAGGTTAAGAAAAAGGGCCTCAAGCATAACACTCAAGCTACTATTACCTCGGCGAGCAGCCACGAGGTCGAGACGGGACGCCCACCAAAGGAGATGTCTTATTACAAAGCCAAGCTGGCCGACTACGTAACGAAAGGGAAACTCAATGAGGATGCTCACGAGATCAGTTCACCCCCTTCTGGCATTTCTCCCAGTCAGCCAACGGCGAAGCGAAACCTTGAGCAAGAGCTCCAGGAAAGGAAGAAGAAGTCGGTGCCGAGTCTTCCGCAGCCGGCCATGGAGTGTCCTTCTACTTCGTTAGACAAGAACTACCAGAGTAGCAAGACTACCGAGGCTCTGACTCCGTCCGCTTGGTTCCAGAGCAAGCAGAGCAATGGGGAAATCGAGATGAAAGACGCGCCTGTATGCGATCATTCTCATTCTCTACCCTCCTCGTCACCCAATGCCTGGTCCTCAAAGCTCATTTCTGACGCTCCTGGTCCCTCTCAGTCGTATTCTCCAGCCCAGGCCCTCGCCGAATTTCACCTCCACTGGCAAGGTTCCCACGGCTCTGCATCTCTGTCTAGCCCGCAGTCGCCGCTAGGGAAGCCAGTTGAGTGCGCCAAGTCGGGGACACCGGCTGCCCATACTTCGGCTTCCGCTTTTCACCTGTCATACGACGACTTCCCGGCCATTAGTAACACACTTCCCGCCAACTCTATGCCGACGTGGGGTAAAAAGAATACACAATCTACCGCCTACGTAAAAGGGATTAAAGATGCCATGATTTCCACGGCCTCCCCAGGGTATCTGGAAATCTCTTATGCACATATTACCAAGAATCCTGTTATGGGTACTGTTGGGGAAGCCTTGACCCCGAACCAGAAGGGCCCCATTCCCCAACAACCCGATCCAAGTCGGGCGATTTCGTATGTTCATACACTCTCTTTCCATGTCTTATTGTAAGCCCTTCGTAACACGTCTTAAAAGGACCAGCGATGCCGCGATTCCACGACAAGCGGCGTCCACGGAGCCGGACCACTCGTTGCTGGAGCCGTTGTGCGAAGATGAGCAGAAGCTGCGAGTGTTTATTCAGCAGATGGTCCAGCACCGGTGTCCGGGCTGTGACAATACCGGAGCGCCCTTCAATACGGGTGCCGTCTTCGAGTATACCCATAGAATCTTGATTTCCAAGCAGCGTACGTCGAACTTCATCTACTCTCACGCGTCTATACAGGCCCTTATACAACTCGAGCACACACCATAGGGGCGTCCCCTGGACCACTTGAACACTAACATTCCGTACTTTCAGCTCACCCTATTTTCAAATGCCAACATCAGAGATGCCGTGTCTACTTCTGCCCAGCCTGCATGAAGAAAGGTAAGAGAGCCACAGCCCTGGTGCAGCGATCAGCCGGCAGCCCAGGCCACTCTACGTGGTGCTGCTCTTCCGCTCGGCTTTTCTTCATATTTCTCCTTCTCTGTGGTCCACACGGTCACCCGAACGACAACCTAGCTTCCCTCCTCCAAGACTGTCAGGTTAACGCCAAGATTGAAAACCCGGGAGCCTCGAAGGGCCCTTCGACCCAAGCGAGAGCGACGGGATGTCCGCAGCATGCGTCGGGGTCGGCTCTCGGCACAGGCTACGGGGGTCCGGGAGACTACGCCAACACCTTCAGTGGGTTCACCCGGTCTGCTGACAAGAAGGACTTCGAAGTACTTCCCGGGCTTTTTGCGAAGCTTCAGGAGGTTTGGCCTTGCCTCGCGACCTCGAGCGAGTTTGACCAGGAACCCCCCGAGCTATTGCTGGCCATGGCCCGCCGCAGCCCCCTCATGATCAAAGTGGCAGAGCTCCTGCGTAACGACTGTGTGGAAGATGTCGTGTACCGCGCCACAATGTACCAGCCCATGTTTGACTTCATCCGGGTCGTTGTCGCGCATCCCTTCTCAGCCCCCCTGGTACATTATCCCCGTGTCGAATATCCGCTGCGCCGGACTCTCTTACCGGTGTGCTTCGGCCCGGATCAATTCACTTCGCCCGCTTCCCGGCAGGCTCGCTCCGCAAGCCCCGAGGGTAAGGGCAAGGGTAAGGCGCTATACGACTCGCCGCAGGATACACTGCAGTCGCTGGTCAGCTTGCTCTCGTCGCTGACGGACCAGTCTCGTGCTATAATGCATTATATGAATCCCAAGAACGAGGACGCTGCCAAGATCATGGCAATGTGCCAGCGTATCTGTGATTTCTCCAACGATATCGCTAGACCGCCGAATGTCGATACTGCAGAATGTACAAAGGCTCCGGGCTCGGCCCATCCTACCACCCCAGCGCGCGCTTCTAACGTATTTACCAGCGCCGCTTTGCGTGTAGAAGAAGCCGAGGAGAAGAAAATGGCAGACATACACACTTGGCTGAGCGTAAACAAAGTCGCCGAGATTGAATCGGACGACTGGCTTGGGGGGTATAGCTTTTCTCGGAAGCTGGCCCAAACCGCGGGAGCCGCTGTAAAGAGCGGTCGCGTCAAGAGACTTGTGTACGATCTTTCGACACTCAGGACTTCTCTGCCAGAAGGCATCTTCGTTCGACACCACAGCTCGCGCCTGGATGCCATGAAAGTCCTCATCGTCGGTCCCGAGGGCACGCCGTACGAGAACGGACTCTTCGAGTTCGACCTCTTTTGTCCTCTCGAATATCCGGACGTGCCGCCGGCGATGCTATTCAAAACGACGCGGAGCGGGCGCAGGGTCAACCCGAACCTCTACATTGACGGGAAGAGTGAGTCAAACTCATGCAGCCCAACCCTCTACGATGCAGTCCCACAGCTAACATCTGCCGACAGTATGTCTCTCTCTGCTCGGCACCTGGGACGGCGAACCCTGGTGCCCCAAGACGTCCACCCTCCTGCAGCTCCTTGTCTCCATCCAGGCAATGATCTTCTGCGCCGAGCCCCTCTGGAACGAGCCCGGCATCGACTCTCGCCTGGAGACCTGGGTTTCCGACCTGTACAACTGGGAGATGCGCGCCGACACGCTCATCTTTGCCATGAGCGACTGGCTCCGCGCCCGCAACACGAATGCCGCCAGCGGCGGCGCCGTTAACAACCCCTGGGACGAGGTCGTCGGCAAACACTTTGAACTGCGGTGGCGTCGGATCTTGGAGACCGCGATCCGTTGGGAGAAGGAGAACGACACGAAGGTCAGCTTTGAAAGATCCGGGTTGGGATTCATCATGATGGAGAAGCGCGCGGCCGAGAGGTTTCGTGTCGGGATCCTAAGGCTGAAAGGGTGTTTTGCCGAGTGGGCGCGGACCGAAGAGGACATGTCTCTTGTGCAGATTGATCACGCGAAAGAGGGCGAGGCTATTCCGGAGAGCGTGTCCGATGCAGACCAGTGGGAGAGCTTCGACGATTCCGACAGCGTTGCCTCGATATCCTATCTAGATACAGCAGAGTAGAGGGAGCTTTTCTTCGGCATGTAAACTTGGCTGGAGGGGATTCACTTTCAGATACGGTATTAGTTTTAGAAACCTATGATAATGTATCTGCATGTTGAAAACTAACAGAATACATATTACATCATCTCCTTCGCTTTCACTGATATTGCTTCCCATCAGGCTGGCAGCGGCATCGCCCAGCGCAACAGATTACGTGTTCGCCGCCTCTTTCCCACGTCCCCCGCCATGGTGTTCACACATACATCCGCTTCGAGGCTTCCCTCGCCACTACCGCCAACGCTGCACACCAGGCCTACGCTTCGACTGCCTCGTCGACAGCGGGGGCGTCCCCGTTTTGTGCAACGGTGAACGTGCTACCGAGGCAAGCATTCGGGGCCAAACGCGGCGTCGAAACATGGTTTTTCTTGGAGGGGGCATACACGAGGCGACACGGGTATGCTGGCCTATCCCTATTGTCTACCTGCCGAGCTGATCATGACGAATCGGGCTTCCAGCGGCGACGATGGCGCAATTCCATGCCAGGACGCTCACCGCTCACCATTCAACAAGGGGGCTGCGGTGAGAGGAAAAATGGGCGTTTGAGAGTTGCGGCAGACCAAGCCCATTGCATTGGCGGTAGTCAGTCGTCACCCAAGGTTACGCCAAACGCCAACTAGTGTGCCTCATGGCGTCCACGGTCTTCTCTCACCCATGCAGGCCAATTGCAAATGACGAAGCCGTTATTGTAACGTCCCGCTGGTCAATATTGTGACATGGCATATTAGCAGTCACATACGTCCAAGGGGGGCAACTCGTACGACGCTAGGTTAAGCTTTTGGGCCAAGGTGGACGACACCCAATCTTCAATTGCAGCTTGCCAGCCGGCAGATAAGAAGGGGCAATGTCGCAAAACCTCCCTGAGAGATCTGCGGACCCCTCGCAACCGTATAGCAGTGGGTGTCATAGCGCAACCGGAGACCCTCCCATGCATGAGCTCACGGCTGGCTACTTCGTACCAATGGTGCCGCCGGGGAGGAAGGGCAGACTGTACCTAGATTGATAAAGTTTCCCTGCCAACTGTTGTAGCTGTGTAGGAACGGAGGGCGGTAGAGGTTCGTATGCTTGCTGACTCGAGGGAATCGCAAGGGCTGGGCCCCGTTGGTAGCTCATCCGTCACGACTCGCCGTCGTGCCAGTACGGACGCCTCGACAATGATCATCGTGTAGATAATACGGACACCAGGGCGACGGCTGTGGCAGTGATCAGTTCTCCAAGGTAGGGGGATTTGCAGGCGCATGTAGGTGGAATTGTTTCGAAGACGCGGTCTGGGCCGCGGAGGCCACGTTTTTCATTATCAAGGGTCTGCCGTTCGGCGGGTACCGTGGATGTGGAAGGGAAGGGAGTGGTAAAGGAGCTGGTTGCTAGGCACTGGATGTGACATCTGATCGGCTTCGACGGAGCTGCCAGTGGCAGATAACGGATAATCACGAATCATGCCCGTCCAAAGGCTCCTGGACGTTCTGTGTTGCGTGTTGCAACCGAGACTCCCTTGCCCTCCCCTGCCCTGCCCTCCGCTCGCTGCCCGACCCAAGCGTCCCATGAGTCCGATGCCAGATGGCGGGAAACCACGTGGAAGAGGGGGCGGATGGGCACATTCGGACTCGGACCGTGATCAGGTGGATGGCCATTTGTCCCATGTATGACGATTGGTGCACCCCAGTTTTGATCTCAGAGAGTCGGAGCCGCTCCAAGGAAGGTCAAATGGACGCACGAGTCAAGACGGCCAGGGGTACAGTTCGCCGCCTCAAGCAAAAAAAGTAATTGCCCACTTGCGTACGGAAATAGAGTGTCAAGATCACGAACGCTCGGTATCATCCTGTAATTAGCGTGTGGAGCCAAATGAGAGAGGGCAGCGATGGGCACGTTAGGAAACGACTTTATTGGGGGGGGGGGGGCTGATTGACCCATCAGAACCTAACGATGGAAGGTTTATACAGGCCAGACTGCGCCTTTGATTGGGATGCCCGTGATCGCTGTACCATCAGAGACGGAAGTGGGGAGGCCAGCCTGATTAGGTCCCAAAGCCTGGGCATCAGAGCGGATCAACAAACAGACGGCAGATGACTGAGGTACGTTACCAAAGCTGTCTCTCACGATGCCACACAGTCACGATTATAGTAGCGCAGTTAGAAGAGAGTAGATGACGATGCCCAAAACCCAAGCTCACGGCAAGGTCTACCTATGTCCACGTCAGGCAGGCAGGCAGGCAGGCAGGCAGGCGGACGAGCATTAACCCAAAAACGATTATGCCTCGTACCAATAGAGAAGTCTGCTCTCCGCCGAAACTCTATGCCCAGTGAGTGCCATAGCCATAGCCATAAACGATGATGGGTGGATATGACTAGGTAGCGGCCGGGATGGAGTGGAATGTGTTTGCCACGTGCGGCGCATGCAGCAGCAGCAGCAGGAGACGATGGGGGGGGGCGAGTCCGGCAGCGTCAAATAGGTATTAGGTATGCCATACAAAGTGGAACAAGATCATCTAAGACGAGCCATGTGCTTGAAATCTAAGATAAAGTGCGCCATCACCGGCCGACGGACGGCTGGCTGACCGATGAAGCACCAGGGGAGGGGGGCGGAAATGGGAAAGGGTATTCCTGGAGTGGCTGTTCTCGTCAAATGTTGATCGACGTGCCTCAAAGCCAAAACCAGTCATTATCACGTTCTGGCCGTTTTCAATCAACGAGATCTCCGGCCGATATGCCTGACTGCGGCTTGTTGGCAGGGTTTTGACGACATGATTCAGAGGGACCCTAGTCATCATTACAGGTGGCTGACACCGCCAAGCTGGTGCTCGAGGCCGCTGTATCCATGTACCTGTCACCAGGGTCGGGGAGGGGGGGGAAGAAAGATTGCGTCTCTGTGGGATCGACATTGTGCTTACAGCATGAAGCGGACTCTGGCTGGGGTTGGAGTGACAAACAGCGGCAAGTCGCAGGTGACATGACAGCAACGAGCACGCCACCCGGTGTTTGACAGTGACTGAGACAGGACACCTCTTCTTGTTTGGACGACGCCATCGTGTACGGCGGGGGCAGTGCTAGCCTAGCAGACGTCAACCCGTGCAAGCGATGTTGGGGGAAGGTTAAGCTCGGATCCATCACAGCTATCGAGAGACTCTTAGGTAACCTGGTTCACCATCATACCAGGATTGGCTCAGGACCGCTTGGTGCTGCTGGCATCTGTCGGAGGAGGAGCTAGCGCTGGCAGAGAAGCAAGACTACACTACCTACAATCTTGCTGTGCGTGTGCATAGTTACGCTAACAAGAGGCCCAAACTCAACCGATGCAGGCAGCACGTGGGTTTTGGATATGCGTTTCCGGGTCAAAGTGTCTGTGACGAGGGCGAATCAGAGTGAGCATTGCTGCGTTGGACTACCCCCGTGCGACGAGGCTCCTTCGGGGGCCGCTCGGCCTCTCATTGCCGTTTTGGGGAGGCCTGCTCGATGTCGTCTGCAATGCAGATGGGATGGATACCTACGTGCCTACTACTAGGTAGTGTACGGATAGATGGGCATGCATCATCATCATGGGGTCCCTGACGTGACGGATATCCGATGAAGCCTCTGCTCAGATTGTTGGGTAGCCAGCCGGACGCGCGCGAGAGCGATGGGCTCACGTAGGCGGCCGTTCCTCCGTATGATTTCAGTCAAAGGTCGAGATCCCTGCCCCCCCCCCCCCCCCCCCCCCCTTTTTTTTTTCGAGTTGATCGTCGTTAGCCCGAGTGGCAGCCAAAGTGGGAATATGCCCAAGCTGTACGGTTGCATACTTGCCGGATTTGTGAGCTACCAGACGGGCAAAGGGATCCTTGGGGGGAGCGTGCGTGCGGCGGCGATACGAGAGCAGGATGAATGGAGTGATTATTGATGATGATGAACAGGGCATGTCGAATGCGATACCTAGCGGCCGAGTCGCGACGGTTGGGTTGGCGGGTGAGATGACTGCATTTCATCCAGTTCCTCGATTTAGCACAGCGGGTATCTATAACCCTCCGATTGCAAATCGACGGATGCGGCCGTCTCGGTGTACATGGTATCGCTGGCTCTACAGACTCGAGGGATGAGTCCCAACGGGCTACAAGCACAGGGTTTGGTGTATTCGGGCCGAAGAACGTATTGCCTGAGTAGGGAGAGGACGGTGAATTGGTAATATTCCAATATCCAGTGCGGCATAGGGGGCAGTCAGTCTGGGAAAAGAAGAAGAAAAGAATCACCTCGTGACATTGCGTTGTAAGGGAGAACCATGAAGTTTATGACGCCTACGCACACAATACTGACTGTCTTTACGGATACTGAAGATGACATATCCGTGTGTGTGGATTTATGCAGCGGTGTAGTAATATGTATGGAAGTGAGGCAAGAGTAAAAGCGAGGTTAAGGACGATATTAAGGGCGAAATGGAGGCGCCAGCCAGTGGGGGCGGGGGGTTTCTCTTCCATTTTTCTTTTTCTAAAAAACCCTTTACTTTATTCCTGCGCTTGATATGCAAATATCCCTCCTTGAAGTGTTGTCCGACAAAAGCCTATAGGAGGTTATAGGACAGAACATACCGTTATGCCGTACGGAGTATTATTGTACGGATACCACCTAGACCATGTAGGTACCACTGGTATGTACTGTAGATGGATGGGGACACACTGCCAGGCCCCCTCCCTGGCACATTTCTCTCCCCACCTACGTCCTGTACAATGTAGCACAGAGTAAGTGCCTTGGCTACTCGAGGTTCGTCGGGTACCTGTATCCGTAGTTTACACGTATACGGAACGGCACTACGGCAGTGCTATCGAAGACCGGAACCACGCACGAGCTGACGCCTCGACGGCCCGTGTCGAACATGGCTCGGAAGATGCCGCATATTCGGATGTCGCTGAGGGCCACGGCAAATTAGTCCATCGGACCCTCTCGCGCGGGGAAAGAAAAAGAAAAAAAAATGAAAAGAAAAACCGAGAAGAAGCAGTCATGATCGCCGTCACCAGGATACCTAGCTAGCCATTGCTGCTGTGTTCGCCATGTGTCTCCAAGCGGGACAGGGGGCCCCGTCAGACTACCTATACTACCTAGGTGGTTATGTACGGTAGTGTACTCCGTACTATCCGTACCTAGCAGGTTGCGACCGATGCGGCAACACACTTGCAAGTACTATGTAGATTAGTCAGATACACACGATTAGTGTAGACGGGGCTATATACGTGTATGAAGTGATTTGCTCATGACCAGGTCTCGCATCTTTGACTGATAAACATAGACCAGAAACCATGACCTATTGGCGGCAGAGCACCGGATTCTGGGTTGATGTGCTTGTGCTTGCTGTGCTGTATCGTATCTGTAGGTTAGCTAAGGTACGGAACGGAGTACCTACCTAGGTACTCGGGTACCTAGCCTCGCTCGCACCCGGACGGTACGTACCGCTTCCTGCAGAAACTGCTGTCTCCCTTCTTTCCTTCCCCTTCCCCTGCTCTTCCCTTTCCCCCCTCCCCCCCCTCGATCCTTCCTAATCCATGCTACACACATGGCTCCGGCCCCTGTGTGCGCCATGCCTTCCCAGTTTTGCCTAGCTCTACAGGTTAGGTCGGTACCTACCTTTCCTTAGCTCCGAGTAGTTGCAATGCAGAGAGTCGCTACTCCGTTAGTATGGCCTGTCCAGAGTGGTGTGCCGTACGATGGCGCAGGCACAGGAGCAATAGCGTTTGACAAGTGTGCTGCGTGAAAAAAGAAGAACGGAATGCCTAGGTAAGTAGGAGCTGCCGGTCTCTCTCTCTCTCTCTCTCTCTCTCTCTCTTTTTTTCCCCCCTTTCCCTTTCCCTTTTGCTTGGTTTCTGCCTCCCTTTTACTTCCAGTCTGCGCTGCGTGGGGGGCTCTCTCGACTTTCGTCTTCCCCCAGATCCAACCCAATACAACCCAAGCCACCTGCTTTGGGCTTGGTACGCGCACGTCTGTACGTAGATGCACTCGTGCCCAAGTACCGCTACCCAGATGCGGCTTGGAGTCCATCCGTCTGTCTTCTGAGTCTGATTAGCTAGGTACCTAGCTACCTAGGTATCCATCCCTAGGTAGGTAGGTGGCAGGTGCTATGTACGCGTGCGTACCTACCCTCGACTGCATCTTAGTGTCTCGTCTCCTTTCCCTTCTCAGAGTGTGTCCCAGAGAAATCCAGTCATGAATGCGTACATGTGTACTCCGTACATAGAACAAAAGCTGGTGCCGGTTTTGGTGGCTGGCTCTTCTAATTTGCTCACCGATTATTTTGCCTCGTCTACCCTGTCACCGTGACGAATGTTCGAGTTACCAACTCTACGGAGGTAGGTAGGTACTTGTAGGTAGGTATCTGTAGGTAGGTAGACAGGTAGGTGGGTAGGCAGGGTCAGGTGGGTCGGTCACAGTACAGTACCTACCTACCTGTAGTAGGTGGGCACGTAGGCTATAGCAGATCGTGACTGCTACATGGGCAGGTACCTGGCTGCCTAACCTACACTAGGTAGGAAGGTAGCCTGTTCCCAGCCTGCTTTTTCCGTCGCCTCCCGAGCCACCATCCCCTTCTTCCCCCCCTTGTCCCTGCCTTTCCTTTTCTAGTGTACGTACAGGTAGTATGCACTCCGTAATGTACCTCCACTACTCCGTACCGCTACCCAAGTCGCTGCTGATACGGACGGACACTTGCTACTGCTTCTTGATATTATCTCTGCCCCCTCGCTCTCTCTTTCTCTCCCTCGCCGCGACTCTCAAATTACATCTGGCCCCATCTCTCGCCGTATTTCACTTCTTCCACCTCATTCATGTCTGTCTGTTCGTTTGTCTACAGTACACCAGACTAATCGGGACAACCCTCATCTTTCAAATCACAACCGTTCGACTCCAGTCTTCTTCTCCTCTTTTCCTCCTTTTTCTCTCCTGCTGGTTCGCCTCTTCGACCCTCACGATACGACCCATTTCCCCTCCTCCTCCTCCTCCTCCCCCCCAGCTAGACCCCATCGATCGCCCACTCCGAACCTCAAATCTCGCCTGCGTGCAAACAAGTCTGGTCCTTGGATCATCAAGTTCCCCTGATTCCTCTCAAAGTCCCGCCGGTGACTTCGCCCAACCAAGGACGAAGACGCGCTCATCTTTACCCAATCACGCTACACTACGCCCGCACAAGCACCGTCAACACCACCACAACCGAAGCGACTGGCGAGAGTCTCTTGTCGATTACTCCGTGCCCCTCTCCACCACTATTACCGCCGCCGCCGCTACTTGCTCTCGCCCACTGCCTGCAGCAACGCAAAGTCAAGCAGAGCAAAGCACCTCGGGTGCCTTTTGCCCAAATCTGCAAAATCAAATCCCCCGCCAATCTCCCTGCCTGTCCGCTCGCCTGCTCGCTGGTCCGACAGTCGTGAAGCAAGCCCTGGCCTGTGGAAACTCGGAACCACAGTCGAGACTGGACGCCCATAATTCGCCAAACCTTTATTTTTATTTTTATTTTAGACGCAGGGATCTCGTCGAACCCGGACAAAGCTAGTCACAATGCCCACCTCCGTCGATTCATCTCGTCCCATCATGGCTCCCTCGGTATGTCTCCTCCCTCCCTGCCTGCCCTGCATCTCCCGACCTGGACCTTTTCCTTTGCCCCGGTCAGCTCCCTCTGCCTACAAACTGTTATATCCGTCAGTTCTTGCCTGTTTAAACCGACTCGCTCGCAACAGTGCACTTGGCTTTGCATGCTCTTGGACGCTACATATCTCAGTTCCACTTTCCACCCACGTGGTCGACTTTGTTGCTTTGAATTCATTTCCCTCGCTCTGCCATAGTTCCTCCATTCACACTCTCATATCCCGCCTCCTCTCCATCCACACCCGCCCAACATGACTACCGTTCTGACAGAGACTCCTCCTCAGGTGCGTACCTCCGTGCGATACAGTACCTTCAGCATGACACCATCATTCGCCAACACCGTCCAGACCACCGACTCGGCCCACGCCGAAATCACCGACATCGCTGTCGGCCTCGACCGTATGGAGAACAAGGCCTTGAGCTCCCAAAGAGTTACTCTGAGCGAGGAGAAGAGCGCCAACATGAGCAAGCTGGCTCTCGGTGCCAAGCTGGAGCGTGCCCTGGACCGGAGGATGAGCAGCCAGGACGCCGTCATGCGTCCGCGTGGCAAGACGCTCAAAGAGAAACCTGCTCAGGCTGCGTAGGAGCCCGCCGAGCTAGCCTCGACCACGAAGAAATCGCCGTGGCAGGCCGTTTTCGCCGCATCCGGCAAACGAACAATACAAGAGCCCCAGCCGAGCCACGACAGGCTAGTTTCAACTGGGTCAGATAATGGTGCCGCTGAAAGCCACACAATGGGATCGGTTCGGACACCTGCTCTTGGGGAAACCCACGTCGCACAAGGCCCACGACGACGCGACGAGGCGGGCGACCCGCCTACGAATGGAAGCAAACAGGTATAATGGGAACAGGACAAGGACAGGGCCGTCGCGGAGCCAACCAAGTTGATAAGTGTGGAAGCCATTCCCAATTTGGTTGGGTCCCAAATCTGGTTGGGTTTTTTTTTTCTCTTTTTGGTCTGTTGGGATATCCAGAGGATGGCCAGAACGCCGACGCAGTGAAGGCATCCCATGCATAGTGTTGAAATGGCGGCTTACTTTGGCGCTTCCGGTCGCGTTACATATTCTTTTACACCGCAAAGCATCCCTCGTACAGGCATCTGGTCACGGCATGAGGGGTGGTTTCCTTGACCAGAATGGGGTTTGTTAACAATAAATAATCCTTGGTACACGCGGTATAATAGAAATGCCGATGGCCCAATCCAATCCAATCCATGGAAAAGAGATTTCTACTTTCAAGTTCGCAAGTGAAGTTGGTCTCTGTTTGATCCATGTTCCTAACTGATACCAATGGCCCAGTCCATATGAATCATGCGTAGAGCTAGTCTAGCGGGCGCTGTAATCCCTATGCCAATGACGCAACTACCAAGCCGTGTTATATTATACAATGATGCAGGTTCTTGTCTCTTCGATCCGCTTTCCTCTCTCTCTCTTTCTCTCTCTCTCTCTCTCTCTCTCTCTCTCTCGGTCTGTCTACCTGTCTTCGACCCTCTGCTGGCTGACTGGCCTTGGTAGCTCGTATCTTCCCATTCCTCACATTTCTACCTTCTCTGCCTTGTCCGACTCTGCGTGGGTATTCTGTCAGGCAAGGCGACGGAGAATACAAAGGGGGTGCATAACCCTACCGTGTCATCCTCAAAATCCCTGCTCCCTTTTGGTCTGTGACTTCATTTCGTTTCCAAGAAATTAAAGGGAAAGGAAAATGGGGGGGGGGGGTTAAAAGCAACCCCTAAAGGGGGGGATAAAAAAAAGGAAAAAAAAGAGAGAAAAGAGAAATCTCCCGTGACCGCACAGCCCGTTTGTTTTGACGTTCCTTCAGGGGCTGTCCTTCCTGTCGAGGCGGGCCTCAATGTCCTTGTACAAAGCGACGAGCTCGGCCTCCTCGCCCTCGAACTCGAGGGCCTTGCCGACCCAGTCCCTCGCCTCCTCGAGGCGGCCCATCTCGATGAGGCAGCGACCGCGGCGCCACCAGGCCTTTGCGTTGCCGACCTTGCGGGCCTCGACGCTGGCCTCTGCGTCGACGGAGCCCTCGGGCCACTGCTGCAGGGCCATGTGCGCCTGCGCCCTGTTGGCGTACAGGCCCGAGACCTCCTCGCGGACGAGCTGGGAGGGTTCCCAGAGGGGGCGGGTGAGGGCCATCTGGAGCCCGAGTGTGTAGAACTTGATGGCCTCGGCGTACTTCTTCTTGTGGAACTCGGCGTTGCCGCTGTCGCGGAGCTTCGCGACGTTGGCGGAGCGCTTGGGGTTGACGGGCATGGGCGGGGGCGGGACGCCTTGGGGGCCGGTGGTGTCTGAGGTGATGAGGGACCGGTGGAGGGCGTTGAGCTGGGCGAGCTCGGCGGCGAGGGCGCGCGAGGGCGAGGGGGAGGAGATGGCCTTGGACTGCGGGTCGATCTGGACGGGGAGGAGGTCGAAGTGCGTGAGTTCCGACATGGTGGCGGCGGCGGCGGCGGCAGCAGCACAGCAGCAGCGTCACTTGCGATGGTGGTGTGTGTGTGTGTTTTCCTGGCGGGATGGATGACTTTTTGGTTGTTTGTAAGGGTCCGTCTGGAATGGGCGGCTTTGGGGGAGGGAGAGAGAGAGAGAGAGAGTGTGTGTGTGTGTGTGTGTGTGAGTCGCGTGTGTCTCGGGTAGGTGGGTGATGGCCTTCGGGTATCTCGTTGTAAGTCGTCAAGCAGCGGTGGAGGGAGGTTTGCGATCGTAAGTTCGAAGAAAGCCAGAACGTGGTATCGTGGAGAGCGAGTGTGGTGGTTCCGCGGTGGTGGGTTAATTGCCAGCTGGTCGATCCCGGGGTCGGGACTTCTGTGGAGCGATTAGAGGACACTTCTCTGGAGCTTGAGCCTTATCAGCCCGCGCCAAGATGGTCACGTGCAGATAGCGTCAGCTTTAGGTACCTAGGTACCTAAGACATGGACTACCCACGAAGACCTACATGAAGATCTACTAAGTATATATATATAACTATACATATATATCTACTGTATATATATCTAATTGAGCGGAGATTCACCTCCAAGAAACAGGTGTTTTTGCCCGCATACCAACCCACTGTTTGGCTGCGTGTTCGATTGCTTTTGTCTACGCATAATCGAACCAAGACCGAGAAACTCGTTTAACCCTGTGACGTAGAAAAATAGTTATGACCGACCCAGCGTGCTGGTCCCGTCCCCGATTCCATTATGCGAAAGACTTGGTTCACCTGATTGAAGCTGCCAGTCTATATCTGAATCCTTACCCAGTTACCACATCTTACAACGAACTGAGATGACATTCAAGAGACACTTTCAACATGACCATAGGTGCGGCGGTATGCTAATCTGTACTTTAGGAAATGGCTGATATGCGATACTCAAGGCAGCCCTCTTCAATACACTCGAAGCCTTCCATGTGAGATTGGCTGTCATATATTTCATATTGAGAGATGACAATGTCACATTTCTTCGTCCATTAGCCATCCTTTCCGCTATCACCCAACAGATACGAACAACTTTCCCGGAGCGGTTTGTACTCCTCTTCCTGCCAAAATGATAACCTGCTTTCATCATAAGGCTGGTTGAGATCCTGCTCAACGGCAACAATCTGCACTGCCAACGGAAAGGAAAACTACTGTCTGCAGTCCATTTAGCTGCCAGTCATGTACCGGAATCTGGGTGCACTCATCCAACAGGAACTCTTTGACCCCTCCTCGCATCTCTATATCTCATTCTTGCCGTCGATGGCCATCTTGTTCGCCCCCCCTGGTCGATGTAGTACTGCCGTTCCTTAATGAGTTGGTAATCTGCCAGACTGCCCCCGTCATGTTCATCCTTTCTTACAAAGTCAGCCGTCTTGAGACCGTCGCGGGCTCTTTTATCGTTCTCTGTCATCTCTTTCGTTAGACCGATGCTCATCGTCCGGATCAGCACCGGTGAGGTCGCATTCTCAACGATATCCGCCTCTTTCGTGCTCAGCACTCCAATACTCCACAAAGCTCTCTCACAAGTGCCGAAAGATAGAGCAGCCGGGGTGCCGGTGAACCATGGCCACCTCTTCGGCGCCTCGCACTAGAAAGCCTGCCGAGACGTAGCCGCTTATCGCGCAGCCAATGACCATCACTTCATGGCCCTCGACGTCGGAGATCGCCGCAGACGTCTTGTAGTACTCTGAGTGATACGTCTGTTCATGGAAGGACCCTTGACCCGGAAAGTAAGGGGCCCTGGGCTGGTCACCGTATACGCCGTCGCCAATACCACGTGTCATGTCAAGATTGTTCGCATGCCCTCCGGCGTTGGGACTTCCATTCAGTATTTTCGAGTTATCTCGTCATATATCGTTTTCGTGGCTGCTATGTTGAAGGCAATCTCGAGGCACATGATATGGTCCATGAACTCGGCGACCCGCTAGTCAACAGCCGGGGCCATCTCAGGTAGGCGTGTGATGGGCCACGCTCTGTTATCGCTCTCGTCATGAGTCGTCAAGCCGGACGCTTCATTCTACCAGGAGCGTTTTGATGCCAATGTGTCGGAGCCGTGCGCCGAGCATCAAACCAGGTTGGGCTGTTCCGTGTCAGCTGGAAAGGGGTTGTAACAAGATAATATTGGGCTTTGCAATAAGCCACCATCGCCAACAGTCAAGACCTGAATATCATATTCGGATTCAAGGTTGCCATGGCCTCTGTCGCCGTTCGCCGCAGGCGGCTTGGGCCGCGGAATCGACTCAGCCTTCTGTGCTTCCACCTTATTTTGGAAGTTGGGCTTTCCGATCTGCATGAACACGATCCAGGCTTTCCATTCACTTTTTGCACCACTTCCCAGCTTCAACAATACATTACCCTCACCATGCCGGCCTTGAACGTGAACTCACTCTGGGTCCAAACCATATCTCCAAAATCAAGAAGCAGCGGCTTCAGCACGCCGATCTTTGTGGCTTACACCTAGGTCTGAGCGGCCATACACTGCCGAGGCAAGGTACTTGCCAATACTCTCTTGGATCTGTGAGCAGGTGTAATCACACGACAGTCCAATCATACCCCTCCGCCGGCAGTTTTCGATGAACAGGTCTGACAAGTCGCTAAAGGTATTTTCGCTAATCCGACGTTCCAGTTTCGCACGCCAGTTAACGGAGATCTGTTCAGCGTTGCCTTGTTACTTTAGAACCCTTCCTGAAGGGTGAGAGCTTGGATTCCGAAAAGCTTCTTACCGTTAATGATAACTTGCTGTTAGTGTCCAAATGTTCGGTGTAAAGCTTTCGAACAGAAATATGTCAGATTTCAGGGCATGTGAGTTGCGTTACTTGGAAAAAAAAGGATTTTTATACGGTGGTCAGAGAGCGTCAGATATTTTGACATCTGGGGAGAATAGTTAGGTTGAATAGAAGTAAGAATAGGGAATCCCTCGGAAATGCCGCCGCCGTGTGACGTTGGATTCGGCGCTTACTGCAAGGCAGGCGCTTCGGATTATTTGGGGACACGTGGATTTAGTCAACCTAAGGGAAGGTTTCGCAACTATCACTTAGTAGAGGAATGAAATAAACTTGGGCGTATCATTGATATATCAAAGAAATATGCAAGGACTACATCAAACCTGTAAGATGCCGTTTACCTCGGAGATTTCGACAACCACACTGGCTCATTGGAAGAAATTTTTATATATACCAAATCATTGATATAACTCTGGTCATTTCAAGAGCATCTTGACTCAATGTCAGCTGTCAGAGGCGGACCGAATCCAGAGCCGGCACAGAAAAGCAAATGGCATAAATTGCCTTAAAAGAATGTAATATTGGCAAGGGTCTTCCACCTCGAGACTCCATTGTTGGCCTGCAAGACAGGAAAATTTGGTTGATCCACGGTGTCGTCTGAAAGTCAGCAACGGGAACAAGCCGCGGCGGCCATACCCCGCAGATCTTAAGCTTGCCACCAACCCGTCAACCGTCGCCCCATCATATGCCAAAGATATCATTCATCCACTCGTTTGATGACCTGATCCCCATATGTGATATATAACTGGAATGGTTCTTTGTGAACGCTCTTTGGACCAGGGCCATCATATACTCGGCCCGGAATCTGTTGGTCAGGTGGGTTTCGTGAAAAAGGCACGAAATAAATTGAGTAAAGATGGTAAGCCACCTAGTCATCATATCAACCCAGCTTATTCCAGCCCATCACTTTACTTTATTTCTTCTCTTCCTTCTTATTCTTCTTCCTATCTTTCTTCTTCTAGACGTCTACTGACCTTGAGTATCATCCCAGCATCAACCAGCCAACTCCAATACAGTCTCCCCAAAAGCGAATTGCGAGCGTGGATCTTTGACGCGCATATTGCAACTTCGTCAACATTCATTTTCATCTGGTGTAGTGCTTACACGCTATAGGCGAAACCGATGTGTCTCCCATGGCCGACGAAGGTGACCCGCATGATTTATACAATCTTGCCAGGACATGTGCATGAACCTCGTTTCTGGCTCTTCATACGGTTCCGGAGGAGTTGCAGCAGCTTCCTTTGTACCGATCAGTTTTGGACTCAGGGGTGTATCTGATATATCCATGAACATTCCTGGGGGCTGCCTGACAGTCCAGGCTTCGCTCCAATTTCCTACATTGATGGTTTAAATGGGATCCCCGTACCAATAAACTACGGACGGTCCCTGCTGTAGTCACCATCGGGTGTCGCAAGTTGACCTCGTCATCAAGCTCTTGAAAACGGCTTACCATCCTTACGGCTGAAAAGATGACATGTGGTTGACGTGACATTCCACAGTATTCAAAACATTTGCGTTTCATCAGGGCATTACATCACTATAGAGTTGCAAGTATTATAGTAGAAAGTGAATGAATCCTTTGTCTTGCTAATCCTTTTCTATCAAGTATGTACAAGTATCGTAAAATTCGTGTGAATCATATCATAAGCATGCGCTTTCGTGCCTTCACTGAAGAGCAACAGAAAGCTTGCCAGTACCGTAGGCAATGTTCTCGACAGGAAGGCTGGTCAAGGCCTTGGTGCTGCCGAGGCCGCTGGGGCAGGAGGCTTGGTTGCTGACTGCCAGGTCGAGGTTGCACTCCTCATCGACACCCCAGGTGCAGGCAGAGTTCTGAATGTTGAAGAGGGCGTGGTTCTTGGCCACGAAGCTCTCGGGCTGGGCAAGGCAAGAAGACAGGTAGTTCATGCTGTTGGCAGCAGAGAGGGGCAGCCTGCCGTCGTCCTTGAGGAGATGCTTGCACTCGCTGGCGGGGACGGTCTCCCAGTTCATGGGAACACCACCACCCTCGGTGGGAGCATCGGTGGCAGATTTGCCAGTGCTAAGGTAGTTCCAGGCATCGTAGGAAATGTCGAAGGCACCGCCCGACTGGTCGATGCGGAGCAGTTTGACGCTGCGGTCGCCGTTGGAGACTTTAACGCAGATGTCATCGCAGCCGACGGAGTTGGGCCAGTAGGCAACGCGGTTGATGTCAATTTTGCAACCAAGGACACCGATGGAAGAAGAGAAGACGTCGTGGGGCGTTATGCTGGCAGAGCCGGACTTGCCGGCATCCCGGACCGGGATGGAGGCGGCCGAGACCAAGCTGGCCGAAGCAACAAGGAAGGTGGTCAAAGTAGTGGAGAACATATTGACTGAAGTTGAAGTATGTGGTAATGGTTCTGGAAGGGACTGTTTGTGGTTCGGTAGGCTGTTGAGTCGATCTCGTTGATCTAAGGCTATTGTCGAAGGACAGGAAGACTGGACTTGCAAAGGAGTGAAGCTGCTGATTGAGCGTTCAAAGGAATGATACCTGATCTGCGAGCTTTCGGGTCCTGCCGAGGGAGTGAAAGAGAAGAGAGCAGAGGTGGAAAGGGAGTGTGTGGACGGTGGTGGTTGTGGTGAAAGGACCAGACCTCTTTAGGGAGCGAGGATGCTCGGGGTTATATACCAAAATGCCATCCCTACAAGAGACGGGACGAAAACGTTAAACATCAGCCGGAAAGATGAGATGTCACTCACACGTGCTGCAAGTCTGTGTGTCTCGCCCTTCGGTCCATCTACGGAGGAGGCCCACGTAGCAGACGCCGCCCTGTCCCCACAAACGCCTCCACCCCTGACTGAGATGTACAGCCAAGACGGTCCTCGCAGGATCTCCCTGCAATCCTTGACGGCGAGCTTGCTCTGGACTCACTCCTTTGACTACGCAGTATGCATGAGAGGGGCCAAAGGCAGGTGGGGGCCTGAGGGATGCGTGGTCCAGAGGATGACCACATGTACAGAGCTACTTGAGTTGGGTTGGCAATAGTTGGCGAGCTAAGTCCGTTGGACAAATCAACGGCTGCCATGAATCTGGCAGCTAAGGCCGTGGAACCCCTAAGAATATCTTCCCCCTCACTCCGGACTGCGGTGCTACGGTCAGAAACGAAGCGAAAACCTTGCTATTCCACGGCCTTTACTAGAGGAGTGGCTATGAATAGGCAAGCAAGCTACATCATGTTTGCAAAGTTTGGCCAGCCAGCAAAACGCCAAGCCAACGTCGAAGCGTCGAAGAAAACAGCAGCAGGAAACATGGCCAAGGCTCAGCAAGGAAATGGAGATGCGCCCTGCCAGGGTATTGAAAATCGCTCATGGGCCAAGGGGCCCGCGAATTAGGTTTGATGACAGGAACGGTTCAGGAACCAACCGCACTTTGGCTTGTGGCAAGGCATAGTCAAGGCCCCAAAGCCCCGAAGGAGAGGGAGGGGGCCGAGGGGGCGGTATACCTATTGCCATGACGGCACGGGAGTTTCTTGGCGCTTTTCCTCTTTGGAACCCTGGAGGATCCTCTTGGAGGGGGCCAAGGGCTTCGGTGATCTCGGCGGGAGACGCAGGTACAACGCAACGCACAGAAACCTACCGGGCCGCCGAAGGGGTGGGTTGTCAAGAAACAGGACGAGTCGAAACGCTGTCGAGGAGAGCCAACCCACCACCGTGCTTACGCTTGACTCAGTGTGGAAGCGCGGGCGGGTTGACAGCAAGGCTCGGTCATCCCCAGCTTTGGCCAGTCGGAAGATGAGAATTCGGACTCAGGGACAAGCCACGAGGACCACGGCAGGCATAGCGCCGCAGGGATCGACAGGGCGGATGTGTGCCTGTGCTAGTTTTTTTCACAAACGGTCCCACAAGGCTCCAATCCCTGATGTCGCTTTGTTGCTTTTCCACACCTTGGACCAAGCAACAATGACACGAGAACCACATAATCACCCAGCAAGCTGTACCGGAGCTATGGGCTCGGCACACAAAGTTGGAACTCTGGAGGGCGTGTCCGCTTTGCCAACTCCCACAAGTCCCCCCCCCTCCCTCCCTCTTTGCCCTCCATGTTTGCCGCCCGGGGCAAACTCCCCGACGGGTCCGTGACGGCGGTTGGCGTCATGTTGGCAACCTGAGAGAGGGGTAGGCGTGTTCTGGCCCGAACTGCTTGCGTCTTGTACCCATCTAACAGGGTTGCCCTCGTGTGCCAATCGGAGACTTGGAATTATAGACAGGTCAGAGAAAATTGATAGACGCTACTTTAGATGGTGATGAAAAATGTCTCACCGTGGACTACGGAGTACTCCGTATAACGGCGGCAAATCGGTGTGCCACCGGCCGGGATGCAAGGTACCTTTGAGTCTTTCTTCCTTGACAATGCTTTTGTTGTGTAGCAGCTGTCTCAAAAATAATTTTTTTTCTTTTTTTAAATTTTTTTTTCTAAGTTTTTCAACGCTCCAAAGGCCCGAAAAGGATCTTCTTCTGAGCGATTTTATGACCGACCCCAATGTTACCTGAGCCTGGCGACACGCCGAGAAGGTCTGGGCCCTTAACAGCTCACGACTCACGTCAGCGCACATATGCGAACCATCTTTCGATGCTGACTTTACCCATTGATTCTGTGCGATTCGGAGATTAGTCATATTTGTTGAGGGCTCAGATCCGGTCAAATGTTCTTCCCTTGAACCGACGAGCTGTTCGATGTTAGGGCTTGTGAGTCAGCAGCATCCCCTCAGCATTCCAATCCGGAGCTCTTGGTACACCGTTGAATGAGGAGACCGAGTCAGAGGGTGGCCTGCTCCGATCTTAATCCTCCACAAAATATGAAGGCCTAACCTGTTTCATGCCACAACACTTTGTCAGCCACGAGCAAGATTCGGATTGATAGTATCAAATGATATGGGACAATTCATTGTCTGGATCTTCGTGACAAGCTTCTGTTTGCATTTTATTCGAAGGCCAGCTCATTAGTTCGACACAGAGAAGCAAACGTCCCAACAATCGAGCTCTTCCTGGCCCAGGAAACAATAACGAAGCACACGACAGGATCACGGTCTTCTATATGTTGTGTTGCGTATTGGGCATGATACTTATACTACGTTTTTGCAAATGTGCAAAGGGTATCATCTTGTACCTGTACGGCCTTGAACGAGACTGCCTTGAATATATACCTCAATGATACAATCATGGCTCTGGTTGATCGATTACGACATCAAGTGCATTCGACTTTCGTCATGCAGTTTTTAAGCTTAATATGTCTCCCCGACAGCGACATGTGCTTAGCCTCATTATGAAACTTTATTGCATTGTTCTAATTTAACAACCCGAAAAGATGTAGACAAAATTCTAATAGTGCTTTCATTCCAAAGATGAGCAGACCCTACATCATGGTATCCTCTTCAGCTCGCTCGAAACCCGTGGTCTTTCGTCTCTTTCCATCGACTTGAGTGAGCCAACCGCCTTGTCCCAACTTCCACTGCGACTGAACTGAAGTAATCGCATACCAGGGCATCAAAGGGTTTAACTTTCAATTCCTTGGATGTTATTCAGACGAACTCTATTGAACTAAACATCCCCTTGGGCCACAAAGATAGGGAATGCGCTGCAATGAGACCATGATATATATACCATTGCGCAATACAACAATTACGGTCTACCTTTGACATGCTGAATCCAGTGAGCTAACTGATGGAACTATCATAACATTTCTTCAGCTAGGCTAAGCTTTGGCAATCCAACCCGGTCATGAGGACTGTGAATAGCTTCTTGTTTCTCACGAAAGGTGTGCTTGAACTATGAAGCATGCTGCGCAAAGTTGCATCTTTTGAATAGCCGTATTCATGCTGAAGAAGAGCAATCTTGCCCTCTTCTAGCATTGCGAAGCGATGACAGTGTTACGTTGGCGATATTAGCGATCACCAGCCTTCGATCTCATGTCAAGGATATGAGGTCCTCCAAGATTTCCTCGGGCAGTTTTCCAAAATCCAACACTGAAGAGATCCAAGTGCGCATCTATATCTTGCCTCCACTACAGTGCTGACTGTCCGGGCCGTCGCCCTCGAAAACAAAGCCGAAGTCAAAGCTAGCCTTCTTGGACGTGGTCAATCACCTATCGTTTTTTCTTTGTGGAGAGGGGCCTTGATTGAATACTGATTGCATTGACGCCAATTATTAATAGCGGCAGGCATAGCTTTAGGAATACGAACGCTTTATCCTACATGGCCGGCCTAGCTCTCCGCTTAAACCAACTACAGTTAGCTTTCAGGGGGCTGCTGATAGTCTGATAACGATAAAGAAAGCGTCGGAGTGTGGCAGGCTCACTGCGTACCACGTATCTAGGCCAACTCTGGTTAGGTACTCTCAGGGAATTGTTGATAAAGAACACGCGAAATGGTGACCTTTCCGGTATGACTTCTGACGCGCGGCCGTCACCGTGACAACGTTAGGTGGCTTTGTACGTGGCGGTAGGTACCTGAACGTCCGCTTCGACAGTGTCGATGGCCGTCATCTCGTCGGTTTGCTGTTATGCAACATAGGTAGGCTCTGTTCCGCATCCAATTGTATATGACGGGAATTGAAGCAACGTAAAGTGTATACATTACTTGCATGTTTCCCCGTGGTTCAGATGACGAATTGCCTCTACTGGAGTAGTGAGGCAAGTTTAAATGCTATAGCTCACTGCCAAGCCGGTGACGTTCTCAACTTTCGGGAAGCCAAAAGCTTTCTTTCTTTGTCACTCTTGGCCCCCCTAGTTCGTCATAAGTCACAAGTCACAACTTCCGGTGTGCCTGTCTTGTGCCACGTTTTGGGGAGCTAGCCTGTCGAAACGATCTAGCCTTCCATTCAGGACGCCATTCCTCACTATATTATACGGGAAGCGGGTTCGAAGCGAACTCGGATATCCCGACTTATCCGTCCTAGCGTCTGCCAGGTAGGGTAAGACAAAGCCAGGAACATCGACTGCGACCCTATCATAAATCCCCCAAAAAACCAGGGGTCAGCTGACAAAGGAACTCGTTAGTCTTCGACGCCGCGAAAAGGCTGATTCTTCCTTTTGAAAAAGTCCTTTGTGCAGTGGACTCGAAACTGTCGATCCACTTTGATGTTAGCCGCTACATCAAAAAAAAAAACATGGGCTGCTGTGGAATAGTACAATGTCGGCCCAAGTTGTTGTTGACAGCTCCCAGGGGACCTATCGTGAAGGGTGCAATACGGGCTCACCGTACACTAAGAGCTTTGACCTCTGGAAAACCAACCTAACGATATGCAGACCACCATTTCGGAGCGCTCAGAACGATGGGAGGCGCTCCTCGGCTGTTAGATGCCGATTCGTGTGGCCAAACGCAGTCGCATCGTGTAGATGTGAGACATTGAATAACAATATCGACTGTTGATATTTTGATATTTAAACCGTCGCCTGCCCTGCCTGTCTCGATATGTTCTTCACTTCATCTCAGCAGCTTCAGTCTCTTCTCTCTCAACAGCCTCAGTCTCTTGTCTCTCAGCATACATCAAGCTTTTGACAGCACGATCTCTACTGCAACCTTTCACAATTACTCGTCTGACAGTCATTGTAATCCGAACCTTCACCATGATCTATCCCTTGGCTCTCGTCGCCCTCGCCGGTCTTGCCACCGCTTCGCCTGTCACCCAAGCTTTCGATCCCAACGCCGTCCTAGCTGCCCCTACGCCCTCCTTGACCGGCCCTCCTATCGCTGCTGCGGCCCAGACGGGTGTATACGACCCGTCTGCTGCTGCTGCTGTCGCCTCCGCTGCGGTCACTGATGTAGCCTCAGCGAGTGCCGCTTCGTCCCTCCCGGCTGGAGTGGGGCGGCGAGGCTTCTGTTTCCTTTGGTTCTGCATGGGAACTCCGACTTCCATGAGTACGTCGCAAAATGGGTGGCCTACAAGCACCTCAAGCTGTACGACATCATCGACTAAGTCAGCCGTCGTTACCGTAACCACATCTTCTTCCGCTCCTGTGATCACAAGTATTCCCTCCGTCACCTTACCTCCCTCGACCTGTACGCCAATCAGCTGGACCAACACCTTTGCGTTCACTACCGCGACGGGCTGCGCTGCTCCCTTTGAAGTTGGTACCTACTGTGGGTTTATCAACCCGGAAGACCCTTGTGCTCCCCAACCTGATGGTGAGTTGAAGACCTGATGAGCTGCCTTTGATACGATGTTAACCAAGAACAACAGGAAACGGCCCAAAGGTTCTGCCGGACACCATCGAGCAGTTTAAAGCGTTCCCGGCGTTCCACCAGACTGCCCTGGGTGCGGTGACACCGTCTGGATATGCTTCGACTTTCAAGGATCTCAACGCCTCCGTGAATGCCAACACCTATCTCGGCCTCCACACTCTTCAGAGTTACGATGTCGCCAAGTGCGCTAGCTACTGCGACAGCACCAGCCTGTGCACCGGAATCAACATTTACATTGAGCGCGACCCGTCCATCAACCCTGGCCAATGTTCTTGCACCAACCCGTCATCCATCACCAACTACAAGTGCACTCTCTGGGGCTCCGGTGTTGACAAGGCTGCTGCGACCAACTTCGGCCAGCCGAGAGATGGATTCCAAGTCGTCATTGCCGGCTCCAACGGATATGAGAAGACGAACAACACTACGCCGGTGACCCCCCCTGGCTGGACCAAGCCCCAGAACTGCGGCGGTTCTATCCACAACCACCCCTCTACTTGCCTTGGTCAGAAGTTCTTCCCGGGCCCGTTCGATGTCAATCTTTGCTCCTCTTATGCCGCCGCCCAGAATGCCCAGAACTCCAAGTTCCTCGGCCTGGCGTCTTGGGCCAGCTGGTTCGGCTACAGCCCTCTGAAGTGCAACTTCTTCAACGCCTTCATGGTCAAGGAGAACGGCATTCCTCAGGGCACTTACTGCAGTCTCTTCACTCAGCAATACGCCCCCTCAGGTGCTACCTACCAGCCTGGCAACAGCGGTGGCATTTCCTGGGGTTTCGAGAGCAGCTGGAGCTTCTGCTCCTCTTAAACGGTGTACCGACCCGGTCTTGCACAGCTGTACTTGACCTACTCACCATACAAGACGGTGTCCGAGGTGTCGAATTTGGAGTCTGATGTTGACCTATTAGATCGTGATTTTCTCATGTAACTTCTTGTAATTAGTGGAAATTTCTGCTGCTTCTTTCTTCTTCTCCTATGTTTTAGCATTTAGACCGTTACAGAATTGAACCATCTATCTTTTATTGCCTATTTTTCAGTATCAGATTCACAACTTGTTTAGACAAAGCTGATACCATCTCTTGACATGATATCTCATGTATATGGGACTTGGTCTCCCACCAACTTGTGTACATCAAATAATGCTTTCGCCGCCCCATGGAACGCATCCGGATTGAAAAAGGAAACGGAAAATGAAAGTGTTTTTATTGCAAGCAGCCTGGAAAGCGCATTGCCTTCCTTCATATAAATCGCTCAGATCAACCATAGCCGGGGGCATATACCAGTTTTCCAGGCACAATTACAAAATAACCAGAAAGCACGAGCTGTCAGAGATGTGTCTTGTACGGCTTCAATGAGAAACGCCCAGAATTATTTACAGCTCCCTATGAGCGTGAAGGGCAACTTCATGCTATCACTTGGCAGATGACACGGCTTCTCGGGTATCTGCTATAGTGCTTGTCTATTATTCTGTGTCACTACACCACCGCCTAATCCACGGGGTCTACCTTCTTGATGACCTTGGCTGGAACGCCAACTGCAACTGAGTAATCCGGAATGTCTTTGCTTACGAGAGCTCCCGCGCCGATTGTGCAACCCTTGCCTATCTTGACTCCAGGCAGCACCGTGACGTTTGCTCCGAGCCAGCAGTCGTCCCCAATGGTGATGGGCTCCGCGTACTCGATGTTGTCTCTCCTTGACTGCAAGCCCGTCTCGTGAGTTGCCGTGATGAGGCTCACCCCCGTCGCAAAAAAGACTCTGTCGCCAATGGTGACATGGGCGCAGTCGAGAATGACGCAGCTTGAGAGAGTGTGTTTGTCAGGATGCCGATCGCCATGTGTGAGAAGACCCAGGAGACGTCGCGCAGAGCAGATTAAAGAGTTCAAAAAGAAGTTGGAGGAACATACTTGAAGTTGGCGTAGAACCGGTCTCCAACCGTGATGTTGCAGCCATAATCCACCTGCAGACTGGGCTCAACGTAGACGTCATCCCCAATCCTGCCGAACAGTTCCTTGATCATGCCCACCCTGGTGTTGGCGACATCGTCGGCGGACGCCGTCTCTTCCGGGACGTAAGTGTTGAACCTCTGCGCCAGGCGTCTGGCACGGTTCCTTGACTCAACCAGCTCGGGCGCCATGCAGCTGTAAAGCATGCCCGAGATCATCTTTTCGTAGTCTTCGCACCAGGGCACCCGATCCAACGTCCTCGCGTGCGCGATCGCATTTTCGTCCTTCTCTGTACGGACCGGCGGTACCATGGCGGCGACTGTGATTAGTTTCGATGAAGTGCAGAGACCGTTGATTCTAGGGATTAGGTTCGATGTTGAGGTTCATGTGGATGAACATGGGGTCGCATCACCTTAAATTGAGCTACACAGGCGGAAGTGGTGTCTCCGCGCGCGGCTGGTGCATGACGCTAACGTAGTTTGCTGGGTAATTAATGTTCCTGTTAGGGTATATGCTCCAACTATCTGACTGCGGGCCACTCCGCAACCGCCTGCGAGAGGGGCCTAAAGTAACATCTTGGGTCGTTCGTGGCTCTTAACCACTGCAGCGATGCATCGCATGCGTTGCCGGGATAACCCGGAACTTGTAGCAGAGTGGGATCCGAGTGAACCAGAGCTGTAAGGCCTTGTTATGTGTTTTAAGTCCTATCCCCATCCATCCCGTTCCTGTTGACATTCTCTTTCGACGTACTTTTCACTCGCCGAATCATTCAGCAACATAACCCACGATTACGTCATTTCGAGTTTTTCGATAGCTCTGCAGGGTCAGAAGACCAACTGCTGTCTTAACGCCAAGAAGTAATCCATATTCATACAAGAGGCTGGATAGCAGCTGTCAGTTCAGCTGTTGCCACGTAACGAAGACCTTGCGCCCTGCTTGCTGCGCTTTACTGGGCTATGTAATACAGGTCCGGGGATCAGCATTTCCAAATCACAGCACTGCATATTGACTTACCGAATCTGGAAGTAGGAGGTATTCCAGAATTCCCAATCAGCATTCGGTACCTCTTCTGAGGTTCAAGGCCGAGGTTCTCCAGTACGCAGCTTTTCCAAATCTGGGCAAACGGTGTATATAGTTTCACTCTAATAGCTAAATGCAGTAAGACGTCAGCTCTTCTCTGACTTACAAAACATAAGGTGGCCTGCATCAGAGTAAAACCAGGACAATCAGCGAGGGAAACAACGTCCTAAGATGAGATATAAGCCCTGTGCCGTGCGCCGAGCGAACCTTTTTGATCATGTACGAAGCTGATTTCACTCATTGACCAACGCATCAACCAACACAACCAGAAATCATAATAATACATAATGATGGGCAGCCTCTACCTCCTCAAAAACCTTATGATCTAAGTTGGGGGCATGGCAGGAACTCCGAACAAGCTTCAACCTGGATCGTATTATTAACTCTGCTCCAAGGACTCTTCATACCAAAGCAACCTCGTGTTTAGACAAGCGCGTCAATATGTTGTCAGCAGTTATTAGCTACGCATTTTATTTTATTCTTGTCTTATTTAAGAAATCTCTTACCAGACTCATCATAGTGAGCAGACATAACCGTATTTGGCTCTCGGCCACCAACTTGAACCCATATATAATTATAGCAAGCAGGAACAACCAACCGGCTCCTGCTTCATCAAATTCTTGCGACCGCTCCCTCCTTCCGGCTTTGAAAAGCGTCCTGTGTTGTCTGTATCGAGAAACCTTTGTTCATATTCTTCACTTCTCTCTCTCTGAAAATACCTTTCAACATAACTTTAGCTCGACTGCACCATCCCAATTGCCTAGGCATCATCTTCGCCTAAACATCTTTACTGTCATATACAGCCTTTCTCCCCTCACTCATCTCAAACTTCAGTTTTCTACACAGATCATTCTCAGCTATACTTTACCACCGCAACGCTCAAGAAGATGGACGAGTTCTGCGTGCGTCTCCTTTCGTTCTTCGAGCGAGGCACAGACGGCAAGCCTGGCCGCTGGCCTCACCCGGCTCTGTCGCCCGAGGACATGGCGGGCGCCGGCTTCCGACTCCAGGGCAGCCAGGCAAAGCTCGGCGACAACGTCATTTGTGACTTTTGCAGGCTTCAGGCTTGGAAGTGGGAGACCAAGGACGACCCCTACCATCAACATCAAGAAGCATCGCCCAAGTGCGGATACGTGACCTCCGACATCTTCAAGGAACACCACGACGTCTTCCTCCAGAAACAGCCTGACGTGAAGGGAGTCGTCCAATGGCCACTGAGTCCCCCGCCTACCCCGACCAAAAGGTCTTGCAAGCCGCGCCGTCGGATGGGTTTGTCTCCCATCATGACGGTCTGTGAGAGCACGCCTTTCAAACAGGAGACCAAGTCGGTGAAGTTGCAGGACCAGTCTCAGACATCGACCATATCCGTAACGGCCGGATGTGTTGAGGTATTCATTCGGGTCTATGACCAGGGCGGGCGTGGTAAGTTCCCTGCCTTAATTATAGATTTCGAATGGCCAGAGCTAACATCGAGACAGACGCCAAGAGAATTCGCCTTGAGTAGGCACGACGCTGGCAAGATACTCCGACACAATCGTCAGCTGTAATCGACATGACAGATGTATTTTGCTCCGACCTAGCTCTGGTAAGCCATCCCTGGATCTTGTCTTCCGTCCGTGATGTAGCATCGATGCTGACTCCTCGATTGGAATAGAAGAGCCCAGATTTGCTATACATACATACATACTACACACTTGCAAGGAACTTGAACAGAACTTCACCGCACGGCGAGAACGGGAACACACTGTATACCTGAGCAACCAACACCCTTCACGAGGGTCATATGCTCGAGAGCTAGATAAAGGATGTGGATCATACGAGTGGACTACCAAAGAAGAAACGATTAAGACCTTACTCGAGCAATACAGTCAAGGAAATGAAACATGCGTATATAGAAAAGGGACGGGATACTAAGGGGTAGCCAAGGGCTTCGGAACCTCTGCGGGATACGTCAGGACACCATGAAATATTATATCCATAGACAAGGCCAGTGGCGGCAAGATGACGGACAAACTGTCTCTGAGTAGCTCTCTAGGAATGTCATTCACCACCCGTATTCACTTAAGAAGAGCTCTGCATGATCCCAAAGGTCCGTGGTGGCGAATGTCCGCCCATTCCTCCTTGCCCCATGTTGCGACATTTACCGAGACAGCCTTACGATGATAGTGCACCACCGTGGTGATGACCACAGCTAGAAGAAGACACGCCAGGCAACAGACCAGTGTGCTTCTGCCTGGAGAAACAACGAGCGAGCAAACAATGTATGTAAGTGCGAGGGTGGGCGTGACGGCGGCGCTACGCTAGAAAGTCACCCATCACATACACCCCCAGGATGCAACCGCCTCCGCACAAGGCAGAGATAGTCGATCAAGTGGTGTGTAAGATGACGGGAACCCCTGGGCAGATGGGATGCCCGTGGAGGGCATCCGATCGGCGCGCTGCACCGGCCGGCTGCCTATCACAATGCGCCTGCACCCTGTCGGCGAGTGTGACTCTCTGTCTTAGTGGCCGGCGACGCGGTCCATGGCGCGGCGCCGTCATTCTGCGCTACCGATGGTGGAACGGCTGTCAGGCGTCTCGCTGGGGGGGTTTTTCATTTCTGGTGGTGTGCTGCGGCGGCGGGGTGGGCTCGTGACGGCCGCACCGCCGGGTGACAAGGCGGGCGACGACGGCGGCGACGACGCGGGGCACGGGAAGGGCAAAAGCGGAAGAGAAAAAAAAAAGCATTATCGGGTTTGTAAACTATCGCTATGACCTGGTGACGACAGTATGAAAAAAAAAAGACAGTCGCGTGCCGCTGCGAACGAGGCCAGACGTACCCAGGCCTATTTAATCAAGGATACCGGCCGTCTTTTTCTTCTTCTTCTCCTTCTATTATCCTCGCAATTGAGGGCTTACATTAGAGAGCCATTGTGATTTACACTTTTACATCTAGCCACAAGAGAAACGAGCCCTGAGAGAACTTGCGAGGCCCAAAAAAGAAGAAGAGGAAAAAACTCCCAGCAATATAAACCCAACCCGTGAGTGATCGACAGTCGCAAGACGAGAAAAGAGGATGGCGACCATCAATCAGTACCAGCGCCACAGCCGACAGGCCCGCCCGTCGTCCTCGGGATGCAACCCGCTCCGCACAGTCTGGCGCGAGACGTACGAGGTCTGGGGTGGCGTCTGCTACGGCGTGGGCAAGGCCTATTACAAGATGACGGGCAAATGGTGATCAACGCCTCCAGAGGCCGGTTCCAGTGGCGCTGCTACGGTCCACCAGGCTGAAGAGGTATGGCCGATGCGAGAGGCCGACACGGAGAGAAACGTCGAAGACGGACAAGGGCACACGGACGGAGCGACATGACACACTCCTTGGACACGGACGATACGCGGGCGGGGGGGGAGGGGGGGAATCAAGCATGTCAAGCCTTTCGAGATCAGCATTGCGAACCACAATACTCCGTAGGCGCCATGGGAATAACCCGTTTGGACGGACGAAAATATTGGCATCGACGGTAGTTTGCCCACTAATGACGTTGGTCGGGAAATCTCGATCAACAACAGCGCAAGCCAGGTCGCTCGGAGGACGTGGTTCTCCATCAACTTGACACGGTCCTAAAAGGAGGGAGATCCTGTCACCCACCCGCCCACCGGGGGCGGAGTAAGGAAGGGGTTCAGCGGTTTCGGGGCCCTGGCGGTGTGGCCGCGAGACGGCGACATGATGGGATCAGCCTGCCAACTTGTAGGGCAAATGGACGGTCGCTTGCTTGGATGGGATGGGGATGGGAGGGGAGAACGAGCGTGACAACAGAGGTTTTTTGCCAACAATGCGAGTAAACAGAACTGGTGACAGCCACAGTGTAAACACAGGGTACCCATGGGGGGGGGGGGGGGGGGGGGGGGGAATGTGGGAGAGGAGAGAATCATCAAGAGGCTGTACGTACGTGCGTCGTTAATCATCGGCAGCGTTGGAGGATCGACATCATACCATCCCCCATAGCGGGTGTGTTTTGTTTAATGGCGAGGAACTTTGGGAAGAGGAAGACAGCCGCGAGTAGATGAAGCAATGTCGAGCAGTCCACAATATGTTACCGAGCAGCAAAGCACGCACGCTACAGGTACTTGCTTTTGTGAATATTTGCGTCGAAAGCGCCTCCGCATAAAGATGATTCCACGACGAGATTGGCAGCTGTAGGCCGGCCCGCCAAATAAATAAAAAAAATAAAAAAATAGTGTGGGTTCTGGGTGTCGTCGATTCGTGGGCCACGAGTGAGTGACGTGAGGAAGACGACTGGCGAAAAGGGAGAGGAGGGGGTTCCCGGGGGTCCAGTTTCAAGCATGATCCTAGGGGCCAAAAGACAGGTTTATTGACTCCCGCCCACCAGTCCTGACCTATTTTCTATTTTCGTTATTCCTTGTTTGTCTTTTGGGTTTCCTTTTGGTGGGCCTCGCCCGGCCGTTGGACCATTTCGGCCAGCTTTTCGATGGCAAGCATGGATAGTGATGGTTCAAACACAGTACATCGGAACATCGGCAAGCCGGGCGTCAAGATGATGGCGGTTCACTCTGTTGTGTTGCTATGTTGTGTGTGTGTCTGTCTGAATTCCGGTTCCTCAGCTACTGCATCGACAACCCAAGCATCCTATCAGACACGTCACGAACGTTCGGCTGCTAGGCTCTCAGAGGCACAATCCGGTTGTCGCGGCAAATAGAACAGACATGCAAGCACTGAATACGAGGAATGCACACAGTAAAGGACGTTGTTGCAGTCGTCATCAAACAGCCACAAGGAACGAGCCAGAGACTTCGGGCCGGCGGCGTGGTTGACAGTGTGCGAGAGACTCGGTGGATGGCCCCCAGAGGAGCCGCTGAAGGTTGGAAATTGGGGGATGATTGGACTGTGTGGCAACAGCCTGATGGACGATGGTGGCTGTGAGGTCTGGACCGCAGACCCCGTGTGCAGCTAGTGCAATCGTCAACCGGGGCAGACGGTGCCATTGGATGTGGCACTCGCCGGAAGAGCACATAGGGTGGAGAAGAGAGAGCGCGACATGTTGATTGTAATCACAATGGTTCCAAGGAAGTATCGAGATTGAGCACTATTGAGAAAGCTGCTTCGTGTTTGTCAGAGAGCGGTGGCAGGCCGAGGATTCGAGCAGGTCGACAAGAAATGCCAATGCTGAGAGGTAATTGGTCTCTTGGCAAGCCGGTTCGTCTTTGATCGTCTACCTAGTGTGAGTAGATTGCGTCGGTTGGCGGTTGTGTTTTTGCCGAGTATTGCTGAGGTAGGTAGGTAGTTTAAGCATGATACGAGCTCAGGCCTCCAAATGTCCAGTCTGAACTCCCTCAACTTACCTCGTGAACCCCAACCGTCAGCATGGTCTTGATTGTGCGACCCTCCCGAGTCAGGCCGTTGCGATTCACCCCGCCTTGATTATGAAATCGACAGAACAGAAGCTGCGAGCGTCGTGCGTCTCTAGAGGTGCTTCCCCATCGTTAAGGATCACCGCTGGATCGAGAGCGAATGGATCGCCCTGACGGGGAGGGGAGGGGAGAGAAACAAGACGAGAGCCGGCGTCCGCGAGTCCCGGTCTGGGAAAGTCAGCTTCTTTCTCCAGGCCGAAGCAAGCTGTCATGGAGTGGAGATTGCCCCCATTTCTCGCCCTGTCACTAACTCGAGGCAGCGAGCACTGTGTGTGCTGTATTCGATGATGCACAGTGTTACGGCCGACGGGCGGTGTTGGTGGTGGTGGTGGTGGTAGTGGTGGTAGCATCGGGATAGAGTTGCCGCTCGTGTTGGTGTTGGGGAGGAGTTCGAGGGAATCGATGGAGGGGGGATAGAACGCTAGTTGTGTTCGTCGTCCAGATACGTATCTTACTGTTAGTGAAGTAACAACGTCTCCAAGGAAGAAGGCGCAGAGGCTCTCGTACCTTCCCGCACACTGTGGTGTGAACTTGCCTACCTAGGTACGGGAGGTACCCAGGTACGTACCGAAGTCTCTCATACGACCTTGAAACGAGATGAACATGCCGAGACTGCTCCTGGAGGGTGGCACGTCTGGCATTGTCGCTGCCCTACCTACTATTACTACACTACGGATACTAGCCCGTAGTACTCCGTACTCCGTAGGGAGTACTGTTATTATTATTGCTACTATGACGTGAGGATACATGTAGGAGGCTACTCGCAAAGAAGGCAGTCAGTCTCTGCACCTTTTGGTCAGCCCAAGTGGTGTAGCGCAGTGGTTCCAGACATGGTTGCGTCTAATTTTCGGTACCGGCTCGTCTCGTCTTGTGCTTGTTGCCCTCGCTGTCGTCCTCGACGAGTCGTATAGTGTAGCCAAGAGTAGAGATAAAAGACGCAACGAGAGATGAGGTAGCCGGAGAGGAAGCGTGCTAAGACGACTGCGCCTCAACTTCGCGCCGACTGTCATGTTCCAATCATCCCACCAACAGCCCGCCGATGCATTGCCGGGACCCGAATGCACTAAATTGGTAGCAAATACTCGGTAGTAAGCCCCCAATGGACGGCACCAATCCAATGGCCCAATGCAGCTGCAGAGATGCAGGCAGGTCCGCGTTTGCTTGATACAGTACTCCGTATACGGATACAGTAGGCAATGCCGCGTAATGAATTGACCAATTTGCCGCCCCTCCAATACTCGACGGCGGCGACCTGAATCGAATGGAAGCTTGCTGCTTGCTGTGCTGGAAATGATGAATTCTGCGAGGAAAGGGGTCGCCCCTACCCTACCCCCCTCCTGCCCCCCTAAGCCTTTTCCCGTGGAGCAGCTTGCATCCAACCCCTGGTCAGCAATCCATGACCCCTGGCCTGCCTTCCTTCCATTCAAATTTCCATTATTGATGGTAGTGTAGGTACATGCTGTACGTACTTATCCCTCCCGTAGGTACAATGGTAGGTAGGTAGGCAAGTAGGATACTGTTCCTTCCTTCTCTTCTGCACCGTTGGACTTGTATGGAATTAGCCATGGAAGCCTCGACTAGGTACACTAGGTTGACTGCTGCCCTGCCCTGCCCTGCCTGCCTTCTTTTGCCGTGCCGTCTACGCATAGTTCGCCGCGGTTCCTCATCTCTTTCTCTTGCCCGTCTGTGGCTCCCCCCAAGAGCCCATGTACCTTTGTATCGTCGCACTTGCCCGTGTTCCCTGTCAGGCCCACCCGTCGCTAGTCCACCCATTCCAGGGCGTGTTTCTGCTTTTCTACCTCGCGCCTCCCTCCGTCACAGCCTCCTACTTCCCGACCCTTCCTCCTTTTTCCTCCTCCGTGTTTCCTCCAAACCCGTCCACTCTCTCACTTGCTATCCGCAATCGTTTCTTCTTTATTTATTTTTAGGGGATTTTATCTCAGACATCGACATCTTCATCTTTTTTTGTTTGTGATTGTTGTGTCAGTTGTTGTCTCTTGGTCAACACACTCTGCTTTTAATCACCCAACAGCAACTCAAACCACTTCGCGCTCTCGTTTGCACAACTCGTCATCAACCCATTTTTACCTACCGTTTGGATCAGATTCTTCGTCACATAAAGGAAAGAGGAAAAGAAGAGACACATTTATCGGAATCTTTCGAACTCAAGCCCGACTCCTCGGAGACGATAGCAACCTCGACTCCCATCGCCAAATATTTACCAAGCACCAATTTTATTTTTAGCTCCAGCGACAACACGATGGGCAAGGTCGCCACCGTCTTCTCGGCGGCTCTGCTGCTTGCCAGCAAGGCCGCTGCCCTCGACCCCATCGTCATGAAGGTACGCCATCTATGAACCTCCCCCCTTCGAGAGGCTTGCCTACCCAGTAACATGCCATTAACAACATCTGCAGGGCACCAAGTTCTTCTACGAGAACGGCACCCAGTTCTACATGAAGGGTATCGCCTACCAGCAGGATACCGCCGCCGCCGGCGGTGAGTCCACGACTGGCGAGTACAAGGACCCCCTCGCCGATGAGGCCAGCTGCGAGCGTGACATCCCCATCATGGCCAAGGCTGGCACCAACATCATCCGTACCTACGCCATTGACCCCACCCAAAACCACGATGCCTGCATGAAGCTTCTCAGCGACAACGGCATTTACCTCGTCTCTGACCTGGGCGAGCCCAAGCTGTCCATCAACCGTGACAACCCCCAGTGGAATGTCGACCTCTTCCAGCGCTACCAGGCAGTCATCGATGCACTCGCCAAGTACGACAACACCATTGGTTTCTTCGCCGGTAACGAGGTGTCCAACAACAAGTCCAATACCGAGGCCTCTGCCTTCGTCAAGGCTGCTGTTCGTGACACCAAGAAGTACATCAAGGACAAGGGCTACCGCTGGATGGGTGTTGGCTACGCTGCCAACGATGACGCCGATATCCGCGACAACTCTGCTCACTACTTTAACTGCGGTGACCAGGGTGCTGCTATCGACTTCTGGGGCTACAACATCTACTCGTGGTGCGGTCAGAACACCCTGGCTGGCTCTGGCTACACTACCCAGCTTGACTTCTTCAAAAACTTCTCCGTCCCCGTCTTCTTCGCCGAGTACGGTTGCAACGAGCCCAACGGCGCCGCTGGCCGTCTCTTCGAGGAGACCACTGCTCTGTATGAGGAGCCAATGACCGACGTCTTCTCCGGCGGTATCGTCTACATGTACTTCGAAGAAGCCAATGACTATGGTCTCGTCCAGGTCACGGACAACAAGGCCACCCCCATGAAGGACTACGGCGTGCTTTCCTCCCGTGTCCTGGCCGCCACCCCCTCCCCCGTCCAGATGAACTCTTACCAGCCTACTAATAAGCCTGCTGAGTGCCCTCCTGTCGCTGCTACCTGGGAGGTTCACGGCGATGCTCTCCCCCCCACCCCTGACAGCTCCCTGTGCGAATGCATGGTCAAGAGCGTTTCTTGCACCCCCAAGGCCGGCCTTGATGCTGATGCCATGGGTGAAATCTTCGGCTACATCTGCGGTGCCGACCCCAAGTCCTGCAACGGCATCAACACTAACACCACCACCGGTGTCTACGGCGCCTACTCCATGTGCAACGACACGCAGAAGCTTGCTTATGTCCTGGACACCTACTACAAGGCCCAGAAATCTGCCAGCACCGCCTGCGACTTCAACGGCCAGGCCCAGGTTGTCACCCCCGCCAGCAGCGACAGTTCCTGCAAGGCTGCTCTCTCCTCTGCCGCCGCCGCCAACAGCGCCGCCGCCACTGCCACCGCTCCCGTTTCTTCCACCGGCAAGGCCGGCTCCAGCGCTTCTGGCAATGCCGCCGCCGGTAACCCTTACCAGCCCATGTTCAACTTTGCTGGTTTCGCCGTCGGTGCCTACCTGGTTGCCGCTGGTGCCATTGGTGCTGCCATGGTTGCCCTGTAAACAAATGGTCACTCGCCGAATGAAATACTGAGACGGAAATAAGAGTGCCTGGGGACGGGGGCAATATACATTTATGCGAGCGTGTAGCATATCCGATTACGCACCGCAGTGCCTGCTTTAATTCAATCACGACTTGACCGGATTTATCATACTATTGGCATGAGGCTCTTTTGTGTTTGTCACCATCACAAGCGGCGTTGGATCCTCACTGGTAGCAGCTGTTTCTGCTTCACGACTGGACGGTAGAGGTCACAATTGTTTTTTAGGTGTCTTGTCAGGCTCACCGAATAGAATTTTTCTTTTTGTTCATCGTCGTTCTAACTGCTGTTCTACGTGTTTTTGGTCATATATATATATCCCTTGGCATCGGCTTGGCGTGTGTGTTGGCATTTGAGCTCGGTGCAATCTTGACTTGGCAACCTGGGCGTCATTTTTCTCTGCTCCTGCCGAGTCCTTGGCGGAATCTCAAGACTGTCTTGACCAAACCAGCTCAGCCCCCTTCTTTTCAGGCGGTGAAGGTCACGGTTCTCGCAAAACTGAAAGCGAGACGAGCCTGGAATCTCTGCCCCTACGATCGATTCTTGGCCTTGAAGATTGCTACGCTTGGCGACGCAGAGCAACGAGACTTGCCTGTTCTTTGGGTAACCAAGTCGCATGTGGCCCCTGATGGGATGGGGCCTGTCTGTTTGGTTATCACCTGTCGCACCTGGGCGAGACGAGCCTGCGTAGCATTGAGATCCTATGTGCCATGCTCGGTGTTGCGCGGTCAACTTGCGCGGCTTGGAAGCTGGACGCTTCGTCGCTTGTCCCGTCACAAGCGCGCCTTTTGTTTGCCTCTGTGATTTTCCATGGCGTGTCCGCCTCGTACTCCCCGAGGTAGTCTCTGACAAAGAAGAAAACAACGCTTGCTAAATTGGGGCACGCGAGGAGGCGTCTTGAAGTGAGAAGACGTGCAGTTGGACTCACCTGTAGGACATGCGCCGGGGATGTGACTGTCGTCGGGTCGCTGAGTTTCTGGATTGTCTTCTGATCCGGACCGCTCGGACCGGGGGTTTCGGCCGTGGCATTTCCACGATGCGGGTGTTCAGGTCCGTGATTGATCCCGATCCAGCCCATTCCGGCAATAGGACCCGATGTCTCTCAAATACCTCAAGTTATTCGTCCTCTCAGGGTCTTGGACCATCGTTGTAGGGAAAGAAAGACAAATCCTCTGCGTCGTATACTAAGCGGCAAACCTAGTCTTTAATAAACTCAAAGCAAGGCTATCAAAAGCATGCAGGCCTTTCGTTGACGAAGGAGAAGATGAGATACATGGTTCAAGTTTGATTCGAAGTTTATTCGGACTTCCCACCTCTACGATCATAAACTGAGTAAACCAGAAGTAGTTGTCTCCAAACTAGGATACAGACTACCATTAAGTTCGAATGAGTGTGGAATCCTTTGAACGATTCGCTACTCATCGGCTTCTCGGAACACATTTCAATCTCTCAATACTATCCCGATTTCTGAGACGTAACGACCATACATGCCATGTACGCGTAAAGACATGTAAGTAGGCTTTGTAACGGGCGGCGGGCGGCACGCTTCTGCTCAGGTTTCATACATGACGGCGGTTCGAGGCTTGGAGATCAAAACGTCTTACCGTAATGTCGCAAGCGCTTTCTCCTCCAGGACGGCCGAGCTCTTTTCGAGCGACCTGCGGTTGACGAGTTGATGGGCACGGAGAACCGAACGGCTGGGCTTGTGGCGTAAGTAGCCAGCTACGAGAATTAAGGAGCGAGAACGCAAGCACTCAATTAGAAACGACTACTGGGGTTTTCGTGTTTGGTCGATTTACGAAGTATTAGTTGGGAGAAGAAACGACCGGGTTTGCTGCTGATAGATGAACAAGCGACCCAGCTCGCCAGATGTGCTGCATCCTACAAGATTATGATGGATAGGCTGTTTTCTGTCTCACAATGCCATTTGGATGCATTCAGCGGCCGTTGACGAAGAGCTGTATTCGGCGCGTGGCACAAGACTTTGGCCAAGGTTGACGGCGGTGTCTTGGCGTCCGGTGGCAAGTGTATATCGTATCGTACCCAAACAGAATGCAACCTCCATTGTGTTGTCTTTCTGACTTGGGCCTGACGGACTGCGCTTGATGAGGTCTCTAAGCCCCATCTGAACATCACCCCGGAACACGACTCGTGAAGCGAACAGGCGGGGGAGGGGTCGTGAACTTTATTCTGGCTATCCTCGGTGCGAAACGAACATGACCGTACGACGCGTGCCGTCAGCGTGGGACGACATCGTTGAGAGCTAAGGGTCCATTACCCAACCATTCCTGAGCTCTCATACCCTTCTCTGCATTGCTGCCATGCCCAGTCAGTTTGGGGGGGGGGGGGGGGGGGGGGGGGTTTCTTGTTTGCCTGGCGAGAAACTGGCAGATGCCATTGCTGTGCTGTGCCCGCAGACGTGGGATGGAGCAGCACACTCCACATGGTGAGATCACTTCTGCAAGATGTTCTCTCGCGAGTGGGTGTCATTCAACGTGAGGACTAGGCATATTATTGTCCGTTAATTACTCCGTTGCATATCATACTCTGTACGTACCGCCCCCCTTCGGTCCCTCCCCCCTGTCACGGCTTTCCTTTTCCCTCTCTCTCTCTCTCTCTCTCTCTCTCCCTTTCTTACTCGCATAACACGATTGCTCTCACTGCTTCCGGACCGTGTGCATCACCAGAGGAGCAGGATCTGAAAAGCAACACAATCTCCAGCTCACTTCCAAGACACTTATAGAAGTAGCTCGTTCTTGGGGTCTCGTCGCGTGGGTGTGCATGCTTTCGGTCTCAGCTCGCTTCTAGAGCCGAAAAGGGAAATACGCCGGGCAGACAGGCCAATCGCATAATTAGCCGCCAAGTCGCTCCAGCGCAAAGTACACTACCGAGCTCAGGTTGCCTGATTCATACCCATGTTTGGATTTCATGGACTCGCATAGGTAGTAGGTAGGTATCCGTAGTGCCATCTGAGTGACCATGAACCTTAACTCTCGTCCCTTTCCCCGGCTTTCATCCCACCAAACACCGGCTCCTCCTTCTCGCTTCTCCTCACCACCCACACGTGGGCGCGCGGGGCCGGGACGGGGAGGAGGCTCCAGTCCTCCCAGTCCTCCCACACACCTAGTTTGACATGGATTCAGTGGCTTTACCCCGCAGCCAGAGACTCACAGGTAGGTAAACAAATCCACTCTACATAGTAGGCTTTAATAGCCGATATTTTAACATTGGTCTGTGTGTAGTCTGCTGGCTTGTTGAGGCTGAAGGGCGAGAGAGAAAGTTGCGCTTTTAATCCAAGAATGAGCGGACATGTGCTGGATGTATGTATGTGTAGTAAAAGAAATTGTCAATCAATGTCTTGGGAACGCTGGGGAGCTTGCCCCGGTCTCGTCTTCCTTCTCGTCTTCTCTGCTACCTACCTACCTCTATGCATGTTGAGCCTCCGCTTGCTTGTCTTATTGTCCAGGGTCGAAATGTCTTGCCTCTGACGGCTAGAGGGCATCCTTTGGCTTCATGTCACACACCCACACACCCTTCCTCTCTCTCTCTCTCTCTCGCTCTCTCTCTTTCTCACTCTCTCACTCTCGCACGCACACACGCGCATTCCGAGTTTCCGATCACAACGAAGAGCTGCGGTCACGCCCCGGTCCTCAATCAAGTCCCGCTTTCTTGGTGTCCCTCTTTCTCTCGTTGACATGCCTCTTTCCCTTCTTCTGGGTTGCTTACCGCCACCCTCGGCATTCTCGTGTCTTGTTTTGCGTTTGATTGGCCCCCCCGCACGAAGAGAGAGCAGCATCAGGGGTGGTTCCCCTCTCCTTTCGGGGCGGGGTTGTCTGCCAACCTGGACCAGCTAAACCTCTTTTCGCGTGCTTTTTTCTGGGGAAAAGGGGGGTGAAGATGCCGGTGATTTAGATTGCCGCGAGGGCTGGTCTTGGCCCTTGGTTCTTTTATGGGTATGTCTCGTCATTAGGAGGGTTAGGGGCCCTGGAGCGAGAGGAGGAAAGGGATGCCATACTCGTGGAGCAGCTGACTGAGGACAAGAACCGAAAAGATACAAAGGGCCGTGTGCGTATCATTATCGAGGATATGTGGTCGTGTCATCCGATGGTACTCTCAGGATCTCCGCTTCTCGAGTAGATAACCTCCAGGCTTCCCCCCTCCCCGAATCTCTTTTGCTGGATCTTTATTCGAACGGCATTTTCGCGGTTGTATAACCAAAAGGCCTAGACCGTCCGACCAGCGAACCGAATCTCTTGGTTGACCTCTGGAGTGACGCAAGTCGTGCAGCTTCTCTGCGCGCTCCCCCCCCCTACGTCGACCTATCTTCCGACGACGGTATTTAGTTCCCTCGTCTTTCGTCTTTCACACCGATTCTTAGACCGGATTCTTCAGCAGTACTGGCGACTCAGAAAACCCCAAACGACCATCGTCGCTACCATGGATCGAGCTGCCCAGGACCCCGAGAAGACCGGCTTCGAGCACGCCGACGAAATCAGAAGCAGCTCGAATGACTCCTACGGCATTGATGTCGACGCCGGCTTTACGCCAGAGGAGCAGCGTAGGATCATCCGCCGCATCGACCGCAGACTCGTCGTGACTGTTGGCGCCATGTACTGTGTTTCTCTGATGGATCGCACGAACCTGTCTGCCGCCGCCATCGCAGGCATGACCAAGGAGCTGTCTCTTGATCTTGACAACAGATATGTGAGTATCACGCGTGCTGCGGCTTCACCTGGGGAATGAAGGATGTCTGACCCGTGGTTCGAACAGAGCATTGCCTCTCTGCTCTTTTTCATCCCGTACATCATCTTCCAGCCGCCCTCGACTATCGTCGTGCGCAATATCGGCCCCCGTCTTCACCTCGGCGGGCTCACCCTTTTGTGGGGTGGCGTCATGATCGGAATGGGTTTTTCGCGCAGTCACATCCATCTGTACGCGTGCAGAATTTTGCTTGGTGTCCTCGAGGCCGGCTTCTTCCCCAGCTGCGTCTACCTCCTCAGCACGTGGTACACCAGATGTAAGTCCCCCGGTCAAGTCGCATTCACCGCACGCACAGTCCACTGACTTTATATCTACAAGACGAGGTCGGGAAGCGTTACTCGGTCTTCTACCTCCTCGGATGCGTCGCTTCTGCCTTCGCCGGCATCCTTGCCTACGGCCTCATGCAGATGAACGGCCAGCAGGGCCTCACCGGATGGCGGTGGATCTTCATTGTAAATTTTCCTTATTGCCTGTTAAGCTTTGCTTTCTTGAGCTGACTTTTGTGCTATTAGATAGAAGGTGTGCTTACCTGCGTGCTCGGCCTTGCGGGTTACTGGCTGCTTGTCGACTTCCCCGACTCCAAGCGTAAGGACTGGAACTTCCTCGGCGACCGCGAGCGCGCCTGGATTGTCGCGCGCGTGAATCGTGACCGCGGCGATGCCCACATGCCCGCCTTCAACCTCGGCAGATTCCTCCGCGCCGGCGCCGACTGGAGGGTCTGGGCGTACGCCATGATCTTCTTCAACACCACCACCGTCACCTATGCACTCGCGTACTTCTTGCCCATCATCCTGCAGGTCAACATGGGCTTCGACGTTGGTGCTGCGCAGTGCCTCGTCGCGCCGGCGTACGCCTTTGCCGGTATCGTCATGTTCGGCACCGCCTGGCTCGGCGACAAGATGAAGTTCCGCGGCCCCGTGATCCTCATCAACATGCTGTTCTGCATTGTCGGCCTGCCCATCATGGGCTTCCACTCGAACGCTGCGGTGCGCTACTTTGGCGTCTTCTTGACGACGGCGGGCGCCAATTCACAAATCCCGGCCGTCATGGCGTACCAGGCCAACAACATCCGCGGTCAGTGGAAGAGAGCTTTCTGCAGTGCGACACTGGTGTCGTTCGGTGGCATCGGTGGTATTGCCGGTAGCTTGCTCTTCCGTGAGCAGGACAAGCCTCACTACCGCCCAGGCATATACGGCTGCATCGCTTGTAGCCTTTTAACCATTATCTTGGTTGGCTTGCTAACCCTTGACGCCTACTTCAAGAACAAAAAGGCTGATCGGGGCGAGATGGAGATTGAGGCTGATGTAAGTACCTCTGTCCGAAGTCCTTTACGAACGGTTGCTGACTCGAATCCGCAGGAGGGCGCCCAGCATGGGTTCCGGTACACTTACTAAGGCTTGTCGTGTGAGTGAGCGACTGTTGATGATTTCAGAAGGGAGAGTGAGTCCATGGGTTCTCGATCATGGTATGAGATTTGGAGAATGCCGGGCTACCCGCTATAAAGTTATATTTGATCAAAATACCAAGGCACATACATGCCAATGAAGTTGCATGAGCGGAATCTCTAAAGAACAACGCCTGGCTCCCCAGGCGGTTAGTTATACGATCCGACACACAGCACGCAATAGTAATCTTTGAGTGATGGAAGATGGAATGCCGAGGCATGTGACGGCGGCAGTAGGTAGATAGACGAGAAGTGCATGGTTGGCGGCTGCGACAATCGTATAGAAGAAAATTAGGAGATGGCGGCGCTAGGCGTTTTCGGCGACGACGGTTGGGTAATGGCGTTCCGGCAGGGGCGTGTAGGTGTCAGCTCCGGGGCCATTCATCAGCAATATCCGGACGAGGTTGTGTGCTTGGTGGCCAGCGTAGTATGCAACATGTCATTTTTGGGGCCGAGCCATTGGTCAAGTTAACTCTTTGCCAAGGACGTTACGAGCGGCGCGTCAACAAATGATGATGATTGTTGGGTGTGGACGCCATGAAGGTCTTGCCAGACGGCCATTTGTTTCCATGTCCCTGCTATGGCTCTTACGGATGTATCTCGCGATGTGTATTCAGCCGAAGCGTGAGACCCCGCACAACCGAGGAAGTTTACAGAGAGAGAGGTACGAGATGTGAGGGCATTAACAGCACGTCCAGTCATGGCTTTCACTGGAAAATGGATGTGTGTCCATGCCGTTTCAGCTCAAGATGGCGAAGGCTCATCCACGGGCGGCGCTTGATCCTGTTCCTATGTTTGGCCTTGGAACAACGGACCAGGCGTTCGTTGAAGCTCATGCGGGCATCTTCCGCAAAGGGACGAACCTCCTCACCAGCCCGATGAGGGCCTTCAGAACCAAACAACGGCCACGGTAGAGAGGGTGGCGACTTGAAGTGGACGCGTCATCAGTCGTGAGCAGCTAGGCCACTTGTGCATGTTTGCTCAATGGCATTTGCGACGAACTTTATGTAGAGCCTGTCAAAGTTATCTCAAGGGGATGGGAAATTCGACGAATAGCTTCAACATATCGTGGCGGCGGCGGCGGCGGCGGCGGTGGCGGCGGCGACTATGGAGAAGAAAAAGGCGAAAATAGCATTAGGCTTGATTCACATGGGGCCAAGGAGCGTTCCTCAATAAGCTAGGGTGGCTTTGGTATTGGAAGGGAGAGAGGCTTTTCCAGGCATGATGGCTGCTGTTATGTAGACGTCGACTATTCGCAACTCTAAGCATTAATTATTATGTCCATTTGGAGTACGGGGTATATTAGCTAGATTATGGATAGATGCTCTTGGCAAGGGCGGAGAGGTTACTTGGTATTGAGGCAGTGTTCTTAGCTCATATTCGCCCATGTCTTAGGTAATATACATAGTAATACGATGTATGTATCCGTACCGAGTATACGGATATACGGATGGAAAAGCGCTTTCCCACTGCGGGAAATGGTTGTGGCATTTTTGACGAGGACCATGCCGTAAGCCAGAGAAAGGTACGTACCCTCGCTGACGAACGGCGAGGGCCTGGATGGGATGGGAGGGAAGGCGGGCGTCGCAGGCTGCTGCCCTCTTTGTATCCGTACTTGTATCCGTACTACCTACCTAGGTAGGTATCCGTACGGTATTCTTACTCAGGCACACTAATACCTACATGGTAGGTAAGGGGGGTCAGGAGGTACCCTCCTGCTGATATCAAAGGGAAGGTACATGGATGATGGCTGGGCCCGCCCCCCGTTGACAATCTGATGAGCCGGAGCCTTCGGCAGCAGCCCAGCGAGAAGTGGAACGCGATGGAGTAAAATGTATCATCTGGTACAAAATAGTATGGGAGAGTACCGGTGCTCCGCTACATCCTTTGTCGGACGGGTTCAACTTGCCGGTGCAGATAGGTAGATCTCCCCTTCTCGTGTAACAAGCAAGTCTCGATTCCTGGCATTCATTCCCTCTTTGTTTTTCCTCCTTTCTTTCTTACTTACTTTTCTTCCCTTCATCTAACATTGTCTTGTCTTGTCCGTCGCTCAGCAAAGAAGAGCCTCCTCTTCCGTCACGCCCTTGCGTCCGAGGTTTGGCCGCGCCGCGCCGTCCGTCCCATCCGATCCAAAAAGCCAAATACCTAGCTCCAGACAGGTAGAGGCAGTCCCGAATAGGTAGTCTTCGAGTCAACCATCAGTAACGACAAACTCTCCAGACCCCATCCCCCGTCTCTTCGTCCCCGCGCTACAACGCCGTAGGCATTCGCTTGCTCTACCACCCGATCAGCGATCCCCGATCCTCTCTTCTTGGCCTCAAGTCTCGACCGACACGACGACCCTCTCCCTCGTACCTAGTGTACAGTAAGTACTGTACCGTACACCTCGTCCGATCCGAACCTCGCCAATTGCGTCGCCCCCGCCGTGACGCCGCCCCGCTCGCCAGCCTCGAGTCCGTGACACGTCTTGGCTCCTGCACCACCCCGACACCCACCCAGCACACAGGGGACGGCGGAACGCTTCTGCTCATTTCGAAACGCCCGTCATGGCGCTGCACCCGTTTTCTACGGCCTCGTCGCCGCTGAAATCTTCCTCCTTCCTTGCCGTCGCTGCTGCAGCAATCATCCTCACATCTCTCCCCATGGCTCTCGGTCACGAACACGGCATCAGCCACATCCAGGACGGCGAGACCACCTCGCAGGAACCCATCGTGAGCAATACCCAGCTTCCATCCGCCGACACCAATCAAAGGGGGCTTGGTCAGAAACACGGAAAGAACACGAGACGCTGATTGCCGGAACAGGACGCTATACTATGGATACATATCTTCATCATGATGTTGGCCTTCGGGGTCATCTTCCCCGTCGGCATGGTGCTGGGAGTAAGTTTCCTAACGCTACAATTCACCACCTGACGGTCGCGCGCAACCGCTGACGCTCGTCTTTCTCCCCCCTTTCTACAGATGACCAAGAGCCGCTGGCACGTTCCGACTCAAGTCCTCGGCTCCGCCCTCGCCATTCTCGGCTACTTCCTCGGTCACATGCACGGTGGCCGACAATTCCTCCCCCATAACGTCCACGCCTCTTTTGCCACCTGGCTCATGATCATAATGGCCGCCCAGGTCGGCCTGGGCATCTACCTGAAGCTGCACCTCGAAAAGGGCATCAACGGTCGCATCCGCAAATTCATCAAGCCCGCCCACGGCATCCTGGGCAAGGCCTCCCCCGTTCTGGCTTGGACCCAGTTCCTGTTTGGCGGCATCACCTCTCTGGGTTTCTGCCAAGGCGACCATCTCGGCCAGTGCCTGGCCCATTTCATCATGGGCAGCGCCTTCATCGCCTACGGCATCATCTTGACGCTTCTGCTCCTGGTCGGACAGCTCTGGATCCGCCGCAGCGGTCGGTCGCAGGAGTTCTTCGACAGTATCGTTATTGCAGCCTGGGGCTGCGTCAACACCTTCACGGAGCACCGATGGGGCACGGCATGGGTCAGGAACGACTGGCAGCACACCACCATGGGCATCATCTGGTGGTGTGCCGGTCTGGTTGGTATCTGGCTCAGCCGCGACCGTGACGGGAACCCCAAGCGAAACTTCATCCCCGGCTTCGTCATCGGCGCCACTGGCTGGGCCATGTCCGCCCATCCTCAGGACCTGCCCATCAGTGCCATGACCCACAACATGTTTGGGAAGACGCTGATGGGAGTCGGCATCACTCGAATTATCGAGGTGTCTTTTGTTGTCAGGGACGCCCCGGGAGTCTCGGCCGATGGACGCCAGACAAACAGCTGGCAGTTCATTCCTGTTTTTGTAAGTCGCCCTTGTCCGAGGCGGATAGGATACCCCTTGTACACACACAAACAGCAGCTAACGATGCGCAGCTTTTGTACGCCTCCGGTTTCCTCTTCATGGGTGCCACCGAGGAGCAGATGGCTCTCGTGGCCAACTCGGGTCTCGACCACGTTTCCTACATCCTCATACTGTACTCGTTTGCGTTCCTGCTCTTCCTCTTCACCATGATGCTCGTACACCTATTTGACCGCAACTCCAACACGGACGGCAAAGTGGTCCTGGTCAACGGCATCCCGGTAGCCAACGGCCGTCCTGGCGAGAACCGCCAAGTGCGTGATGCCGAGGAGTTTGAACTCGAAGGACTCATGAGCGACGACGAGGACGACGCGCGCAAGGGCCTCACTGAGGAAACAGACGACGAGCCAGGTCTGGGAAGTCCGAGCAGTCCCAGCACCATCGGCAAGAACAGCGACCGAGTAGCGCGGTGAGGGCGACGGGGGCGAAGACAGAAACAATCACACATCATTCATGGGCATTGAATGAATAAATAGACAGGGATGACATATCTTGCATTCAGGCTTGGCGTTTGGGTCCGGGGACGCTCGCATATTTGTTGTAATGGGCTGCGCGGCGTCTGAAAAGAACAAGAATCTAGCGTTTGGAAGAGTGTAAACATGATGTTCATGTTGCCTTGAAATTCAGAATATAATCCTGCCCGTCACGGCATTAAAAGCTTGACCAGAGAGCGAAGGGTACTGACAAAGTTGCAATTACTCGGTATCAGAGCCCCATCTAGCCCTTTGACGTTGATTCATGGTGTTCCCCTGCTTATCAATGCATCGGCTGGCTGACCTTGTTTTACCTCGGGTGTTTGGTACCTGAAGCCGTCGGTGAAGTGCGGATTGAGAGGGAGAAAGAATAGTGGGCGGCGGTTGAGGGGCATGCGGGGGGACACCCGCCACGCCTGGAACCCCTGTAGTGTAGTGCATCCCGCCATCTCCACTAAAAAATCAAAATTCCATAGCGGTGATCGACCCCTCGACCTCATTTTCGTCCTCTCTCTTTTTTTTTTCTCTCTTGTCAAAACCTTTGCGAACTCGCCACTTCAAAACCAAGACCCCCTTTTGAAGACGAAGAGGAATACGACCAACCGCCACGATGCCTTCCGTCAAGAACCCCAACGGCCCCTCCAAGAACCGCCTGGCCAACAGGGCCCTCGTCGCCAAGATGGAGCGCAAGAAGAAATCGGAGGCGAACCGGCACAAGATCGCAAAGACGGATGCCATGCGCGGCGCGCGGCCCGGTCTGGCCCCCACGAGTGGTCCCAACGCGCCCTTGAGCAAGAAGAAGGCCAAGAAGCTCGAGAAGAAGATGGCCCACGCCCTGAGGAGGAAGATGGCCGCCGAGGGCGAGGTTGTCATGAAGGGTGAGTGAGCCTCGTACCGAGAACCGCGAGCTGGGTACGGCCGAGGCTAACATATTTTCGCCCCTCCTGTAGATGTTGAAGAGGCCGAGGAGAGAAAGCCCGAGGAGGGCGATATGGAGACGGAAAAGATTGAATAGGCGCGGGCTCGGGAGCGCAGATGCTGGCTGGAGAGAGAGAGAGAGAGAGTGATTCCGTTGAAGCTCTCGGGCTTGGGCACGGATAAGAGGGACGATAGGGAGCAGGCATGGTCATGCTTCGTAAGTAAACCCATCGATTCTTGCTGTTCTATCCTGGCTGGAACGCCCTCGAAACAAAATACTAACCTACCCAAGTCTAGAATCGCAAAGCGCAGGTGGAACCCCAGCCCCAATCCAAACGAATTGATACCCCCTCGGAAAAGAACAAATGGAAAAAATACATCATCAACAATCCTACCCACTAGCAAAACATGTTTTCGTGAACCGTCCATCTCTCATACCGTCTACCACGTTTTCTACGCGCTGCTTGGTCCGCTCTCATCAGGGCGTGCGTGATCATGACTGATGGAGTCGCCGGTGTCTGTGCAGCATGGCCCATTGATCATCAGGCAAGCAGTAATGATGCGTGGGAGGGGCCACCAGTGCCGACGTTTCGTCGCAGGGCTCGGAAGCTGCTGACGGCCACAGGGTATCGTCGCTGTAGACGGACTCCGACCCTGGGCTGGGAGGCGGCGCTGCTCCAGCGTGGCTGTCGAGCCAGGGCTCCGGAGCGTGGGACAAACTCGCCGAATCACTCGATACGCCTTCGTCGTCGTCGTCGCCATCTTCTCGCCCCGTCACCCGGGTACCCCCGTCCGAACCCTCGTCCGCCTCCCCCTGGTCTTCCGCCGCAGCCTTCCGCCACTGCCGGAAGAGCGTCTTGACTTGCCTTACCGCACGCATCTGCTGCGCCTCGCCCAGGAACGGCTCATTGATCCCGTCCGTGATATCGGTCGCGTCGTACTCATCGTTCACGAGGTCATCGCCGCCTGGGGCTCCCGCGAAGGACGGTACGCGGCCAAAGAAGCGGTCCTGGAAGATAGCCTGGCGGAGGAGGCTCGTCCGGCCGAGCTCGGCAACGATACGGCGCTCCGAGAGGCGCGATTGGCGCTCAAAGTGGGCTAGCAGCGCGGTCGTGTCGAGGCCGCGGATTATGTCGGATTTGTTGAGGTTGCGGTTGTGCCCGTTGGGCGGCTGGCGGGAATCGGGGGTGGAAGGAGCCCGCTTCGAGGGGGACGAGCCGTTGGAGGCGGACGACAACTCCGCCGAGGATTCCGGAGGGAAGAGGGCTTCGAGCACCGAGTCGCTGATGCTGACGTTCGAAGGTGTGTTGATCAAGCTGCTGGAGGCTTGGGAGTCGTTCGTAGAAGAGTTCTGTTGATCGTTCTCGAACGCTTCGGCGGTGGCACCCGTAAAGCCACAACGCGCGAGGACTTCGTCTCCCCAGTTCAGTCTCTCCCGCTCTTCTTCCCACCGAATCCCTAAGCCCTTCTGGTAATACTGCTCCACGTCCCCGTAACGGGCACTGAACACGTCAGGTGGCTCTGGTCGGGATGGGTCGCCGTCTTCCTGCGGTCCTTTGAGGCAAAGGGAAGACAGGCCGCGGATGGTTGCGAGGGCATCCCTCCAGCCGGCGGTGTAATCTCGCTCACCCATACCAATGGGCACGATAGCTTTCTGGTCGTCGATATCGTCTCTGAAGATCTCGCAGACCTGGAGGAGGAGCCAGCGTGCGAATTCGCAGTCTTCGTCGTCTTCGGCCATCTCGATGAGTCTGCTGTACACGGCGTCTTGGATCTTGACGGGCCGGAGCCTGGAGCCGAGGACAACTTGGCGGCCGTGTTCCAACGTCGGTTGGGCCATGTTGAGCGACATTCTTGCTATTGGTCGGTTTCTTGGGGGAAAGGCAATCGAGGAAGGGATGCGAGATGCTGAGAAGGTACACGAGGTCGGTGTATACGGATTTGGGGACGGGTGGCATTTAAGATGATGTCGGGAAAAGAGGGTTGACTGACACAGGTTTGAGCGACGGGGGATTGGCGGTCTACAATGTTCGGGTTTCTTGGAGGAAGTCTTGAATGACGACACGTTGCAAAGCCTTTGAAGTCTTGTGTTCTATCGACGGCAAAGCAGTCCTGAGGTGCCATCTCTTTGATACCTGATGCATCAAATCTGCATCACAAAGATGCAGACAACGTAGGCCGAGAGGTCATACTTGACAACCGACAACGTCCTAAACCGGAGTTTCGGGAATCCGAGGAACACAAAGGCTCTGCTTCGCTTCTCTTTATCAAGTTGAAAGCAGCTATGCGCACTCAAATGCTACGAAGGGCTAGTCTTGGGGAGCTCCTACAAGTCACGTTGGACGCTGCAGTGTTGGGATACTACCACCCTTCAGTGAAACTCCTGGAGCGAGCGACGCATACCATCGTAGCTGCCTGTTAAGATGAGTCTGGCTTGGGCTGGTAGCTTTATTTTCTGTCCAGTCACGACGATAGGACTGGCTAGATTGGGGTTTTAGATGAAACCGTCGAAGAGAGCCAGAAGCGAGATAACTTACAAGATGAGAATGAAGAGAAGGGTGATGCTTTATTAGAACTACAGGTCAGTTACACTCCATCTCTTAGGTGTGTGTGGTCTCCTATCCTTTTAAGAACCCCTTACCATCCAACAGCGGTGGTATGAGGCGGCCTGTTTGGCGACCGTATGCAGACAAGGAAAGCCGATACACAAACTAGCCAAAGCCAAGGCGGGAAGCGACGTGAGATACCAAGCCAAAGACCAGAGGATAGATGAAGGTTTTAGTACCCAGTGGTACAACGAAGACGCGAAACCCCCGTAATGTCTTCCCAGACACCCGGCTCTTCGCCCCACGGCCCGACGCCCGGTCCTTTGAAGAGCTTCCCGCCCTTCCAAACCCAGCCGACGTTGTCAACCTTCTGCAACACCTTGACGTCTTCCACCGGGTTCTGCAGCAGCCCAATGACATCCGCCTCGTACCCTACCTTCAGCTGCCCCGTCTTCGGCGCCTGTCCTCCAACGCTCAGCGGGCCGTTCGCCGTCGCTGCCTTGATCGCCTCCAGGTTGCTCATGCCGGCCTCGACGGCGCACTCCAGCTCCGTCGCCATGTTGTACCCCGGCCCTGTGTCTGTGCCTAGAGCGATTTGGACGCCGGACTCGATGGCCATCTTGTAGGCCGTCATGTGGTTCTTCGCAACCAACTTTGCCTTTTCCCATACCGTAGGAGGGAGTCCCTTGCCCCCCGTGCTGAGGAGCAAGTGCACGACAATACGCGTGGCGATGTAGACTATGCCCTTCTCCTTGATGAGGTCGATACACTCGCGGTCCGCAAAGGAGGCATGTTCCAGGGTCGTGACGCCCGCATTGATGGCCGCCAGGATCCCAGCCTTACCGTGAACGTGGGCTGCGACGACGCGGTTCTGTCTCGTCGCCTCTTCCACAATGGTCTCGAGCTCCGCCGCGCTGAACTGGGCGTAATTCGGGTTGTCGTCGCGGGACATGACGCCGCCGGAGGCCATGACCTTGATGCACTTGGCGCCGCGCCGGATCTGGAGCCGAACCGCGCGGCGGCACTCGTCAACCCCGTCCACGATCATGGTCGCGTGTGTGCCAAAGTGACCCGGTGTGATTTGTGACACGCCGAGGTTGAGGAGGACGTCGCCTGCGGGCAAGGAGAAGATGTCGCCATGGCCGGCCAGCTGGCTCAGACCCGATCCGGAGCTGTAGACGTTGGGTCCCACGATGCTGCCGTCCTCGATCGCACGAGAGACCTCGCAGCCCAGACCGGCCACGTCACGAAGGGACGTGTACCCCCGCTGCAGGGCCAGCCAGCACCCGCGCGTGAGACGTGCGCCGGACGCGGCGGGGTGCTCAGTGATGAAGACTTGGTACGGGTCGTTGCCGCCATCGTCATTGGGCGACTCGCCGCCGAAGTGAGCGTGGCAGTCCCAGAGGCCCGGCATAAGGTAAGGCACCGTATAGGATCTGTGAGGCGAGTCGGCGTATTCGGAGGGGAGGGAGGACTGCGGTCCGACCCAGGCGATCACCTTTGAGGAGATGACGAGGGCGCCATCTTTGAGAGGTTCGCCGTCGCCGGGGATGAGGAGTGAGGTCTTGATGATGACAAGTGTTGTTTTCTTGGTGGGTGAGAAAGGGGGTTCAGGGCCATCGGCGTAGTTTGGTCTGAAGGAACCGCCCATCGCTGGGGAGTAGATGTAGGCCGGTCTTTCAATGGGCCGTCGGGTCATTTTGTCTGTAATCTGCAATCGTCCTGGGATCCGAGAGAATCTGCAAACTCAACATACAGGACAGTTTGTTCGCATTTGTTATAAATGGAGTTGTAGCTGCCTGGTGAGCCGTGATCCTTTGCGTCTCGTAAACAGTTAGACCGCAGTCAGACCATAACCCTGATTAGGAAGGTCGTTGTTGGCCGCCGTTTTTTGGTCCATTTCTGATTGGAAATTGGAAGACATTTGCCTTTGGCCCAATCGCTTATCCGGTATCCCTGAATACCTACCGCAGACTGCGCTATCGGTCATTCACTGTTCTAACCAAACTCACAAATCCCCACCTCGCATGCTCACTGAGATCCCGACGCTTTTATGCTTAGTTGGGTAAGATTATTTACTCGCATAATTTATAAATGAATTTCGTATCTTTCCAGACGGGGAATCGCGGAAACAAGTACCCTTTTAATGGTCTTACGTTTTGCTACTTTGTTGACTTTGAATACTAACTTTCCTTTGAATAGTTGTTCTGAAAAGGGAGAAATGATATGTTCCATCGCACTTCGACTCCCATATCGTTGATAGTCAGTCGCCCTGCCTTACCAATCAAGTTGGTCCTCTGATAGGTATGCTTTTGTGTTCAAACATCATGGAATGTTGTGGGGGTAATGGCATTCTGGATCAATATTCAGATCACTAGGTCCATTTAAACCCCTTAAACACTTGAGTGAATGCTAAGCCGCGGGTCCTTGTTTCTAACCTGTCTCCTTCTGCTCAAAGTGAGTGCATGACATACCACATCGGTAATCCTGTATCATGAGAGTAGTCACCACTCTCGTTGGAAACTGGCGGTAGACACAGATAGGGGATGACATTTGGAACGTCCATGATAATCATGACGTCCAATTGGTCCTCATCCTGGACAGAAAAGGGCCTTCTTACGCATAGAATCTTTAGTGCTTAGCTGGTTCAGTGCAGAAACAAGGAACACTCTTAAGGCGACTTACAGTGGAGTTCCATCTCAGGGAAATAAAATGATACCGTCCCTTTTGTAGAACTGTGTGCGCTCGAATCACGCTGAAACTCCAAACTACTTAAGCACCGTATCCTGCGCCATTTTCTACTGCCCTAACTCAAAAGCAACCGGCGCCAGTGACCTGACGTCTTTGACATATTTATAATTCACCCAGGCATCTCAGTCATATATAGAACCACAAGCACTGCCTTTCTCAACTCTGCCAACGCTGCATATTTAGAACTGCCATGGCTGAGAGATTATTCACGACACAAAGCATCCCCATCTTTGATCGATGCATTTCCAGCCGACCTAGACTTCGAGGCTGTCTACTATATCCAAGCAACAACAACAAAGTTAACACAATGAAACCTCGAACTGGGACGTGCTTTCAATGACCTGACGACCACTAGCAGTAAGCACACAGTGCTAAAGCTCTTGAAAACGAAAAGGCGAAACACGAGGGGGTGCTGAGAGAGGGGAAACAAACAAGTGTGAAGGTTAGGCCGCTGACGACAGGCTAAATGTAGTTTTCAGGTGCAAAAAGTCATAAGAGCAAAACAATAGATGCGAATTTAAAGCCCACCTACGGCCTCCACTACGTCAGTTTTCCACCGTCAGGTCTGATCACAAAAGACTCGGCGTGAGGCGGGCATACCTTCTACATGAATAGCTACCAGGCTTGAGCCGAAAAGCCCCCAACGGACCTCATCTTTGGTCTTGACAAGGTGTGTCCGGAAGCTGGTACTCAATGCTGTTTGCTTTCACCCAACTTGAGCTACGTTGTACCCCGCCGACTCTATTCGGAAAGAGCAGCTTGTGATGTGCACAATGACCCTCCGGCACCGCTTGCAATGCTTGACAAGCTCCACTGCGTCCGGCCAACGTGTTGCGGCCCCATCGGCTAGTCCGAAACTGACGTGACCCTCCAAAGATATGTGCCTGAAATCTCGATCGAGCCACTGTAATAGGTGGGGGAGCCATGCTTATAAGCTTAAACCTGCCATTCGACATGTCCAGATAGTGGAGGGGGCACGCCGGTTTGGGAACAGATTATTATGCAAGGTCCCCACGAGACTGTTGACGTGCGGAGTTGAGGTTTTTAATTTTCAGTATTTAGATTGGAGTGACGAAGCATCACCCCCTCTCTTACTCTTGTTACTCCACCACCCTCCCTATCTTTCCTCCATAAATCAGCAAGCGACGAGAACAAACAGAAAGCAGACATGGGCAGCTTGAAGGGTAAAGTCATTGCCATCACTGGTGCGGCGTCGGGTATCGGAAACGCTACGGCGAGACACATCGCCTCTCTTGGCGCGCGTGTGTCGATATCGGATGTCAACGAGGAGCTTCTCTCCTCCGTTACGACGGAGCTCACGGGCCTCTACGGTGCGGAGAACGTTTATTCCAAGATTGTAGATGTGCGGGACCGAAAGGCGGTGGATGCGTGGATCGCCGAGACGGTCGAGAAGCTCGGGCCGCTCGACGGCGCGGCCAACGTCGCCGGTGTCCTCGGACGGCAGGGCAACAAGGCCAACGTCACCGAGATCGAGGATGACGAATGGGACTTTGTGATGGGCGTCAACGCGAGGGGTGTCCTGAACGCGATGAGGGCCGAGATCCTTTCGATGGGAGACGGTGTTAGGGGAAAGAGTATCGTCAACGTTGCGTCGGTCGCCGGGCATTATGGTTTGGAATTCCACGGGGCCTATACCGCGAGTAAGCATGCCGTTGTGGGCTTGACTAAGAGCGCGGCGAGGGAGTTTGGGCGGAAGGGATTGAGGGTCAACGCCATTTGCCCGTAAGTTCCCTTATCCGCGACACCGAGGTTGCAGCAAGCGAGCATGAATCCGAAACCGGCGGCTGACAACTTGATACCAGTGGTGCGATTGACACGCCAATCCTAAGAAAGGCAATGGAGACTGCGGGAACTGGAGCGGATGTCTTCCCGGCGCTCTTGGGGAGGATTGGAGAGCCCATGGAGATTGCCACGGCGATCACGTTTCTGCTTGGAGATGAAGCGTCGTACGTGACGGGTCAAGCTTGGTTAGTCGACGGAGGGTCGTTGCCATAGGGGCTGGGGATAAATGAGAGCGTAGAAAATGAGTTGATTACAGCCCGAGTCCTTAAGTCTCTGTGGTAAACTGGATGTAGTCGGTACCAACGTCACGTCCATGTCAACTTTGGGCAACTCGTGTTCGAGGGCGACTACGAATCTACTTGTGTCGAACCAACAAGAAGACTATTCATTCGCCATTGACGTTTTGGAATCATTGGTCGACCTATTTCTGAGCTGAGTGCTGACTGTACTTCCGAAGTGTTGTATGCTCGTTGTCGAAGAGTCATTGGTTCGGCTTATTGGCGAAGGGTCCGAGGGATTCAGGCGTCCCGCATTGGCCTTGGCTGCTGTTACCCTAGCATCTGACACAGCCCGAGAACGAGAACTTTGGTGCGAAGAGGGTGGCTGGCATAAATTTACGTAGTAAGGTGCAGGCAATGAGGTGGCAACGATTGAGAACCCCCCTGCGAACGACAGTGAAGTTATGGGGTCTAGCCATGATGACCTCAAGTAGACGGTATGAAGGGCAAGTACATCCCGCCGCCAGCTTTGGCTATTCTGCCGCCAATTGAACACACATCAATTCAAACATATTCACATTCCTGACCCCAATCATATCCTCAATCCGATGTCTTATACAAGCCCTAGCCCGACTCCTAATCTACATCTTGACTTCTACCCTACTAACTCTATATATTCGCTTATTTCTAATTCTTTAGTAGATCTTCAATATTGATTTCGGGAAATTGGGATGTTAGTGAGTGGAATGGGATTCGGCGGCGGATTAGCCAGAGCACCGCCTGTGACTAACGACGGCCCTTTCTGTTGACCACCCTACCCTGCATTTACTGATGTCTAGATCCATGTAAGCGACTCAAAGTATCCGTGTTATTTCCCAGAAGGCGGTGGAATAGCATCATGTCACATCAAACCAAGGCGATTGCTTGAAATAACGTCATTCATTGAGTAGTTTAAAATTTGGGTAGGATATTTTGCAAGCGAGTTGCCAAGGTGGTATCAAAGCAAAAGTGTGAACATGAGTATTATGTATAATGGCCGCTCCCCTTTTTGTAACCTCCGGCTAACCAACCGGCAAACAAGCGCATTCTTATAGTGACGTTGAGATGATTCGAGGCCCTCAAAGAATCCTTCAGACGGTCTTCTCGGGGAGGGAACTGTCGGCGCAGCTGCCGGGGACACCGTCGTGGCTGTTCGGCGAAATGTCCGAAACGTGGCGGGTGACCTCGACGTAATCGTAGGCGAACTCGCCGAGCTGGCAGTCATCGAGGCCGAGGTCCTCGTCGTCGACATTGACACGGAGGCTCAGGCCGGGAATGAAGTTCATCAGGAAGAGGATGAGGCAGGTCAAGACGAAGGACCAGGTGAAACCGGCGACGGAGCCAGCGAGCTGGTAGCCGAGCTGAACATAGTGATGCTCGATCCAGCCGCCGGCGATGGCGTTCTCGCCAGTGTAAGCACCGTCGAGGGCAGTAATGTAGGAGCTGTGTTGACGGTTAACGAGACTGAGGGACACGAAGATGTAGAAATGGAAAACTTACGCAGCAAAGATACCGGTGAGGATGTTGCCGGCGATACCACCGATGCCGTGGACAGCAAAGATGTCCAGACCGTCGTCAATGCCGAGAACAAACTTGAGCTTGGTGCCGAAGTTGCAAACAGAGCCACCGACGATACCGAAGATGACGGAGGCCCAGGGTGTAACGAAACCGGCACCGGGCGTGATGGCAACGAGGCCGGCGATGGCACCGGAGCAGAAGCCAATGGTGGACCACTTCTTCTCGAGGCGGTAGTCGAGCAGCATCCAGGTGACACCGCCGACACCGGCGGCGAGGTTGGTGTTGAAGCAGGCCATGACAGCGCGGAGGTTAGAGGCAAGGGCGGAACCGCCGTTGAAGCCGAACCAGCCGACCCAGAGGAACACGGTCCCGAGGACGACATGGGTAACGTTGTGGGGACGGTAGGGAAGGCCGTGAACCTTGTTGTAACCGGTGCGCTTGCCCAGCATCAGAGAGTAGGCAAGGGCGGCGGCACCAGAGGAGATGTGGACGGGGGTACCTCCGGCGAAGTCAAGGGAGCCGAGAATGAACAGCCAGCCTTTGGAGTTCCAAGTCCAGTAGGCAATGGGGTCGTAGACAATGGTGGCCCAGATGAAGGCAAAGACCATGGCGGGAAGAATGCGGCCGCGGTCGGCAATGGCGCCGAGGGCAAGCGCGGGACTGGAGGTTTGTTAGATGCCGAGTCATGACTCCGCCCTCCTGTCCGAACTCGAACAGACGGCTTATTTTTCCATCCTTGAATCAGGAGGTGTAACTCACGTAATAGCGGCGAACATGCCCTGGTACAAGCAGAAGAGAATGTCGGGAATCTTGCTGGAGCCCACAGAGGGTTGAGCGACGACATCCCTGAGGCCAAAGTTGGACATGTCACCGAGGAAGACGGAGCCGGTGTGAGAGAAGGTCAATGTGTAACCCCAGAAGAACCATTGGAAGCCCACTACGCCGACGCATATCATCGACATTAATATCAAGGACAGCGCGGACTTGCGACGAGCAAGGCCCGAGTAGAAGAAGCCGACACCGGGGATCATGAGCAGCACGAGAGCTGCGCAGACCATGATCCATGCCAGGTCACCGGACTATTTCCTTTCAGTTAGAAGCGCACACGGAAGCGAGCCTGCGGAAGGTGACTGTCAACCCACCTCGTAGAAGACGTTGAGGTCTTGAACCCCAGAAGAGTAGCCGGCGTCGGCCCTCCCCTCCGTACCATTGTACGGAAGGGCGTAAAGACCGGCAGACATGATGACTGTTGCGCACCGGCGCGTATGTGGTCAATGAGGTTGAGCTGCGCGCGGTACGGTGCGTCCGGAGGTCTTCCACTTTCGCAGGGGGGTGGGCAAGAGTTCTCAGATGCGGCGAACAGACGTCGAAGGCTGAGGTACTGCAGGGAGAGGAGGAGGGAAGAAAGGAAGGGAGAGGCACAGGTGTGATGTGTGCGCTGGGAAGCCAAAGGCTAAATAATCAGAGGGAGCATGGGTGTTCCATTGAGGACCGAGGGCACACTGTAGGTATCTCTGGATGGGTCCGGACAGGGTAGGGATATGCAGCCCAGACCGCTGGTGCGGGTAAGATTGGAGAGTTTGGACAAAGTAGTGATCAACTGGGGCGGAGGAAACTCATTGCCCAGCTCTGTATTACTCGTTCGTCTGGAACACCAATGGCGCAAAGCCAAGGGGTGGGGAGCAAAGCATAAAAAAAGAATGAGATGGATTCAAGCTGCAGACAAGGAGGAGGAGGAGGGGGCAGAGCCATGTCTTGGTTGGAAGGACTACCTACCCAATCCTCCTGATGCGGTGGTACGAAGTTGGCTGGTTGCTTAGAGCTTCATCTGAAGGGTCTACCCAATCCACGTCAATGGAGTTGTTGTACCAATTGTGTGCACCACATGCCTCTTGACCCCATGTAGGTACACATGCCCCCCATGCTTCCAGGACCGGTGGGTCGTTGGAATATGTGGACACTGATAAGGAATTTGGAGACAGGCCATGGTGGGATTCGGCTTAAGGCTAATTCGAGCCATTAAGCCGGGGGTGTCTTGGCAGAACTTGGCCACCAAACACGCTTCCCTCCGTTTTGCGATGGGCTCCGCATCGTCCAAGTCTCCAGAGGCGTGGTCAACCTCTGGAGACCGAGGTACCTACTTGGATGGGTAGAGGTAGAGGTAGAGGAACGCGCCAAGACGTGGCTTGAACTTTGCTCATCATCTGTCGCTGTTGGTCCGTCCAAGGTGACAAAGGTCAGTTAATTCCGGAGGACAAGCCCCCTCCGCCCGTCGTCGCATGTTGACATTGGACGCTGCATGCTCGGCCGGGAGGGACAACAGTTTTCCAAATCTCCCACAACGCCCGCCGTGCGACGTGGTCCAGACGTGTTGGGACGGACATCTCTGGAACCGAGACAGCCAAGCCTGCAGCGAGCAGGCGATCAGGGCAGTTCGAGATGAGGGCAGTGTAGGGAATTAGTGCTGCCCAGGTCTTACCCATGATCTCCGGTCGCTTGGCTTGGCCGCGGCCGGGTGGGGACGTTTTCCGGCGGTCGCAAGTATGGGCGGAACGGGACAGATGCCCCCTTTGGTCGACCGGTGGTGTGTTCTAGAGGTAATTATCAGGCGAGGACGGCTTCTCCATAACATGCTGCCGCAGCAATGAGAGAGACCTGCCTCTAATGATAACTTGCCGGCGCAGCTTGCGTTTGTGAAATGAACGACATGCATCGCACGCTCAGAATGGCAATGGTTAGTGGTACCATATGTTGCGCACAGCCCCCCCTCCCAGCTACACCAAGCAGCAGGTGAGGCGCTCGTCGTGGGTGGCCTGATGGAGCGGGTGATCAACATGTTGGCGAGCAAGCCGCAGCACCGGCTCGTATCTGTGACGTGCTAGCTATCCCCCCCCCACCCCCCCCCCAGTCGTACGTGGCCAGAGGAACAATGCAAATCTCGAGTCCACTTGATGCAGCCGCGGGGCGCTTGGTGATTGCTGCGGTCCACGGGTTCTCGTCAACCCGCCGTTGGGGGGGGTTGACGAAAGTAGCTTAGCGCGCCATGTGTGTGTTTGCTGAGACGTCGAGGTTAAGTTGAAGCGTGTCGCCGTGATAGGAAAGCTTTCTTTCCCGCCCAAGATACCCGCGGTGTGTTGTACATGCGCGGGAAGAAGAAAAGAAACGGCTCTAGCTAGAACCTATGATGGATGATATGCCGCATCTGCGACAACACGCAGACAAGGGGAGGGCGTCGAGAGAAGAAAGCCCCATGTCGCAGATGGATGATCATGACGGTAAATTGTCAGTCGCGTCTGGCAAACGGTCCAAGCCGTCGACAGGTTTTCTTGGTGTTGCAATGATTGTCAGCAAACGCTAAAGAGTGGCCGCTACCTTGTTGTGAAGGCGCCACTTGGCGAAGCTGAGTGTAGAGGTAATACGAGCACCTAAGAGAAGAGCGATAAATCCGAATATTCATAGATGGCAGCACAACCAACACTGATTGGGGATGGCTGTACGGATAAGCTGGCGTAGTATCCGTGAAGCTATCATGGATCAAGGCAAGCCAGGATTACACGGCGGTGCTCGGTGGTTGGGCCGCGATAGCTATATTTTCCCTATCGATAGACAGGGACCCTCGCCGAGGGAAGCTTTGGAAAGCGATTCGAAGTCGATAGCGTATTATTGTGGCGTCCCTATGCGTCGATCGTGTGAGAGTCTCGCGGGGAAAGCATGAAAGCATGCCAAGCATTCTGTCTGTGAATGCTTCGATTCAAGAGCATAGCCATACCGTAGCGCAATCGTACACTTTTCACATATCCGTACGGAGTATCCGTATACCCCAACATATCATCAGATGCCTCTACAGATACGGAGTACGGAATACGATGTACACAATCCGTACCTACTCACTTGTGTGTAGTGTATGGCTACGTACCCTTGTACCTATGTACCCTTGTACCGTAGGCCCAAAGGAAAGCAACAATAGGTAGGATTATGGTAGGATAGAAGTTGGTTTGTCCATTTGGAGAAGCTGCCACCCGGTTAAAGCATCGTCATTGGCCGACGTTTCTTATCTCTCGGCACAGTGGGTCATATCCATGTTAGCGCCATCTTGGCGCTGATAAGGCGAGGACGAAGGTTCAAGGCAGGGACCAGCCTTCCTGGCCCGGGCATGTCGGGCATTTCTTTCATCAAACGTCTTTCCCTTTTCGGCCTGACCTCCTCCTTGCACGTCCACAGTTCCCATTCCAACGGTTGTCTCACTTCCATAGGTAGGTAGGTACCTCTACTCTAGGTAGGTGCGGAATATTTGTATTATTCTCATTGAGAAGTCCCCTTTGTGTAAAATTAGTCTTTTGGTTTATCATGCCGCCCTCCATCACTCCGTACCACTGGCAAAGTTTACAATAACAACAACAAAAACAGACAGCTCAACTATACTAAATCTTCGTCACGTAGTTGACAGACCTGTGTATCTCCAAAGACCCCCCACCCCCGGCTACCGGAGGTCCTGTTTAACGTGGCGCTAGCAGCAACTAACTATCCGTACTGTTGCCAAAGAAGCCGGCTATGGCGGCTTCTTTTTGTCATGTTGATATCGGAGACATGTCGTTAGATATCCACAAGATAAGACTGCACCCACTGATTAGCCTAAATTGTCCTACTCTCTCCCTTTATCTTTGTTCTTCATCAGCCCTGTCTGATTGCTATCAGCTCCGTGGAGCTGGAACAGGACCAAAATATTACTCAGTCCCGTCCCTCCCCAGCTTCCCTTGAAGTCAAGTTTATGTCTTTTGGAAGCCTTGGCGCGACAAGACAAACTTGGGACATCCTCGTCTCTCCGCTTCGTTGTCTCCAGAGTACAGCAAACCGAGGTTCGAAGCGTGCGATCCTCGTTTGTCTAGCCAAACATGGGTACGGATACCTAGATGTGTCGGGTTGGCGAGCACGACCTCTAGAGGGTGACACGGCGACCACTCGGGAAGCTTTGATTAGAGTTCTTAGATCCCATCCGTTCATACTCCCGTCGTCCCGTGGCCATGGTTCTGTCCCCGTGCCCTGCATCTTTGCGGGCGTTTCTTTGCCCATTTGCCAGCCTAGGCCGGCGCCTAACCGCCCGTCATCCACTCATCCCAGCTGTATGTGTCGTGGTGACGGGCGCTCTCCATGCACGTGCTTGCGGGCGCAACCAGCAACTCATCTATATATTCACGTCTGCACTCCGTCCTGCTACGTCCTCATATATCTCTGGTGGTTTCGACACAACTAAGGACCAATGTTGTGCATCTCGGCTTCAGTTTGAATATCTCACTCTCCTCTAGAATCACGAGTCCATGGCATCAGCAGTCGGCCAACATCTGTCATCTGCCAACGAAGAACTAGTTACGACGAGACATTGAGAACCGAATCTTCAAGTCAGGCTAGGGGAGGCTTGCAGACAGATCATAGCCCTTCCTTCAACATCCCAACTCCGTATAGTTATCTCAACACGCGTGCGCCCATATGCAGCAGACCTATCCAAGGTCGCGATGCCTTGAGTTGTAAAGTATAAAGGTTCTGGCCTCTGGCCATGACCACAGTGCACTGAACACTATAAGTCCATTGCAGAAAACAGAAAATGAAATACACTGTTACGTCACTCCCTGGCCGACGGTTCCAATCTCAATGAATACATTCTTCCGGCCATTCTTCGTCACGCCATACTCTTTATGACATCCTCCAGCCTCTTCTCGACTTGCTCGATCACCGAGTGTTCTGCCAGGGCGTTTTCGAGCCTGGATTGGGTATCGTCTCTCTTGTCTGCCTCTAAATGTCTGTATTCGTCGTCGAATACTGTTTTGACAAGTTCTTCGACTTTCTCATTTGATTTCAGACATTCCATGAATGATCGTAGTTGCCTGGATGTCGAAAGGAAAAAGTGCATCCTATGGGACTTTGACGATGTGCTGCTTTACGCACTCACGCTGAGATTCTTAAACATTGCCGAGAATGGATTTGAGCTTCCGTTGCTCAGATGCTGGGGTTGTATCCAAGGGGGATCTAAGTGTGTTTCTATGAAGGCAGTACCCTGCAAGGGAGTGTCGTCGCCTCCCGGCCCAGCTTGACGCTCGCTAACCTGACCATCTCGTGCTCTAAATAGAAGCGAGCCAAAGGGTTTGTGGAGTTGGCCTTTATGATCCTCAGCATACTGCGCTTCCTTTTCCTCGGTGATCAAGCCAAGAAATTCACCGTCATCTGGCTGCTCCAGGTTTCGAACATGAGCAGCTCCCATAGTGACCCAATCAGTATCGAGAGTTGCAGAATATTCTAGTGCCGAGCCCGCTTCCGACAGGAGACTGGTAGATGCATTATTTCAATAATGTTAGTACTACGTATGTATGTTGTCGCCCCCATACCCCCTACGACCTACTTACTTAAACTAATCACAGTGAAGACGTGAGGAGCTCTTGTTGCCGATCATTGCTTACGTACGTGCCCACGTTGTTTAGAAGGATTGCTCTGTGCCTCTCTTTATCCCTCACCCTACGAGATTCGGGAAGCTCCAATTTCATTTGTGTCCTCGCGTGAGGACCAGATCCTTTCCTGGCCATACGATAACCCCCTTATAGCAACGAAACCCTTAATAATTCACTAGGCTTCATATAATATTCTGCGACCTAGCATGAATAATGTGTCGAATGTCTGCCACGATGAGCTTTTTGGGCCAGTCGTCGCCACGGAGTCTTGTTGAGGCGGACTTGACTTTACAGGTACGCAGCCCTTGAATGATAATGCGATACTTTGTAGCTAGTTACTGACATGATCTTTCTACCGTGCTATTTGAAGAAAGCGTCCTGTCTATCCTGCTGTCGGCTGGGTTTCTCCTAATTGCCCCTGTTCAGGTGGCCTGTATCTTTAAGGCCGTTTCGGCTGTGAGGCCGTTACTACTTCTATCGATGTTTAAACTCGTTTGTACTTCTTGGCTACTCTTGTTGTTACACTTTGTTGTAATTATTAACAAGTTCATGTTATTAACATAGGCTGGTAGGTATTGACTCTTGTTTATGCTGGACTTAACTTAGCCTTGCTGATCTTATGGGCTTTGGGACATGGATTCACCACTCGCGCAACCCTGGCCTCATCCGTGTTAAGTCTCTGCGCCGCTCTTACACTCACTGTCCTGTCCTAAGTTCAACATGGCAAAAGTCCACGACCATCTTTATAATTACTGGTTATCTCATAGTATCACTACCCCTGAACGGCGCGCGTGTCCGAACTGCCTGGCTCCTGGCATTGGACAAACATCTCATGCCAGCCATTCTTACTGCTGCTCTAGCCGTCCAGGTTCTGATTCTTATCCTAGAGACCAGGAGCAAAAGGAAAATCCTGGCTGGTGCGTGTCGCAGCTTCTCACGCGAGGCAACAAGCGGCCTCCTCAGTCGTGGGCTTTTTTGGTGGTTGAGACACTTGCTTTCTGATGGATCCTGACGTATCTTGGCTGTTGAAGATCTCGAGTCCATTAATGAAAAGCTTAGATCTTTTAAGCTTTCGAGTGAGCTACAGGTTTGGTGGATGAATTAAAGTGTGAGAAATATTTGAGCCCTCTTGCACCGAGATTGTTATCTAGTACTCTGACCTTGACTCACGCATCAGAGAAAGTAAACCATAATCGGCACAAGCACGCCTTAGCTCTGGCTATGCTGTCGGCCTGGCGGTTGGAACTTGTCAAGATTGCGCTTCCCCGTCTTTGTCTGGTTGCACTTAGCCTTGCACAGCCTTTCCTTATCCACCAGATCGTAGAGACTATATCGGCTCCTGTCAGTCAGCAAACTTGGAACCAAGGATATGGACTGATCGGTGCTGTGACTTTAGTCTATACAGGGATACCCGTAAGCTCAACTTTCTTCCTCCCGCCTGGGTTACTGCCTATTAGATACATATGTCATAAGATTATAACAGGCTTTTATTAGCACCTTTCCTTTTAACTTATGGCTATAGTTAGGGGCGGCCTTGTTTCCCTGATCTATGAGAAGATTGTGTAATCGCTGTTGACGTAAGTTGGTGACTCTGCTGTGATGACCTTAATTAGTACAGACGTCGAACGAATCTGCGAGACGTGGCATCTTGTGGTTGCTGAAAGTCGGGCGAGTGTTATTTAGCTTGCTTTTGCTGTGTGGTTCTTATAGATGCAAATTGGTCTTGTTTGTATTACTTTAGTTATTGTTGTGTTGGGTAAGTTAGTGTACTTATGTTGATTGGGCTTAGAGTTGCTTTATTTATTGGTTTATGTTGCTAACTTTACGACTTGGTAGTGGCGACCGCTATGTCAATTAGAGCGGCTGAGTTTGTGACTGCACGCCAGAAGGTCTGGCTTGAGGCGGTTTAAGCGAGGGTTAACTTTACTGTATACACCCTGGGCTTGATGAGAAGTATAAAGATGTTGGGCCTTAGTAACAAATTTGAATTTCTTATATAGGGTATGCGTGTTACTGAACTGGACCTCTCTAAGAGGTTTAGGCGCTTGTCTAGCTTTAATGTCTGCCTCGGTAAGCTGAAACGCACCTCTAAGTTGATCTAGTATAGGCACTAATGAATCCTAGTAAACTTACCCTTGCTGTTCTCCTAGTCCTTCACATTTGCTGCCTTTGTAGTTGCCGCTAAAGTTTAGGGTAACAGCTTTGTGATGGTGTTGCAGGTAGTTACAGCCCTGTCTATTCTCTCTATCCTTATGGAGCCTCTAGGCAAGCTGTTAGTGGTGATTCCTTAGGTATATGCTGCCTTGGGTTGCTTCTAGAGAATTCAGGACTTTCTTGCTAGTGAGTCCTGGGACGACAAACGACTGCCTGAATGCCCGCTAGAAACAACGAATCTCGAGAGCCACGATGAGCCGGACACGATTCAGACGCCTTTAGGCTATAACCATGTGGAAATGATTCCACGTTTAAAACTAACACTAAAAGAGCCTTTTCCTTATACGATCTTCAACTCCGACCATGTGATTATCGATAATGCTACCCTTGGCTGGCGAGGTTCTGGCCCTGTAATCAAAGACATATCACTGCGCATTGGCCTAGATTATTATCTTACAGTCATTTTGGGACTAGTCGGCTGTGGCAAGTCTACAATTCTAAAGGCGATTCTTGGCGAAGCCACCATGTTCAACGGCTCTGTCTGGATCAGTAGCAAGGAGTTAGCCTATTGCGATCAAAGCCTGTGGGTTTTGAACGGCTCTGTCTGAGAAAACATTGTCTCGGGAACTGACTTTAACGCTGCTTGGTATAATACTGTTATTCACGCTTGCGCTTTACAAGTGGATCTGCTGCAGTTATCGGACGGTGACACGACGAATGTCGGGAGTAAAGGGGTTTTGCTTAGCGGTGGGCAGAAGTAACGCCTGGTAAGAACTGCCTTGGCGCCTGACAATTGTATTGCGTACTAAGATAAAACAGACGTTAGCTCGGGCACTTTATGCGCACAAGCCTATCGCTGTTCTGGATGATGTACTGAGCGGCCTGGATGCCGGCACCCACGACATCGTCACCACGCGTGTCTTCGGAGCTGATGGACTGATCCGGAAGCTGGGTATGGCAGCCATTTTGGCCACTCATTCTGGTGAGTAACAATGAGTTTTGAATAGCTCATATAGAGTTTAGAAAATCGTGTCATTCCTACTAACGACCACACACAGTGAGCCTATGCGCCGTCGCGGACCAAACTATCATACTTGACGACCAAGGACAAATCATTCAGCAGAGCTCCTCTGAGAATATGGATTCTCTTACGCCACAGCTAGCCGGAGACAATGACTCTTCGGTGAGCTTAGGAGATAGCCCACCTCCTAAGATTTCAGCTGGTGAAACCCAGGGCTCAAGCACGAAACGAGATGACAGCAGACAGGTGGGCGACTTGTCCATCTATCTATACTACGTCTCGTCAATGGGATGGCTCAGCTTCGCCTTGTTTGGTATCTTCGTAACTTCGAACGTGGCATCTAGCACCTTGCAATGTAAGCATGCTCCTTCCATCAGATCCGCCCCTTTTTGTCAGTGCTGGTGTACTGCCATTCAGCCGCAGTAAGTCAGGCTTGATGCTTATCCGGGTGAGTACAGATGCATGGGTCACACTATGGGCCCAAAGCAGCGACGGATCGCAAGCATCACGGCTCGGCTACTGGCTTGGGTTATATGCACTTTTTGGTTTTTTTTACTGCGGCCGGTCTTATTTCTGCGGTCTAGTGAGTTCTTCTTCTACGGTATCATACCTGACTTCTCAAAGCCTGGAGGCTCACCAAGCATCATGCTTGAAGCTTTTATGCTAGTAAATATACCCAGCTACATGTACGTGGTGATCGTACCTAAGTCTGCACAGTCTCTCCACTTGACTGTGCTTCGGGCAGTTGTACGGTAAGATCTCCGAATTCTTGTTGCCAGTGGCTTGTTCATGTTCTTACGGTAACGACAGAGCTCCAATGTCTTTTCTCGCCAAGACCGACACTGGGGTGTTGGTTAATAGGTATGTCATGACTTTCGCGTAAGACAACAAGAGTATGGACTAACCCATGAGTATTTCTTCCCCCTGACAGGTTCAGTCAAGACATGCAGTTGGTTGACATGACTCTACCCGGGGCACTCGTGAATGCGAGCTTTCGTCCGTAGCAACTTTAACGCAATCCTCTAGGAAGCTGGTCGCTAATTTGAGAATCATAGAGCTTGCTGCGTGTTTCGTAGTTGCAGCGTTGGCCATTGTCGCTGTTTCCTACTTCGCAGCGGTACTGCCCTTTGTCGTCTGCGCTCTCTTCTGCCTCCAGCGCTTTTATCTAAGGACATCTCGGCAGCTTCGACTACTAGAGTAATGCCTATTGTTACCTCGCAAACGATATGAAGTACTAATGCTGGTTTAGCCTGGAAGCGAAAGCACCTCTTTATTCTCACGTTCTGGAGTCTCTCCAGGGCATCGCCACTATCCGAGCATATGGCTGGACGAGCAACCACATCGCCAAGAATATCGCCATCCTCGACAGGGCCCAGAAGCCTTATTACTTGCTCCTGTGCATTCAACGATGGCTGACTCTTGTATTGGGACTGACGGTCGCTGGGCTCGCGATACTGCTCACCACCCTAGGCGTCACGCTCCGCAGCAGACTGGACGCTGGTTTCCTCGGCGTTGCCCTTGTCAGCATGATGAATATTGGCCAATCCTTGGCTGCACTTATTACCTTTCGGACCTTGCTTGAGACGTCCTTGGGTGCCATTTCGCGCGTGAAGACTTTCTCTGAGGATACCCCGACCGAGAAACCTCGCGAGATTATGGATTCAAGAATGATCGCTGGCTGGCCGTCTCAAGGATCGGTGGTCATTGAGAATTGGTCGGCTCACTATAATGGGTATATATATCTCACTTTAAACTTTCTGGAGTTTTGTACCTATTTAAAGTAGTAGCTAACATCATAACACAGTCACCCCGTGCTTCGCAACATCGATATTTCGATTCAGGCTGGGGAGAAAGTTGCCATATGCGGCAGGACAGGAAGGTAGGAGTCACAAGCATGAATTATTCCACAAGCCTTATGATGAGAAACTTGCTAACAGAAGTGTCGCAAGTGGCAAAACCTCACTTCTTTTATCCCTGCTTGGCATGGCCGAGGAGTCTACCGGGAAGATTGTCTTAGACGATATCGATCTTGCATTAGTACCTAAAGATATCACCTGCTAGAAGCTTATGTCTCACACAAGACCCTTTCTTGTTTGGCGGGAGCGTCAGACTGAATGCAGATCCGCATGGCGAGGCTACAGATACTGATATTATCTCTGCCCTGCAGAGGGTTGGGCTATGGGATATCTTCCGATTAAAGGAGAGCCTAGAGACCTCTCACCCTCTAGAATCCTTAATACTTGATATGAAGATGGAAGAGGACTTCTTGTCCTAAGGGCAAAGAAAGCTTTTCTGCCTCGGCCGTGCGCTTTTGCGCAAGAGCCTGGTCCTGGTTTTAGATGAGCCGAGCAGCGGGTAAGTAACAGACCCTCCCTCTCCTTGCGTTCATATCTGAAAAAAGATATTATGATAGAGTATGAAAGCTGACACTAAGTATTACTTATGATTCACAGTGTGGACGCTAGCACCGAATCTTATATAGAAGCTATCGTTAAGTCGGAGTTTGCGACTAGCACTGTTATCATGGTAACGCACAGTCTCGCTGGTGTCTGTAAATTTGATAAGGTTGTTGTTCTAGATGGGGGCGTGTTAATTGAGTACGGTGAGCCAGAGGAGCTATTGGCGAGGGTTGATGGGGCATTCGCGAAGCTCTATGCTGTGCAACGTGGAAGACCCGAGACTTCTTCTGCATAAGCAGGGGTGATATTATCACGCGGCGGTAGATCGCAGGAACTAGGGAAGCACCGCACTAACAGCATCCGCTGGGGTTCGTGGTGACACCCTTGTGAGGGTGCTGCTAAATGTCGACGTCGAAAGGTGGTGGTAACAGAAAGAAAGAGAAGGGGGGTGGGGGGTTAGGAAGTGATCTCTAGAATTAAAGTGTAAGCTAGAGGCTGCCTAAGACAGATGTTCGGAAGGGTAAAAGCGATCTCGCTGCTGGATCTTCTCATTAATGTCATTCTATTTAGAAATTGACCCAGCCATCTCATGTTCACCATAAGACGAGATATAACCTGCCGAATTGGTCAAGATCCACCCGCAATTACATGAGGCCGTTGTTATCAAAGACATTCAGCAGATGGGCCGGGACAAGCCGCACATTGACGTTGCACTTCTCTCACTGAGGGGGGAATCGACGACGCATGTGGCCCGACGAGCTTTCACCCCTGCTCGGCTGTTGTCTTGGGCAGTACAAAAGCTCCTTGCCAAGATTACCTGTCCACTAGCAAAAGAAGAAACTTGGGCACATATGTCGACATTGACCAATCCCATCGTAGACGACGCGTCGTTGTCTATGATTGGAAATGATAAGATGGCACAGCAGTGCTAGACCAACTTGGCAGCAATTGCCAATGGAATAAGCGTGGAAAGCTTACTCGGCTCCCAGTTGCCCCATCGAGCTCACTCACATCAGCCTTGGATTGCTTTGCGCCCCGTTCAGTCGGGCCAAGGCCTCTGATTGATTGAGGTGCACGAAAGAAGCAAGGCTAATGTAACCGAGACTCTCCTTGCCCCAAACGCTGCAGCGAACCACCTGCTGTGTAGATTACCTTCCTAATCAAGAGAGTGAATCCGGGGGTAACACAGAACTCAAGCACGGAGAGAGGCCGAGAGCAAACCAATGCCCACCCTGGTGATCAACATCGCACCAGCATCATCATGCAGCTACACGGGACCGGGGGTACTCGTCAGTTGGACCTGGCTTAAATGATAGAAACGGCCAGGCTACTCTGATATAACCTGCGCGCCGCCTCATTACTTTGCCAAGTTTTCTGTCTTCTCAGGCACCGCTCGACAGATCCTTCACCCTCAACCAAGGCTCCCCTCCCCGTCCCCGATAACGAGGCGACAATGAAAATCTCTCACGCCTGCACCCTCCTCTCCCTCGCCTGGCTGGGGGAGACCTGCCTCCTTCCCGGGGAAGCCTCGGGCCGCCGCATCGGCCGCCGCCAGGTCACAAACCCCAATAACACGGGCGCGGCCATCGGCACCGGCGACCGATTCGACGGCGGCAAGAAGTTCCCCCGTGGCCTTGGCTCCCAGCCCGCCGGCACGAACCTCGAGTCTCTCCTCAACGTTGACGAGATCAAGAGCGCCGTCCGTGGCCTGGTCGAGGAGTACGACATTGAGTACTTTGAGTCCCCACACAAGACTTATCAGAACGCCTCATTCTTCGGTGCAAAGGTCGGCGGCTCCGGCGACTGCAGCGATGTGTACCGCGTGTACTTCAACGCCGCCATCCACGCCCGAGAACGCGGCGCGTCCGACAATATCATCTACTTCATCTCGGACCTGCTGTACGCGAACAAACACGGAGAGGGCCTTGCTTTCGGCGGTCGTGTGTACTCCAATTGCGATGTCCAGCGCGCGCTGTCAACGGGCATCGTCTTCACGCCCCTGAGCAACCCCGACGGCGTGGCGTACGACCAGGCGACGCACAGCTGCTGGCGCAAGAACCGCAACCCCGCCGCGTCGGGAGGCGACCCGGACGCCGTCGGCATCGACCTGAACCGCAACTTCGACTTCCTCTTCGACTTCCTGCAGGACTTTGCGCCCACCGTCGGGCCCAACGTCGCGTCGGACCAGCCCGGCGCCCAGACGTACCACGGCACCAGCGCCTTCTCCGAGCCCGAGACGAAGAGCATCAAGTGGGTGATGGACGGGCACAAGGAGCTGCGGTGGTTCATGGACATCCACAGCTTCGTTGGCGTCGTGCTCTATAACTGGGGCAGCGACGAGAACCAGCTGCGCAAGCCCTACATGAACTTTTTGAACGACTCGTACGACGCCGTAAGGGGCCTGATGCCCGATACGCCGTCGACCGACGGCATCTACGGGGAGTACGTCCCCAGCAGCGACTGGTCAGAGAAGGTGTTTGCGGCTATGCGCATGGGGAACGCCATGGACGCTGCCGTGGGCCGGCATTACGAGGTTCAGCAGAGCGCGTACCTGTACCCGACGTCGGGCGCCAGCGACGACTACGCCTACTCGCGCCACTTTGCGGACCCCTCGCTCGGCAAGATCCACGGCTTCACAGTCGAGTTTGGTTTCGGCAACGACGAGGTCGAGTGCCCGTTTTACCCCACGCCCGCCCAGTACCACCAGAACCTGCTTGAGACGGGCGCCGGCTTCATGGAGTACCTCCTTGCCGCGTCAGAGATAGGCGTTGGCGAGCCTGCCTCCTGTGCGACGTGAGAGGAGCAGGGAGAATAATAATTACTGAGAGCGGGGAGATCTATGACGTTGCGGGCAACCCGGATACCAGAGAATGACTAGAGTCAGCTCCCGTTATCCTGTATTACTAGGGAATGCCAAAAGGCTTAGAAACGACCCCATAGGTAGATATTACTTCAACGAGTCAATGAACGACGTCATGGTGCATTCGAGTGAGGAAGTACTTAACATGTCCCGTATCTGCCTTAGGAAGAGAGAAAGAGAGAGGTCGATTCCGGATTCTCTGTTGCCTATAATCTCTACAAGAACAAAAGCAATAATTCACCAAGGTCAGTAGAATCAAAGTACAGAAGCAAAGTACAATCGGCAAAATCAAAAAGATTGGAGCTATGACCGTGGCAGGGCTCGAACCTGCGACCTTCTCGGGATCAAGTGCACATACTTGTGAACGAGAAATCATAATCCACTAGAACACACAGCCGATTATTAGATGTTAATCGATATTTTAGTAACTAATAGATATTAGTCAATAACCCCGCTTTCCTTGGCACCACTTCAACATCCACCAACGCTACAAATCTCAATCGTGGCGTGGTAATTCACCCTGCAGAATGACGCCCAGAAGCAACAAGTCGTTCGAGGATCCCTTTCGAATCCTCGTCTTCAGCAAGACGTCTGACTACCGCCACGATTGCATCTCCGCCGCCGTCTCGGCTCTGGAATCCCTCGGCGCCCGTTCGGGGCTCTTCACCGTTGACGCAAGCGAGGACGCTGAGGCTTGCATCACCCCGCGGTCCCTCGCCGCGTATCGCACAATCGTCTTCCTCCATTGCACGGGGCCCTTTCTGAACGCCAATCAGATCGGCGCGCTGAGGGGCTACGTGCAATCCGGCGGCGGCTTCGTCGGCGTGCACGCCGCCGCAGCTGGCCTTCTGGAGGATGACTGGTACGGCAGGCTCATCGGCGCGCACTTCGACCACCACCCGCCCCCTGAGGAGGCGGCGTGTGTGGTTGAGGATCCGGGGCATTTCGTTATGAGGCGGGGCTTGGACCCCGGAAAGACATTGACGGGAGCGGCCGATGTGACCCGGAAACGATGGACCGACGAGTGGTACAATTTCCGGTCGCATCCCAGGGAGAACAAGAATCTCCATATCCTGATCAGGGGGGACCCGTCAACCTTCGAGGGTGGCGCCATGGGTGACGATCACCCACTTGCATGGTGCCAGGAATTCGACGGCGGACGGTCATTCTACTCGGCCCTGGGCCATTTCGAGAAATCCTACGAGGATGAATGGTTCATGGACACGATTTACAATGCCATTGTATGGACTGCTCGTCGCGAGGATGACGTACGACCAAAATCGCCATCGTCCTCTGTACGATAAGTGTCGAATAAACACTGAGAACATGGATCATGATTACAAGTGACACAAAGAGCCTGATGGGTATCTAAGCGGCGACGCCGTGAATTGCCTCAAATACTTTATACTAATATATATATATATATACATGTATATATGTACAGAATCACAGCACGCATCAAGGCAACTGACTAGTCAGCCTGTCTGTCACTAACCCCCCCACTGAAGCGCACCTCTAGCCTGGACTCAAGAGGTTCTGACCAAATATCGTGCTTGAAGTCGGGGATGTGTAGCAGGATGCCTAGTTCTTGACTCGTGTACCAGCTGGCCCGATCCAGGTTGCCGGAGCCCAGGCAGAGGTACTCCCTGTCGACGAGTGTCATCTTCAAGTGCGATACAACCGGTTCCTCAAGGTCTCGCACCGCCGTAGCCTGCAGGTTCGGGCGGTAGTAGTAGATGTCGAGGCGGCCGGGACGTTGCACCTGAGACTCGGTATCGGCTGATCGTTTCCTGTCCCACTCGGCGCAGGCTTGACTGTATCGCTTAATGAGCGATCGCAGTGTCCATTCCGTCGTGGTGCAGGCCGTGACGAGCTGCTCGATTAACATCATGTTCTTACTCGTTCTGATGCGGACGTCGACGCCGCGGCGCAGAGCGTCCAAGAGGGCGTCACTAACGGTCCGACAAGTCAGGTTCGGAGTCACGATGTCGATGTCAGTCCGGGCACAAGCGAACAAGGACAGCAGGGCCGCGTTTAAAGGAGTTACCGGCGCCTCTTTCTTCCGGATCCAGGGAATATAACGGAAGCCGGGATTCCAGTGATGAGATGAAGGCAGGATGACGGCTGGACACGGTGGGAGATTTGAAAGACCGAGCCGGCGATATGCTGCCTCGGCCTCCGGAAGTAGACCTCCGACAGGGCGGTCGGTGTTTCCAATAGCAGGGCGTGGTTCACAGTTTGCTACCTCACTGCTCGTGTCGGCATTGGGAATATCCCGAGGGCTGTCCGGTTCCCACACATGGGTATAGAATCTCACGAGCTGCGCGACGGCTGCCCCTTCGAACCCGATGCAGCCTTCGAACCACGTCTCCCAGCTCACGTTGCAGCTGGGCATCCAGGCGTACCTGCGGTCGACAATGACAAACTTGGGATGCATGACGCTGAATGGCAGGAAGAACAGGCTCTTGACAGAGAGTTCGATGCGGGCTGCCTTGAGGGCGGTGTCTGGGGGCAACCCGAGCTTTGGCCATGCCGAAGTCGGATACGTGTATCCGTCTCTCGACCACGGATGGAAGATTTTCTGGAAGAAACTTCGCGACGAAAAACAGATACGGACACGTAACGTGGCGACTGCATCTTCACCAGACGCCTGTATTGCCTCACGTTGCCGGTCGGCGAGAAGCTCGAGGGTCTCCCTGATGGCCGTCAGAGTATCGGACGGAGCCCAGAAGCAGGTAACCAAGATGACCTCATGCTTCGCAGTCAAGATGGCGGGGAGGAGGGTGTTTCTGTAGATGGTCGCGCCGTTGCCGATTGTGAGTGACTTGGGACTGCATGTCGTCACAAGGCTCTCAGGGTCTGAGAGGTGATAATTGGGGAAGTCGTTCAGCTGTTCTCCGCGACTCGACTTGAGAGTATGAACCCAACGGTCCAAAAAGGCCGAGGGAAACGAGTGTGATGTCATCTCTGATACGGTAAACCGGGTGAGGCTGAAGCGTAAACCAGATGGAATGGATCAGGGGTAGAGAGTTCTAAGCTCTCAGGGCGCGGCTTGGTGGGATGAATGACTGATGTTACACATGAGTGTTCTGTGCTTCGTGCTGTACGGACCGGCGAAAAGGCAGTGTCGTCATGTCATGGCAGGGGCATCGAAAGGGGGGTGGGGGGCGCGGCCCCTGTCAAGGCTCGCCTGGAGAAGGGGGAGCGAGGAAGCACAGGCGCAAGATGGAGAGGTGCCGCTGAGCGCTCTGATACGCGTACGTCAAGTTCGCATGGACCTCGTAATGAAGATGGTTTATCTGGGTATGCCTGTTACGAGTTCCAAGTGGAACGGCGTGCGAGAAGTTCAAGGGGGTGAGAGATTGCTGCCGAGACGCCCGGCTTGATCCCAGCAGAAGCGGGCCGTTTTGGTGAGAGACTGAGGCGCAGTCGAGGGAAGCTTCAGCGATGCAGCGGCTATCCTAGGGCGAGGGCGACGTATACTTGCACTGTGTTGTGCCGTGTTGCGTGTGTGCACTACGAGTTGGTTGTGAGTGCGACTTCAACCGCGGTGTGCGATGCCAGTGATGATCTGCGGCGCTAGCATGCAGCAACGCAAGTGCCATTGTCACAGACAGACAGCCGATCTGCTAGCGGCGATGAGTGGGATCAAGCAACCTTGAGTGGAAGCTCAGGGCAACGTTGTTGAATCTTCCAGAGTCAACCACAAGAAAGCATCGGTACTACAAGATTGTAGCCAGGATGACGGACGGGTTCCGAAGTAAAGCTGCCAGTTGTTGAATAAACAGAAGTAAGTGCCCGGCACATTCGGTGATGCCAAGCTCACTGAGGGAAGCCGACGACGACCTAAATCGAGATGGGTTGGCTTAAGTAACTCATCACCGAGGCAGATGATTTCGGATCGTGGTCCGTGAGCGTGAGGCCGGCTGACGCATGTGCACTGCAGCGCAAGCCGACGTACGTGGCGCTCCAGAGAGATGTACTATGCTGCCCCGTTCAGAGACTGAATGGCCAGACAAGGAGACCCGGAAGCGCACAGGATGATGAGAGACAGAGTGAGTATCAATGTCTGATTCGTCGCAGCCCAGAAGTATGTTGTCTGGGAGGTTCGCAAACTCAGAGGACTTGCAACAGAGCCTGCAGGGGCCGAATTTCGAGAGCTGTCTAGGCCGCTTGCCGTGTGTCAAGTAATTCCGGGCGAAAACAAAGTTTCATCTCGGGTGACACATACACCCGCACAGAGAGAGAGAGAGAGAGAGAGATACGACTGGGTTGAGGACAGAAGAAAACGGTGTCGGGGCTGGCTGGCATAGGCTGCTTGACTTGAGGCATAAGAACCGTACCTGTTGACCCTCGACAACCGTTCACCCGAGTTGGGGGGTATTGGCTTATTCGATCTGCTCGCTGTTGTTCTATCGCCTGATGGGACCGGTTCGACCCAAGCATCAATCGAACGGATGGAAACATGGCGCACATCAATCGTTGGCAAGCTGTTAGCGGCTGATTTGCATGGAAGGGTCTGGGCCATACAGATACCTACCCAGGTAGAGACAGACTGGCTCAAGCGGACACTTTGATCAAGTCGGAGAGTTCCCACGTGACGTAGGGAGCTAGCGAACTGGGGTAGCAACGGTCTCTGGTTTCCAATTGATCGCATGATGGCGATTGATAGTTTCGTCGTCCGTCATGTTTACCACCAGAGCAAGACAAGACGAAGAGACATTGGGTTCAGTGAACTCACTTGGTATGCTGTGTGATCCCATGTTCACGGTAGGTAACGCTCGCAAGGGCGTGAAAAGGGAGAGGACGAGGAATGGCGGGGTCCCACCTGAGCCCCCAACAGCCGTCTCGACTTAGCACAGCCATTACCCCGTGTGGGCGGCGTTCCTGGATCCTGGTTTTGGTGGTGGTGTGAGCACGTTGAGTGTGCCATTCGACTGGCTCACAAGTTTCGAGTCCTAAACTGCGGGGGACAGACGTACCTAGGAGAGCGACAAGTGCAAGCGAACTCTGGGTCCGCTTGTCACTCTGGCTGAGCGAGCTGGGCTGGCTAGGTAGTGACGGATGGAAAGACGGCGACTATGGGAGATGAGAGAGTCGTGTTGCGAATCCACATGCCCGCGACATGGCACGGGGCGTGTAGTGTATTGCCGACGAGACTGCTCATCAACCATCGGAATGTAATCGTTGTGACGGCAAATGTATGAAAGACGGCCCCAGGACCGGCGGCAGCGCAGGCGTAGCCAGCCAGCCACTGGAGAAAATCCGGAGAAGCCAAAACGTTTGGCTTGGCACCAAGAAGCTGCGAAACGACAAAAGACCAATGGTTGTTGCGTGGCATGTTTGTTGGTTGGACAGAGGGAGAATAAGCCGTTGATGGGTTGGTGGTGTGGCGGCGGCTGCACTTCTTACTAGGTATGGAGGTGGGACGTAGGTAGCCAACGGGGTCGGTCCAAGCAAGTTCGGTCTGTTCCAGCCGCTCGGGACGTCAGGTGTGGTGCGAGTGCTTCCTTCCTTCTCTCGCATCACATCCAAGAAGAAGCATTCTTGCCTGGTTGAATCGGGAAGGTACGCAGCTACTTGCCTGCTTGCCTGCCTATCGGCCTATCTGCCTACTTAGGTAGGTAGGCAGGTAGGTAGGTAGGTGGTTGTTCCCCCGCAGGTATGCAGAGGAGAAAGAGTATGAGGAGGAGCGGGTGTTGCTTCCGTTTCCTTTCCCCTCTGGTTCTGGGGAATTGAGGCAATTCCAGCAGTCCTCCACATCGGAGCTACCTAACCTGCATTGAGTCCCTCCATATCGGCAAGCCAAGAATGTCGTCGCGATATGGCTCCTGCTCCCCCCTATTCTTTCTTCTTTCGCTAAGGGGAACCCGTGCCGCCGGAGGCGACAGATGGATACGGTCAAATACCTCCACCCGGTCCCTAGGTACAACCAATGCTTTCCTAGCCAAGGGAGGTACCTACTATGTAGGTCGCTGGCTGCGAAGCGCAAAGCATGCTGGTTTTGTACACACAGCTAGGGAAGTGGGTGTGCAGCGCAGCGTACCTAGTGCGATGCAGATCCAGAGCGCGCGGGCTCCCGCTGTCAATTAACCCGGCTGGTTGTGACCGACAAGCCATAATCAAACAATCAAATCAATCAGAGTCACCCAGCAGATGCAGCAGGTGCTGAAAAAGATAGCCATTGACCTTCTGGACCCTTTTCTCCTGTGTGTGTCCTATCCTGTTCCGGTTCCCCTTGCCTTGTAATGGCCAACCTGAAAGCTGGGAGGCGGGTACCGTTGTGGAAGAGATACACGCCCTTGCACGTTATAGAAAGCCCGGAATCAGGTCGTTCCCCTTGAATGGTACACCCGCTGCGTGGGCCGTACCCCGCCTCCAATCTCTTTCCCTTCTTGAACCTGAGAGAGCGGGGCCCCACCCCCCCCCCCCCCCCCCCATCGGAGCACTTCCCCCTGCTCTCGTGCCATCACCCATGTTTCCCAGCGGCTCAGCAATCCAATGTGCCTATCAGTTTTTGGAAATCCATCCCCCTCAACATATGGCAAGCCAGCCAGGCTGGAAAATCGGGAAACCGAAGTGATATGCCGCGCCTTATCACTGTGCACTGGAGTACTTTCTTGCATCTTTCCATTCTGCCCAATACGCAGTGTACTAGTATGTATGCACGCACACACGTACGGATCAAGCTAGTGAGGTAGGTAGGTAGATAGGTAGATAGATAGGGGGTGCACTCTAATCTGGTCAGCACTTCATGCACAAGACGTGGCCAAGCGGACGTCAAGGTAATCGAGTGGCGTCCACCAGTCGATGAGATGCCAGGAGCAGCAGGACTGAGCAGCAACCGTAACAAACCCGAGAAACGTCTCCGGGTTGCTCATTCACATAAGTAGTTTAGGTAGGTAATTACCAAGCCCGTACGGATACACGTAGGTACAGTGTAATCCCACGACAAGGTACGTACACTGCATCTTGTCATCCTCAAACTCTGAGCTTGAACTTTGAATGCCTGGTGGCCACTGGCCTGCAACACCCCCCCTTCTCTCTCTCTTTCCGTCTTTCCCGTCCTTTCAGTCCTTCTGTCTTTCCTCTTTCCTCGCTGAATCCCTAATGTCCTGTGTTCTTTCCCAAATCGTTGTGCCTTCTTAGGTAGGTAGGTAGGTAGGCAGCTGCTGTCGGGCGTCTCCTTCCCCTTCTCCCGAGATATAGTACGGATACACTAGAGCCCTCTTGCTGTCCACCCACCTCCCCCCCTTCCTTGCCTGGAGGCGCAGGGACTGGCCCCCGGCACACCCCACTCGATACGTACCTGCATGCCTTGGCTCGTGCCTTCTTAGCTCGCCTCCAAAACCCATCTCCCGCAACAGAACATCACCTCACTCCACCAGAGCATTGAGAGACCTGGAACTGGGCGCTCACACACACACTCACACAAACCTCCGGGCGCTCCTCAGCATCAGGGAGGGCAGTTACGGATCTTCTTCTGCCACGAATACGGATCACTCGCCCCTCTGCCAATGTATCCGTACAATGTATCCATACCTACCTACCTAGCTACCGCTGTGCCTCAAGGTACCTACCTACCTCCCTAGGTAGGTAGGCATGCGTGAACGGAGCCGTTTGCCTATTAACCGCGTCGTCTCCCTGCCCCTCGAAACCTGCCTACCAACCATACCTACCATACCACGCAGTACACCTTCTCTCGTCTGTTATAATCGTCTACCATCCTTCTCTAATCCGCACACCCCCCCCCCCCCCCCCCTCCCCCCCTTCCACCGTCCCTCTTCTTCCTCGTCTGCTGCTTCACACCATTACCTCACGGTCACCAAATCTTTCTTTTCCTCGGTCCATGCATGCATTGTCGACCTGTATATGTATGATATCCTTCTTGCCACCATTTTCTCTTCTACCCATTACTCCAGCACCAACCCCCCCGCCAACTCTCACCTTCTCACGCACGCCCTCCCGTCAGAAACCACCCTCACTTTACGACGTCTCCAACCATTTCTGCCAACAAACCTCCCTGCGTCAATATCCGTTCTTTACTACAACCCGTTGAATGCTGGCATCGACCAAATCAAACTTCGACCTTATCTCCTAATATAGTTTGTCGACAGTCCGACTCCTCCCTAAATCGACACGTTACCCTCGCTCAACCAATCCACTTCCCCAGACGCAGACGAATCCAACCGCAGCCATGAACTTCACCAAGAAATTTGACCGCGCCTTTCAATGGGCCGGTGAGAAGATGGGTTCCGAGTCCAAAACAGGCCAAACAGACGAGTTCAGGAACCTGGAGATGGAGATGCAGTTGCGATATGATGGTACGAGTGCCGAACCACCCTCTTTCACCTCGCCTGGCCGCTGCCTAAGCTCAATACTGATACGATGGTCCGCTAGGAATGGAAAGGCTCCAGAAATCCACAAACACGTACGTCAAATGGATCGCCCGCCGCGGCGAGGCTGCCGACGACAAGGAGAAGGGGCTCCCAATTGCGTTCGTCGGCCGCATGATGATTTCTCACGGCGAGGAATTCGAGCCCGACTCCGAGTTCGGTACCTGCCTGCTCTGTACGTTTCCCTCTCCCAAACTCTTCGCTACCCATGTCCACCACTAACCTCGTCTCGCATTGCAGCTCTCGGTCGGACAAACGAACGCCTCGCCGGCATCCAGGAAAACTATGCCGCTGATATCACCGACAACTGGCTGATCTCTGTCGAGAGATCGCTGGCCATGATGAAAGAGTACCAGGTACGTACCGACGTCATTGCTTGCCCAATTTTGGTTTCAGCCCGTCCCATCTGACACACTCTCTGTAGGCCGCACGGAAGAAGCTCGAGTCGCGCCGGTTGGCCTACGATGCGAGTATCAGCAAGATGCAGAAGGCGAAGCGCGAGGATTTTCGCCTCGAAGAGGAACTCCGCACCGCCCGCGCCAAGTACGAGGAGGCTGGCGAGGATGTCATGCGCCGCATGCAAGACATCAAGGACGCCGAGGCCGACAACGTTCGCGACTTGACCGGTCTCCTCGACGCCGAATTGAGCTACCACGAGCGCTGCGCCGAAGAGCTGCGCCGTCTGCGCCAGAACTGGGCCGGAAACAACGTATCTTCATCGCCGATCGACCGGCGCAACACCAACGGCCGCGGAAGGTCCAACACAACCCGGTCCTTCAACGATTACTCGGCCCGCGGCAATCCTGTCGAGGAAGAGCCCGAGCCGATGCCCGTCCGCATGCCAATCCGCTCCAACCGATCCGAGGCCAAGTTCGGCGCTTCGGCAGACACGACCCCGAGGCCGTCCATTGCTAGGTCCCAGACGTTCCAGGGCCCAGCTGCTGTCGATCGCCGACCTTCTGCCGCCACGCCCCCAGTGCCTAGCGCTTCCCACATTGGGTCTCTCCGCGGAAATCTGAGACCAACAGGCAGACCACTGGCGGCCGACGTCTTTGCCGACCGCGATGATGACCACATGACGGGGAGCGGCAGTGGCAGCCCGGAATGGAACGACCGCTGCGCAAGCCCGGCAACCAGTATGGGGAGCAGCTTGAATAGAAGCACAAGCAATCTCCAGTCCAAGAAGGCGCCGCCACCTCCTCCTCCGAGCCGAGCCAAGAAGCCGGCGCCCCCGATCCCTGCCAAGCGGGAGGTTGGATACTAGATATACACCGATTTTTGAGTCTCCTCGGCAGACCAAGGGGTTTGCGGGTGTGGCGTAGTAACGTGCGATAATTTTCCGTCTGGGTGCATCAATAGACTGTACATTCCTAGCCGGAATAGGGTCTCCGAGAGGAGGACGGCGTTTGGGCGTGTTGAAATATCCGTGGGCTGGATCCGCAGTGGTAGGCTCCTCCACCACTTCGTCTCTCGTGACGAGGAACGGGTTGGAGACGGGGTGGCCAGGTTCAAGGGTTTGTAGCGTTATATAACTTTTGGGCGTGATTCCATAATCAAGCTATTGAAAATGCTCACCACTAACATGTCAGATTATTTGACTTCGCATGTGAACACTGGCAGCTTCCTGCGGATCCAGGAACAAATCACAGACGATCGTTGCTGTATGGTCTTCGCAGCTGCCTCTCTTCTGCATTTGCTATCTGGTCATGCTTGTGTTGACTTACAGAAATCAAGTACATAGGTCCCTGGGATTCTGTTTAGCAAGTTGCGTTTCCGCAGAGCCATCTAGCTTGCGAACCCTTACTGTTTATTGGGTGATCCGGGGATGGTCACGGCGCGAGACGTCAAGCCACCGCCGGGCACCACACCACGTGATATAGATTGTGGCTCAAGCTTCCCGTCTAGCGCCTATCTTCCTGTCAGCGATAAGATCCGTCATTTGCACTTTTGCTTTCTGCCCGCCAATTCTCAACTTCACGTCAATGGTTGCTCGTCGCAGCCCCGACTGTGATACTCAATTCCTCTTCACCGCAAGATTCTCGACCGCAGCGGAAAGCTAGCCAGGCATCCCGGCAACCTCGATCGCTTGCCACCCGAATTGACCTTGACCTTGTCCCGCGTACCAGCGACTGCTCACACACTACTTGATCGCAGCTCCCCCCCCCCCCCCCCCCCCCCCCTACCCAGTATACAGCCGCCGTCATGGCGACCGAAGATGCGCGTTACCGGCTCTCCACTCAGTATCGATTATGGTCCTTCTCCCCGTCGAAACTAGCGGAGCTCCGCGAACAGACGAACTCTCTTGCACGAACCCACATCACCAGCCGCCTCATCGAGACCAAGCGAGTTGACATAGAAGTCGAGCCTTTGCCCGAATTCTTGACACCCGCTGAGGAAACACAGCTGCTGAAGGTCTTCACGGTGGACCTCATTCGTGCGGCCGATTTCTGCGGTCTGCCAACCGAAGTCAGAGCCACCGCGACCGTCTTCTTACGTCGTTTCTATACCACCAACTCCATCATGACGTATCCGCCTCAGGACGTCCTCAAGACATGCTTGTTCTTCGGAAGCAAGGCGGAAGGGTTGTACACAAGGCTCGCCAAACTGGCCGAAAAGTTTCCCAACACGACCGAGGAGGAGATCTTGGCCGGGGAGTTCCTGCTTTGTCAGGGTGTCAGGTTTGCTTTCGACGTTCGACATCCCTTCCGTGCGCTGGAAGGCGCCATCCTGGAACTCCGACGACACGCCGACCTCGAGGTACGCTAGATATCGAGAACAAACCATGTATGCGTAGAGTGTTAACAAGCGACGCAGAAAGCTCAAATCGACTCGGCTCATTTCCGTGCCCGGGCTGTGCTAAAATTCAGCTCCCTCGTTACCGATGCGTACTTCCATTACACACCTAGCCAAATCATGCTGGCTGCGCTTTCGCTCGCCGATCGAGGGTTGGCCGAAAGGCTGGTCCAGGGCGCGTTTTCCCCTGGCCAGAAAAATGCTTCAAGCGAAGATGGAGTAGACTCTACGGCGCGACACGATGTGCGAGACAAGGTGATGGGTGCCATAGAATCGTGCCGAGAAATGCTAGCGACCGAGCCCCCTGAGAGACTGGACGAGTATTGGGGAACTGTAAGTCGGAACACGCCAAATCACGTTGATGATTATCGGGCATCTTCTTTAGCGGCATGAGCTGATGCTGACATGCTGCATAGCCGGAGAGTACCAAATTGATCAAACCGCTCTTGCGAAAGCTCAAGAAATGCAGGGATCCTGATCGGGCAGATCTTGTGGCTCTGCAGAAAGCTAGACGCGAGTTGGCATCGCAGAAGGATTCTCGGCGTCCGAAGACCGAAGGCGACGGTGCCTTGTACGGTGGGAATGGCAGAACACTCGGCGGGAATGATGCGCGCGACGCTAAGCGGAGGAAAGTCGCTGAGGGTGACGACGTCTTCGGCCCGGCATTGGGCTAGAGGAGCGAGCGATGAGCTGGAACACGAAACCGGCCTGTACTGCCGTCATCGGGCGGCAGAATTGCCCAAGGTGCCGAAGTCAGAATAGATGCGACAACCGCCAAGGCTACAAAACGTGAGTGGACCGGACGCCGTGTCCCAATTCAAACATACGAAAAGCGATACCCCATTCATACATACGAGAACCGATACCCAAAAAGTCGTCAGTTTAGCCCTCATGCGCGCTGGAATTGGTCCGCGGCGTGGCCGTGATCAAGGTTTCCTCGTGTTCCTAATTGAATACGGCCCCTGCCATTGGTCAGTCGCCAGATGGTTCATTGGTACCTTGATTGATGTTCGTCTAGACATAGCCGGAGGCCTCAACGGAGTTCAACTCTATTGTCCCCGGAGTGCACGGGACAAGATTCAGGGCCAGCCAGCATGTAGACGCCAAGCACCTATTACACGAGGAGGAATGCGCCATTAGAGAAATGGATGGAACAAGGGCCAAAACCGCGATCGTTCGGATGTATCGATGACGCACCGTTCCGCTGCCAACATCTAAAAGTTTGCTGTTTGTTTGGATGTCGGCCGGCACAGCCGGCCCCCACGGAGTTCTTGGAGACCGGGAACCCTGGAAACCTATGCTGCTACTTGCCTGGGTATGCTTTCTACTTACTTTTAACAACACCCTAGTCCATATGCGGAGGCAGTGTCTCTTACGCGCTCACTGGAGCACCATGGAAAAGAGGCGCTAACTGGGGCAAGATGAGGGAGCAAGGGGAATAGCCCGACGGGGCCCTGCATTGGACAGCAGTTGGATGGCGCGGGGAAGCGGGGACAGTCTCACTTTAGCCCCCTTCATGTTGCTGGTCATTTCGACCAAAGCTGCTCGCAGTTACCGATATCGTAAGGATGTATTTCGGGATCGCGGTCAATGCTTGTTAGACACATAAGCAGGTGACAGAACCCCGCGAGGCAAGATGGTCTGAAATCTAGAAACATATTTCTGCTTTCCCTCCAAAGTTCAGCCAGCAGTCGTCGAGATAGGTATGCAATGGCTTCCCAACAGGAATCAAAATAAGCGGCACACCACGAACGACTGGTTTCCAGCACCGCACCATCGGAGCCCCTGTCGATTTCCAATGGCGCTAAGCCGTCTATCCTGACGACATCGACTTTTTTGCGCTGCGCCCGACTGGGGCGAGCTTACGCAGCTCACAAGACACGGCGTGTTGTCAATGGCGTCCAGTGTCTTGAATGTCACTCCATAACCACTTGCAGCTGTTATTGGATTCCTGGCATTCCACATCTTCTGGTAGTTTCTAGATTTCCGGCCCTGGGGAATGCCAATTAGTCTGCCATGGCGCCCGAGGATTGCTACCTAACTCGGGCGGATAGCTTCCGCCTGTCCCACAAGCTGCTTCTTACGTACATGGCTTGCTACACAGTAGTAACTGAAAGCTCTCGGGGCTTCCAAGCACCTGGGCAAGACATGGAACTCTCTTTTTTGCCTGCCAGCCACCACATTGAGTCGGAAACCCACATCGTTGCCAGCCGGGCGTCCTCTGATCATTGCCTAGGCAGATGGTTAATGTAGGTATTCCTTCTTGCCTACACGCCGGGTCGAGACGACACTTTCATCACCAACTTTACACCTACCTAGCCGAAGATTTAGTGAAAACTGCATGATAACTAACATCCAGCGTCGTGTCGTCTTACAAGCCAGGGATGGCTTTTGTGTTCCACCCCAGTCCCTTACCCCCCTCCCTCTCATGCAGTCCAATCATGATCCCTGGCTTAGTCGTGATGCAGACCAAGACCCTAGTTTAGGATGCAAGAAACCCCGACGAACTGTGATTCTCACCAGACCCGGGCAACCACCTTGACTCGGTAACCCACGACGACGGGACTGGTTACCCCTCGGCCGGACATTCACCAAGGTGGTTGTCATGATCCGTGCCAAGGGCATAGCGAATGATCCGGGGGCACTTGAAATGCTTAAAGAGCGGTCTTCCGCCGCTTCTTCGGTCTGACCCCTTTTGCTTGGTAGGTCCAGACTCGCACAGCTTTACTGATATCCATCTCTCCCTCCTTCTCTCAAGAGCAGGACTCCAGCCGAAGTTAGACCACAACTTTCTGTACTGGAAAAAACACACAATGCAGGTCAAGAACATCCTTTCTCTGGCCTTGGCCAGTGTTGCGTTCGCCCAGAACGACGGCCAACCTAGCTTGACCGCTGCTCTTGCTGCCCAGAACTCCAGCTTGTCAACGCTCACTAGTACGTGCTTGCATATCATCTGGTTATTCACTAAACCAAGATTCTAACCTGCCATAGCCCTTCTTGGTAGCCAGCCAGGCCTTGTCCAGGCTCTCTCACAAGCCCAGAACATTACCATACTGGCCCCCAACAACCAGGCCCTCGAAGCCTTCATCGCTAGCGCCGGCGCTGCTGCCACAGACGCTGGCCTCGTTGCTGCCATTCTTCAGTATCACGTTCTGAACGGCACGCACCACGCATCGCAATTCACCGAGGAGCCTCAGTTCATCCCTACTCTTCTCCAGAACGAGACCTACACAAACGTCACCGGAGGCCAGCGCGTCCAGGCCCAGACCGTTGACGGTAAAGTCACTTTCTACTCAGCCCTCAGAGAGGCCTCAACCGTTGTCAGCGGCAATGTCAACTTCACCTCCGGTACTATACATATCATTGACAAGGTTCTGAGCGTCCCTATGGGAATTGCCGACACACTCCGCGCTGCTAATCTCACCGCCGCCCTGGGCGCCGTCCAGGCAGCCAACGTTGCTGGAGCCCTCACCTCCGCCAAGGACCTCACCATCTTCGTTCCTAACAACGAGGCCTTCCGTGCCGTCGGCAACCTCTCCGCCGCTCTCGGTCCCGAGCTTGCTAAGATACTCCAGTACCATGTGGTCGCTGGCTCTGTTCTCTACAGCCCCGATATCACCAACACCTCGTTGACCACCCTTAGCGGCGCTAATATCACGATCAGCGTCGTCGATGACAATGTATTCGTCAACAATGCCAAGGTCGTTACGCCCAACGTTCTTGTTGCCAACGGTGTGGTCCATGTCATCGACAAGTGAGTTTTCCTGACCCGCTTAAGGACACTTTTCCTATACTAATATGTTACGTGTAGCCTCCTGAACCCTAACAACACTGAATCTATGCCTGACACATCCGCCGTCAGCCGCCCCCCCGCCTACACCGATGCTGGCCCTGCTACTGACGGCAGCAACCCCTTCACTAGCGGTGTCGCTGGACCAACCTCAACCGCCCCCATCGCTACTGAGACCGGCGCCAACAACGGCGGTGGTGTCCGCTCTACCTCGTCTTCTACTGAGGCCGCGCCCATGCGCACTGCCGCGGTCGGTGCTGCTGCTTTGTTTGGAGGAATGGCTGCGTACATGAACATTTAGGTTGAGGTACAGATAGACAGTATGTGATCGATATCAAGAAGAAGTTACTCGTTAAAATAACGGTGCTAAGTGGATACGCAAGGTCTGTGGAAGACTAAGTATCGAAAGGTTATTACCTACATTCATTCTTTTATTCATCAATACCCCAGTGTAGGCAAAAACGTATTAGGATGTGGATGGTTGTAAAGTGCGGGGGTAACTGTAGCCAATGCAATGGACTTTCATGTTCGATGAAATAAAGTTCACCCACCAATGCTGTTTGCACAATTCTAAGGTTATTTAACCTATAGCTGCTAGCTATGCGCGTTTAACATGAGTGGTATCTTTTATTCTGCCATGCCGAACCATGCCATCCTTGCTCCACTCAATGTTTGCACGTAGGCAAGGAATAATTCAATACGTATGTTGAGGGCCTCTTAGGAAGCTTAATACAAGAGATAACAAATCAATGAACGATCTATGCAACGTTGTATTCTATTTAGGATTGCCCAACGTCGACATGGCCAACTTCGTAGAGGACCACAATCTATATATACCCCGAGATACGGATGCGGTCACGCTGCATGGAGTACTAACTGGTAGAATCAAAGCCGAGAGTTTTTCTCGAGGGCCCTTCCCACAAACATTCATCGTCAGACCTATGTTGTATCAGGTAATAAATTAAAATGCCATGATCGTCGGAATGTTGAGAACCGTACACGAATTCCAAGTATAACGGCAATTTCGGCGAATGTCGCTTGATATTTGCCATGCTGTCTAGCAGGAAGCGACTAATGACTGAGTTTCATTCAATTACTGTGGTATAAACTTCGGTATTACTTCTACACTTCTTGGCTTGCTTGTTTCTGTGAAAGGTTGCGCTTGAAGCTTGAAGACAAGTTGGTTTGTAGATGGGAAGTTGTCGTGAAGCTGGGAATAGCTTCGTGTGGCTAAATCCAGTTGTGGTTGCCACGGATGTAGCTCATCACGTGCACGGACTACCTCGTATGGATCGCTATATACCGGACTATTTCATACGTGGTTTCTAGGTAGGACAGCTACTTACATACTTTTTAACAGACACTGCGGTTCATCACATAGGACTTATCTCTGTGTTCTTCCGCGTAATTCAATCATAAGGGTGACTAATTATTAGGAGGTCTGCAAGGGCCTTGAGAGTCAGGGGGCCGATTTCGTAGTATGCCACTTGCTGCACGGCAAAGCTACCTAATGGTCTTTATATATACGAACGAGCTCGTCGACTTTTCACAAGGAAGCCCTTTTAAGCACCTAGGGAAACGCGTAGGAGGGAGGAAACTTTAGCTCTGACGAAGGAAGCTCGAGGACAGGTGCTTATTATGTCAGCAACGTTGGAACCCCAACAACTTTCGTGACCTTGCGCCATGATGGCGTGCTGCACCAGCGTCAAATGCAAATTGAGCATACCCAAGTGCCTGTGCGCTACATCCCCAACCTCACCTTTTTGAAACATGATTGCGCCATTTGAGACATCACTCACGGGGCAGGTCTCGTGGAATATCGTATCCACATTCTTATCAAGCAAGACAACGTCCGTGGACTCGTGCCATCTGTTGCTGACCTCTCTTGGACTCCCCTTTCGGTCCACGGTGTGAGTGAGTGTGTGTGTGTGTGTGTGTGTGTGTGTGTTCCGCAACGCCGGACAAAATGACCAAGTCGGCAAACTGTCTTCGTATTTAAATTGTTCGGCTGGAAAGCATGTTTCCCACACAATGCTACTTCGAGGCAAATACCTTTGTGTTCAACTCGCACGCTCCGGTGTCTGGTTTCTGCTGAGCAGTTTCCCCTCTGCACATCAAACAAAGGTTCGGCTGCACATTATACTCAGTCCTACTGCGTTTATCAAATGACCGCCATGAATACCATTGACAACACAGAGCGTCAGCCTCTACTTCCTACGGCGTCTCGCCCGCTATCGACTTTTGCGGTCCCCAGCGGCAAGGGCCCGAGATGTCAAGTAGGAGGGACGCCTGAAGAGAATATCGTCACAGAGAGTGTGCTTCCATCTAGATCGATGGAGGATGACGTGCTTCCAGAGGCATCACCACTTGGCCGCACGTTGACTTGGCAGAGTGTATACATCCTTGTCATCTCCAGAGTCATAGGCAGCGGTATTTTTGCTACCCCAGGCGCAATCCTTCGTTCTGTCGGGAGTCCCGGACTTTCACTCGTCCTCTGGGTCGTTGGTGCCATTGTTGCTGCTTGTGGGCTTATGGTCTCGCTTGAATTTGGCTCGATGCTTCCGCGATCTGGAGGCGACAAAGTCTATTTGGAGTTTACCTATCGCCGACCGCGATTTTTAGCATCGACACTTATCGCCGTCCAGGTTGTTCTGCTGGGATTTACAGCAAGCAACTGTGTTGTTTTCAGCGAGTACTTGCTGTTTGCACTTGGCGGCGAGAATCCGACCGAGCTCCTACGGAAGGGACTTGCGGTTGCACTACTCACCGCAGTAACTCTCATTCACGGTTGTTTTCCACGTTTCGGTGTTAAGTTGCAAAACTTTCTAGGATGGATCAAAGTAGGATTGGTGGTTTTCATGATATTCTCTGGGCTGTATGTCGTCCTACTCCGACCATCCACAGAATCAACCCGGGTAACATCCACCACCCTCTCGTGGGAAGATATGTGGGAGGATACAAACTGGAATTGGGGGGTTATTGCAACTTCTCTCTTCAAGGTATTCTATTCCTACTCTGGTCTCGACAACGCCAACTATGTCCTGAACGAGGTCAAAGACCCCGTGCGGACTCTGCGGTCGGTGACAATGGCAGCCTTGACAACTTCTTGCGGACTTTATGCCCTTATAAATGTAGCTTATTTTCTTGTTGTGCCGGTTGAAGACATCAAGAATAGTGGCGAGCTCATCGCAGCTCTATTCTTCTCCCGTATATTTGGGGAGGCAATTGGCAAGACTGTTCTTCCGTTAGCCGTTGCGCTGAGTGCCGGAGCTAATGTACTTGTTGTCACCTTCTCAGCGGTAAGTATCAAAACCCATTCCGTCTTATTTATGCCAGATTATTGATGGCTATCTAGGCTCGTACCAAACAAGAAATTGCGAGACAAGGCTTCCTCCCATTCTCAGAAATACTATCATCGACAAGACCGTTTAATTCACCTTTGGGTGGACTAGTGATCCACTACATTCCATCATTTCTGGTAATAACTCTTCCTCCCTCAGGAGAAGTTTACTCTTTCATTCTGGAAGTCGAAGGATACCCAGGGCAGTTCCTAGCACTAGCTGTTGGGGCAGGCCTCTTGTGGTTACGTGTGAAACGACCTGAAATCAAGAGACCCTTTAAAGCTTGGATACCAGCAGTGTTTTTACGGATTGGGCTTAGTTTGGCTCTTCTCACTGCACCATTCTTTCCACCTAGCACCAAGCCAAGTAATGGTATGTTCTATGCAACTTACGCAGTTGTTGGAACAAGCATGTGAGTAATTGTTCCTGGCCCTCTTCAAACGTGCATCATTGACCGATTTGCATATAGTCTTGCTGGCGGCGTTGTTTACTGGTACATTTGGACTGTTTTGATGCCAAAGTTACGTGGCTACGAAATACAAGAACGCGAAGCAGTATTGAAGGATGGTACAACTATAACAAAGCTAGTGAATTCCAGGCTTCAGCACTAGTAACATGGTCCTTGATAAGCGCAGCCTGGGATGAAAGGGTGACAAGGGACATCAACACACAGACTTCTAGTAACAAGTATGTCGGGATATTCAACTGTTCAATGGTGGAGCCGATCTATGGTCACGTGATTTACCATCACGTGACTCACCCCAGCGGCTCACTTATACCACCACAAATACCTACAGCAGCAACCTCTTCTCTTTTCCTTTATTATTATCTTCACCTAGCTACTAATAGTTAATTAATACTATTATAGCTACCTTAATTATAATTCCTATAATACTAACACTAATTAGTAGTTAACTTTATAGTTACTACTACTATAGATTAGTAAGGATTATTAGAAGAGGCTATAATACTTTACTTACTATAGCAGCTTAGATTAAAGTATTAAAGTGCTACCTAGCCTAAAGATTATTAGTACTTAAGGTCTTATAATACCTAGTAAATAACCCTTTAAGCCCTACGTCTGCTATATAATAACTACTATTACTACTATTAACTTTATTACTTTTAGAGAAGTCTTTTTCTTTATATACTACTTACTTACTAATAACCTTTATAGTATTTAGTATAATTATCTTCTTTTTATACCTAAGTTTCTTTAAGTTCTTTTTCTTTTTATCCTTTAACCTTTTTTTTCTCTAATTATTAAGATTTTTATCTTACTAAGTTTTTATCTTACTATAGTAGTAACAGCCTATATAAGATTATAAGTAAATAGACTCTTATAAGTTCTTATTTAAATAAGATCTTACTAGTAGGACTAGATATAAAGTAGTTAAGTAAGAACTACTTAAGTAATCTACTTTTAATATAGTTATTAGTTTTACTAGGTTAGTAATACAGTTAACTATACGTATTAATAGGTAGTAATAAATAATAGGGGTAAATACTAGTTCTAAATTATACGTAAAGGAAAAAAAACTATTATAGGATTACGTAGCAAATCCACTACGTAATATCCCTATAAATCTAGTAGATCTATAGCGAATTAGCTGTAGTTATTCTAGCCGTTTAGCGTTAATCTATACTACTAATATCTAGGTAATAGTTAATATTATAACACTAGTAACCTTCTAAAGTGCTATAAATTATCCTACTTTCTAGTTATCTATAAAAGGCCTAAAAACGTAATAAAAACAAAAGGCTAAAAAGTATTTAATACTTTTTATATATATAACTTATTATATACGTAAAACCTATTTATTTATTTATATCTTTAATTAACTGCTGTTAATTAACTACTCTAGCGCTTTATTAGGTAATACCTTTATAAATTTATCTACTAGGTTATCCTCTCCTTATATCTATTAGATCTTATAGATCTTATATTACTTATATAACTAGTAAAGCACTATAATATTAATTATAAGTTACTTCTCCTTAGTAGTGCTAAGCTTTATAAGGCACTTATAGAGGGAGTATAAGTTAGTGTAAAAGATTATTAGGATTTATAGTAACTTAAGGTAGTTAGTAATTATTATAAGTGTAATACTAATTATATAGGTAACGTTAGTGCTAGTAACTATACTATAGACTTTAGAGGCTAGTATGCTATATATAACTCTTTTATACTTTATTAAGCTAAAGTAGATAATATTACTAGTAAGTATAAATTTCTTATTATTAGCAGTAGGTTATATAGTGCTACTTTTATTAGTAAGTATAATAATAAAACTAAGTTATAATATAAAATTATAGTTATTTATAAATAAGCTGTTAATAGATATAAAGAGCTTTATAGTTATAAGGTTAATTAGCTAAAAAAGCAGGCTATAGTTAAGGTAACTTATTTACTACTTAATCTAGTAGTTAAGAGCCTTAATCTCCTCCTTTACAGGCTCTTAGTGTTATATAGTAACTAAATAGTTAAAGTAAGCCTTAGGTTAGTAGATTAACATAATATACACCCTATAGGCCCTTTACTAGATAAAATCTTACTTAGTAGTAAGTAAATTTATATTAACAGGCTAAAGCTTCTTACCTTAATCTTTTTAGTAAAAATTTATTTTACTGTTATAGCTAAGGGAAAGCATGCTACTATTAAAGGTAATAAAATTATTAACAGTTAATAGTTACTTAGGCTTTATAGTAAAGGTTACTTTCTTAAGCTCCTTCTCCTTATAGGTAGAAAATCTATTATCTATAAGGCTAATTATATTATCTATTTATATACTAATAAGGCTAAAATCCTTATTATTAGCTAATAAAATAAGTAGGTAGAGGTTAAAGGTTAATAAATCTATCTAGAGATTTTCTTTATAGTAGCAGTTATATATAGCCTACTAGTAGGTGCCTGCCTTAGTAATACTATAAAGTAGCTTTATTACCTTTATAATAAAGTTACTAAGGTAAAAATAGTAAATTTATATAGGAAGTCTTATAAGAATAACGTAGTTAAGTGGTGTTATAGATTAAGTATACGCCTAGGTAATATTACGTAACTAAAGGTAAAATCTATATTATAAAAGTAATAAGGTAAGGGTAAGAATTAGTTACTAGGCTATCTATTAGATTATAAGTAACTATATAAGAATTATTTTTTTACTATTATTAGCATAACCTTAGATAACTAACTATAATTTTTTATATAGTTACTTATTTTTTTTTTAACCTTATATACTATATATAACTTAAAGATTTATATATTACTATATATTTTCTTATTATAAGTAATAATATAAAATACACTATAGTTAATAAGGGCTTTTACTTCTACCTTATTAAATTCTTTAAAGGGCCTACTAGGCGTAGTAATAATACCTTTTTCTTATAGTTTAATAGTAAGTGTGTAGTTAGCTTCCTCCTTTATAGTAAGGTATACGTTAGAGACGTTAATAGTAAGGTATATCTTATAAAAGAAGGTAGTAATTAGGTTCTTCTATAGGCAGCTACAGCCTTATTATAGGGGCAGCCTGTTATTAATAATAATAGTATTACATACTTCCTCTATAGATTTACTAGCTGTTATAGGCTCTCCTTCTTACGCTTATATAGGATTATTACCTTTTTTAGCTATTATAAGTAGTAGCGCCTATAGGCCTTCTTCTTATGCTATATAGTATAGCTTTACTATAGTAATATAAAAATTATATAGGCTATAAGGTAATTTAATAGTATAGGTAGTACTATTATTAGTAAGTAGGTAAAACAGGCCCTACTAGCTATCTCTCTTACGCTATATATAAATAAGTAATTAAAGAGGTAGCACTATAGTATTTATTATATCTAGGCTATTATATATTACTAGTATATTATATACTTATCTCTTTATATAGATTTACTACACTATATTTATAGCCTTTTTTACTACTTTAGTGCGCTATATAGTAGAAGGGGTAGGTAGTAAATTATTTATAATATAGAGGTATACCTTAAAAATAAGTAGAGTTAGTATAAGGCTATTAAGGCTAGTAGTATTATTAATAGCTTTAATAGCTAATTAAAAGGTAACTTTAGGCTTATAATTACTATCTATATAGATAATCTTATACGTATAGTAAAAGGCAGTATAGTATTACTTAACCTTACTAATAGATTAATAGGCCTTAATAAGCACTTTATTAACCTTAATAAATAACGTATAGGTAGCATGTTTAAATTTAGCTATATAAAAATTTAGGCTAGCGTTAGTAGTAATCTAATTAGGCAGGCTAAGGTATATATTAATTTAATATATCTATAGTGCCTCCTAGGTGTGTTCTATAGTAATTAAATATAAGAATCTTACTATATTAAACGCTATAGCTAAGTTAACTATATAAAGTATAGGCTTATTACCCTCTAAATATATTATATTAATAATAATTTTATAGTTAAATTTATAGTTATTATATAGTATAAACTTAAAGTAACTAGGCGCCTTTACGTTAAGTTAGTAGTAATAGTAGTATTTATTAATCTCTTTAAGTGTAGTAAGGGAGGTTAATTTACCTACTTATTTAAGTAGCTTATAAAGGTAATTTACTAATAGGTAACTAAATTAGTAGTAAATTTAGTGTAATTTACTATCTATAAGGTGCTACTTTATAATAGTACTTTTAGGTAGTTCTAAAAGTATTTATACGTAGCCTTATTTTTAGGTAATAGGTATAATAATCTTGTCCTTAATAAGCTAGTTAGTAAGATTATTAAATTTTACGCTATAGCAATCTATATCCTATAGGTAAAAAAGAAATAGTGTGTTACTTATTATTATATAAAAATAAGATTACTAATTAGCATAGGTATATAGATTATACTAAGGGATTTATAGTAATCCCTACTACTAAAGTAAATTATTACTTTACTAGTATAGGTAGTATCTAATAGAATCCTCTTACTAAGGTGTTTCTTAAGTGTAAGGTACTGTTATTAGCTAGCTATAAATACTTTAGCTACACTAGTGTTAGGTATAATACCTTAAAATATTAACATAAAGTAGTAGTTATTAAATATAAAAATATTACTACTTTTTATAGTTAGATTAGGTAGTGCCTCTTTATATAGATTTTTATAAGTAATAGTATAAAAAGTTACTTAGTTATATAACTTTTTATAAGTAGATAGGCTATTAATTAACTACTTACTAAAGTATATAGTAGATATAAAAAACGTAGTAGATTTATAGTTTTTACTATTTAATAAGTAAGTTTTACTATCTTTACTTACTTCTTTAGGATAAATTAGCTTATTATCTTTATAGTTAATAAGAAAGTAACTAAAAGTAGCCTATAAAGCCTACGTAAAGTAGGTGCTTTTATACTATATAAAGGAGGCTTATTATTCCTCCTTAGTGTACTTAGTTAACTAATAGCCTAAT